GTACATGGAAATGGGGAGGGACAGGGGAAGGGAAAGGAAAGGAGGAAGGGGGGGGAAAGAAAAGGGGGGAGGGACAACACTCGTTGCCGTGTGTACATGGTGGAGTGGGATGCGCTCGTCGTCATTGACGTGGCCGTCCATTGGCATCATCAACGTTGTCCGTTAGCATCATTGTCTGTTGGTGGCGTTGTCTGTTGGCAGCGTTGTCTGTTGGCAGCGTTGTTGTTGTCGGCCATTGGCGTTGTTGTTGTTGTCTGTTGATGTGGTGGTGGTCTGTCAACGTGGTCATGCACGTCCTTGTTGGTGTGGGCATGCGTGTCTGTTGATGTCGTCGTGTGCGTCATCGTTGGCATGGGTGTGGGCATCTGTTGACATGGTGGGCCTCACTTGTCGTTGGTTGGGAGTGATGGGATGGTGGTGTGGGCACTCGTGTCGTTTGGTGGTCATTGTGCGCTGTCTGTCATCATCTGTTCGTGGTGGTGGGTGGTCGTTGTGGGCATCGTAGCCGTTCGCCGTTGTTGTGGGTGGTCATCACCATTTGCCATTGTGTGTGCTGGTGGTGGTGGTTGGGAGAAAGGAAGCCACATCACACGTCGTGACAATGGCATCACGTTTGTACTCCCATGTGAGATCACATGTATATCTCACATGTTTATGATCTCATGTGAGGGAATTTTCCTGCTGGACGTAGTGTTTGAAAGTCCGGTTCGGTCCGGTTTTTTGATGCCCAGGGGCGTTAACCGTAACCGTAACCGGTCTGCATTTTCCCCAGATGTCAAAAGACCAGACCGGACCGCAAAAAGACCGCAGACTGCGGTTTTTTGCGGTCTATAGACCGGTTTCGGTCTGCATCGGTTTTAACTGGTTTATGACCGGTCTTTAGGCCAATATTTTAAAATTATTAATCGGTAAATTTATTAACATTTTTAATAGCTTCAAAACGAGCCCAAGAACGTTAAATTCCGTTAGGAATTGGTGCTTCTATAAAATAAGTCTGGTACATCTATTATTCCCCAAAGTAATTTACATTTTAATTCATATCTCTCTCGTTTTTTTACCAAATCGTACGTTCTTGGGTGCGTTTTAAAGGGTATTTAAGGGGCTACAAAAGACCGGTCCAAACCGGTCAAAACCGGTTCACGTTAACCGGTCTTTTTGCGGTCTTTACATTTCAAAAATAAAAGACCGTAACCGCAGGTCCGGTCTTTTGCGGTCTTGGTCCGGTCTGGTTATGGTCTTTTTCCAGTCACGAGACTGGACTTCCAAACACTAGCTGGACGGTCCACGGAATCCAATGGAATCCACCTGGAATGATCCATGGAATCCATGTGGAATGTACCATTCCATCACTATTCCATGTGGAATCCATAGTGAATATGGAATAAAAAAATAGCTGGGGACTCAGCCAAAAATATTCCATATGGAATCCATGGAAGGGATGGTGGAATCCAGCCATTCCACATGGATTCCATATGGAAAACCCTGGGGAGTGTAAAGACCTCATACCTACCCAGGTAAGAGCATTCCATCTTGATCCACACTTCCCTTCTAAACTGTTGTCACAGCTCTTGGAAAACTCTTCCACATGATTTTTGGTAACAACTACCACAATGTAGTCATCAAAAACAGTCAAGGTGTCAATATTCAAGAGTTTGGCTTGTTACAAACACAATCCTAGTTACGTTTCATTCATACTCATAGAATCTGCTCACCTTCCATGAGGGAGGGCAATCCTGGTACAAATTTCATTCAAGTGCCTAGACTGTGCAGAAGGAGCAAAGGGCAGAACTCACCGGTTTGTTGAGGAAGTATGGAAGTACCTACAAACCATGGCAAAAGGAGCTGGCAAAGTTTAATAACAACAGCCGAGATTTGTTTGATTAGAAGAATACTATACCCTACTGGTAATAGATCACATAAAAACATTGGATTTCATGTTGTAACTATTTTTGGTTGCTAGCTTCTTGGCGATCACAAGAGAGTAAGTAAGTAGAGTGATTTGAGAGTGATACTATTAGAGACTCAGTGGGATTTTCCATTTGTTGACATCCCCACATGATGTTTGAAACCTCCCTGCCCACCATAGGCAACCACAATTCTCTTGCTGCTATGTCTGAGGACACAGTTTGTGAATTATGCTGCCTCAGCATCAAAGGCACTTTGAATTTCATAATGATTTCTATACCTGTTGACAAAATGGTTTATCACTTGAAGAGAATGGCTCATGGTGAGGTCAAAAACTGCAGTCTTCGTTGCACCGATGCCACAGACCTGTCTGTTTGGAAAGTGAGGACAGCCTCCGAGTCGAGGCTGGAGTGGATGTTTCTGCTCACAACTTGGCAGCTCAATCAACAGGAATCCCTAACACCTGAAGAAAGCCATGGTGATTGCATTTTCACACAAGAGCAACTTTCAGACATTGCCGTCAAATTGGTGTCAACCAACCTGAGTTGGTCTCCAGATTGTACTGCAGCATGTACCTTCCTGTGAGTGTGAGCCTAAGTTGTCTCTCAGGCAGCGCTGAGCCAACACCATTTCACAGCCCCAGTCTTTTCAAGCATGCATGAGTAAGAGTTGAACTCACCTCAGCCGCAGGCTAACGATGCCGCCTACTACTCGCTTTTATTCCACTTGACTTCATTCCCCCCCTATTTTGTTGTGTTCTTGAACATCACTTGGACAACTTGTCTTATTGCCATCACTATTCTGTGTGCTGTCACATTCTTATCTCTCAGGAAATGCTAGGTGAGCGCCCCCCAAACTGCTGGGTAAGTCAATATTTTTTCGATTAACCTCTACTACATGTTCTTTAGAAACTATATCTGCACACATAGAGACTGTGGCAGCATTGTATAAACAGGGCAGTTAGTAGGAATCACCCAGCTACACTGAGAGCCCCGACAATACAAACAGGCCATAGTTGATGGGGCCTGCTGATGGGCCGATGAGGGCCAATAACCCTGTGTTGATGAATTGGCTGATGTGATCCCAGTATCAAGGTGAAGAAGGGTCGGCCAGCTACATAGATTTATTGTAAACTGATCAGTAGGAGGAAGCTGCGCTGGGCAGTCAAGTCCCTGTATTTGTGTATCGGCTGATAGCTAACCAATGCAAGGCCGGCTGACAGTTTTAAACATTGCTGGGTAGGTGATCGGCCAAGGGGGCAGCTAAGCCATGCAAGATTGGCTGACAGTTCTGAACATTGCTGGGTAGGTGATCGGCCGAGGGGGCAGCTAAGCCATGCAAGGTCAGCTGACAGTTTGAACAATGCTGGGTAGGTGATCGGCCGAGGGCCATCACTTCTGATTAGCAGCTAGGCTATGCAAGGTCGGCTGATATTTCGACTGTGGCCTGGGTTGGTGGTCGGCCGAGGGCCCTCGACTCTGGTTACCAGGGTCAGCTGGTCAGACGTAGATATCACAGAGTCAGCTGTGGACAAAAATGTATGAACATGGTCAGCTGATGCTTCACCGAGGCCGGCTTCTCAGTTGGGCCTTTAAGTTAGCAGCCGAGCAGAGGCAGACCAGGCAGAACTTACCTCCATAGTTCAAATTTTCAACTTGATCCATAGTAAATATAAAAAACAAGAGCTGTGATCGCTGCAAGTGACTTCTGGGATTCGAACCCAGGGCATACATACATGACATACACCTCCCAGTGTAACCACTAAGCCAAGCCAATGTTGGAAGACAATGTCGGCCAGTATCTTTTACCTGCCTGCAATTTGAACCCGGGCGTCCAAGCTCGGCACTTGGTAAGTCACCGTTCTCGGCATACGACAACACAAACCTTTGATTAGTAAATTTTAGCCAGTGTTACAAAAAGGCTGTCCTCGCTCTTACATGACTTCTGGGATTCGAACCCAGGGCATACATAGATACACTATGTACACCTCCCAGCTCAACCACTAAGCCAAGTCAGCACTACAAGAGGAAGTTGGTCAGTATCTTTTAGCTGACGACTATGTCACTGTAATATAGTAGTAAGTAAAAGACTGTTCAGGATGAACAATGACTTGTTGGGGATTCGAACCCAGGGCATACATAGATACAATGCATACACCTCCCACGATAACCACTGAGCCAAGTCGATGTTGTAACACTTCGTATCTTCAAGTCAATGTTCGACCCGGCCTAAAAGCTCGGCACTTTGTAAGACAACCAACCCGGGTCTGCAAGCTCACTCTCAATATTCAAAAGCTCGGCACTTTGTAACTTGACCAGCCCAAGACAACTAACCCGGGTCTGCAAGCTCGCTCTCAATGTTCAACTGGGCCTGAAAGCTCGGCACTTTGTAACTTGACTGTGTTATGGTACTCCCTACATATTATCCATTTTCCCTCTCAATCCATCACCTTCCTCCTGCTTCATATTAAATTCTCGTTCCCATTTCATCTCTACTAAAAACTCTCTATTAAAAATAGTTACATTTCATACATCGATTCATAGGCTTTAGCTAAAGATAGTTAAATAGCGCGCAGCATACCCGAATCCAATGCACGTTCAAGTGTTATGCGTATTTGTCAAACAAGAGTCAGCCAAACACTCAAACACAAGACTTCCGTTCCAAACAAAGGATAATGACTCATTAGTATTCATCTTCAGGAATGCGATGGAAAGGTCCAAAGCCTTCTTCTAGGATCTAGAATAGTTAGCAAGTACTTAAGACAATTGTAAACTACAAGAACAATTCATTCTTACCTTTTACCCCAAACATCGTGTGAACTTCAGATCTTGAGAAAGACTAAGTACAAGCGCTCTCATTAGTAATCGATAAAGCCTAGCGCTATCGACTTACTAATTCATCTGAACCGTTAAAGTCCTAGCACTAACGATTCTGATACGCGTTCGCTCTTCGTCAAGACTCAAGGTTACGAAAGGATACTCACGTGATCTAGGGACTCTCCCAACAACAAGAACTCTACAAATTAAATCGATGCCAAGTTCTAAAGTAAGTTCTCATTTCACTCGAAGTAGCTAACAGACTTGTATTCGCTAGAATACACCAACGCTAGATTCGACGTACTCTAACATTGGTGGACACATTGGGAAATCCCCTACGTTTGTGTAAGTATCCGCTTCCGATCTCAATCTCAAGATCTCGGCTGATACAAGAACTTCCGTTACTGGCAGAACACGTTGCACCCACACAACACATTCTATCTTACCACACGATATCATTCATCACCCTACCCTTGAATTTCAAATATGTCTACGATCGATCGCATGGATAATACAAAGAAAGTATCTAATCCTGGTAGGAAAACTAACAACTCACAATCAGCAGGAATGTCCACAGGTTCTACTAATAAACCCGCATCCGGAACAACAAACGCACCTCGCGGGAAGGAAACAGTCCTCGACACGAGTACTCAGAACGTGTTTACTCCAGGTACGCCAGACTTACCAGAAGGACTGGACATCCCTGAAGCGTTGTCGTTCCAGACCGCACAGGAACGAGATCAACAGACACCCATTGCGGAAACACCAGGACCCGAGTACCCTGACATTGATGATCTCATCGAGGTAGGAATGCCGTTCGCTTTTGAAGATTTACCAGATCGTGATCTGTGTGTTAAGAGCTCAAGGTATCCTCTGAAAGGTTGACTTGACGAGGACGGATATTATCGATTTCACAGTTGACGTGGACATCAATACATATCCTTGACCGACAGCTCTTGATTCTGGATTGACCCTCGCATGGGTCATCACACCTTAGCTCGTCAGACTTTCGGGTTGCACGATAATAGACACAGTTAACCCTCACACCCTCGGTCTCACCCAGGGAAAAAATTCTCAATTTTGGTCTTGTTTGGTCCTCTCGTGACCCATCTCGGCTCTTTCCGTCTTCTCGTTGGCAGCTTTTGAGGATGTTTTGTATCTGTTTGTTCTAGTGACGGCTTCTTCAGAGGCTTAAGTATGACTTGGGGATTCTCTTGTTTAAATTTGGTTCAAATACAGTTGTTTTTGTAACCACAAGGCGACCTGCAAGGAGCGAACCGCAAAGCGGTTCAGCGATGAGCAGGGAGGATAACTTAAGTAGTACAAGAACTGCATCCAAGACTTGTGATAAACAGGGCCTGGTGACTAGCGACAAACAATGAAAAATGTTGTACCACCTGGCATGGTAATAGCATTATGAATGACATTTGGATGGTTAAGAAAATTGGGTATTGGGTTTTGCGCCTGAAGGCACACTATGTGTTATACACTGTATGGTATTTGTCACATGTAACGTCACACATAATCGACGTTGAGAGTGTTAGACAGCAAACATTGGTCTCCAATGCTCTCTCAAAGCATGGGCAGTATCTGGATATCGCCTGAGTTTTGCTTGCTTTTCATGTTCCCTACACATACTCCTCTTACAAGCTTGACTTCTGACCCCGAGACGACTGCCACCAAGATTTCATCACATCAACACGATCCATCAACATCTTGACACAGAAAAGCGGTCTGACATTGGTTGGGCAGGCATGCAGGCATGAGCAGAACGATAATAAGGCTCTGCAGGGTCATTTCAGGTGCGTAGCCTACCCAAGGAAAGCAAATCTGTGCTTCTCTTGCATCCATCTCTTCTTTCATCTGTTTTTATTTCTACAGGCTTTGTAACAGCACCCACTCCATTAGATGCACCAACCACACCAACCTTACCTATTTGCCACCACCTAGCACACCACTTGACGTGTGCCTGTCGCTTGGCATGTGTGCCTTGCATCCGATGCACACATGCCCACCACCAAAATCATTTGACTCCATCCCTATTGCAAACACTGCAGATACTACCATCATCCTCACCCCTCAATCACATTCCCATCACCAATACATTGCTGCCATCAAATTGTGTGTACACACATTCATCCCCATCAACTTCATACACACATTCATCCCCATCAACTTTGTTCACCCCCCTTTGATCACACTCCCATCACTGACAACGTAGCCACCTGCATGCATGCACAATCAGTGGTTGATGTGGATGCACATTCCTCGCCCCTCAATCACATTCCCATTGCCAAGTATGTTTCCACCCATCAAACCATGTGCACACACATGATTGGTGCATCCCCAGCAACTTCATTCACACATTCCCATCACCGACAACGTAGCTGCCCACATGTACACGCATAATCGATGGTCGACAGGGTTGCACTCATACGTCCCCGTTGACTTTGTTGTCCACCATCGCCATTGCAAACAATATAGCTAGTTGTATGCCTATTTCGACAAACCATTTACCTACCCTTTTACCAGTTGTACATACATGAATCCAAGAATTTATGTGAATTTATGCAAATTAATTTGGGTGTAATTAGCACTTGGAATGAAATGTTATTTTATGTTGTCTAGAGCAGCATCATAATGAGCTATATTGAGAATAATGTTCTAAAATATAAGCAGATGTATAGTGGAGTGGTTATGTTGTACAGTAGCAGACATGACATTGGCTAAAGGCCTGAAGTCATGAGTTCAAGCCCTCAACTTGAAAAACTAAGTGTCTTTTCAAGATCACCTCCAGACATAAGACATGAGCCTATCGATAGACCCACTTTGCAAATGCAGCACTCAGCCACCTTGTTTATATGAACAAATAAAACTAACTAAATGTGGTCATAAATCTGAGGAAGTTCAACTTTAAATATTTGTTCAACTTGCATCCTGCTAGTTTCCCTTTATCAAAACCATCAGAAACCATCGACACTTTATTGCTGACATCAAATACAAATTTGTATCCATGTCTGCCTGTCTCAAGCCCAGTGAAGTTGCACATTTTCCTGGAATAAGCAGGCTCTGAGTTTGGTAAAGCCTGTTTGTGCAGGCACCAACATAAACAAAGCGGCTAAACACTATATTCACAAAGTGGGTCTATCAATATGAGTTTAGCTGTAAACTCATTTAGCGGTTCAGCAGTTCTGGAAAACCGTGGAATTTATGGAAATTCCCAGGCTCCTAGAAGCATCGCTCACTGAATACTAGTGGTAACACAGCTTGGGAAAAATCCGTGATGGGATCAGGTACAAACAAATAAGTATAAGGTCACGAGCAAAGCAAGAGAGCGACTGCCACATTTTGGCACAGACTTCTTGGCCATCGTATTAATAGTCATCATTTTCATTTTTACCTGCCAATCAGGTGATCACTATGTGTCAATAGATAAGATGATAAGCCCAACCCCACTGTTAATTAGGAATATAAAATGGAAAGCAATCTGGCAGAAGGTAATGTAGAGCTCCAATATTCTTATACTCTTTGCAAAAGTCCGCCCACTGACTTATACAGTGTGCTTTGTCAAACACAAAACTGAGTATTCTTGAAGTAAATTTTTCAAGTAAATTGACATTTTGCTCTCAAAGCAAGTTTAATGGGGTGACCATGAAGAAGACTGCCTCTGTCCCATCTTCCAGTGCTATTAGGAGAGGTATCCAGAACATTAGTCTTTCTGGCCCCTATTGCAGCTGTGACATGCTATCACACCTTTACCCTCATAGACTGCAATCGACACTTTAATCTGGAACCAAAATGGTCGCTTATTGAATTTTTGCTGCACATGATCACCGACCTCAACTTCTGTCCATTTCTGTCATCTCAGAAGTCAAATATCTTCTGAAGGGGCCATATCTCCAGCACATATGATGATGTGTAGTGACCACCTGATTGGCAGGTATAAAATGAAAATGATGACTATTAATAAGATGGCCGAGAAGTCTGTGCCAAAATGTGGCAGCCGCTCTCTCACTTTGCTTGCAACCTTATACTTATGTGGGCCAATGTAACGGGATCTCCTGGATCGCAACCAAAAGGGGAAGGTGCACATGACCACGTGACCTGGCGCATCGCGTCCTTCTCCCTCCTTTCGTCCTCCCCCGCCACTTCATCCCACTGCCTCATCCCCTCCCAAAATTTTGCTCATTGTACACAATTTTGTATTTATTATACCCAAAAATGCATTTTTTTCCCCAGTACTGGCTTTTCCTGGGCAAACATGCAGCCCTTGTCCAAAATGGACCTCACGACGCATCCTTGATTGGGGCCTACATGCTGTTGAATTCTCAGGAAAAATACAAAACTTGCAGGATATCTTTAATGCATCTGTGGCTACATGTTTACCGCTTTTTTTGCTCTTCAAGGAGATTTTTGGAAGGTGGTTTGCTGCAAGGACCTGAAAATAAGTCAGAAAAGCACACATAAGTTGGCATAAGTGCTTATGTGTGATGGATTTAGCTTAAATCGAGTTCAATTTAGTGGATTTAATGCCCCATGATGCCAACCAGCTCAATTTAAAGTGCATTTCCATGAGCTGGCCTATCCCTGCACCTGATTTAAGGGTCTTTTGCTGTTTTTCGGTTCAGGGAACTAACCCCTGCTATATCACATCGGCTAATAAATCTTTCTGTTTCATCATTAGGCCCTTTCCATGTAATTCTCATAATGTTGTAGCTAAGGATATCTACATGACATGTAGTACATATATAACACTGGCAAAAAAGGACATTCCATCCTACAAAACTACATACGGCGTTGCACTCATTGAATTTTCGGACATACTTTGTAAATCCCCCACTTCCCGATTTGTTGTGACGTGCGCGGCGCATCATTTTCCGTCCCAATGCATTGTTGTTTGCACTTGATTAAAGCCTACTCGAGCACACAAACATTTGGCCTCTTGAAGGCGGGAATGTGATGGGAGCCAAGCTCCACGTGGCATAGTGTTGCCCACATCACCTGGAGAGGTTGGCCACAGCGAGAGGGGTTTGAAAGAGATGAAGGCGAGAGGCAAGGCACCAAAATCAGGGTAGGAAAGGTAAAGAGAAGATAATTTCTCACGGAAAATGGAATCCACTGATGGGCGTAATTTATCGAATTTAACATTCACTCCCTTAAATCAAGTGAAATAATTGTACTTATTTGTTTGTACCTAATCCCATCACGGATTTTTCCCAAGCTGTGTTACCACATACCACTACAGTCGCGGACAAACAAAGACAACAAATTTGATATCTCGGCCCCCAGCCAATATTTCGGCAATATTTTTTCAGAATCTTGATCAGCTCGTCAAAATACGTCGAAAAACACACCTTTGAAGTTTTTCCCATGAGCGGATGTGTTCTGCCAAATTTTTGGTCAAAATTTTCGAAATATGTAGCCCCAATTCAGGGTCCTAGGTGACCAAATTTACCTCAAAGTGGCTCACGATGGTGTTGAATTTCTGAAAATGATTTGTGTGTCAGCAGCAGTGCCCTTGGCCACTGTAATTCCGGAAAACACTCTTCAACTAAGACTTAAGGGTCTCTGAAAGGCACCGAGCGGGCCCTGATTACCGATCAATTTCTATTTTAGGTCATTCTTTTCAAATTTATTTAGCCAAAACGGCTCGACAGAACCTTCCAATATTACAGGATCATTTGCCTCTCATCAAAAGCAGTCGATTGCACTATTTTTCGTGATTTTTAGACCAATTCTCACAGTCCTGCCAAATTTTGAGGGCCTAAAAACCTTATTTGGAAGTTTATGAGGGAACGGCTCGATAAATTTTGATGAAATTGGTATTGTTGGAATCGTCTCATCAATCCGCGTCGATTAAGACTATTTTCGAAGAATTTGGTAAACTTTGATATTTTTTGTTGACTTTGTTTGTCCGCGACTGTAGTATTCAGCGAGTGAAGCCAAGAGCGATGCTTCTAGGAGCCTACGGTTTCGTACCGAATGTTACCGGTAGCTAAAGTACGGAAATTTCCGTGGTATTACCTAAACCATGCTAGTCCTATGTTTGACCCCACAACAAGACCACAACAAGTGACAAACACCTCATGATGTTTCAAACTTCCGTCCCACCATAACCACCCACAATTCCCTCACCGCTATGCTTGAGGACACAACTCGTGTGTTATCTTGCCTCGTGTACGGCGCTTCAAACTTCATGATGGTATCTATACCTGTGGACAAACTGGTTTATGATTTGAAGGAAATGGTTCATAACAAGGGTAAAAACGGCGCTCTTCGTGACACCGATGTCTCAGATCTGTTTGTTTGGAAGGTAAGGAGAACCTTGGGACAACGGGCTGGAGTGGATTTCACTCACAACTTGGCAGCTGAAGAAACAGGAATCCATAGCACCTGAAGAAAGCCTTGGTGATCGTGTTTCCTCACAAGGGCGTCTCTCCCTCATTGCTGTCAAATTGGACTCGCTCGCTAGGATAGGTGATATCTTTCCAGACCAACCTTCTAAGTTGTGTCTCCACATTCTAGTGCAGCATGTGCGTTCCCGTGAGTGTCAGCGTTTGTCTGTGTATCAGGCGGCACCGACTCGCCACAATTTCACAGCCACAGTCTCTCCAAGTACGTCCGTCACGTCTAACATGTCCATGTCTGCTAGCGGTAAGCCATATTATCGTATTAGTCATACCCCTGTTCTGCTCATCAACTTGCCATTTAGCTTCGTCAACTGGTGAAACTTTTCCTGCCGGTGAGTCACCTATCTCCGGCTCTTCCCTCGTTTTAACCGACCAACCCCCCCTGTCTTTGTCTCCTATCTTTGCTCCCACACATTCGCACTCGTAGCTGCCCACAAGCGTACCCTCGATGATGTTGGTTCCTATGAAGAGGGGGGTAAAAGACATAAAGCGGGTGAGTGGGCGTTGTGTTTCAGCCTTATGTCTTCCATTCTCATCTGAGTCATTGCCGTCTCTCCTTTGAATAACTTCTCATCCCTATGTGCATCATGACACTGATATTTATCTGCAGATGGTCCAATTGTGAATGATGACCCTTTTGCCCAATTTGGTATATGGCTTCTACGTTGCTCTTTACTTCATTTCCTTGAATAATGTTTTCAGGCTTTAAACATCTGACCTACGATGGCACACCAACGGATTCGGTGTTGCATTTCCATAAGATGTATTGGGGCAACCCTCTACCCCCGGAGCACCTTTCTCTCCAGAATATGGTCCATCATCCTAACGATATAGAGGACGACGACGGAGATAATGGCGACGATCTCCTTCCCGCGACGCCGCTCCCAATCATTCACACCCCGTGGACGCCAGTTTTTATTCGTGCTGAATACCTCAGAATGTATAATTGGACCGAAGTCATGTCCGTGGAGGGCAAGGTATATCGTCCGTCTGCTGTTGTTGTCACCGGCCAGCCCGGAATCGGTCGGTAGTCTGTTATCAATATGAGAAGCTTTTCTTGATAGTCTTTTTGTTCTCAGGCAAAATGTTCTGGGCCTACTACATCCTACGTCGACGTCTTGGGGAAAAGTCTGCAATTATGTGGTATCAACGATCCGTGATCTATCTCTTCTGTTCTCAAGGGGTCCTCCTCGTCCCTCCCACATTCACCTTCAGCAAATTTAGCCCCCCTATATGGACCATCATTGATTCCGTTCAATCACCCTCTGGGATTCCAACCGATATGGTCCCCTTCCCGCCCGGTGTTTTCCCCATCTATATCACCTCCCCTACGCCAGAACGCTGGGCAGGGATTTCGCAGTCTTGGACCTGCCATCACCTGGTAATGAACGCTTGGACGAAGGCGGAGATCACGAAGGCGTGAGTATGTCCCTTTCATGACCCACTCGTGCTGAGCCTTCCCCAACACAGCTCTGTCCTATATTCAAATCAATCGCTAGACGACGCGTTAGAGAAGTACGATTCCTTAGGCCCAACGGCACGCTTCTGCTTCGAGTTGACTCCGGGTGAAATTGAACGCCACGTCACTGACCGTCTCATCGCAATCCGCAACAGCAGTCCCCATCATCTCAGACAGCTTTTTACAGCAAGTGGCAGATTGTCACTTGATCACCTCTCGCATAAAATCTGCCTGATTCGACGCAAGCGAGGATCTACACTGGATGGCGGGACCGCTTCAACTAACTTCATCTCGGTCAATGTTAAGCAAGAAGTTGTCCAGAGGCTTGAGGAGTTCAGTGATGATCAGCTGCTGGAAATGTGGCACAACTTTTCGAAGTTTGGGGATGCTCGGGGAATGACTGGGCCGATATTTGAAGTTTTCGTCCATCGACGTTTCAAAACGCGTATTGATCTGAATGCTGAGCCGATGGTTCGGGCGAAACGCGCCAATTCCCGCTGGTATGGTTCCTTCGGCACCCAACAACCTCAGGCTGCCACCCTTCATGGATTGGCAGAGCAAAACTTTCACCTCCAGTTTGATGTCGGCACACATATCGTCTACGATGACACTTTACAAAGTGTTCAACCGGACGTCTTCTATTTGCCCCGAAGCGGCCAACAAGTTGCTCTCGACTCCTTTATACTCCATGGAGGCTATCTCAACATTTTTCAGTGCACTGGCAGCCAAAAACATGACATCAAGACTGGCATTTATGAATTTTTTGAATCCTGCACTGGACTACCTCCACGACAACACTGGCGTTTCGTGTTTGTCATACCAGATGAACTTGACGTGTTCTCTTGTCCTGGTGATGTTCAGGACATTGGGTTGTACACAGCTCGCTTTTCAATGTCAAGGGTCTGACCGTTACTTTCATACCGAGAATTAGGAGTTGGACAAGTACTTGTCTTCTACAGTTTATGTTACCGATGCACTTGCCCAGTCACGAGATTTCAGAGAGACTTTCATTATTATCAACTACACAAGGTCAATGACCACGCCCAAGGAACGTGCTCAAACCATAAGGAATAAATATCCCTGCCGTGATATGCAAGACTCTTGTCAAAGGTTTTATGTCCGCTGCAGTAGCCGAGTGATGCGAAATAGGTTGCAGCACAGTTGCAACATAAAGAAACGTGCCACCCTGATCGACAATGAACATTAGTGAATATGAAATCATTGAAATGGAAATGTAAGTGAAAATGATGACATAGTGGTCATTCGGGAGAGAGAACACGCATGATAATGTACACACCGACAACAAGAGAGCAACGCCTGTCAAACCGCCACCATCGCCGTCGCCAAGCAGGGAGAACAAAAGGTACGACGCGATGGCGCTTAGGGGCGTTGATGCACTGAAGACGGCAAGATGCTTTTTGCAATCAGGCCGTGGCAAATTTGTAGCGATGAGGGAAGTTGTGAGTGCGAGCGATGTGGGTGCTAAGCGATCACATAAGCCTTGACATATTCATATGGACAATTCGGAGCTAGGCGTACCTTTATGAAGCAGCAAAGCAAGGAATACGATGAACGACACCGTGTTTGCCGTTCCTGGCGTTGTCTTGGCTAGGTTGGCGGCACCTAATGCTATACCGTCTGCAAGGCTGTGTATGACCAAGCCAAGTGTCAGCGGGAAGGCGCGTTCTCTTCCGCTCCCGGTTTCAAGAGATTGGGGTAGTACTGAGGATCCCTGGCTGCTCTCAAGATCTCCCAAGTCAGCGTCAAATTCCAAGGTGAGCGGGGTATTTTTGGGGCGCATGATGAGGTCGCTTGACGCGTCGTGGGTGTGTGCATTTGGCGTTACGAGTTGTTCAATTATGAGCATGAGCGTGAAACCCACGAGAAGAGATAAAGCTACTTGTGAGATTGGAAAAGGCTGGTTTGGATGAGCGGCGACTATCGTTTCCATCCCTCTAGTACGATCAGGCGTACGCTGGCGGGAAAAGTAGAAGGATACTTACTCTGGAATGATAACACCCAGCGCAGCTCCTAAGAGGAGACCCGTTCCAAGGGCGGCGAGACGATCAACCTGGTTTTCTGATAAAAGGGGTGAGGTCTGCGTGTGATGAGGAAAAGCTTGAGCACCAACTGGCAAAGACAAAGGACAAGGGAAGCATTCCAGCACCAAACGAACACGCCCCAAGCAGGGCGGACATCACGACGAGCTGTAGAAGCATAGTGGCCTACTGTTCAGGCAATACTCAAGTGTGAGGTCAAAGTTATGCATGGTCCGTCACGTGTACCGTTTTTCCTCTCTTCCTCCTCCCATGTCACTCTGTCCGCCCTTTGCGCCCTTCTTTGGATTCGCTGGAGTCGCTTCGGCGGTGAGTTTTGCGGATTCACTTGCAGGGGATATTCTGACCTCTTTCTCAGATGGTGTTCAGCAGTACGTCGGGCAAAGTTTCCATACCATGTTTCTTGCTGAATTCTGAATCAGCTGTTGGCGCTGCGTTTGGGACGTCAAAAGCGGGAATCGGGATCGCAGGTCTTGGGACGTTTAAACCAGAGCTCATCATGAAGGTGTCCTATTTGCCTACTTGGAAAAACGCGTCATAGTGTTAACCTATCCATCTCGAGTCCCTCATACCTGTCGTCATGTCTGGTATAATTGCCGTTTATGGCCTCGTCGTGTCTGTACTCATCGCTGGTTCACGTTCGTATGCCTTTCATTGCATACATTCTTAAACTAATCTATTGGCTCTCTAGTGAAACCGACGGACTACTCATTGTTTGCTGGCTTCATACACCTGGGAGCAGGTCTTGCATGTGGCTGCACGGGAATGGCAGCAGGCTATGCGATTGGTCTGGTGGGCGACTCGGTGAGTTCCACAGCATCCAAATTTGAGTCCTATATCTAATCAAAATTGTCAGTGCGTGCGCGCATATGTACACGAATCAAAAGTCTTCGTAGCGATGGTTCTCATTCTCATCTTTGCCGAGGTTCTGGGTCTGTATGGGTGAGTGCTGCTGCGCAATTCTGCCCCTCTCAACCGTTTAACTCTAACTGCGGACAGGTTGATTGTAGCGCTCATCATGAACACAAGGGCTACGGCCACAGGTTTTACATGTTGAGAATGAATGTCCTACTATATACCTAACCATTTGCTTTCGTTCCATGCGAGGGTGTTTCCGTCACACAATGTGAGTGATCTCATGTATTAAACGCAACAAATGGGCCCAGGATATCCGTGTATAATATCAATCGTCGTCTGAATGGCCGTCACGACTCGAGGGACTTGGACCCCTCCTCGCAACGCGTCTTTTTCGAGATCGTTTCCTTGACCTCGAGGACCCTGACGAAGAACCCGAAGATGAGCCAGAGTCCGAACCAGAACTACGACTTGAGCTTGAATCAGAATTCGACGAGCCCGAGTCAGAGTCGGAGTCGGATCCCGACGATGAGGACGACCTGAATTTCGTTCACAAAAGGTAAATTGAAGGAGGTCGTTGCAACGTACCTCTTTGCCTTCTTTCGTGGACGCTCCTTCTCCTTCCCCTTCTCATCTTTCGATCGCTCCTTCTCTTTTGCCTCGAGGATCATATTGGCAGTACCGGTTCTGAATAAATTGGTATCAGAATACATCCAAGAGAAAGGCTTGGCACTCGTTCCCAACCCACTTTTTCTTGAATTCTTCTGGAACTTGTACAGAGGGTTTTCCATCAGCTTTTAGTTTTGCAAGCAAACGTGGGTTCTCGAGTTGTTGTGTGCGAGAAGGTCGGGAGACATAAGGACGAGATTCCTTGCATTCGTAGATGAAATGACCTAGCAAATGATCAGGAGGAGATGTTGAAGAATATGTGTGCGGTATCACCTCGTCCGAGGCACTTCTGGCATATGGTGGAAGACGTTGCCCTTGGCTGGTTTGTGGAACGACGGTGAGGTGCGTACTTTGACATGGTTTGAGTGCAAGACGGCGTGGGAAATCCTCAAGTTCTCCTTTGACGCCCATCTACTCAGTCCAAATGTCCCTTGCAATTTCGAGTCATTTCAAGACTGTACCACAATTATGGGTGGAAACGCCTTCAACGCCGTTCTTGCAGCCAATGCCTTTCCCCGTATACCACCAAAGGTCTATCGCGCACTTAAAGCACGTCTTTTCCCTGCCCTCGTGAACCTATATAGCTGGGTAGGGGTACCTATGGAAGCTCCAGAAAAAGCAAACTATGGCGATCTTGACTTTCTAGTAGCTTGTCCAAAAGCTTCAACATCTAATGAAGCCGTGGATATACCTCATCAAACAATCCAAAGTGTCATTGGGGCCACCTTTGTCAATCCAATGGAAGGCAATAGAACATCCAACTATGCCGTACCCGTTGAGCTGGGCGAGTGGGGTTCCCATGGACATGCTCAGGAAGAAGAGGACAGTCGTCGGTTGGCTGACGATGGGAAAATCTTTTACCAGGTATGCAGGTCACTTGAATCTGTGAAGCACGACCTTCACCAAAGTACTAGGTCGATGTTCATGTCTGCACTGACAAGGCGGAATGGGACAGGGTTATATTTTTTCACTCCTATGGTGATCTCGGTATGATCTTGGGCCTTGTTGGCAGGAATAATGGTCTCGCACTCGGAGTAAAGGGATTAAAGGTCAGTTGTCATAAGTTATAAATTCAACAAATCGAGGACTGAGTGGACCCATAGATTCCTGATCCTCCCAACCCACCCTTTCCATTGAGCGAGTCGTTCTCGGAAATCACCCAATTTTTGGGACTTCCAATGGAAGTCTACAACGCAGGTTTCAAAACCAAAGTGGAGATCTTTGAATGGGTTGCATTGATGAAAGGCTTTACGCCTCATCAATTTCGTACTGAAGGCGCGGGGATATCAAAAGTCAAAGCAGACCGCAAAATGTATGCAGAGTTTGTTCAATGGGTGCAAGCTAACACTCAAACAAAACCATCGGAGCATGGTAGCCGTGAGGAAAGACAAGAGAAAATCCGATCGGAAGCCCTGGCTTTTTTCCAGAAGAAAGAGGAGTTCGAGGCACTCGCACGGGCAAGGAATGACAGGCAGCGTCTGAAGGAAGTTTTCTCGGGTTCTCGTGTGCGGGAGTGGGCTGAGATGGGTGAGCGGTGGAAGGGCGTCAAAGCGATCATGGACGCTGTTCGGCAGCGACTAGGTGGCGAGGAAGGCGTGCTGAAGTTTGTAACGGAGAACGGCGAGGAAGAGTTGAGGAAGGTTGTTCTGGAAGTTAGGGACAGCCTCGGTCTCGACGTTGTTTCGACGGACGTTGGGACTTTGAACACCTCGAGTTCTTCGCAGTTTTCCATCACCCCTGCGGCAGACTCTACTGAACAGTGAAGGGCAAGGGTATTTGTGAACCGCCGTCCTTTCGAATATCCTGTCCATTCAATTTTGCTAAATTTGTATGGCGTTGCAGGTTGCTTCTCGATCACATCACACCCTGATATCCTCTGCTATAATGGATATAAATCACTTTGTCATTTTGAATCACAATACAACCATACGTATGAATCAAAATGCCCCTCTTACCAAGCTCAGTCCATTATGGGTAACAAAATTCTTGATCCAAAATCCGTGCCCATCATCTCCCCCATCGACCAATCTTACCCATGACGCGAATGAAGAGGTGATTCCGGTGATTCTTATTGTCGCAGCATCCTTTAGGAACACCACCGAAGTTCTGTGGCTGTTGCGAAATGCAACTGATGAATTTAAAGTTCTTGGACTCAACTGAGGGGCGTTTCATTAGACAACATCGACGTCGACATTCTTTCAACATACTTGAAAAGAATTGGACGCGCGACGCTCAGGTTGGAGACAGAACTATCAGCAACGGATCTCTTCAAGATGGTTTTTCCCTCTTCTCGACTTTGAGTCGCTTTTTGTAATCGCCTCTCCATGCGTGAAGCGCTGCTGCAAGGAGGAGGCAGAGCCGAAGGGAGGTGACATGTTTTGCGCAAAGCAAGGTTTGGATGGCCAATTTGAAGACGCCGCCCGAGGAGGATACTCGTAGTTGTCGCTGCATGGTTGAGTGCTACAGCGGTTCAATCATCTGAAATGTATGAATCTCTTTTATTGAGGAGATATCGGCTCTCTCCGCCATGGTCAACCCGAGGTGAATAGCGGAGGGTGCTCAATTTGTAAAATTAGATCCACCCGCTCTGAATTGAGCGGCAAGAGGCCTATTTATGATCAGGACGGTCATGAGACTATCACCAGACTGAGTGTACTGTGTGCTGGATCCCTAGACGCTGCAGTTCCTCATTATTCGGGACCGCTACAGATCTACCTCCGCCAACACCCAGGAATCAACAATTGAGCGCTAGCTCCCGGACTTGCTACCACAAACAAACGCGCCTTCATTCTCCGAGCACATGAGAGAGAGCATGTGCTCACGGATCATAGATAACACACAGGGCCTGAGAGCTTCCAGCTTCAAATCAAGTATATTCCGGAGCGGTCCCAATGAGGAACAACCGGTTCAATCATAAGGCTTTTCAAACGAGGATGCCTTAGTGCGCACTGCGGACATAAGAACGGAAACTCGACTTGGGAACCATGTATAACATCACGTGTCGACGGCGACCTCTTCAATTAGCAGATCCTCAAGTATCTTGATTTCTTGCAACGGTCCAACATCATCTCCTTCCGGACCATATATCTGCAAGATGAAGCATGCCAAAGACAGGTAAACCCGCGTTTGTTCTCTGACTCTACTCCGTTTTTCCGCAGTGCTGAGGTTTGGTGACACGATACCAGCGTTCGACTGGGTTTTTGCTAGCTCTAGTAGATGCATCCCTGTAGTTGAGTGATATTAGGCATGATGGCGTAAGAAAAAAACGGGTTCGAACCGATTTGAGGGTAATTTGAAGGGTAGATGAGGATGTAGAGAGCTAAGAGCGTGATGCCGGTGTCGAGGGCTATGTCGTATTCACCGTCATGAGAACATCTGCTGAAGGTCTCCGAGAGACTGCTCATGTATGCTTCGTGAAAGACTGCATGAAGGGAGCTTGGGGTTGATTCAAGAGACTTGGTTGGGAGAGTCGGTGCTAGAAGCAGGGCGTCCTTGATTCCGACGAATTCACGTAATTGTCGTCCCAAGTCGTCGAGCTCAGTTGGTTCTGTTGGAAGCTCGGGCAAGGTGCCCAGCGACCTGATATATAGGCAAGAAGAACAATCGCATCGGAAGCCATAGGTAAGTTCAAATATCTGGTGTCTCGATTGTGTCATTGCGGGGTCAAGGTATGGTATACATATCTGGCGAATATGTGTTCAGAAAGTGCGGTTGTGGAACAGTTGAATGTGTTACCTGTTCGCCAGAAGGTATATCACGGATTGCTACTACTTCCATCCCAACGCCGTGTGAGGGAGATAGCGAGTACCGTGCTGCAGCATTAGGGACACAGGAATGATTGAATAAGCGGCTCGCAAGAGGGAAGACGCCATGTCCAATCGTCGTCAAATGAGAATGAATGGCAAAGTTATTATTCCCGAACCGAGTATACAAGATCCTCACTAGGTCTGGCAATGGTGCTGGAGAGATGGGACAAACGGGAGGAATAGACACGTCAGGCACAGGGGAAGGAAGCAGGGACAACAAGATAGACAATGGGGAAGAGTCCTCGGGCGCGTATGGCGTCGGCAAGAGCGACAGATGAGCCAAGAGGTGAGACAGTAGCAAGGAATCGGTTTTTTCGTGGACTTGGAGAGATTGAAAGGCTGGAGACGCGGTGAACTTTGTGTAGTTTTTGCATATCCGCTTATGATGGGCGTGCCATTGCTTAGTTTGACCTGTAGGATCAGGTGAGCAATGAATCGAAAAGAAGATGGGAATTCCAGACAATCTACGTCGCAATACCAGTAGGAACCACATCCAGTACAGCGTCTCAGCGAAGTACCATCTGCTGGTAAACGAAAGCACGCGTCGCACCGACGACTCTTTTGTGTTGCGAGAAGAACGGCGGCGATGGAAGGCGTCGAGAGGATCAGCGACCCTGCGTCTAAATTTTTTGTTGAAATAGCTTGATTCACAGCTTTTGGGTGAGGGATGAGGCGAAGTGTATCATTTCCAGTCAACATGGCAGATTGAAGCCGTTGACGACGCGTTGTTTGGTTGTGAATTGATAGCCAAACAAGCCGCCCATTGTCCCATTGTACTTGCGGTGATGTCATGGTCAATGGCTGTCAACGTTGTCAACGGTAAGCGTTATTTTTCCGATTACTTATTGTTGTTTCATCTGTTATAATCTTTCAATAATGGTTACTTCTTCGTGTTTTCACTTTTTCTTAGGCTGCGCCTATCTTTCATTTATTCACGATGCAACTCACCACTGTCCTTCTCTTCGCTTTCGTGCTCACTCTCGCTAACGCATCCACCATACCTCTTCGACGAATCAGGATCTCGTCGCTTCCCCACCAACGAGGCCATCTATCTATGCATCGTAGACATGCTAGATTTCTCCCAAGACAAGTTACTAACACGTCCACGACAACTCTTGCCACGGCCGGCACCGCTACTCCTCAACCTTTGATAACGACAACCAATACAAATAGCTCAAGTGCAGCACCATCCCCCTCGTCTGCCCCTTCTCCGTCCATTTCGATCGACTCTACCCCCCAGCCATCCCAACCGCCTGCAGACAATAGCGGTGCGCAGAAATACGTCGTTGCTCATCATATGATCGGCAATACCTTTCCCTACACAATTCAAGACTGGGCAGACGATATCGCTTTGGCGCACGCTTCCGGCATTGATGGCTTCGCATTGAATATGGGCAGCGACGACTGGGAGCCTGCGCGCGTTGCTGATGCGTACGTTGCGTTATTATGGTACAAACATAGTTTGTAATTTATCGTCCTGCAGGTATCAAGCAGCCCTTCAATCTGGCCTCGATTTCAAGCTCTTCTTATCGCTTGACATGTCGTACGTACTTTTCCATCATCCGTTCACACCCCCTTTGACAAAAGTTCCTTTCAGAGTGTTACCATGCGGTTCTCCCGCTGATGCTCAGGCCCTCCGGAACCTCGTCAAGGCACATATAACGCACCCCAACCAATTCCAATACAAAGGCCGTGCCTTCGTATCCACATTCGCTGGTGAAACATGTCAATTCGGTCAAGGCAGCGTCGCAGACGGATGGAAAACACAGTTTACGAGAAGCCCTGACCTTCAAGGCCAGATCTACTTTGTCCCAGCGTTCTTCATCGACCCAGCCACGTTCGGTAATTTCGCTGACGTTATGGATGGTGATTTCAACGTATTTATCATTCACCTTTCCCTCTCTTCCGTCTATTAATGTACCAAATATAGTGGAACTCTGGCTGGCCTATTCAAGTAACCACGTCTTTTGCCCAAAACCTAGCGAATTCACTGCCGGCCAACACGACAAGTGGTGCGGGAGGCATACTCGGCAGCGTCATAAATACTGCTGGCTCGCTGGCAACGGCTGGTCTTAACAGACTGCAACTTGCCGTCAGCCAATTCATTGGCGCCACTACAACCGACGAGCAGCATCTAGCTGCACTCTCCAAACTCCCTGCTAATCTTGGAACCCGCGACACCGACCCGTCAAGCCCGCTTTACATGGCTGCCGTCTCGCCATGGTTCTTCACCCACTACGGCAAGGATTCTTTCAACAAAAATGTACACAAATTTTGCTTCGTTTCGTGCCAATGGCTAATCTGGTATTATAGTTCATCTTCCTGTCGGACCAGCATCTTTACTCCAAGCGCTGGGAGTCTCTTGTTGAGACTCGAGACACAGTTGATGTCGTTGAAGTTTTGACCTGGAACGACTATGGCGAGTCGCACTATGTTGGCCCAATCAAGGGGAGCCAGCCAAACAGCCAAGCCTGGACGGATGGGATGAACCACACTGGTGTGTTTTTCTTTGTCATTTTTCGTAAGACCATGCAATTAAACACTCTCAAAGCTTGGCTTGGACTTACACAATACTACGCCACTGCTTTCAAGACAGGAAGCTACCCCGCCATCGAAAAAGACCAGATTTACATGTGGTCCCGCCCTCATTCCAGCTCAGCGCAGGCTCCAGACCCCGTAGGACAACCTGATAACTTCCAACTCGTGAGTTCTTCCGTGAATTGTTTCGTTGTAAATACAAGGCTGAAACTTCACTCGATAGCCACAAGACGCCATCTGGGCCGTGGTATTGACGACCGCGCCCTCATCCGTGACACTGGCTACATCCCCAACCACCTCTACGACGGTCAACGTTCCAGCGGGCTTAACTAAATTGACGATGCCGATTTCTGCTGGGGGTACGATGAAGGGAACCATCACCCGCAATGGGCAAACGGTGGTTGAGCTCAACCCCACAGGGTTTACTTTCCAGGGTAGCCCCAAAACATACAACTTTAACGCTTTCGTTGCAAGTGCGACTGCCGATTGATTCGTCGTCGTGAATTAAAATTTCACTGTATTTTTACGCATCCACGCTGTAGCTTCGTTTTTTGGATCATCTGTATTTTTATGTAACTGTATCCCTACCTCGTCAATTGAATTGACAGCTGAAGAAAACTCAAATAAGAACTTGATTTGGACTACCTAAAAGATGGGTATAAAGTCCTGTATCCTATCCTTCGCATCCTGGGCAATACACTCTGCAATCCACGTCAAATTCCTAATCTCCTGCTCCTTCAACTTCATGTAACTGAAGAACACGCCGTACTGGAACTGCTGCAAGAACGCCTCCTTGTTCAACCGGACCTCCATCTGGAAGAACCGGTCCTCGAGCTGCGAAGCCGCACCCAGATCGTCGTTGCCTCCTCCTTGCGACGAAGACGAGTCGGCGAAAAAGGAGCGGTACTCCATGACGTTCTCACACGCCTGGCGGACCTGGTCCATCTCCTCCGCCTTTGCCAATTGGTTGTTCCCTTCGGGCCACAAACGCCCGATGGAAGGAAACAGCTTCGCACGTGCTTCTTTCGAGAGCTCGGTGTTGAAGGAGTTGATGGTGATGTTGACTGTGCGCCTGTCGGCTTCGAAGGAGAGGATGCGGTGCATGACGTCGGATGTGGGTGGGCTGAGGGTGCTGCAGAAGTGGTAGAAGTCTTCGAGGTAGGCTTTGTAGACTGTGTTGCGGATGATTTCGATGTTGAGGTCGTCGAGATCTGTTGCTGAGAGGCAGTCTCGGAAGTAGGGGGCTTGGTAAAAAGTTTGGTTGGAGGGGTTAAGTATGTTATGAAGATTGGACGCACCTAGTGGAGTTTCGACGAGGACACTCTGGTACAACTCTTCAACGCTCGTGGCGACGCATAATGCAGGCAAGGTGTCGAATACGCCCAGTGGGTGACAACGCTCGAGGAGCTCATGCGTATCTCTCTCGTGGAGGGTTCCAGTGATGAGGAGAACGACGTTGTCGATCATGTACGAGTAGCTGCTTCACCGTCACACACGCGATCCATAGTAAAGGACGAAACGTACGTGATGTATTCCAAAAACTTGCTTAACGGCTGCACGGCATTGTTTCTGATATAATTGAACTGGTCAACGAGTACTTGCGTGGCTTTGTCGGCGATGGTCGAGGTGGAGATGGGGAGAGGTTCGTTGGCTAGGAAGTTTCCATAGTCTGTGGCGGACAACTGCGTTCTAAAGTCTGGAATTATAATAATGAGTACTCGGCCGAGGAATGTAAGCGATAATTGGATGCGCCTTCAAGAGATTCGCACTGAGTCAGGTTGGCATATTGGTTTTGGGTGAGGATGCCGGCCTTGTAGCCTCTGATTACGCCCTCCAGGAAGCCGCTGTCAACCTGTAACAAAAACGTAGGTTAGATAGATTATTGGACGTGCGTTGACAGTTACATTGAAGAAAAGAGACTCCATGTTCAATGTTGCGGCTTGCTGCGTTCAAGGAGTGGAATTCGAAGTTATCATTTGCCCGTGTTAGGATCCTGATTTGACCTTGACTCTAACCACATCCGCAGAAATGTCCTATTTTCTTCCTCACCTTCCTTCCGGCTGGCACGTTGATGAGGCTATAAAGTCTGAAGAGGATCGCGTCGTGGTTATTCGATTCGGACATGACTGGGACAGCCAATGCATGATGATGGACGAAACGTTGTACTCCGTCGCGGAGAAAGTCCAGAACTTTGCAGTCATTTACCTGGTTGATATCACGGAGGTGCTGGACTTTAACAAGGTGATTGAGGGTTAACTGGCTTTCTGCGAAACTTCTGCTGACGTTCAATACATTGAAAACTATAGATGTATGAACTGTATGATCCTTGTACCGTGATGTTCTTCTACCGGTATGCCATGTGCTATTCGAGACGCAGGAGAGGAGCTGAACTTGCAGCTAGTAATAAACACATCATGATCGATCTGGGAACCGGTAATAACAATAAGATGCAAGTCGTGGTTACCACTCCTATTTCATTGAGCGCTCTGACATATCCCTGCTTCAGTAATTGGGCCATGGATAACAAGCAAGAGGTTCGTACATGTGCTCAAAGTTGGATAGCGATACTCATCTTTTGCCCCCTCAGTTGATTGATATCATCGAAACGGTTTACCGAGGTGCATCGAAAGGAAGGGGTTTGGTGGTTTCGCCGAAGGGTCAGTCATTGGTCGCATATTTGTTCAACTTCCCAATCTCATTGCTCTTCTTTGACAGATTACTCTACGCGTTATAGGTACTAGATGCACTGAGATGGCCCTCATTTTGTGTTCTCGACTCTCATCATCCTTGTGTCATAACCAATGTATGTACAACAGTGAACTGAATTTTGTTTCAACTTATTCGTTGAACTCTAGTATGAGGTTTTGCTTTCCTTCTACGAGGAGCATACCTTCTTCTGCCCTTTCCAGTTTTTGTTATAATTTTGGGGATTGATTTTAATCGAAGCTCATTTGGGACGACGATCCAATGGGCATCGCCAATGGGTCCGGAGGTGAATAGGGCCAAGCTCTTTTCGCAAGATCTCCATCACAGTGATTGGGCGACGCTGAGAAAGACTCCAGTCCCGGATCTTCTTCAACCCGAACAGTGCAATACCCCATCGAGGCATCTGAAGCAGTCTTCTTAAACGGCAAGATCAATGTCGTTTTGTAACGAAACTCATTTTCAACTCGGTGGAAAAGCGAAGGTATAAGCACAGTTGAAGTTGTAAGCGCTTGATCCTCTCCCTCCTTGTGCTCAAACATGAAATCAGTCCTCAAAGCATATTTGTAACCCTTCGTCGCCTCCTCTCCCGTATGCCAGATACCTCTCTGCTGAAAAATCACAACCCTCCCAGCTTGGGCTCAACATCAACCCATTGCTTTTCGTTCCCGCTGTGGCGCTTCCCTGTTCGCCCTCCTTCCCAAGATATATCTGAAAATCACTCTGGACTTGCGCCCATCAGGAAGCTGAAGTTGGCCATCACAATGACCTCTGAAGAAATTTCCGGGACCATAGCGCAAACTCCATGTCTGATCAGACTCCGCCAAGGCGATGAGCGCCTTTGTCGGTGATGGTCGAGGTGGAGATGGGGAGAGGCTCGTTGGCTAGAAAGTTTCCATAGTCTGTGGCGGACAACTGGGTTCTGAAGTCTGGAATGATAGTAATGAGTACTCAGCCGATGAATGTAAGTGATGATTGGATGCGCCTTCAAAAGATTCGCACTGAGTCAAGTTGCAATATTGGTTCTGTGTGAGGATGCTGGCCTTGTAACCTCCGATCACGCCCTCCCAAGCCCTCCAGGAAGCCGCTGTCAACCTGCAGCAAAAAACGTAGGTGAGATAAAATAATGGACGTAAATTGACAGTTACATTGAAGAAAAGAGATTCCATGTTCAATGTTGCGACTCGCGACTTTCCTTTTCCAGCGTCCGATCATCTTGGCGCGCCTCGTATGACGCAATACCGACAACTTGTTACGCAAACCTTGCCTTGTGGAAGCACACAAATCGTAATTAGCGTCTATTCTCTGATTACGGTTGTACGTTTGGCCCCTCGATTTCGTTTTTTTTTCCTTTCCGGAGTCAGAGGAAGTTCGACTCCGCCAAACTGCAATCGCCGTATTCCAGAGACCAGGACCAGGAGATGTGGTTATGTCCCCGCGCGCCCGATTAGGTCACTGTGAAATCAATTTCAAACTAGACTAATTCTCTTATGGCGCAATACCTCCAACTTGTTACCTAACCTGCCTCAGGCTTCTGAAGGCACATAAATCGTTGCGCCATGCTTCGATAGCGGTTGTACGTTTCGTCCCTTTCTTTCCCTCCCATGTCTACAAAAAACCTAGATGAAAAACAGTCCGTCGAGACCAGTGACGACTTTAACACTGTTGAGGATAAACAGTTGCTTCGCAAGGTCGACTTTCGGTGAGTTTATTGCACAGTGTCCTTCTGCGCCCTCACTGACACCGATGTCAAGGTTAATCCCGATCCTCACCTTGCTTTATCTATTGAGCTTTCTGGACCGGTTCGTACAAGGCTCTCTAGTAACGTCGTGCGTTAATTCAGAGTTCCATGCGAAGCACGAACATAGGAAATGCAAAGTACGTAAACAATAGTTTTCATTATTCAGAAGCTCTACATATCATTTTTTTTCCGCCACAGGATCGTAGGGCTCGCAACGGTTTGAGTTGACCTAAGTCTCCGGGAGTACGGTTGAATAATCCTCCTCTTAGGACCTTCACATTGCCCCAGCACAATATAATACTGCACTCGCACTCTACTTTGTGGCCTACGTGATCTTCGAAGTTCCAGCAAACGTAGGTTGCTCGTACATCATTTTGAATTCCATCTGATTCTCTATATAAGATCATGTAAGTATACATGCTTCCGCCCTTGAAGACTTGTACCCAACCCAACCAAACAGATTGAAACGGTTTGATCCTAGACTGTGGCTTCCGACCCTCACACTCGTATGGGGCATCGTAAGCATTGGCCAGGGTCTTGTCAAAAACAAGGCCGGGTTATTCGGAATTCGGTTTTGCATGTTTTACTTTCAGGCTCTTCTTGCTGTTCTTAACAACCATTTCTTCTAGTACTTGGAGTCACAGAGGCAGGACTGTTCCCTGGCGTAATATACGTATTTTCTGTGTATTATCGAAGGCATGAGCGTAGCTGGAGGGTTGCCATCTTTTTTGGAGGCGCTGCCCTAGCTGGCGCGTTTGGTGGTAAGGTGCTTTCTACAAAAATCATGACTGCATATCTTCAACCCCACTATTTCAGGTATTCTGGCGTATGCCATCGGCAAGATGAACGGTGTAGGTGGGAGGAAGGGATGGGAATGGTGCGGCTGGCAGTCATCTTATCATTTTTCATCTGACGTCGCGCTAGGATATTTATTCTGGAAGGAGCACTCACAGTGGCGGTATCACTCGTGGCGTACTTCATCGTCCCCACATGGTCGCACAAGGCAACATTCGTAAGGCGGTCGTTCCTTGACTCGCATGCCCTGTTCATCAATTGTTTAATAGTTAACGGAATCGGAAAGGAAACGCCTTTTGGCACGATTAGACGCAGACTCCGACGCCGCACTTATCGAGCGTTTTGAGTGGGTTTACGTACGTCAAGCCTTGACAGACCATCTAGTTTGGGCGTATGCTTTCCTATTCCACGGATTCGCCTTCGTTCTCTATTCTTTGAGTCTTTTTCTGGTAAACAAATTACTCGCATATTGTCAACCTCTAACACTCACGTTTTCCCCAGCCAACCATTATCGCAGGACTAGGGTTCCAAAGCTGGCAAGCACAACTGTATGTTACTCGTCTCGCTTGTCCAAGAGTTGAGCGCATAACGTGCGTATCAGTATGACCGTGCCACCAAACACGCTCGCTGCAATTTCAATTTGGACTACGGTCTGGCTGTCTTCACGCTTTAACAAGAGAGCCCCCTACATCATTGGATCTGCGGGTGTTGCAATAATAGGTAATAGTCTTGGCATTTTTTCTTTCTTTATTTGATTTTGCAACAGGATATATCATTCTTCTAACGACAAAGACGCGTATGGTTATTTAAATTTAAATTACTTGCGCTGGAGAGCTCACATTCATCCCTTCAAAGCGGGTGCACAATATGCCGGAGTACATTTTGCCGCTGCTGGTATCTACACAGGAAACGCCCTTCTTCTGAGGTATGTGGCATGCCTTTGATGGTGTTCGTCTACTGTATTTCTCACAAGCTTAGAACAGCTGGCCTGGAGAGAACGTCTCTGCTCAAACCAAGCGAGCCGTGGCGGTCGCTATGCAAATCACAATTGGTGATATCGGAGCAATCGCTGGGTGAGCAGTCACTTCATGGCCTATTCCCAACTTCTCAATACGTTGTGCACCCACCACTAGCGTTTTAATTTATAGGCCAAGTCTACAAGCACATCGTTTCCGAACGCCCCATATCATCGCAATTGGTTATCTTCTCTTTTCGGTGTTGGTAACCATATACCTATGGACTTGGATGAGTCGAGAGAACAAGAGGCGCGACCTCGTTCTAGCTCAGGAAGAAGGCGATGCCGAAGTTCTGACAAGTGCAGACAGACAACGATTGGGAGACAGGGACTTGCACTATAGATATGTGATTTGAGACTTTACGGGATTCTTTTTCATTGTACGCCAGATCTCGCTTGACTCGTACTCTTTCAGTTGTAAACGTCGTAAATGACATTATGTACAGTGACGAATGTGGATGGAATGACATGATAATGGACAGGCAAAAAGAGTTGTAAAAAAGAAATGCAAGTATCGAAATGCTAATAATGATGATGGTAATAGTGTGTGGTGGTGGTGATGCTAATGATGATGAATGAGGTCCTACAATTACGAATGGGAGCCCATAATGGCGCCCAATTATTAAATAAACTCTTGAAACCGTCACATGTGAGGAGGCATGGTGGAGTTCGAACTTATGTTGTTCTCCGCTTCTTGCTTCGGCGTGTAGTGTATTCCTCATCGTCGTCGTCACTGTAGTCCTCGACTGTGGGGTCAGGTTCGTTATATTTCAGTCGCTTCTCAGCTTCAATCTTTCGAAGAGAACGCAGATTCGTTCCCAAGGATTTCAAGAAGCTAGTCTTGGGTGAAAGATTAATAAGAATGGTGAAAGGAAAGGTGAGGCTAGCGAACCTTCCCAACCCGTATCTTTGTTCCTGGCTCTGCCGCCCTTTCTTGACGTCTCTTATATTCATTATACTGGTATTCATTGAAGATGGTGCATGGTTAATTTCAGAAGGAGGATAACGCACCTTCCGCTGCTCAGCCTTTAGCAATTCGGCCAGATTTTTGATCCATAATTGAAGACCGCTTGCTCGAAACTTTTTCTTCTCGTAACGATCTTCAATGTGCTCGCCATACGTAATGGTATCGTCGTCCGAGTCAGGAATCGCGTAGGAGTGAATACTGTTTGTTGTCGATCGTCGAAGACGTTTATGGCTCCGAGGAGTGGGGCGAGCCAAGGGGGAGTCGGATACATCATCTGGTGTACTCTCCTTCTTTATCTTGGTGTTGCTTAAAAGTTTTCTGGCCTGATCATTATTTGCGATGTAGTCATCCTCGTCCATGTAGAATTCAGCACCAGCTTCGATCCCATGAAAAAGGTAGAAGTTCTGGAGAAAATGATTGAGCGATGCAAAAATATTAAAATAATGGTGTCCTACTGGTGCTCTGCCAAGACGGGCAAGGATCTGGAAGTGTTTAAACGTTATTGGAACGTGTTGAGATAATGTATTGAACAAAGTTTTGTCTGTAGCCATTGTATAATTGTGAAGAAGCTGCACAACGACTATCAGATTGATTTAGTGGAGAAAGGCAACGTGTTCAACGTACGTGACAATTGTCGTTGATCACGGCGTGGGTCATGTAGATGGCGGAGATACTGCTCTTGACCCCAAACTGTGTTTTGACCCACTTGCCGACATGCACAGGGTCTTCGGGGGTTGGGTAAATTTTAGCTGATCAAGAAGGACAACGCGGCCATACCATGGGGGTAATGCAACTTTCCAGACAAATCAAAGGCTGTGGCTGAGTACATCAACCTGCGCCGGAGGCGAATCGGTGTGGCCTCATCGTGCCGAATCATCGTCGTGAGAGTTTCTTGTGTGATTGCACCCTAGATACGACTGTGGTGAGAACGCATTTTCTCAGAGAAGGAAAAAGAGGAAACGATGCATCCACGCATACACGGCAAAGCCTGGCGTGGACCTCATGTTCGGTTACCTCCTGGGTTGAAATATTACCCACCAATTCCGACCGTGAATCTCCCTCGTGGGTCTCAAAATCGAACATAAGGGCTGCAGCAGAGGCCTCGTTGATGTCCCCACCTCTATCTTCACCCACCAAATCCTCGTCTTCTTCCGGATCCACGTCATCCTTATCCCCTTCACTTGCCTCTGGCAACAAACTCTCTTTGGAATGCACCTCGCCAACTCCGAAGCGCAGAAAATCACGGGACAGCTTGGCGACGTATGTCCTGGACGCCAATCCATCTTCCCATGACGGCACATCTTCCACTCGTATCTGGTACTTCTCTAGCACGATTTTCATAATGATAGGTTGAAGATAGGGAAAACCATCGCAGAGTTTCTTGATGAACTTGCCCTACGAGAATGCTCAATGTCAGGAAAGAAGCTCATAAGCGACACGCACCTTGCAAGCCACCTCTAAACACTTGACAGCCACTTCCTCTACTAGTTGCCTTCTCTCCTTTGGACCCATACCCTTTGTACCTTCCTCGCTCACGCCTATCTCCTGACGCGCATAGTCAAGCAAATTGTGATACCTCTCCACGAATGGGTTGACAAGAATGTTGTACGCATCCTTCTTTGTGAGCGGCGTTAAGCCTAGATCCTCCAGTTTTGCATGAACAACGGAAGGGTCGGTGTGCAGATTTTCGGCCGACACAAAGACAGCAATAAGAATAACCAATCGAACTGTGGCGTCTGACGACTTGAACTCGGAGTATAGGTGTCGTAGGACATCCCCAATGGTTTCGCTACAAATGGCCCTAGTTGTGAGGAAAGTCTAACAAAGGTATTGGTCAAACCAGAGGGACCAGGTCGAAACAACGTAATTCCCACCTTGAGTAAATCTTCCACCAGGTTTCTTGTTGTATAAGACGAATAAGCACGAGAGACAGATATGCGTGGCAGCAACGCACGAGAGTGAGAATCGGAGGTGGCCAGATTTGTCCAGTTGCTTTAATGCACCATACCCAACATCGTTCGCCTTTGCCTCCATGCAAACCTCTGCGGCCACGGTCCGAGAGACAAACATGCTAAATTTCCGATAGTCAGGGCATGCATTACGCGTCAAGTTTTGAGCTTACGTAGGATCCAGCTTGCACAACTCTCTGATATTGTGCGCGATGTCGTCCGCCCGCGTTTCGCTCGAAGGAGAGGGGCGTTCAAACATCTTGCGAAACACGAAGTCTCGATACTGGATTTAGGAAGTGGTTAATATGGTCTTGTACGGACACAATAGCTACTCGCATACCTTATAATCCATATGAAAGCCATTAGCGACGGCATACGGAAGAAGTCTCGGTTCGATGGCCAGAGCTAGGGGAAATTGTGCCATAACTGGGTCCTATATATAGGTTAGATGCCGTAAACCCATGCTTAAACCAGAAGCGCCTACCCTGCTACAGAACGGGATAAACTTTAAAAAAAGGATCCGTTAAGTTCACGTGAGGATATCACAGCAGATGGGACGCACGTTAAATGTATCTAGAATTTCCTTGACGTTCTCCCAATTGACAGTTTTCATCTGGGGTGGGAATCTACTCTCCTTGAGGAAGGTCGTAAACACCGACCCGTCATCCTCCCCCTTTAACGCCTTCAGACCCAATAGCGGCGCATGCATTAGGAAAATACATACCTTGCCTCGAGGAATCTCTCCGTATTTATCCTCCGCGAGTTTAAGAAAGTAGACGAAGACGCGGAGGGGTACGTTGCGGACCCATGGAGTCTTGATGAAATGAGTTTGAGTATGAAAATAGTGGTGAATTGCAATTTGAATCAGATATCGGGAGAGGTGAGCGCCGCTTGACAGGAGAATCTAGGAGAAGAAAAGGTGAGAAAGTTCGCCACTAGGGTGGCATGGCATGTGTGTGTATAGGACACGGGTGAACGCACATCAAGCACGCGCTCTGTAATGAGTTTCCCTCGACCCAAGGCATAGTACATTGCCTCTGTAGGGCCGTAGTGGGTTAAAAAGTAGTGAGCGCGAACATAGGGATCTTGAGCGAAACGATGAAAGCGCCTGGCGACGAGGGTCAAAGCACTCGGGTCAGGAAGCTCATAGAAGATTAGCTGTAAGACCTCGTCTGGGTAGGCGTTTGAGCTGGTGGTGAAAGGAAGAGACAAAATAGCTCACCACAGAGGTGCTGCATGGTGACAGACGGCGGTGAAGCCGAGGAGACACGACGAGGAGACGGGTGTGGTGGGAGTGATTGGCGACGGTGGGTGGTTTGGATGAAAGCTGGGTGGTGGCCGTCTGAAGTTGTGAGATTCTCGTGACCAAATCGCTCAGAATCTCTCCATTTAGGCAAGATTTAGCACATTCTGAGATCGAGATCGGAGTTTGATTATTTTAGTCAATCGACTACCAAATGCGGAAATTAATCTAGAACCTCCGAATATAGTAACTCCTCCATATCTGCCATGCAAGCTTCCAATCTCTGACCACCAGTCTTGATTGAAATGCGTTAAAATTCGCCTTCTCAAGTCGCCCGAGATAGTTCGCTACCGTAACCTTAATTCAATCAGTAAAAACCGCGCGTAACGCCAAACCCCACTCACCCCAGAAAGAAAAACTGGCATCGCTCGAGCTGGCACTGAGCCCCCCATGCCCTCTTCCTTGAGCATATCTCGCGCCGTAATCAAATGATCGTTCGCAAGCGTCGCAAACTCAAATACCGCCTCTTCAATCCCGTGAGCTTCAGGTCCTCGCCGAAAAACCTCCTCCTGCTTCACTCCGTGCTTCGCCGTGATCTCAGCAGGAATGATCATCTCTCCTTTTTTCGCATGGTATGGGAGAGCACGGAGGAGCGTAGAAATCGTTTGTGCCGCGCCGAGGTGAGATGCGGCATGAGAGAGGGCAGACGAGCCCACCGAGAGCAGAGAAAGCAATAGGTAAAGCACCGTGCTTGACGTAGATTCAGCATGCGACGTTACCGAGTCTATTGTGAGGTGTGATGGCGTATGTAGCTCTGCGTCCTGTCCCCCAAAAGTTAGAGGCTGAAATTGTACCACCTGATCATCAGCTTACCCGTGCATCAATCATCCGTCTTAGATGGTATGCAGGTAGATTGGCGCGTTGAGAGGCCTCGTACAGCGCAAGCACAATCGGATGTTTCGGGGGTCTACCCTACGTCAGTGAATTCAGGACCCTTTTTTCGTTTAGGGCGTAAATACGCACATCAGCTATCGCCTTTAGAGCGTCTCTCCAAAAGACCATCCTCATCTGGCCAATCATCGCGTTTGACACGTTGTCTTGCACTGTCGCCAATTCGACCTATGTCCGTTGCCACAGTGCGGGCAAAACTCAGTTGATGGTCACGCGCAAGGGGGAAAACATACAGAAAAGGCCTTGATCGCGAAGTACCCATCTTGTGCAGCCTTGGGGTAGAAATGTGACACAAGAAACGATTCGTAGTCGTGTTTCCGAACGAAGTCCCTGCAGTACGCAGCTGGATTTGCCAGTCCAATGGTGGGATCGTTGCTCATGCTGCGTTTTAAGGAAAAATAAAGCGGCAAAGTTCCCCTTTTGAAGCATGTACCCCGAGGTATTCGTAGTGCCATGACTTGATGGAAGGAGTACTAGACTCGAACCGGTTTCCTTGGGAAAGTATCGTTACAAATGGATGGAACGTCGGAGGCAATTGACAAGTGGCGAGTTTTGAGAGGTGTCATGTGAGTGTTCATGACTACTTGTGTTGTGTCCAGATTCCGCTGGGTGCACATCTCGGCATATCGGTGCAATAATAGGTAGGATACATATATAAAAGTAGGGTTCAGATAAGGTTCAAATGTACAAGAAAGTTACAGTCAGAACAGACTACAGTTTCGGCCGCAGGCAGAACTTGGTCGTGGTGGAGAAATTTACAGTAATCAAAATGTGCAGATCGAGAGCAAATGGATAAAGAGAAAGTGGGCAATGACGGTGGTAGGCAAGAGATAGTGCGTTTGATCAGTCGTGATAGTCGTTACCGTTGACGCCGACATCGCATTTACGATGCCGTTTAGAACTTAAGTCCCCGTTGAAGACCCTAGACCGAGATGAGCCAGATAAGACTCGTGTAAAACAGGGTCACTTACATTCTCTCCCGTACGCCTCGCACGGCGGCGCCGGGCAAAGAGAACGCCACCAAGGAGGAGACCCAAAACTAAGACAACCCCAAGAACTATGGCGGTTATTGCCCATGCGTGTATCGACGAGGATGCAGAAGAGTGGTGGGTTGTCGAGGCGGCTTGAAGAGGCGTTTGAGTGTACCCAGGAAGGGCAGCAACGCTTGTCACGGATGAATTGTATGCGATGAAATCAATCCCGAGCGCTCTAGGCGATGTGATGCTCGTGACGTTTACAAATAGTGTATGATTTCCCGCCTGCAGGTCAGCATGGAAGAGCTGCGTCATGGGTACGGAGTCGAATGATCCCTGGGGAACGAATTGTGTTGTCGAATTTCCATCGATAGAGTAAGTTGCTGAAATATTCCCGCCCGCTGAGATATTGGAAAAAAGACCAAAAACAGAAATGGAAGTTCCTGAGACGACATGAGCTTCTTTGACCGTGTGGAAAGCATCAGAAACACGAACCTGTGAACTTAAATTCAAGAGTATCGCCAACTGCGGAACTCCAGTGCGTTGTATTTTTATACAGAGAGGTTGAGTAATCAAAAGAAAGTGGATGGGGTGGATTGGTGGTCCAACCAGCGCTATATTGAATGGCAGAGTCGGAATCGTCAACGATCAATGTGCTTCCATTCAATGGGGTTGAGGGACCTGCATCCACGGTGAGGTAGTCGAAGACAGGAACAAGGCTGACATTGCCAATGGCATAAGTGACTGTGTGGCGCCCGTCGGCCAGAACGGGGGAGTCATAATGACCGTTTCCAGGTTGAGCGACGAAATGACCATCGTCAAGCTTTACAGAGACGTTCTGAGTGGGGTGAGCGACGGAGGCAGCGATGTGAACGCCCGTGCCTATGTTTCGCGTTGAGCCAGGAGCAGAAGTCAAATAGGAGAACAACGCACCGTAAAAGACGTATTCAAACCATCCATTGCTGCAATCAGCGCTCTGAATGGTGGTCCATGTATTGTTGGAATAAGAGCCAGCGACAACCTGCTTCAGCGAAGGGCAGAGATAATTGATGCGGCTGTCTTGATCATCGACGAGGACTGTGATATTTTGTGACATTGTGGATATGAAACGCAATCGAAAGGAAAGGAAGGTCAGCTGAAAAGCTGTTCAGATGATAAAGAAAGTGAGCGCGGAAAAGAGAAACAGGCGCGGGTGAAAACTGCCTGGGAGTTATGATTCTGTTGAATGGAGAATCAGGGACCGGATGCAGGGATATTGTTTCCGCTTGGCATTCGACGTCGATGTGAAACGTCTTCCGCTGCTGCCTCGAAAAGGCATTGCTTCGTGAGTACAAAAGGCCTTGTTATACTTAGTAAATTTCTTGTGCAATCCAAGCGCCTGATAAGTCGACATTTCAGTTTACAAGTAGAGGAGCATTTGAATGGTCCAGCGGAAGAAACACTGTTCGTGTTATCACGGGTTGCCAAGACCATCTCGAAGCCTCATGCACGTTTCGCGGTCCTCTCGGCCTATTTGGTTTTGGTGGGCGCCGCCAAATAAACGATATGGCTCTCACCAGGTCCGGGCTACAAAAAGATGTTTTATCACTGTATAGACGGCAAGAGCTCAATCAATGTCGTTTGGGTCGACACTAATTCTAATATAGGGCACTCCGGATGGTGAGGACGAAACCTCCATTAACACAGCCAAAATTTCTTCTTGTTCTTCGGTACACATTCCACGCCAATGCATCAGCCATATCTCCTCGAAACGTGAGCGCTATTGAACATCTTCTTCGAAAGGGTACTAGGCAAATCGAGATGTACGAAGACGATGCGGTCAAGGATGTTTGGGTTTCATCGGAAATGCTTCAATGGCAAGACAGGTGGAAAACAAGGGAAGGCGCGAGCCCGCAGGCAACACTCATAGAGAGACTTTCAGATGGAGGCCTGGGAAATTAATATCATGGTTATCCAGTCGCGACGGCATTGAATAGCGCTCCATTTGTCTAGGCTTTTACCTCCTCCTCTTGCTTTACCTCCTCCTGTACAGCGGTCTTTCGTAGCAGCCGTCTCCGATGCCTAATCTCAACCTTCTTCGCCCTATACTTCTCTGCTGCCTCCTCAAGCTCAGTGTTTTGCAGTTCTAACAACACACGGTCATCTTGCTTGTCCTTTTCTTCTTCAAATAGTTTGAGGGCTTCGAGGTATGCCCGACGCCTTTCGTTAATCACCGCCTTAATTCGTCCCATAGTTTTGAGGCACTTGTAAGCTGAGTAAGAAAGACACAGCGCATGATTGAAAGTGTAACAAGACTTACGCTGTGTACCTTGTCTTGCGATACCTGCATGGGTTCATATGTAACCCCCAGTCGCCTGACTTCCTCCTTCTGCGTAGCTAGCAGATTCTTCTCCCTCAACGACACGTACCATAACGTATGAAGGTCTTTGAAGCTCTTCAATCGTAGTTCTGAAGCCTTCCAGGCCCTTCCTAACCACCATTTTGAGTACCGAACGTGTCGTAAACCTCCAAGGAGAGCTTACCCGTCATGACTTGACCACTATCCGGGGACTCGAAAGTTTCATATTTTGCATCTCCCACAAGGTCATCGCCGCTTTTTCTTCTGAAAAACGCGTAAAGACCGTGATCCTCTCGAACTGGTATTCTCTGGAAGGGGTTGGAGTGACCATTCGTAGAAACATCGTTGTTGGGGGAGGTTGACGGCGTATTTTGTTCTACTGAAACAATTTCCGCAAACGAGCGAGCGGGAACTCTATTAATGCGCCTGGCAGCTGTTCTGGCCAGTGATAGCATCGGCGTGAATTGGGGGATTGAGTTGAGAAATTCCTGTTATTTGGCTTGTTTCCAGTTGCCAAACAGTCACTTCGTGCAAGCCACGGACTCGCGATTCACAAAGTTCTAGGATGCAGGCAACCGGACCTTCACCGGACCTGAGTACTGGTCTACATATGAAACTGTATTCCTTTACAGAAAACGTCGCTGTTCTTGAATTATACTCCACTGTCTGATATGACATTTTCGTTTTCGGTACGTTTCGCTGCCTTCTTTTCCAACTTATTCCATTCTTCCTGTAGATGCGCTTTGAGTGTAGGCATGTTCTTCTGATGTGAATGGCACCGGAAACAAGATAGGTCTTCCTTCAAGATTGGATCATATTCACTGGCTTTTAGTGTCGCCATCTGCATCCCAAGTTTAGCATGGGTTGTCGACAGATGATCAAGGATAATCATACGCTAGAAAAGAATCCAGGATCTGCATCAAACCAGGACAGTACTTCATCAACGTCGAGGAAAAAGCCTAATTTTGGATGGAAAGAGTTGTAATGCTTCTTGTTTTTCATCTTCTCTGAACAAAGATCTGCGGAGAGGACGTGCAGATGTAGATGTCTACCATTACTGTCGTTAGACCGCGTTCAGATTGGATTATGGGGACACCTACTCCATTGATGGCGCTGCATGAAACCCAGTCCAGATACCCCACTTGAATCCATAACGTTGCATCATTTCCGCTTCAATATCTTGCTTGAGAGCCGCAGCATCTTCCTTCAATGCAAGGATCACTTCTTTCGCTGTGTCTTTGTCGCATTTCAGCAACGACTTGAGACTGCTGAGCTCTGAGACGGTTAAGGAGGACTCTGTGACGCGAGGAAGGATGAGGAAATGAAAGATTGATTTAGGAAAAGCATCAAAGAGTGTAAGAGACTTTGCGGAATGGTGGAAGAGAACAGAGGGAGGTAAGCTCGCTGGATCCTTCAGCGCGTAGGTTCGTAATATGCCCAAGTTAGCCATTATTGCAGTATGTCAGTGTCAAGTTGAGGGTCAGGCCTTCAGGGTTAATCATAATGAGTCATATACGAGTGCGTCCTTGAGGTCATAAGTAAAACAAATTCTTTACGGGCAAGCACCAAGAAAATGAAGCACATCTCAGCCTTACTTGGGCTTGAATAAGGTGTCGAAATCCATGACCATCGTAAGGGGTTACACGCGTTCAAGATCTGACCCAAGTCCAGCTGGCACCACAGAGTCTAAATTTTGCGCGTCGACTGCTTTCTTCACATCGGTCTATGTTCCAAAAATACGTTGGCATCGTGCAGACACGCGTCCCTCACGTTTTTCCCAACTGGCGGTGTAGGAAATCACACTTTCGTACAAGACTGAATTGCAAAGTCATTTGACAGCGTAGGTTAGCCAAATCGTAGAACCGAACCCAGATTTAAACTCTTCATGGTGTGAAGCAGAGTGCGTCAGAGAAATGAATAGGATAGCGCGTCGTACATGGATCCCTGTGATATCTAACAATTACTTTTGGTATGACCACACATTGCGGAGAACTAATAACAACGTCAATAGAACGAAAGACAATGAAAGTATACATCACACTCACGTCCTGCTTTTGTGGCCAGTCGGTTGATTGAGTCATCGCTCTCTCCCTGAGATCTAACCTGACCACATAGCGCGAAAGTTGTTGAGGTGCTCAAGGCGCGGCCGTTGGCGTCGACGTCGACAATGCTAAGTTGCACAGAGGCATGATCCTTCGAAGTGATCAATCGGTCTGAAGATTTATTACTTTCAGTCGGAGATGGGGTGAACGGTTTGAAACGCACTGGTCGCCGCGCACTTGCGGGGAACATAGAGATCGACGAGAATGCCCTGTATAAAGGATACAATTTTCAGCTGTTGCACTGAATTTCAAAATCGCAACACTGACTGAGTCGTTTTCCATCTTGTTGTTGAAGAATACTTGAGGTGATGATTGGTGCACTTACTCAAAGCGTGGGAGACCTTGCCGAAAACTATACAGTTCTGGACGCTGTTGCAGCACATATACAAACAGATAACACTGCCACTATCTAGTGTTCACTTTCAATGCCTTGGATATACATAGTTGAAACCCTCATAAACCATACCCTATTGGTTATGGGTTGCATGGAGTTGGTAATTAAAAAAAGCGCTCATGAAAGTCATCTTCTTCCTTGCAATATTCACGCTTGACTGAAAGGCAATAATCAGTGCCGTCTGTGCAAGTCATTATCAATACATTTCTCTTCAGTTGTGTTGGCTCCACAATTGAGCAGATATTGATCTAGGAGGAGGGGCATTGTGGGTCGATTCTACCGCGTTTGGGGGAGATACTTAAGGTGAAAACTGCTGAGAGATGACTTGAAGTACGTGAACCAAGGTACGACTTCACATATATCGAAGTCTGTCTACGAGAGACTAGACTTGAAGGCTGAATCGGGGTGTGTAACGGGGTCACGTCCGCTACACCACAATGATGTGACAAGTCGCGTCCTAAGTCGTGACTCCACTACCGAGTGCCATCTTCATCATGGCGCACTTGAACAAACTCGCAATTCGCGGGATACGATCGTTTGACGACAAACAGATATCTGTTATCGAATTCTTTTCACCTGTCACTGTTATTGTTGGCCATAATGGAAGCGGAAAGACCACCATCATTGAATGTCTGAAGTATGCGACCACCGGTGACCAGCCTCCCAATACTCGTGGTGGTGCTTTCATCCACGATCCAAAAATGGCAAATGAGAAGGAGGTCAAGGCTCAGGTTAAGTTGCGCTTTCATGCAGCCAACGGGAACCGCATGCTAGCTGTGAGGAACTTGAGCGTGACAGTTAAGAAGAACGCCGGGTTGACCATGAAAACGCTGGAGAGCATATTAGCCTTGGCCGATGGTACTGGGGAAAAGGGTGGAAAGGTAAGTGAGCGTTTCTCTGTCAATCATTACACACCCTTTAACGCTGGGTGCGGCAGCGAGCGGTAATATCCACCAAGTGTGCAGAGATGGACGCTGAAATTCCTCACCTTCTTGGAGTGTCTAAGGCTGTTCTTGAGAATGTCATTTTTTGTCACCAAGAAGATTCTTACTGGCCACTTGCCGAACCATCTGCTCTTAAGAAAAAGTTTGACGATATCTTTGAGGCAACGAGGTATGATCTATATGAAAGGCCCAAAACCATTTATAATCCTTCGAGCAGATATACGAAAGCATTGGACTCGATTAAAAACCTTCGCAAGGAACGGGTAGCGGAGCTCAAGACAGAGAAAGAACGGCTAATTGGGCTTTCGCGCGAAAAGTCGCATGCTGATAAGCTCAAGGGTCGCATTCTCGATATCAACACTGCCATTGCTGGGAAGGAGGTCGAATACGATGAGACTAAGCAACAGTACGATGCCCAGGTGGAAGCGAATCAGAAATTCTACGATTATGCCACCAAATTCCGTGAATTGTATATCAAGATTGAGAATCTTCAAGGAACAAAACTTCGCATGGAAAACGATCTAAATGAGGCGAAGCTGAGTTTAACGGAAATTCCAGGTACGTAGGCGTGTGCACTTTCGTCTTTTGTTTACACGTCACCAGGGACCGATGACGAACTCAATTCGCGTTTACAACACTTCGACGACCATATTAACTCCCAAAAGCAGAAGAAAAAATCAGAGAATGACAAAAAGCTTGATCTGGAAGACGAGCTGACGGCTGTCAGACAACAGCACACCGATCTAGTTGCACATCATGGACGTTTGATCGCAGAGGCAGAGGTCGGTCCTCACGTTATTTTTTGGCAAACTGAGTTGACCCTGTCACCGATTTACAGCAACAAAAGACCCGTATCGCAGACCGAGAACAATTCATACACGAGACTGGAGACAAACACGGCATTAAAGGATACCAATACTCACCGCTCGAAAGGGAAAAAGTGGTTGAATTTCTTTCTAGGCTCGGTGATGTCCAGCGTAAGCAAAAGGCAGAGTTTGAGAAGTTTCAGGTGCGCATCTATAATGCAATGGTATGTTTCTTATAACTGTCCGTTTTTCCAGAGTGATCTTAGGAGCAAAACTGAACAATACAATCGCCAAACCATGGAACTCACTCAAGAACTGCAAAGCCACAAGATGCGCAAGGAGAACTTACGTACTCGCGTTGTATGTTTTACTTACTTTTCCTTTTCAACACAATTTTGACCCTCATCAAGGCAGAGTTACAATCTTCAATCAATTCTGCAGAACGTCGCCTTGAAGATCAGCAAACATTATCGTCCGATCTACGTACTCTACAAGGGGACGTCGAAGAAAAGAAGACTCGTGTTGAGAAACTCAAGAATGACATTCGTTCGGCAGATTACGATGCACGTTTAGCCGAGAAGACAGAGAAAGCAAGATCGTTGGAAGAAGAGCGGGAAAATCTAAGCGGAGAGATTCGCAAGTTGAGCTTGCAGGCTGATTCAAGGGCCAAGTTGGACCTGACGAGAAAAGAAATCAAGAGCAAGAACACGGAGATTAAGACAGTGTGAGCATGGCAATAGGAGGTGGCTAACTTGTACTGAAATGAACGATAATTAGCCTCGACACTGCCAATATCAAATTCCGCAAACTCGCGGAAAGAGACTTAACCCTGGAGACGATTGAGCATGATATAGATGCACTCCTTCTGTATGCTTTTCTTGTTCTCAATCCCATTTATGTTGAGGCTAATTTAATGCGATAGCGAAAAGGAAGGAAGCCAGGCTGATTTGGAGAGCAACGTCACTGCTGCTAATGCTAACCTCCAAAAGTCAAGTGCAACATTGACGAACCTGAAAGAACAACTTAAGACGAAAAAAGCTGAGTTGAAGGGTGAGGAGCAATCTTGCGTTCATCTGTCCATCTTACGTGGCTTTTACAGCCTTGGAACGAAAACTGAAGGATGGTTTCGAACACGGGACCCTCCAGGAAGCACTCAAAGAAGCTAACGACGAATATAATCATAGAAAAGAGTGAATGAATTTCTCTCTTCGTTGACATGTCTAGGCTGATATCATTGGACTGTCAGTCTGGCAGGTACTATGCTCGGTACTAGCTCGGTCTACAAGTCTCTTCTTAAAGCTGGACAGCAAAAGAAGTCTTGTACTGTTTGTAACCGTCATCTCAACGATCAGGAGATTGTTGTTTTCGAGAAATACGTACGTTCCAAGCCTCACGAACGGATTTATGGGCTCAGAGCACGCCTTGCAGCTCAATGACATGATGAAGAAAACGTCGGACAAGGCCATCGACCACAACAAGGCTGAACTGGCTGAGTGGGAAGGTGAACTCGCGAGACTGCAAAGCCTCACGCCAGTACAGGCTACACGAGACCAGCTTAAGGCGAAAGAGTTGCCCGCTATGGAGGAAGAGATCAAGCGCCTCGAAACAGACCATCCAGCCATAAGTAGTCGTGCCGAGGAAGTGGGTGTATTCACCGTTGTATATCGCTCTCAGGCTCATGTCTTTTCCTTCTTAGGCTGTCGATGAACTGGAAACCGTCAAACGACAGCTGAAGGATGTTCTCACCCTCAAACAACACGCATTGACAGTGTCCCGACTACAGAAGGAAATCAAAAGGGCAGAAGAAATTGCGAGTGACATCGAGCGAACCCTAGCTGCCACAGGAACAACAAAAACTACGGATGACATCCAATTGGAACTTGACGCGGTCGTCAAAGAGTTGTAAGCTACACATTTACTAACAGCCTCCACGTGAGCTAACGAAACATCCAGACGTCAGGTTACTTTAGACAGGGGGAGTATCACAGCAGAGCGTGATCGCCAGAATAACGTTGTTCGCACGCATGAAACGAGCCTACACCAAATGGAACTGAAGGAACGCGACTTGCTTAGCGAAATCCGGGAAAAGAACAACCTCGAGGAACAGGCTATGAAAATGAAAAGTGACGTTATCTTATTCACAGCACAGTTGAAGGTAAGCAAGCGGCTATTTTCTGAGATCGATCCTGACCGACCTGCCCAGGACATTGATGGGAAGATTTTGGAGGCCGAAGCACCTATTGAAGCTCTTCAAAATGAGCAACGCGAAGTCTTGGCGGACATCAACTCCAAGATTTCCCATGCTCAGCGGCTTTCACAGGAATTGAATATCAGTGTGGACAAGCTCCAATCAATGAACAAAAGTGTCGAGAGGTGCGCACTGTCTCTTCTCGCAATTACGTTGGACATGTAGTGTAACTTTTCGTCTAGGTATGTGAAGGAGAAGCGAGGTCGGGATTTGGAAGAGTGCGGAGCCAAAATTGAGAACTCCAATGCAGAAATTGTAGAATTGACCGAAAAAATCGACGCCATCCGGGAAGTTGTTGGAAACCTTGAAAAGGAGATCAACGAGAGTGGTGCATCTGTGGCGAGTTTAAGAGAGAACCTCCGTATACGCAAGCTCGCGAAGGATATTCAAAATACACAGACTGAGATCGACTCCTGCGACATGGAAGAAGCTGCTAAGGCGCGGAGGAACTTTGCCAATCAGTGGGGACCTGCCAAAGAGAAAGAAAATGAACTTCACACTGCTGCGAGTTTAAACCCCCTTCTCAAAGCACGAGCTTGACTGATTCAGTGGTTTAGTACAACCACCTAGCAGGAGAACTTAGCTCACAGAAGTCGCAGCTAAGGTCCTTGGAAAATGATTTCAAGGAGTTCAAAGACATCAACAAGAAATACACGGAACAACTCGTCAGGGTGAAGGTATAACTAATTTAACATCCGTTGCACGTTGATTTTGACTTCCGACTCTCAAGGTGTCTGACATGGCGAACAGCGATCTGGAGAAGTATGCCAAGGCTCTTGATAAGTAAGCCTTGGTCTTGAAGATCTGCTTTCGGGGTTTCATTTGGTCTCCACAGTGCCATCATGAAGTACCACGGTCTCAAAATGGAAGAAGTCAACGATACCATGAAACACCTGTGGAATAAAACGTATCAGGGCACTGGTATGAGCTTTATTTAGTTTATGAATCTTCGCTCATAGCACCCCCAGATATTGATGGGATTAAAATTCGTTCTGACGTCGAGGGTGGTGCGTCAAAAAGATCGTATAATTACCGAGTGCGTGTTCGTTTCAACCTGTCTTTCTGTTCGGATGTTGATCGCGGCCTAATCCAGGTCGTCATGACCAAAGATCAGGTTGAGATGGATATGCGCGGGCGCTGCTCGGCTGGTCAAAAAATGCTGGCTTCGATCATCATTCGTCTAGCTCTGTCAGACTCCTTCGGCCAGAATTGCGGCATTCTCGCTTTGGATGAACCCACTAATGCCTTGGACACCGAGAACATTGATGCTCTTGCAGCCAGTCTTGTAGAGTATGTATTCCGTGTTTTTCTTCGTTTTGACATTCCTCATCCGGAGTACAACAGTATCATCAATGAAAGAAAAAGTCACTCGAATTTCCAGCTCATCATCATTACGCACGATGAGAATTTCCTTCGAAAGCTCGGTCGAAGCGACGTGATGGAATATTATTGGTATGGTCAATCAAATTGCATCAGCTGCCGTGTCTGAAATTTCCCTTCGCTCTAGGCGCGTTTCTAGAGATTCTAGACAGAAATCCGTGATCGAACGGCAGCGATTCAGGTAACGCTACGGAACGTGCTCAAACTGCAGGACGAGGGCTTATCTGACTCGTGTGAGATGATCATCATCCTTTTTGAACGCTTGAAGGCATGCACAATTCATCTTACTATTGACGACCCTCTGGAAGGGACCTGTATTTATTTTTTGCGCAACAATGTTTTCATACACGTTCAAGTCAGCGATCCTTGCATTATTTAAACATCAACAGATTCCACCACACACAGGACACAAAGGAAAGTTATGACGTGACGCTGGCATTCTCAGTGTGGTTTGGCAGGCGAGGGAACTACTCAACGCAGTTTTTATTGTACATAAGCAAAGCACTCCCATCATGTAGTCAAGAGCCAAGGTACCAATGAAAGATATGTGATGACAGCCTGATCAGGTCAAGCATGGCGAGATTCCCTTTGAAACTTTCGATCACTGTCGTTGACCTGAATGCACTGACTTCCTCCACGACTTCACGAGATGACTAGTCAAGCATTTTGCGAGTTACTGATCCCCAAACAGCCTCTTCCTGTGGCAAAGTCTATTGTCAGGTAATGTGACAGAAAGTAAAAGGGTCCATACAATCGCGTTGGAGCTTCGCTAAAGAAAGTGGGGCCGCCGATCATCTCGCGCGTCCACACATCGCGCATAAACCACCCAACATGCCCAACGGCACATCCAATGAGATCACTTGCTGCAGCCTTGATGGAGCCGCTGAGTACCCAGGAAAAGGCAACGAGGGCAATGGGAAGATAGGGCGCTGTTATCGTTATCAAGCCGAATAGCGAGATGGGTGTTGACGGATGCCGTCGTGACCATAGGTAGATGGGGACAAATGCGAGTGAGGAGGAAAGGAAGGGCAGGTTGAAGAGAGGTGAAAGGGCCTTTCAAAAGAGAGAGACGTTTAGATGTGTGTGTTTGAAAGTTGCCTTGAGAACTCACGAGCAGCATGATGGAAGAGAGCAATAGCAACCAGAAATAATCTGCTTTCTTGTTCGCGAAAGAAGATTCCTCCAACATTCGACTATATCGCATGCTAAAAAAGGAAAACCGATAAGACAAGGAAAAACAATGTGAGATGGAACACACAAAAAGAATAGATGGAAGACGAAATCAAGGGATATGGATCCAAAGTAGAAGAACGTTGTTACAGCGCGCCATGGCTGCCGTTTGAAGTTGCTTAGTTTGTGAAGACGTCAAAGCCAGCCGCGCGCGTACCTGCACGTTTATGAAGGCGCTCCTAGGGCTGTAGTATAGCTGCAGAGGAGTAACGAGCTGACATTGCTGCAAACAAAAGACATGTTACGCGTGAATAAACGAGGAATCGAGTGGGACGTACGACGGCCAGACTGATGAGTACAGATAATGCGAGCCATGCGCGAGTAATTGGGGGTATCTGCGTGATCCAAGCTTCTATTCCAACGGGCATGAGAGTATGAATTAAATTACAAGTCCTCTGCCACTGCTAATCGCCACGACACCACTGAACTGTATGCGGTCATTTGTTTGTTACAGATCATAGATTTATATACGAGAAAATACTGAACAAATATCAAGATAATATTAAGCATAGAAGCGACCTGCGCGGTGTATATGTCCTCATCAACTAAATAGCCAGTGGCTTGAAGCTCGACGGTGCAGCCTTGGAGGGCCGAGGGCCCTTTTTGGCAATAGCTGCTGCCGCAGCTGCGTTCTCCGCCTCTTGCTTGGCCGCACGCAGAGCGGCACTGCGGTTCGTTCGAGGTGCAATTGTGGGAGCACCTAGTGCGCTGCTGGGCCGTGGTCGAGGCTTAATCGGGGCATTATCTGAGGTGGTGGTAGCCTTATTTCCAGTGGCCTTGGAAAGGGAGGCAGAGGCTCTGAGTGGTTGCGGGGTGGGTCTGATGGCTGCTACTGATGATGCACGTGGAACGGCATAGCGTGAGGGTGCTACGGAGGTAGACGCCTGTGAAGCTGGACGGGGAGGTGGCTGGGTTTGGGAGCTCAAGGCATCCGAGGACGATGTTCGAGAGAGACCAGGAAGTTTAGGTGCCGCGGGTCCACGAACTGTAAAGAAAGTATGATGGCCTGCGTCGTGACAATCAATGAATGATTAAACTTACACATAAACGAGGTAGGAGGAACTTGTTCCTTCTGTACGCGTAGCGCAGCGCTCTTATTTAATCTCGGTGCGACGGTAGGCGCTTTCACAGACGCAACAGCGATAGATTCTCGCCGCTTATGCCCTGGTACACCTTCAAAAGTTGATTTTTTTGTCTCTTCGTTCGTCACTGCTCGCCTTCTTATAGCCGGCGGTGCCGGGGTTTGACCAAGTCTCAACGAAGCCGCGCGGGTCATGCGAGGAGCAATGGCAGGCGCAGCAGTCGACGCAACTGAAATAGTTTCTCGGCGCTTATGACCAGGAACGTTCGCAAACGTCTGTGCGAGCCGTTCTTTGCTGACTGGGCCGCGTGGTGCAACAGGGACCTTGTCGACCGCCAGCCCCGCTCTTAGCGCCGCAGCGCGTGTAGTGCGGGGAACGATGTCGGGCTTATCATTTGTAGCGGGAATTGGACGTGCACGGAAGAGAACTTTGCCGTTCGCGTCCTTTAAGGTACTCCCATTGACGGTAGACCCATTCGATCGAGCGTAGCCTTCATCAGACACCGTATTGCGCACATTGGACAGGAACGAAGAGGAAACAGACCTCATCGATCCGTAACGGTCGTCCGGCAATTCGGTGGTGGGGAAAGGTGGGGACGACGCAAACAGCGCTGAGATCTGAATTTCCGCTGTTTGGGTATCGGGGGACCCCATGAGGCCGTTTTGAGCTAAAGAGTTGCCATAGAGCGCGCGAAGCGAGTTGGGTGCTTCTTGACGCGAAAATTCGGGGTCTCTGTCTCCCATAAGCGTATTCCAAACTTCTACCGCCCGACGGCGTTCCAGAACATATACCCAGACAGGGCCTCTACAATGCAGACATCAGTGAGGGTGATGTACAACCCTTTGTGAAACTCACTCTGCCAAAGACTCTGCGTCCTCGCCGAACAGTTCGTACAATGTGTCTGGATCCGTCTCTGTATCGAATTCCATCTGCCTCTCTTTCACGATCTAAGCACACAATCAGCCTCACTAGCGCCTCTTTAAGCGAGAAAGTCGCGCCAACCTCAAAGCTTGCTTCCTGGATACGGCGCTCAATGTCGAACCTGTGATGGAGCGCATGAGTCTTGATGATGGCGACTGTGCGCGTTATCGGGGAGAGTGAAGAGATTGGACTTTGCACTGGTTCCGGGGATGGGGTAGCCCGGGTGGGGGGTAGAAGATCATGTTCTTCGGGGTAATGAGCGTCGGGATTTGTGGGGGATGTGGACATTTAAGTAGGGTAGTAACCGGGGTATGGACTATTCACAAAGAAGTATAGAAAAATGAAGAAAAAGAGTAGAAAAGGCTGTAAAGGCAAGCCTCGAGAAGAAGAAAATAGGGTGTACAGGTAACAGCCGGCGATGGCTAGCCCTTGCAAGACTTGGTTGAATGTTGAACGAGATACTTCTAATTTCGGCTGTCTCTCTGATCAACTAAACTCAACTATTGCCACCGAGTCTTGACATATGCCCTCGTAAATGCAATAAGTATTGCTCAATAATATATGTGGGTACATTACAATGCAAGTAATGAATACAATGTGCAGTTTATCTAAATATTCCGTGTTCCAACACAACCAAAATGCCATACCAGTTGGTATTATGAGCCACTCCACCACTTTCCAATCTTTGCAGAACTATATCGTAGGCTCTTCCCGATCCCGGCGCTCACAATGCCCTTGAATGATTGTAATGTCGCAGGGTATCGGACAATTTTGCCCATTTCTAAAGAGTTCCTTGTCAGCATCTAGACTTGAGAGAGAGTAGAAAACAAACCTGCTGACAGAACACTCGGCAATCTCTCATCACCTGCCAGTTTCACCCAATACGCAGATTCATCCGCCTCAAGCTCTGGATCCGAAGCATAGTTGTTCTTCACGCCTGCCAACAAATTCGATGGAAGTTTCTTCAGATGAGCCGAACGCGCACGAGGGCTGACGTCTTGCTTGATGGTGGTCAAATGAACAGGCCAATGAACGCCTGGTAGCCCCACCACCAGGCGATGATACAACTCCTTAAACTGCGGACTCTGCTTGCGCACGATGTTCCCCACCTTTCCTCTGTTCTCCGCCGGCAGCATCATCCGTGGGTCACCAGTATAGCTTATCCCTGCTATACGTTCAAAGAGCTCTACCTCAGAAAACTCTTCCGGGAGCGTGAGAAGGGCTGCACGAATAGCAGAAGTCAGGTTGACTTGTTGTGTCAATCGCACACGAGCGTCGTCTTTGATTATCCGAAGGGGCTTGTGCATGCGACCAGCGAGATAAAGTGTCCGCCAATTGAGTAAATCGGAGCATAGATTATCTATAGTCGTTACACCGTACTTGATCATCTGCGAGAGAAAGGTCAGGGGGGTGGGGTAACTCGAAATTTAACGACATACCACTCCATTGACGGGAACATATGCATTGAACCACACGCCCGGCCCCATCTCTTCAACTTTTGACACATAAGACGAACCTAACATCCGAGCATGTAGCGGGTAGTGGCTGGGATTCTGATGCATGTTAATGGAATGGAAGTGTGCTGGGTGTGTCACCGCAAACATAAAGTCAAGCATCGGCGCGCCAGGACCCACAAGTGCTTCAGCTGGCGATGACGCGACGTATCCATCCTGCTCAAAAACGCCCGAACCGTAGGCAAACGCGTAACGGATGGGTGCGTCGAATCTGTCTACGATTGACTCGAGCAGAGCTCGGGTGGAACTTGAAACCGGCAAGAGCTGGTTGCGACCAAACCTTGGAGGCAGCTTTGGAAGGGTAGAATTCGGATTATATTCTGCAGTCCGTGGATGGGGGTAGAGACGAGGTTTTGTAGTCTTTTGTGGGTATTTCTGTGGTGGCACGAGGGGAAGGTCAGGCAGCGGAGACGAGACATGTTCCGTGGCCAGTGAACGAGTGAGAATGAATGGCAAAGAGCTAGCGGATCTTTGGCGAACTACAGCGGGCAACATGATAGCGGCGAAAAGAATGGAATACTTTGTAGTGTGCTAGTCGTAGTAGACAAGTCTAAAATAGGGTGCTACAAATTGGCTACAAATAAAAGCATATCTCCTCTTCCTTTTGCCGAACTCTGCTGCTTACGAAACAGCGTCAGCTACAACACTGGATGCTCGGCTTCTGTCCGCTTCACGACGCCGTGACTGCGCGTACCCAAGGCTGACAGCTCGCCCTCCAACCTGCCGGTAGCTGCCTTTGACCACAGTAACCTTCTCATCCGATGCATTCTTTCGTTCGCCTCCCAGACCCCCTAGCGCCCAACCAACTTCAATTCCACATTTGATGCTCCACAACCATGCAACAACAAAAACAGGGGTGCTGATCAGTACGTTCAGCACCGAGAACAGGTCTGGGTATCGTGCTGGGGGCGTTATGACCCATTCTAGCACATGTAAAGCGATCGCAGCAGCATAAGCACCCTAAAAAGATTGAGACACCAAAAAATATTTTTGAGGGTCATAAAACTTACCATGGAGATGAACTGGATAAATGATTTCGGTGGTAATCTTACGGGATTGTACCCAATAACCCTGTTCCACAGCAGCAATGTCGCAATGTATTGGACGGCTAAACCATCCCTCTTCAAAAGTGGCCACATGCTTAGAAAGTCACATCAGATAATAAGGGGCGAGGGAAGGAATTAACACACACACCTGAAGACAGCCACATTATTGACCAAAATGCCCCAGGAATACACGGGTGAATCAACCGGCGCTCCTGATAAAAGGAGTGTGACAGGCATGAGCGCCAGTAGTATCGACTTCTCGTGCACTTGGAATGAGAACAAGAAGAATGACAGCGAGGATGTAAGCAGCGCGTATGGCAATAGCGGAAGGAATGGTGTATGGGACAGCTTTTCTTTCCTTTGTACAGAGTCCTCAATTGAAGCCATGTATAACTTGATCCCAGCTCGAAGAAGCACTACAACACTTGGCAAAAAGCCAAGCGCCGTCAACAAAGTTGATAGCTTGAGCAAGAAATATGTAGACGCCCAATGCTTCCATCTGAAAACCACATTCGACGCACACCAGAAGTTGGCCACCTTATCCTCAAACAAACCACGCGAGAATGGAAATATTCGGGAGATTGGATGGAGGACAGTCGAGAGGGGCGAAAAGGGGGGAAGAAATGGAAGGAATAGTAGTATGAATGAGAGGGATGTGACCATCGCCAGACGAATAAAGAGTTTTCCGCTACAGTGAAATTTAGCAAACACCGACTGTAAAGAGTTTGACTGAACCCACCCTGCAGTTGGGCCGAGGTATAAGCATTTAGCAAGGAGGTATGAGCCGATAGCTGGGGCGTAATAGAGAGCCATCTGTTTGAACCCAAGACTGAGCACAAAACAGAAGGCACCCAGAAGATCCTGACCCGTGGCAAAGAAATTCATCGCAAACAATGTTAGGCCTAGAGGCAGGTTAGATCAAACTGCACCCAGATAATCAAACACACCAAGCATGACGGAGTTGTACTGGAAATGACCGTGATCGATTAACAGTAGGGCAGGTTGAAGTAGTATTGTCAACAGTGCTAGTTCCTAGATGCGAATGAATTAGTTTGTGGTCGAGGAGGGTTGTGGCCTTATAACCAACCTGGGTTCGTTTAGATCGACTGCCTTGCCAAACTCGCGCGAACATGACCAGTGCTGGGATATACACAAGGAGCTCGAGTATGACAACGGTCAGGCGCATGAATAACTTGCTCGCTGGCGTCTCGATACCCCGTGACTGGTTGAGGGCCACCCATCGAGGTTCAATCCAATGAGCACTAATAGTAACAACAGCCAATTAACGTCATCAACAGAGGGATATGAATGACTGACATTAATCCACACAGCCATGACACGTAGGCTGTCAGCGGAGGGTAGTCAAGACCCCAATACTGGAGATCATATGTGTACCATTGTCGTATTGGAAGATGAAGAGTTATCTCCATCCAATGCCGCTGTGCCTCGTAGTCCCCGAACATGGGTGGAGTATTCCATCCTAAATAAAACCTTTTAACTTGAGAATAGAAGAGGGATCTTAGAAACGAACTAACCAGAATACGACGCGAGGCCCATTACGAGTCTCACCAACACGGACACCGCTATCACACCTGGAACTACCAACTCCTTCATCCCCCTTTTATGCATCCACCGTATCCACCGCCTACCCATCGCCGTCTCTTCAGGTTCCTGCGTCTTCCCAATCAAACGGGCACTCCCAGGACGTCCTCCAGGAGATGGAATGGCACCATCTTGTTCCTGCTGCAACAGTGCACTGAAACTCCGATGGTGCGTCGGAAATCGCGCGTGCGATTGCAAGGAAGAAGATGATCCAAAAGTGTGCTGAGGCGACACGCCTCGAGACGACACGGGAGATAGGGGCGGGGTATGTAGCCAGTGTTTGCTCGCTGAGCTTTCAAGGAGGTGTCGTCGGGGAGTGGGTGCGAGTATGTTGAGGTGGTCTGGATGTGTGCTTTACGAAATGATTAGATTTGGTTAGCGTAGAAACACCATGAAGAAACATACGTTGGAGTCAGCCCAGGCCCAGGAGTTTCTGGTGATGCGGTGCGCCGTGTTGTGGTTGGGCTAAGGTTTGCGACGGCGCGCTGGGGACTCATCAAAGAAGACGTACGAATACGCGGTGCCCGTTTCCAAGGGATGTCGGGAGGAAGGGCGGACAACTCGTCCATGTTGCGTGGAGGTTTGGAATTACCAGGAATTACTATCTTCTCTAACTATCGGTAATTCGGTCTCTTGATCGGCAAATTCTAAAGACTAACAGTAATACGAAATCACTCAAGGACTAAATTATCACTGTCGACGAAACGCTATCGACGCAGAACTCGCCCAAAGTCATACGCCAAGAAACAAGCAAGAGGGGAAAGTTTCCAAGGGAGATAGCGGAGGAGAAGGAGGGGCTCATGTCTGGAGGTGATCTTGAAAAAATGTTTTTTTTTTTTTCAAGTTGAGGCCTGAGGGTTCGAACGCGAAGGTCGTGTCTACCACTGTACTCTCAACAGAGCTTCGCATCGACTGGGGTAGACTGTTCTACGTAGACTGATGGTGGACTCGGCCTTTTCCGACTTTCCACCAGCCTCATGTCAAACAGCTCATCAATCACGGACCGTGTTATTCAGCCACGTCCCTGAACCCGCCCACCTTTGTCGCGCCTTCGTCCGCCCATCTTTGTTGCACATTGGCCTGCCTTTTTCCACCCATCCTCGTAATAAAATGCTACTGGTGTATTTTGGTTGACCTAACAGGGCCATTCAAAAATGAGCACAGCTCGCAGCTTGAGACGTAGCAAGAGCCATCAGCTTACATAACGTAGATTTAAGTGTCCGCTCAGGGCGGTATCCGTTTGTCACGCCAAATTTAACATCGAAGTTTCCTCATCGTTGTTTGCTGCTCGCCGTTTCCAACGATGAGCTTGAGTAAATCTTTTCTTTGGCTCTAATTTGGCGCACTCTTCAGCAACTCATAGCTAGAACTCAAATATATTATTTCCAAATTTTCTTCAATTTGTAATTGAGGTAAAGATACCCTGCTAGGTTGAAGCCGATGACACCAAACGGTGCTGGAAGTGTTTTGGCGACGTGGCGTACAACGAGGGAGAAGACCGGAGAATTCCGGAGTGTGTCAAATCAGGGGTTAGTAAAGATGAGAGAGCTGGACCCTGGTGCCTGTGCCTTCTCTGTGGACTCTGTAGACTGGTCTACCCCAGTGGCTGACATGCCCTCACTCTCAAGTACTCACGACCGAGACGACCGATTTAGGACCGATTCGACCGATTTCTGAAGCACGTGAACAGGGCGGTCCAAATTCAATCGTCGTGCGCTCAAGAATTTCTTTATCTCCCCGTTCTGACCCCCATCGCGTATTCACAACTGTCAAGAGATACTCAATGCCTTACCCTTTTCAAGGACAAAGACCAAAATTCTGATTTTGCAAGATCGGGGAAGCCTCAAGCTCGATCCAGCGGAAATTCCGGCCCACACCAACTGTCGCCCTCACTTGTCAGGCTCACATCACCAAACGGCAATGAAGGCACAGAAAATGCCTCACCAAGGTCTGTTTTACACCTGCCTTCATTTATTACTGACTGGTTGCAGATCAACGGACAGTACATCATTTAGATTAGAATGGCCAAGATGCCCTGCACAACACGATGCCACCAATGCCCGTCCTCGCTCGCTCGTGGCTTTCTGCATCCGTGTGTAAAGGCCACCTCCCAATCCGAAGATGCTCTTGAAGTCTGAAGGCCCCATAGGACATGAAGATGGATTCGTAGTGCCTGCTTTGCGATTTGACAGACGGTGACGGTGGCACCTCCAGCGTCCAAGGACCCCTCCCCTTCTCGATATCTTCAACGAACGCACATGGCCTCTGCACCCACCGCCTCCCAAGAACCAGGTCACGTCTCCGCCATACGTGACGAGACGACCGCCCCATCGCCTAGAGCATTCCGATGAGAGCCATCTCCCATCGCCTTGCCCCCATCATCGGCTATTCTTTGCTGCAAACAATGTGCAGCAACGTTTCATTCGGTGGGCAAAGGGAGGGAACCGTTCGTCATTTTGAGCTATGGGCGTGGCTTCGACCGGCGTTGTCTTGACGCCATCGCGTGACCATCCCCTTCAAATCGAGTATGTTGTGGTGAGTGCCGACTTTTTCTTATTCACATATGCACCTTCTTACCCCCACATGTGGTTGTAGGTGCAGCAACGAGGGTGCGCTACGCTGAGCCTCGTATGTACAGGTGGCGTTGTCCCAGCCCTGGCTGCCGAAGGCGGTATAACAACTCTCAGCTCTTTATTCGACACATTGGGTTTCTCGACATCAACTTGGAGCCTATGATTCCTCTAGTTTCTTATTGTCCTTATTTTCTACCTGCTGTACCATTTAGCATTTTGCAATCGATCTACAAATCTGTTTTCTATTCTCCATCCAGGTCAACAGATTAGATCCCCCCAAGCCGGCCTCCGCCATCCAGTATATTCACAAATGGTAGTCACTTTCACCCCATAAGATTCCTGCCTCTTGTCCGCGAGATTTATGAGAAGGCTCTGGCCAATGAGAATGGACTTGGAGAAAGTGGAGGGGCTCATTAAATAGAGGAAGAAGCTTTTGCTCACATTTTGATGCAACGAGCACAGATGCTCCCTTGTGGGGTGGCCTTGTTCCAGCTCTTTAATCTCATTCTTGTCGACATTCCTGGAGCAAGATGGGGGGGGATATTGATTGTCTACCGTAGGATACATACAAATCATTTCAATAACTTGAAGACAATGTTCTTTCTGTTTCATCTCCAAGTCAAAGGGGGGACAGGGGCCCAGAGTAGAGCAGAAGCAAAATGGTTGACTTGAAGAACAAAATTCCGTCAAGTCACCACTTCCTGTCATATTGCTACTTAGAAACTAGAGGCTGACACTTAGCAGCGGCAGCAGGCACCTTGCTTGCTGACGAATACACTGCTTTGCACCAATACGATGCGACTTTTTTTTCGTAACAAAGGAAACAGTGTTCAAGAGCTATAGCGCTACATAGTTATGTATATAAACATTGGAGCTGGCGCTAAGAAAGAGACAACGATATCATGTTTTGAAAAGACCAGTTGTTTGCACCAGTTTGCTCGCTCGCGTGCGCCATATGCACATCAAAGCCCCATGGCCGGTAGAAAGTTTGTTTGTTCATGCTTGCCCGCTCGCGTGCGCGATATGCAAGAAAAGACCCCCATGGCCCCTGGGTAGTTTGTTTGTACCTGTTTGGTATTTATGACCTTGGGAGACCTTGACAAGCAAGGTGATAGGCTACTGACCGTATCTAATCATTTTTGTTGGGGTATATAGTATATTTAACATTTGCCCTTTCTTCCATTCATTTTCACATACCTGCAATCGAGTACTGGACTATTTGTGAAGGAAATGGTGCTGGGTATCCAGTAACGATGGCATGTAGAGGAGAAAACCCTGGGCAGGGAAGTGCCGACGCGTGGGGAAAACCTTCCATTCAGGAATGCACCAAAGCGCGTCAGAGAACCCTGGAAATGACCAATTTTCCGTCTGACCTCGTCAGACCCGGGTCATGACAACACTGTCAATGACAACATGACCAACAAGCTGAAATACTGAAAACCGAAGCCTCGCTGGCAAGAAAATTTGGTCAACTCCGACTCAACCTAAAGGCTCTCGCATCTTAAACTGTGGGCAAGTGATTAATATTTTTGTAAACTGGTTAATCCTATCTATCTAGAGAACTCAAACGGATCAAACGTCCATGATGTCGATGCATGCCATCCCCCAAATCCAAGGTGCTGTTTCTCGTATTACATTATATTTACTCTTTCATCCATAGTCCCTTGATAGTCCCACCTAGCTAACGGTCGCCCTGTCCATTCAACTGCTGGCGAGACGCGACGGGAAAGAAGAAATCAAGCCAAGTTTGCCGTCGAGATTGGTGTCGGCTTTACTGCTCAGGCGCGCGATCGTTTGCGTCTGCCATGTAGCTGAAGACACTCAAGCTTGTTTGGTGCGAGTTATTTCCTGTTTGTCCATGATTCCATTGGTGGAAGGTCAGCCCGAGACAGAAGAACTCCTATTTGCATCTATCACATCCTCCCACTACTCCCTATGCCTTTCCGGTTAATCGTCGCAATAAATGGTCTTGACGAAGAAGACGTCACACTCTCGGGGCGATACATGCCCATTGTAATGCTCACAAAGACAGTTCGAGAAGCCCTGTGCGAACATGCAGGTCTCAGGCAACCCTTTCTCGACCTCCTTCATCACGTCTACAAAAACTCAAATGTGAAAGCAACGCTCGAAGAGGTTCGTTACCGACATCCCGACGACGAAGACATTCGTTATTTCTTCAGGTGGCGCTTCCCAAATATACGCCTAGTAACATCCAAAGGCGGTGCAGAATTCGAGTGGGGCTATACGAACGTCGGCGTTGACGCTGCCTGTGACGATAACGTGCAGATCGCGTACCAGCTTGCAGAATGCTTAATGCTGTCAGCGGTGAGAGTGCTTCTTACAATTTAGTGTTCATTACCAATATCATTCAGAAATCGGCACCGTACAGACAACGAATCGACGCTTCACAGATCATCGCCTCCTACATCGCCGTCCTCCTGCACGAGCTCGCCCATCGCCTTCTGGTTTGGTGGTCACGAGGGAATTGTCGAACGCCTGATCTTGGTCCGCTCCTGAGAGAATCAGGACGTTTCATTGAGGAGGCTTTTTTGGGTGGCGTCTTAGAAGGCTGGTGGGCCAAAGATAAAGGAGGGGACTTTGAGCATCTGAGGAAAGTGATCATCAGAACACAGTCCGGGCGTTTTTTAGAACTGGGTAAGTCGATCCAATATCTGATTCGTTGGCTTTGGTTCAGTGGTCTTTAGATGAATACTCCGCAACCGCATTCTACAAGCGCTTCAACACGTCCACTACCCATATTCCGCTCAGCCATGAAGTAGCTATGGCAGAAGCTTTTCTAGGGGATCCCGCCAAAACGAGTCGAGCCAAGATAAATCATGGTATTATGCTGGATACAAGTGACCACGATTCATCCGTGACGTCTTCGTCTTCGCCTATAGGGCTGGGGATAACTCGATGTCCCATTATAAACGACACAAGACGTCTCTGAGTAGATTTCCGTTGATTCATTCATCCACCTGTGGTACATGTCATGATGTTATAACATTAAAGTAGTTCGACGGACTAAATGTAACATAACGAGAAGAAAAGAACAGTATCATTTTGTAGAGACTGACTATTTAAGGATCCTCACCATAATCACCCTCCTCATCACCCATAATCCTTCCAAGCTTTAGCACTTAGTGTTGAGTCATCGACCATCTGCACAGGCGGCTTGTATGGAAACCGCTGCACGTACTTCCTAGCCTGTAATCTGGCTCGATAGTTATCCTTGATCAACGATGAAGAAGAAACCTACCCAAGGAACCACCATCGCGATTTGCTGACGATCCTTGAGCACTTTGTGGGCAGGGTGTGTGTAACCAGGGCAGAAAATGTGAGAGCTGAAACACTCTCGAAGAGTGCTGCTCGCTGCACTTGGGACTGTTTCTGGTATCGTTTCAAGTTTGTGAGAGTGAGATACACAAGGATGTACAAGACTCTTTTTAGTTTTGCTGGAAAGTGTTGGGCTCTAATCAATGGGAAGGAAGCCATCTCGCCATTGCTCGAAAGCATTATTGTCAGGATGGAGGATACGGTGGAAACCAAATTTGATGTGCAGGAAATGATCTTCTTCGCTACCCTTCACGCGAACGGAGGTTCAAAAGACCCATCGGGAGTGATCTGCAAGGTAGAAAAAGCAGCCAACTGCTGGTTTGGTAGGCTGCAGTGATATACTGATAATCCAGTAGCGGCGTAAGCGCCAGTCGCCTCTGCTTGAAAACAACAACACTTGAAAAGACTCTGCTTGAAAGCGACGAAACACCCTCGACGCAACACTCGCCCAAAGTCATACCCCAACAAACACCATAGGGAGGGAAAAACCGAGAGCGAGAGGTTCCAAGGGAGATAGCGAGGGGAGTGAGAGAAGCAGTACAGAGGCGGAAGATTCGGTTATTATTGAACGAGTCTACCACACATAGGATTACTCGACATCCTTTCCCTCAAGTACGATCTGTCCGTCTTCGGAGAATTTGAGATTGTTCTGATCACATGAGAATCAGGACAGAGGGGTAAAACGAACTCACATCATGAGATGAGGACTTTCCGACGTATTTTGTGTGATCTGTGAGGGCGTTTGACTAAAAGTCATGAGGAGAGAAAGAGAATAGGCTCACATCCGTACGCAACCAATTCTCCTGCAGGGTTTGTAAAGTCTACGCGGGTATACGCCAACGATCTCCCTGTTACATCGAAATTAGAACCAATACAGTGAAAGTTGGGTAATTCACATACCCATCCCAGTCAATACAGCCTTGGCATGCAGTATGTCGCCCACCTTACCTCCAGGGCGAACGAATGATGTCCCGATGTCGGTAGAAACACCTGTCATCCATTGACCCTTTGTTGCGACGGCGAGGGAGCCAAGCGTATCGGTCAACGACAGGATAAGACCGCCGTGGACTAAATCGGCTTGTCAAAATACACCCTATCCCAGGCTACGAAGGTCAGATACCTGTCTGTTTCTCGGGATTAGATTTATTGCACCGTCAACTAGTAGACGTGTGACGCACTCCTACACGATTCGCTAGTATAAAACGATGTTTAGATGCCCTTCCATCATGAACGGTGGTAAGAGGTCGTACTGTTGTATTGCGAGATCCGTAGGGACGCCTCAACTTCGCCGGGAACGGCGCGATTGATCATGAGCTGTATTGAAGTAATCATCATGTCAAGGCTAACCTATGGAAAGGCAGCCTACATTGGGAAAGCATCTCGCGTCGTGACCTGCATAGTTTCAATTTCAACAGTGAGTTGAAAGGCGTGGACGTATCCCCGCACCTTGATTCTCAATGAATGATTTCCAGACCTGTTTGCGGATTGGTTAGAAGACGTATTTCCAAGCCGGCTACCGTAAACTCTTTCCGCACCCTTTGGACAAACCGCTTGCATGCTGCCATCAATATTGCCAAGGCTGTTTGGAGATTGTGAAGGCAAATGGAAGGCAGGAAATGAACCGTGTCGCTCGGGCCGGAAGTAAGCCGGTGAAATGGTCTCCTTGATTTCAACGAACATAGTATGTCATTTAGTCTCTCCTAGACAGACTTCGATATTATGTGAAGTCGTACCTTTGTTCACGATAATATGAAGTCTGTTATTTACCACGCCCCCAAAACCGCGTCAGAAAAAGTTTATGTAATCTTCGGACTTTGAAACCTCGTTGCGTCAATATCGCGTGCTTGCCGTTTGCTCTCGACGCGATAGCTCATGCGTTTCCATCCCAATACACGTCAAACTTGATATTATACATCTTGGCTGATTTAAAATTCGTTATGATGACTCAGTTATGGCTCAACAACCCCGCTGGCAGGACCCTCAAGGACCTGATACGATCAACACTCTGATGCACCACTCCGTCTCTCCTCGTTCAGTCGCAGCCTTGACGGAGGCTTGTACAGTAGCAAGGCTTGAACCTGTCATATAGTCGAGAGCCTTGCGTGCGGTTGTGTCGCTAACGATATTTCCGAATCGGCTGTAAACACGCTTGACATTGACATGGGATTTGGCTGCAAAATGCCAAATACCCAAAACCATTGCAAGGTCTGCGGGATGCGGTCATTGATTCAGTTAGATACCAAGAAACAGGCGAACAAGTCTTGTATTTCTCAGAAAGTCCAGCAATACTGAATTTTCCGAGAACTTCCCAGATGACGAGGTTGACGCGATCTGCACGCTGTCGGCCATTTGTTGATGCTCGAAGGTGAACATCATTATCCTTACTAGTAAGATTAAAAATCTATCGATGAACGTGGTTGGCAACAAGATTTATTGCCCAAGTGAATAGGGAAGGACGCACGTGGAGGATTTCGGAAGGAGTGACAGATGGCGAGAAAGGCGCATGACGCTCATGGGATTGAGTCGATCTCGAAGATGGTGCACTGTGCTTGTGAGGGGAGTGAGGACCCCGGGCAATAGCAGGAAAGCCCTGGTCCCGATCCAGACAAAAAATGTGGATTTTAGGCCCTACAGCTGGGGGCCAATCTGGACAAAAAGTGACAAAATTCGAAACTGCCCAGAGCCAGAGTCCGGACAAAATTCCGCGATGAGCAAGCACGAGGTACGAGTGCAAGCTCATTATCGGATAAGATAACGCTAGAGCGTCAGAACGAGACTTTGCGTTTGTACTCATAAGTACAAACACCTATGGATGTCTTTGAGTCTTAGACAAGGGTCTCCTTGTCGTCTCCTTGTCCTTCAGTCATCGTTCTGACGCGGTAAAAAGAGTCTTCCCAACCTCAGTCAAATTTTCAACGTCTTTTCTTCAAGCTTTCAGCATGACTGACAGTGTCCAACCCTCTCAAACTCAAGCCGCTAGCGCTGAAACTTCTCAAACGGCTGCTACACCTGTTTCTCAGACACCTGCTACACCTGCCGCTACACCTACTGTCTCTGATGTTCTTCCCCCTCCTCCTCGCGTTCCTCGTACTCATACCTCTCCAACTATTATTCAAATGTTGAAGACTCTTCCTCTTGTCTCTATTCTTCAGATGAACAAAGAAATCGAGGACCAAAATGCCGTACGCTCTCGGAAGACTTTCAACCATATTTCTGATCCCACTGTTCACACTGAGCCTGGATCCGACGAGGCTTCTTTGATTTCTTTGGATGACGTTGATCTGAACCGTTTTCGTGTCCCTTCCTTCGCAGCTTCCTTTCCCAACTTGATCTATGCAAAACTTGCTAAGTGGATTGCTGATGAAGACTTAAAAGATAAGCTGAAGTTAAAAAGGAAGACTAACGAGGACGTTAAGCTCTCTGCAGAAGAAGCTAGAATTGCCAAGCGGCGCTGCATGAATGGCCAAAAAATGGTACCTTGGATCGTTGGTGTCCCGTGGCAGGCTACCTTTCCTCAGAACCTCTTTGACACTGAACTTTGTATCGCTGTCCCTTTACCTTTCTTTCTCAACAAGAACTTGAATATTTTGAATGTTGAAGCCTCCACCTTACCAACGACAAAGACTAATCCAAATCCTGGTGAGACGAAGGGTACCGTCATTCTTGACATTGAAAAACTCTCTGTGCGTTTCGGCAAAGAGCTTTCTTTGTCTTGCAGCCAATGGACAGAGGCTGCTGGTAACATGTATCTTTTTCAAAAAGAACGTGATCAAGACGGCACTAGTGAAGCCCATAGCAATTGGTATAATGAGCATTTTTGCTTTTATACTTCTCAGGACACTAAGGACGACCTCTATGATGCCTGGAAAGCAGATGAGTTGAAATTCTGTCAGGAGCATTGGGCAAAATATGGCGAATTTGATGCTTCTCGCTACTATCAGGCGTACAAACTCTCCGAGAAGCAGCGCGAAATGATGGCTGACATCCGTGGGATGATGGCGTCTGAACCCACCAAGGCTCCTTTCAATGCGACGTTAGGCAAACCCGCGCCACGACTTTCTTCTCGCTCCTCTCAGACACGACCCTCCCAGCCCTTTTCCTCAGGCAGTGGCAGATCTTCCTCCTCGACGCCCGACTGCCTTATCTGTGCCGAGCGAGGCCACGACGCGACGCAACACGCGGACAGCACCGTCATCATCAAATTCAAGGCAGACGGGAAGGCAGTATGGTCCAAGTACAGCGACCACAACCTCCTCACCCCCGACAATCGGGTCATCTGCATTAGCTGGAACCTCAGAGGCGACCGTGGGCACCCATGTTCTCACAGAGACGAACGCGCCCACCTCTGTTCCTTCTGCGGCAGTAAACGCCACCACGCCTTCTCTTGGACGTGTCGTTCTCGACCCTCAAACTGAGGCATTCACCCAGGCGTCGCTTTCACTTTCCCTTTCCTATTCCGACTTCTCTTCCTCAATTGTTCCTCGCCCCCCTCTGTCCTGCACCTCTTCGGAGGAGTCTCTCCTCTTTCACCGAATCTTACATCCATACGACGCCAACTCCTTCGAATTTCTATTGCGTAAACACGATCTCTTCGACAGTTACCCTCTTCTTCCATTCAATCTGCGCTTTGGCTTCCCTATCGGGCACATGCCTCCACTCTCCCAGACTGTTATCATGCCCAACAACCCCTCTATCGTTTCTTATCCAGACACTGTGTCTGACTACCTCACAAAAGAAGTCAAGGCTGGCAGACTCTCGGGTCCTTTCTCTCGAGAGGTTACAGAGCAGATCCTGCGCGGCCCTTTTCAATCTTCATCCCTCATCGTCTCTGTTCAGCCTCAGGAACCTGGGGTGCCTGACAAACTCAGGGTTTGTCAACATCTGTCCAAGGCTTCCAAGCTTTACGCGTCCGTTAACTCCCACATCTGAAAGGATGATTTCCCTACGCGTTTCGACACCGCATCAAAGGTAGCCGATATCGTGAGTTTCTTTCCATCTGTTCCTTCCCCACCTTTTCTTGCCTCTTTCTTACACATCTCCTTTGCGTTTCGTGCATGGAGATGTTTTCATTTACTAGCGCTGGCCTTCTGTCCAGTCGCTCCTTGGGTATTTTTGCTGTATGCAAGTTACCCGCTTTGCTATCCTCTTTCCTGTTCCGTGCCATTCGCACGATGATTATCTTCCATGCTTGAGCATGATGTTCCTCTTCCACGCGCCGAGCGTGATGACTCCTCTTCCACACATCAAGTGTGATGATTATCTTCCACGTGCTGAGCGTGATGCCTCCTCTTCCACGCGTTGAGCGTGATGATTATCTTCCACGCACTGAGCGTGATGCCTCCTCTTCCACGTGTTGAGCATGACGACACCTGGGGCATCACATATTATGTTTTAGGATTGCTGTGCGTGTGTTATGGGCATCTGTCATCTTTTTCCTAATATGTTATGCATATATACCATGTTACTCTTACCCTCTTGTCTGATTCCTCGATTTTGAACATTTTACTCATATATGTTGATCTCTGAATAGATTTCTCATGCACCTCCTGGAACTCAGGCATGTACCCTCGATATTAAGAAGTTCCACCGCACCTGTCCTGTACTCCCTTCTCACAAACCTTGGCTGGTCGTCCAAGGGACATCGGACGATTTCTTCATCAATCATGATCACCCGTTCGGAGCTGCCTGCGCCAGCAGTAATGCTGGCATGATCGCAAATGCTGTCGTTGATATCTGGAGAGCTGAAGGGGTCTTCCCGGTACCTAAATACGAAGACGATTTGAAAGCTTTCCGATTCCCTTCCGCTTCGGGCGTTTTTGTTGATGGAGATTTTCGTTATGATTATGACCGAACGGAGATGCTTCGCCGCATCTCTTCTTTGGGAGTGCCTTGGCATGATGAAAAGGGTGATGAACGCTTTTCCTTTGTCACAACCTTTATTGGATTTCTCTGGGACATCCCTCGGAAGCGTGTCAGCCTGCCAGAAGGGAAGAGGAATAAGTTCCACCAACGTGTTCTCCAATTCCTTACAGATTTCGAAGGTCGACCTTGCCATTTGCGCGATGTTGAAAAGATTCATGGATCTCTTTGTCATATCGCCTTTGTGTATCTCGATGGACGCTCTCATCTCCCTTCTCTCTCCAATTTTGCGTCTACCTTTCATGGTGACGAATTCTTGACAAAATATCCTCCCCATTCACTGATCACTGACTTGAAGTGGTGGTTGGTTAAGCTCACTTTGCCGGGGATACATCGATCCCTTCGACCTCTTGGTCCTCTATCAGATCTTGGGTTGTATGTTGACGCCTCCACATCATGGGGGATTGGTATTATCATTAGCGGTGAATGGGCTGCCTTCCAGCTTTCGTCTTCTTGGAAGATTGAAGGCCGAGATATTTGTTGGCTTGAAACTGTCGCCATTGAACTTCTTGCCCTTTTTCTGGAGTCTAGAGGCCTTCGAGATGTTCATCTCCTTGTACATTCTGACAATCAAGGCACCATTGGTGCTCTTGATAAAGGTCACAGTGGCAACATTTATCTCAATCTCGCAGTTCGTCGCACACACATTGTCCTCATGGCCACATCCCTTGCCTTTAAAACTATCTATATTGAGTCTCACGCTAATCCAGCTGACCCTATCTCGCGCGGAGAACCAGGGCCTGCTGGGAAGCAAATCTTCCCATCTTTTAAGCTCCCTGATGAGCTATCTACCTGTTTTATTCATGCCTAGGTTCGCTTCCACAATTGGAACCTCCTCCTTTTCTGATTTCTGACATTTTTATTCAGCCTAGATTATCCTTTTAAACCGGCGACACGTGTCGTCGAGACAGTTGTAGGTGGTTCATGTCATGTTCCTCCGCGCCCTACACCTCGTCATATTCTTTCCCATCCATTCAAATCTCGTACTATCACATCTCCCGTCTCTTGTACTACCACATCTCTTGTCCCATCTGTCACCACCTCCACGCCGTTACACATCTCTCCATCTGCCGCAGCTACTCTTCCTATTGACCCAACTCCTGCCAGCCGACCTATCAAACCAAGACAACCTCAAGTTGGACGCCACATTTCTCAAAGCCCTCTACGCCCTCACGTCTCCGCTGCGGATCGTCTCTTCACTTGGGACACGCCTCATGCTGTTCGTCACAGACGGCACCTGATAGCCTCACTTCCACCAGACTTGGTTAATACTGCCATGATGTCCATCCGTGGCGCCTATGCGCCCAACACAAAAACTACATACGCTGCTGGTACCCTGCGCTTCACGCAATTCTGTGATACATGGGGTATTGATGAGGAAGCGCAGATGCCTGCCTCTTATCCCCTCCTTTGCGCCTTCATTGGGGAACATAAGGGCAGGCAAGCTGGGAACACCATCCGTTCCTGGCTCTCTGGCATCCGTGCATGGCACGTTGTCAATCATGTGCCTTGGTTTGGCGATGACGAATGGGTCCAGTTGGCTCGTGTATCCGCGAACAAGGAGGGGATAAAGCACAAACGCCCCCTTCGTGCTCCTGTTTCCATTGAGCACTTGCTAGCCCTTCATCGTGTCCTCAACCTTTCCACCCCTTTCCATGCAGCAGTGTGGGCTCTCGCCTTGTGCACATTTTTCGGCTGTCAACGACTAGGCGAGCTAGCTGTCACCACTGCCGCTGCCTTTGATGAACGATATCATGTTCTTCGCTCTGTCATGTGCGTTTTTTTGGCACCTTGTATATCTTATATATTTCTTACCTTTCTGCAGGATTACCTTTCGTACCCTGCGAGATGGCTCATCCTCCGCAAGCTTTCGTATTCCTTGGACTAAGACAACAAAGGAGCTTGGTGCTTCCGTTATCCTTACTGCACGAAACGACATCCTTTGCCCTGTTGCTGCTTTAAAGAACCACCTCTCTGTTAACTCATCCACTGACCACTCAACCTCCCTCTTTGCATATACAACTGCATCTTCTCAGCCCAAAATCCTCCTTAAACATGAATTTCTCAACTTCTGTACTCATATCTGGTCCTCTGCTATGCTCGCACATGTTCTCGGCCATAGCTTCCGTATCGGAGGAGCTGTTGAACTCCTTCTCGCTGGGGTTCCCCCCGAGATCGTCGCTGCAACAGGTGGCTGGACCTCCCTCGCCTTTCTACTCTATTGGCGCCGCATGGAAGAGATTCTTCCAATGAGCACATCAAAAGCATACAACAAGTCCCATATGGACTCCTTGGCTGCCATGTTTGAACAATTCCGTATCAAACACAAAATCCCATCTGCGCTGATCACTGCTTCTGATGGGAGCCTTACCTTGTAGTCTATAATGTGAACCTCCTCATCCTCATCTGTACTCTACATTGTCCTTATTTTTGTAACTGTATTTGTATTTTTAATCTCAAAATTCTTTCCAGAGTGACGCTTGATTGGGTAGTTCCTCGGTGCTGAACCAACCTGCTCGTTGTGAGCTTACACTCTGGTTGGTATAGCTGGTTGGTTGGCACACAATCAAGCTTTCAGACGCTCAGGTCTTGCCTGTCTCCTCAGATCTCACCATTCTATTTATTATTTAAGATCTGATTTACGCGAGCCGGGCAAGCCCTAGGCACAAACAAGTTATCCATGTTCACGGATTTCTTGTATTTAAATATTTGCTGTATTTAAATACTCCCTCCTTTCTCCATACTCACAGGACGCTTGAGTTATCTCATCGACGAGATGTCAAAAAAAAAGCCTCCCAGCCGGTATTTGGGCATAATTGTGGGACATTTGTGGGGGGAAAAATTACCCTGATCTGGCCGTCCGGACAAATTTTTGAGATTGGGGTGTAGTAGGCCAGGTCCAGTCCGGACAAATTTGGTGCAGAGGCGTCCGGACAAAAACCCAATTTTCGGGATCAGGCCTTTTCTGCTATTGCCCGGGGTCCTGGGGAGTGATGAGAATGGAAGGGCTTCAGGAGAATGTATAACAGGTGGCGCCGCGCCAGAAATTGCTACAGATTGCGATAGGAAGGCTGAAATGAAGTCAGGTGTTGTGGGAACCTGTTCGTGGGCGTTTTCTTGTATGATCGGACAGCGCGAGACTTCTCTTCCATGGAAAGCAACTTTTAAATAAGAAATAAACTGGATTTAAAGTGTTTAGAGGAGTTGTGGAACTATAAACGTGTCTAGAGTTGAGGGATACCAAGGGTCAGGCAACCGAGCATCCGATGAAATCAACCATACCCTCTACCCCCGTGAGAATTATTACATGAGTGGTGTCTAGTCACATCTGTCACACTGATCTGATAGTATCGACGTCCATACTACCAGATTGTAATCTATGCCTCTAGCTCTACTGCCGTCTTTTTTTCCCTGTCGGCTCGACGAGACTAACTGTTGGCGCTCTCTCTCTTTTCAGATCCTCTCTCATTTCTTCGATGTTGGAAGTGTATAAGACTGTCTGTTTTTGAGTGTAGACATGCATCGCCGCGGCGGTGCTTCAAGAAAGTGCATGGGTGGGCAGTGGTTGGTAGTGTGACATCAATTCAGCAAAGATCACACTGTATATGGTGCTTGCCATCCCCATCTATTGTCGTTATAATTTCTGGAGCACCAGGCAGAGAAATGGCCTTTGAAATTGGGACCGTAAGAGCTTTAGTCATTTCACAATTATAACAAGCAGCAAGAAGGTGGGAGATCAGGAAGATACTATTTCACTACTTGGTTGATACTAAAACAATGCTGCTGCTTTTTTACGTTTAAAGTATGCAGCAGTTGAATGAGTGCGCATCAGGGCTTGACCAGGGCTCAGCGTGACAACCTATTTGGGAAACACGTGATGATTCTCACGGGGGTAGAGGGTATGGTCGATTTCATCGGATGCTCGGTTGCCTGACCCTTGAGGGATACGAGGGAATATTGACGCGACGCGGTTTCAAAGTCCGAAGATTACATAAACATTTTCTGACATGGTTTTGGGGGCGCAGTAAAAACAGGACTACACTAACTGGGCAAAAAGATTGTCCGATCATTTTTTGGACAAAGTTGGTGCCATAACACAAGAATCAAACATTTTGAGAACTAAGCTCTAGTGTATCAAATATAGCTAAGGAGGTGTAGATTGTATATACCAAGTCTGGGGATGAACAATTGAAAACTCAGGATAAGGCAGGGAATTGACTGTGACAAGTGCCAAAAATGGGATGTAACAAAGTGGGAAATTCTGAATGACTGCAACCTACTGAAAGCAATTCACAACTTGAGGAAGAGATATTTTGAACACTGGATCTCCCTGCTATTGTTATGAGTTTCATAAAGTCTCTGGGCTAGAAAATTTTATATCCTCCTCTAAAAGGTAAATTTGAACTTGTTCTCCATTTTATGTATTTTTCACTCAATATATTTGTTGGAATGAGGTAAAATGACTCCCCATCAATGTTTGTAGTGTGTATAATACAAAAGGCAGGTATAAATGTTAAAATGAACATTGCATGATGCCTGTAGAAGCTAATTCCCAGAGTTTTTCTGGAAGTAAACAAGTATCTACAACATTGGTCCTTCTTTTCTGAAAGAAGAAAAAATGCTACCATCCTTTTGAATTGATGCATGGAGACTCAGGATGTCTTTTAAACAATGCTTGAAGTATAGCATGATAGCAAATAAATTTACACTGGGTATAACTTGAAAAGTCCCCAATAAAAGTACATTTTGCATAGAGCAATCATCCTGGACAAATCCTTGACATTTTTCTTGGTGAATTGGGGCTGAAAATATTTCACAAGGCACTTCTCATACCCAGTAACACTATCCCAAAAAAATAAACAGAGGTCTTATTTATATGAAAATTTGAGACTCCACACCTTTCTTGCTCTATGCAAAATGTACTTTTACTGAGGACTTTTCAAGTTATGCCCAGTGTAAATTTATTTGCTATCATGCTATACTTCAGGCATTGTTTAAAAGACATCCTGAGTCTCCATGCATCAATTCAAAAGGATGGTAGCATTTTTTCGTCTTTCAGAAAAGAAGGACCAATGTCGTAGATACTTGTTTTCTTCCAGAAAAACTCTGGGAATTAGCTTCTACAGACATCATGCAATGTTCATTTTAACATTTCTACCTACCTTTTGTATTATACACACTACAAACATTGATGGGGAGTCATTTTACCTCATTCCAACAAATATATTGAGTGAAAAATACATAAAATGGAGAACAAGTTCAAATTTACCTTTTAGAGGAGGATATAAAATTTTCTAGCCCAGAGACTTTATGAAACTCATAACAATAGCAGGGAGATCCAGTGTTCAAAATATCTCTTCCTCAAGTTGTGAATTGCTTTCAGTAGGTTGCAGTCATTCAGAATTTCCCACTTTGTTACATCCCATTTTTGGCACTTGTCACAGTCAATTCCCTGCCTTATCCTGAGTTTTCAATTGTTCATCCCCAGACTTGGTATATACAATCTACACCTCCTTAGCTATATTTGATACACTAGAGCTTAGTTCTCAAAATGTTTGATTCTTGTGTTATGGCACCAACTTTGTCCAAAAAATGATCGGACAATCTTTTTGCCCAGTTAGTGTATATGTCATTCGAGTTTGCACATAACCTGCCTTGATGATGGTCAAGTGATGCTCAGGACTCCTGAGGACTTTTAAAGACAAACAGTGGTTCTGAAGGTGTTTCAACCATGCGAGTCGAGGAAGGCTTCCAACCCGTGAGCGCTATCAACTAACGTCAAGTTCGAATTTCTCTCCTTACCAGAGCACTACTATGTCAGGTACCCTTTCAGGAGGAGAACACTTACACCAGCGATCCCGTTCTTCCAGATCTATTGAAACGTACACTCCCCCCAAGGTATGTGCTCTTCCTTATCAGACCTCACAAATTACATCTCCCTTCAGTGTATTCCAACAAATAGAGCCAGACCTAATCCGCCTCGGCGGAGAAATCATCACCTCAATCCGCTCCCTTGGGGATGGCAACAAAATCTCTCCGCCAATATTGACTCAATACGACCAATGGGGTCGAAGGGTGGATAATCTGCAGACAAGCGAAGGGTGGAGGGACCTCAAGGCAGTCGCTCAGAAGGAAGGGATTCCTGGTATATTCTATGAACGCAAATTTAAGGAGCACAGTCGTGTTTATGGGTTCGCAAAGATGATGATGATGGTTGGGGATACCCATGAGGTACGGTCGTTCGCTTGGCTTCTTTGCTTAAGACTAACTATTCGTCAGGTATTCTGTCCGTTGAGTATGACAGATGGAAGTGCCCGAGTAATTGAGCTCATCGGAACTCCTGAAATGAAGAAGAAGATACTGCCACGACTCATAAGGTAAGATGTCTTCCCAGAATAACAGAACACCTCACCAAATGGTTGATAGCCGCGACCCGTCTTTTGCGTTTACATCAGGACAATGGATGACAGAAGTACTCAATTGTTTACTTACTCTATACTATGAAACTAACAATTTCTCTAGCGTCCAGGGGGCTCAGACGTGTCAAGAACGGAGACGACAGCGGTGGACACCGGGAAGAGCCATTCGTTTGGGCCCAAATACAGCCTAAACGGTTTTAAATGGTTTTCCAGTGCAACGGATAGCGAAGTGTCCGTTGCCCTTGCTCGCACAGGTACCGCCGAGGATGGATCGCGGGGCCTCTCGTTGTTCCTCGTTCCTCTGCGGCTACCTTTGCTACGAGAACGTTCAGACCCCCCGTCATCCCCTGTGAGCAACAACATCTTCGTTCACAGGCTGAAGAACAAGATCGGGACCCACGCACTACCAACAGCTGAACTAACTTTGACCTCGACGGAAGCGTACTTAATGGGAGAACCCAACCAGGGAATCAAGAATATCACGCCGGTGCTAAACATAACGCGACTATGGTCTGCTGCGACTTCAGTCGGCAATTTGCGTAAATGCCTCTCCATTGCAACGGCATATGCCAAAGTCCGTTCTATAAAGGGTGGAAGCCAACTCCTTCAGGACACTCCAATTCATGTCGCCCAACTGGCATCTATCAATCTGCTGTACAGAGCTCTGACCCACCTGACATTTGGTGTCATTAGCTTGCTGGGAAAGTCAGAGTGTGGTGTTGCGACAACTGATGAGCTTCGCAGACTTAGGATGCTGACGCCCGCGGCCAAGGCTTTCGCTGCAGAGAAGGCTTGTGCTGGGATGGAGGAAGCTATGGCGGCTCTTGGCGGAGCTGGTTATATGGAAGAGAACGGAATTGGTCGCTCCATCCGAGATGCATTGGTGGAGAAGTGAGTTTTGCTCTTTTTCTCTCAATGCTGTGTGCCTTACATTTCCAGGATATGGGAAGGAACGGTGGTTGTCCTGGCCCTTGATCTTGCAAGGTCTGCTCAAGACCGCGAATCAATGGAATCATTCACCTCTGTGCGTAATTCATGCACATCTTCGAGCGGTTACTGACTTGCAAATCAGTGGGCGAACAGAGTGATCAGCAGCGCCGCTTCAGATCTGCAGGAAATTATTCAAAGACCTTTAGACCTCTTGAAGAATGCTCTTGAAGAGCTCCGTACAGCGTATACTCAGCCTCTGCCACCTTTGATCCCTCGACCAGCTCTTATGCTTGTTGCCAGCATTGCTTCATCTGTGTATCTCCTTGAACACGCAATCTGGTCTAGAACAACACAGGGACACTCCAGTGAGGTGGATGTGGAAGTGTTCAGGAGATGGGTCCTGGAAGGCGGCACAGCTGCAGCGATTGAAGATGTGAAGAAAGCTAAAGAGGGTGCAAACAATCGGATTGACAATAACTTTGCGATTACCTTTGGGAATAAGCGGAAGGCTAGAATGTAGTTTCTACCTGCGACACTCTTCTCAAATGAAACTAATCGTACATTGCTGGTTTATCTTGGTCACATCAGAGATCATGGTGGAGAATACGGAACGATAAAACACCTTGAATATAAAGGCTGTGAGGGACAACACGGCCGATTGATCTATTGACTCACCCTAGCATTCCTCGGCCTCCCCACCCATTTCTAGGCGTTAGTGTCAGAAGCTTCGTCTGCTCACCACGAAGCGCACGAATCGCAATATGACGCTGCTTTCCAGTTTAAAAAAATTGACGTATACATGGAGGTGGGACGTACGTTTTCGCTTGCCACGACGAGGTCTGCTAGCGGTTGCATGGAGCTGCTTGGAAATGATTGTTTGCTCAGTTGGCCGAATTTCACTATCAAATCGCCCCGTTGAAGTCCCTGAATCGTTGAAAGTCTCATGTAGGTTCAGATTACTGTGAGGCCGATGGTATACGTACAGCTTCAGCAGCGGGGCTCCCCGGAGCAACACCGTCGACCCTCGCGAATGGCAGGGGGGCAACGTCCTGGATTGGAGCGGCTTCGGTCGTAGATTGTGTCACTACCAGAGCAGGGTCAAATATCCCTTCGAGGGCCTTCGAAATGGCTTTCATAACAGCATCCAAATCATTTCTCAGTTCAATAATCCGCACTCTCGCGTTTCGAACAGCGTAGATATCGATGTCTGCGCGTGGAAAGCCCTCAGGATCGACGAGGGGAGTGTTCATTGTAACGTTGTTGGCTTTGAGTATTGAGAGGTGAGTTTCGATCTGGCTTTCGATACCATCTTTCTGGGCGATAAGGGCACGAGCTTGTTCCATTGGGCTTTCTGGAGATGGAAGAATAAAACCCATCCCGACGTAACAGAGAGATTCTGCTAATTATATATTTGGTTCAGAACGCTTCGCCAAACAGCGTCGAGTCGCGTTCCATACGGAGGTAACTTTTGACGCGTTCATGACATTTCGGTTTTTGTGAATCTGCCCACCGGCTTTATTCGGCATTTCTTTCTGCCTCTCGCCCACTCTCGACTATCTGCAAGATGCCGTCTTTGAATTTTATGACGGGAGAGGATCTCCTCTCCTTGGACAGGATACGGTCTGTTTTAACAAGGCTGGAGGATACTATCATTTTTTCTCTCATCGAACGCGCCCAATTCGCTCACAATGCGCGCATGTATCAACGCGGGGCGTTCAAAGAGTTGACTGATCTTGGGTTCAATGGTAGTTGGCTGGAGTGGTTTCTGAAAGAAACAGAGACGTTCCATGGTGCGTCATTCTTTTTAAATAGCACTACACTGATTTATACCCCTGATTTAGCAAAGGCGCGACGTTACACGAGGTATTTGAAATGTCCTTCGTTCTAAAGCGACGTCTGATACCCCAGGACATTCGCAGCCCGGACGAATATCCTTTTACATCAGATCTACCCGACCCCGTCCTCCCCCCACTTTCCTTTCCCCAGATCTTATATCCCAACAAGATAAATGCAAATCCCTCCATCTTATCTTTTTACACTCGCGCAATCGTTCCTCGCATCACTCGTCGCGCGACGCTTGCTCTAGCGACGAAAAAGCACGCCGACGGGATCGTCGGAGATGAAGAGTCCGAGGATGATGGAAATCACGGTAGCGCAGCAACCCTTGACGTTGAAGTTCTACAATCGATCAGCAAGCGTGTTCACTATGGTAAGTGTCAACTTTTTTCGAAGCTAACCGACTAGTCGCTCAAACTGTGGACAGGGAAATTTGTTTCAGAGTCAAAATTCTTGGACAAACCCTCCGATTTTATACCCCACATTCTCAATCGAAACAGGGAAGCGCTTGACGCGTTGATAACTAAACCAGAGATAGAGCGCAAGCTGCTCTTACGACTGCAAAAGAAGGCTACGACATATGCACAAGATTTCGGGGCTGAAGGGGAACTCATGGTCAATGGAAAAGTAAACGGATCCGGGAAAATAGATGTGGATGGCGTTGTCGATTTGTACGAAAGCTATATTATCCCATTAACAAAGGAAGTGGAAGTAAGTTGAAACTGATTGGAAGACTGCGTTGTGCTCACAAGTCAATTTTAGGTGGATTACCTGCAACATCGGCTTGATGGGCTATCGAAAGACGAGATTGACAAGCTGGCGAGGTCAAAGTAAAGGTCTCAACACTGTATAGGGTTATGGTCACGGTAATCAAGGAAAGTGTATACAATTTGTAGGAGGTAAAAGGATAAAGATGACAATCAAATCAACTACGGTTATACTATATATCCTTCCAGTGATATCTGAAATAATGGTATCCAAAAAACATAGCGAAAGGGAATAAGATAGATGAAAATACAGCAAAGAAGTCAGATGGGTATGGTGGGATGAACGAAACGATCAGAATGGGATCATTCGAATAATGCAACAGCGTTCAGAGCCCCATTTCTATTACCAGAAAAATTTCATCAGCTCTATAATAGAGCACGTCGATGGGACTACTGACCTTCTAGCAACCGCTGTCTCTGCTCTTCCGAGATCTGACGGGTTGCGCGCCTGGCGAGAAGCTTTTCGGTCCTGTATTTCTCATACAGCACCTCCTTGGTGCGAATTTTGAGAAGCTGGGAGAGTAAAAGTCAGTACAGTATACAGAGAAGTGGTGAAATCAACCTTAAGATGAGTCGACAGCACTGCCGTTCGTAACGCGGCAAAATCACAATGGTTTGGATCAAGAACATCAATTTTCCCCCATCTGAACTTTCTGACAAAAACACCCTTCAAATCATCGGGCGGCCCTTGAAGGTATGGGAGAGTTCTTGAACTATAAGCTGACATGGGGGTGGGTGGTACGTCACTGGATTGTGAATGGTCATCTTCGGATGGTTGCTGGCTAGTGGTCGATGATACGCCATCTGAATAAAATGGGCGACGGCGGCGCTTGCTGGGTTCGGGAGCGATTAATGCGAAAGGCATCAGTTCACTGAGGTCCGTCTTTGCAATAATGTGCGCCGAGAAACGGACATTGGCCACGCTTTCGTGGTCGGTAGCATCAGGCGATACCGGACGACGATCATCTTCCGCAGCTTGAGAGAGATCCCTCCGAGAGCGCGAGCGGGAAAGATTTCGAGTACCGTGGCGTTTTGGGCGAAGCTTGATAACCGGGCGAGGCTTCCGCTCTTCTTCTGCATCCTCTTCATCACTCTCTGCAACAGAACTATTTATGTCATATTCTTCAATTCCGTTTTCAGTTGTATCAGAAAAATGAGTCTGTCTCTTCGGAGGAGCGGCGGTGTCAGGAGCCTTTGCCGGTCCAAACACGCCAAAATCGATGCCTGATCCAGCAAATCCTGTACGTACTAGAAGGGAATTGAGTATAAGGATGACAATCCGACAACGAGCTTGAGCTTACTAGCATTCTTGATAGAGTGCAATTTGTCGTCTGTTAGTGAGTCGGCATGAGCGATCACCGGCAGAACGTTGGTGCGCGCTGACAGTCGTCGAATGACTCTAAGTTCCGCGGGAGACATCGTCAACGGAGAGCCGTCTTCGCCATCAGATTCATCTTCAGACGACGTGTCGGGTACAAGGTCGGGCGGGTCACGATTGGAGACGGTGGCCTCTGAACGCGTCTTTGTTGGAAGGGTGGACAAGGAACGTCGTTCCTCAGCACTAATGATTGAAGCTGGGTCAATCATATAGATACAACTACACAAAAAGTGAGTGACGGTGTTACCCTGAAACGGGTTCGACATACAGATGGATATGCTGGTCTCCTTTGCTCTGTCTAACGACCTTGGATTCCTGGAAGATAATTCGTTTCGTGAAGGGTGAGTGAACAAGCAGATAACGACGTACTTCGCTCATGGTATCTGCATACTGTGCGTCGACATACTTTAAAATAGCGTTCACTTGACGCTCAAGTTTCAACTCGCGTCCCTCTTGAAATTCAAGTCCAGGCGTATCAATCACAGAAAACAACACCCTGTCGAAGCGCGACTCGCAAATTTCCACGCAAGCGGTCTGGATCGCTGGAGTGGTGTTCGTAGATCCTTTGAGAAACTTGAACATTGCTGCCTTTTGATCGTCGGTGGCGCTGGGTGATAGGTCGGCCGTTTCCAATAGCAAGCGCAGAAGCGAAGTTTTCCCCGTTCCTTTGCCGCCAACAACCTGATCCAGAGCATCAGCACAGCCAACGATACACACTAAAATCATAAATGACTGACCATTAGATTGAATGTGGGTGGAATGCGAGCCCGTCGCTGGCTGTACCTGCCAGCCGATAAAGGGGGAGCCTTCCTGTTGTCGAACGCGGAGGGCGGCACGGAAGACATATATAAAGAAGAAATCGTGCCTCCTGCTTTCGGTTTCTCTACAGAGGGCCGAAATGGTTTATGGAACGGTATGGCGGCATGGTCACTCCCCTGGAAAGAGGTTTTAGCCGCACCTTGATGAACGAGCTCCTCAGGAGGTGGCGAGTGCCGTATTGCAGCTATATCCACAAGGTCTTCAGGCCATGGAATGCCCTGGCTATTGAGCTCTGGGAGAGAAGGAGAGGTACGAATTAGAGGAGTTTCCGGTGCCTTCTTGGGCTTTCGGCGGAAGGAGAACATGATAGAGGAAAAAGAGATAATGAAGGTGGAGGTAACGCCGTATTCGACCTGGAACGCAGCCGGAGAAAAACACTGAGCGCTGACTGAGCGCTGAGCAGGGAGCAACAACGGCAGGGACAAATAAAGGACAAAATCAGAAAATGACAGAAATTCGTCAAACAACAGGGACACATGTATTGTTCCCACCAAGCAACATGATACAAAGTACAGTTCCTCTGCTCGGCATATATAACATATGTACTGCCAGGAACCCACAGAACCCACGAAACAGCAAAAGCGAACAGGAAAGCATGGTCGAGACAAAGTAATCTACAGACGAACAGTCAATAAAGCACCTAGGGTATACCAGCTGGCGAATTGTCCATCTTCATTCTCTTCGAAGCACGACCCATGTCCACATGCTCCAAAGGCCGTTTCAGGTCAACTTCATCGTCGAGATGCGTGTCAACCTCCCGGTGATCATGTCCATCATACATGGTTGATGATGGAGTAGGCACCATTCGAGAAGAGGGCGGAGAAATAGAACGAGAAGAATCGGCCGATGGTTTGGCTGTTGAAGAACGCCGATTTTTCTTTTGTGACGGTCCGTTAGAAACAACAGCATCATGAACGTAGTTGCATGGAAGTTGCCTACGAGCACAACTTGCGCAGGCGGGATGGGCCCCATCACATTTTGTCTTACGAGCTGTTAGACGCTGTCAGAACCTCAACATTGACAGTTGATCATGACTTGCCTCGGCAAAAATTACATGCCACTACTTTTGGACCCGAACTGGATGAATTTCGATTGCTCTTTCCGGGAACGGTCGCCGCGCGTTTTCTTTGAGCAGCTTGCTGTTCGGATGCTGGCCTAAGAGGAGGAAGAGAGGGGGCTGACATGGGGACTGGTGTTGATGGAGAAGGGTCTGGCAGCGAAAGGGTAGCAATGTGCGGCAATTCGTTGTCTGGGAAAAAAGTACGCTGTTCTCGACCCATTTGATGATGTTTAGAAGAAGAAGCCAGAGGATGGTCTTCGCGTCGCTCATGGATGGTGGACATTGGAGGGAGTTGTGGCGGGAATGCATCCTCGTAATGGTGTTTATCCACATTAGAGCCCCGGTGTGATAATGTCTGCGATGGGATTTCTGGTGACAGAGAAGGCTCCTCTGCTTCAGCAGATCTTTCGTCGCCTGACTCGCTCTCGCTTTCCTCGCCTTTGTTACGCTGCCTCATAGTTCCGCGGCGTTTGTTCTGGGGCATGTAATCGCACGGATTACTCCGCTTTAAGCATTGTCCGCACGCAGGTCGACCACCGTCGCATTTAAGCTTCCTCGCTAATGTAGAAAAGCGGTCAATGAGTTATAAGAGACAATCCAACAGGCCAGTCTTACATCTACAAAAGTTGCAGGCAACGGTGATCTTCTTGGTGCGCTGTTTAGTTGTTCCTAGGGACGGTTTTATTGTTAAGGATGGGTAATCCAAGAGAAAGCGCGAAGACTGACGAAGGGCGCCAGCCTTAGTCGATGCGCTGGTTGTGTTGTTCTCCGGCATGGGTCGTGTTACAGGACTTGTGCGAGGATCACGATCACCTGGCGGAATGTCGCGGGGAACGCTCATAGATGCAGGCCGGTGGACATTTGGGTGGGGGGCTGTGTCAATGGCGAGGATGGGACGAGAACTATGAGGAATGGGACCCATGTGAGAAAGATGTGAAATTGAATGACGCGAGGAAGGGCGATTTTGCATAAAGTCAGTCCGAAATTTGTCAAAAAGATACTCCCGGGTATATTTTTGTAGGGTCTTTATGAAAATAAATGTATCAGCGTTGGTCTAATGAAAGGTCATAATAGTGCTCGCACCTCCATATGATGGAAAATGGCAGACCTCAGGGATAGGAAATCGCTGTGCAGAGGATCCAATACATCCAAGACACCCCAACGGTAACTTCTTATAAACTTGCCGCGGGGAAATTTCGAAGGTGGAGGGTAGTGAGTAAAGGGTGTGTACTGTTGAGTAAGTTCATGGCGCGATAGAGGTATTCTAGCAACCCCATCACTGTGAGAATACATATCTGGTGAGATGAGCGCATATGGTAAACGCAAGATTGAAGGAGCGACAGGGGACGTAGGAGGTGTGTTGTTGTTTGAGGAAGGCGTCCCATTAGGGTGGCCGTAGCCATTTGATGGCTCAGCCCGATTTGTAGCGGGGAAGTCATCGGGAGTATGTGAATAGTGTGAATCCATGTCAAATATACCAAAACCAATACCTGCATCCGCCAAATCCCGTCTGATAGCAACCTTTACGGCAGCCAGACGGTCATTCGAAAGAATGTCGGCTCTGGCTATTACAGGGAGTACATTTACTCGCCCGGACAAGCGACGTATCGCCGCGATGTCGGCAGCAGGTAGTGTCGGCCGATACAGAAGGGGATTCGTGGTTACTGGCGGCTCAAGGATAACGGGTTCTTGCTCTGGTTGAGAAAAGCTATTGGTCCGAGCCCTGAGAAAGGGTGGCGCGGGGGGCCCTGGAACTGGGGGTGGCACAATCAAGTCGGGATCCAAAAAGTATATGCAACTGAGGGCGCTCAGTGAGTAAAAGAAAGACGAAGGAATGGGAAGACATACAGGTGAACGTAGCGGTCACCGCTGTGGGCTTTCCACTCCTGTGGCTGACGTCAGTAATAAAGCAGAAGTATTATGTGGGCGCTCACATCCTCAAGACCTTCTGTGAAACGGTTGTCAATAAGACGAATGTTTTCAGCCAACAACCGCTCAGAAGTGGCCTCGTCTTGGAAGTCGAGCGAAGGAGTGTCGATGAGTGTTAGACCCAAGCACTGCCTGCCGCCATTCCCTTCAACATCAAGGTTGATATCAATTGATGCAGTTCTGATGTTGGACGTATGTCCACTGCAGCCTTGAACGAATTTGGCGACGGAGGCAAGCTGGTCTTTGGCGACATTGGGAGAAATGTCGCTGGTGTCGAGTAGTAGGCGGAGAAAGGACGTTTTGCCTGATCCGAGGGAAGCGGTATATATGAGCTCCTTGAGTGCGGACTGCGGTCAGAGACGAGTACTTGCCTCCCCGACAGCCAGCTACGAGCAAAGTAAACTCTGACCGGAGGGTTTCTGCTGAGATACACGGGGAAAGTGCGCGCATTGGGAGTGAGTTGAACAGAAGTGGCGACGGAAGTTGTTTGCTTACCTGGGGCACTGCCGAGATGAGCTTGGACGCTGCTATAGGTACCAGCACCCGCAGCTGTTGACCGATCGAGCCCTTCGTGACGAATCCGGTGGTCGTTGGAGTTCATTGAAGATGGTCTTCAACGAGCGGCGGACGCCAGAACGGGGAAAGCAGGATTGCCCGCACGCAAGGGCAAGCGCGGTGATTTCGAAAACTCTGATGCGAGAAACCGAGTCTAATTCCCACCGAGCCAATCGGAACGATCCAAGGTACAATAATATCATTTTACATTCCATTCCGTCCTCACTATGAAAGTTGTAAAATTATAGTTGAATACCGAACAATATACAGGCTAGTAACAATATGCAAGCTGCTTTGCAGCTAGAATTATGCTGAGGATGGTGGTTGCGCCGCTGCACACCTCCAAGTTTAGGGTACAAATATCGTGGGAGCGGTAGGCATGCGCCCGGAATGCGCCAGTAAGAGGCTAAGAAAAGAGTGGATGGCGACGAAATACGTAAAAGGAAGTTCAGGACGATCTGTCATTGGTGGACAGTGGGAAATGACTGTGGGGAAAACACAGCGACCAAACCAAAAGCAGATTCCAATTGAAATCGATTCTCTTCAGCGACGATCGACAACCGGGATTTTTGTCCACACTTGGCCCCTAGCACGGAGGTATCTTGTGATCCGGGATTCTTATCCCATCTTGCGATAAAACTCCTCAGCGTCCGACCCATCTTCTGAGCTTGTTTCCCGACTTCGGGGTGTCTGTGCGTGCGGCCCCATTTCCCTCATCCGCCCCGGAATCGGCGCAGACGGATAGGGTGGAGATGAATCAGGCGGTTGGAAAGAGAACTTATCAAGAGACATCCCAGATGTGTACGGCCGGAGTTCTGGTACAAGTATGTCAGGAGGATAGTCGGCGGGCGCTAGTGGACTTGGACGTCGATCTGCAGCATTGGTGCTCAAGCTAGCATCTGATACTCTCCCAGAAGTGCTCGCTTTCTTTGACCGGCTTCCTCTGGGCGCCTTCCCAGGACCCCGGCGCCTTTGTATTGGTACATACTCGCATTCGAATTTCCTTACAGTGCAATTGTAACACGAAGGTTTTGCACCATTGCAGCGAAGTTTTCGCCCTATTGTAGCCAAAGTTGGTCAATTTGGTTTTCTCATATAAAAGGGGCTTGCCTCGACAGAAGTTACACGCGACAGCCGTCTTTCTTGGATTTCTAGACTTGCGTGGTTTGCTATCGTCGTCCATTTCCACCGAATCTGCCCTCCTCCCCGCCCTTCGTTTTTTCCCCTTCTGAGACGCCTCGTCACTTCCGTATTCAGTTGAGCGAAACGCACTCGGTGGATCAAACCGGGTTTCTGATGGATACATCGGCTCTAATCCGGGACTTCCACCACGCATGCCTGATGATGTAGACCCAGAAGATGTAATGTTAAGTGGAGTGGATGGGTATGTATATACATTTTGCTGCCCAAAAAGGTCCCCTGAGCTGGGAACTAGCAAGGGTGGTAGTAAACCCTGAAAGCTGTGGGAAGACGACGGTCCATACAGTCCTGCTGAGATTTTTCAGTCAATACTTAGGCGTCAAGCAGGGTAAATGAAGTACGTACTTCGGCCAAGCGAGCCGGATGAGAGCAGATAACCCTCTCTTTCACTCTCCCGTCTAGCCATGTCTCCGAATGGTACGTCGGGATCGAAGCTACTGCTTCCTCTCTCAAACATCTCCGTCTGAGGCCCAAGACGAGCAGGTTGACTTGAGCCTCGACGTCCTCTGCTTGTTCGTTGGTCTGTTCGTATAGCTGGCAGCAAGGATGAGGGCCCCGCCTCACCCTCTCTCCATGAAGTGCGCTGTAGGACATTTTCTCGGGTGGCGGGTGGCGGGAAAGTGTAGCTTGGCGTGCGCGACGGAATTGTAGGACGGGATGCATGGAAGACTGGGTCGCTGTAGATCGGGCTGGCGAATCGTTGGCCATGAACGGGAGGAATGGAAGGTTCGAGTCGATGAAGTGTTTGATCGGAAAGTTCTGCAAGGCTCACGGAACTGGAGGCGAGTTGTCGATCGTGATGTTCAGATTCGTAGGCAAAGTAAGTCCTGGAACCCGGTCTACTTTCAAAGGCGGAATGTGGCACAAGGGGCGTCATAGGAAATGAGGGTGACACGACATGCATGTAGGTTTGCTCAATATCAAATGGTGCCTCTTCTGCTGCCACCGATGGGGTGATAGATGGCGCGAGGGTTGTCCTGGTTGAACTGTCGCGGGGTTGCTGAGGAGCGGTAAACAAGTGAGGGATGAGACTGCTTGGCAGCGAGCTCTGCCTGGGGTCATTTTCGCGCCTCTCCATTTTGACACAACGCGCTTGTCCACGTTAAAAGTGAGACAGAGGCCACAAGAAGGGCAGAGGAGACGATTTGTCGTGAAAGAAAAGAAAACAAGCTAGCTGAGCAAGGGTCGTGGAGCGCAGAGCCCATCCAGATGCGCTGGCAATGAAGTACCGTCCGAGGTGGAACAAAAAATTCAAGACGACCGAATGATCGACATGGCGGAGGAAAAAGGCGACGACTGAATTGAGGCCTTCAAGACGTTTACTTCCGTCGCAGCGTTGCAACAGGGCCCAAATACAGATGGGACGGGGTGAAAGCGAGCAGGCCTCGAAATTGGCGGTGATCCGTGCTCACACACACCCAACCACGCCATCCTTGGCTCTCGTCGCTCGCCGCCGTCAGAAGTAGACGGCCGTCGTCAAGCTTAACGCTCACCGACGCCCTCAATCGACATAGTCCCTTCACATTCCCGCTTATGCGTTGAGGCAAAACTTGCCCCTAAATGACATGTCACACCCGAAATGGTCATATGGTCCCCATGTATCGGTACCCAACTCTAATCTCATATGTTGTAAAACGTGGTTCTCTCTCTGCTTTTTCTTCTCGATTTTGTTTTCTTGATTTTGTTTTCTCCTTCGGCGGCAAGCCGCAGGCCCGTAGTACTTATTGTATCAGTCTCCGACGCGGTCTTATGACAGAATGCCGGTGATCCTATCTTTTTTAGGCAAGATATTGCGCCGAATTACTTGCGAATCCCGGAACTTAGCTTCATGGGTATAATCTTACCGGCAGGCCGGCGCAACAATTTTCCAGGTCGTCCTTGGCTTGTTCAAAGCAAGTCGCGTCAACGCTTCGCGTCGCGATGCCTTCCAAATCTTTCCCTCATCCTCGGTTTCTCACCACTTCTAGGGCGTTCTGCACTACCTCAAGATGCAGTGACAAGCCCATCATGAACCGGCACAGCAGGGTGGTCACCCAACCCAAAGACCAAGGTGCTAGTCAGGCATGTTGACTTCCCAATTGACAAAGGCGGAAGGAAATGACGTTCTTTTCCCCAGGCCATGCTGTATGCTACGGACGGCATCAAAACGGATGATGACTTCAACAAAGCCATGGTCGGCGTCGCCAGCGTCTGGTGTGTTGCTGTTACGGCTTGTGTCCATGCCATTCTGACCGTATGAGTTAGGTACGAGGGTAATCCGTAAGTCCTTTATTATTCTCAACCAACGCGTTTTGAACATTTCAATACAGATGCAATAAACATCTCCTTGGTCTGGGTCAAGAAATCAAAGCTTCACTTACAAAGTCTGGTATCATAGGCTACCAGTTTGGTACCGTTGGAGTCAGCGATGGGATCAGCATGGGAACGCGCGGCATGTCCTACTCCCTCCAATCCCGAGACCTGATTGCAGATCAAGTAGAGACCGCTGCCGGAGGACACCATCTCGACGGGATGGTCGTCGTTCCCGGCTGCGATAAAAATATGCCTGGTGTTCTGATGGCCCGTCAGTTTTTTCGCATTCTTGCTCCCTTTATCCCCGTAAATGTTTTGCATTTTTTGAATAGTTGGGCGTCTCAACCGCCCTGGACTTATGGTGTATGGTGGGACAATTCGTGCCGGGTCGTGTGAAGGAGCGCCACAGTTGGACATCGTGTCCGCTTTCCAGTCCTACGGAAAGTACCTGCAGGACGGAAAGACACCCGAAGCGGAACGCGAACGATATAATACCGTTCGACATGCCTGCCCAGGACCAGGCGCTTGTGGTGGTGTAATTCTCCATCTAGTCAGATCCTCAGCTCAAGTGAATTGAAAAATATACTAGATGTACACAGCAAACACTATGGCAAGTGCGGCGGAGGCACTGGGGATGACAGTCCCCGGATCATCATCCTTCCCAGCCGAATCCCTGGAAAAACACAACGAGTGTGCTTCGATTGGGAAAGTTATGTACAACCTTCTTGAGAAAAACATACTTCCACGGGATATCATGACTAGATCCGCGTTTGAAAATGCTATGGTCTGTCTTGTCCACGGCACTAATACCTCAATGCTAACCATTCTACCAGGTCCTCACGATGATTCTAGGCGGTTCCACCAATGCAGTTCTCCATCTAATAGCTATGGCTCACTCCGTGGGCATTAAATTGGATATCGACGACTTCCAAAACGTGTCAGACCGCACCCCCTTCCTCGCCGACATCAAACCCAGTGGCAAATATGTCATGGAAGATGTGTACAAGATCGGTGGAATCCCAAGTAAGATTTCATTCGCCACATCCACGTGTATGTCTGATGGGAACGTCAATGAATAGAAATTTTGGCGTTCTTGCTAAAGAACAAGCTAATCGACGGAAATAATATGACTGTCACGGGTCGAACCCTCGGCGAAAACCTTGAGGAATGGACACACAGATACGGCGAACTGGATTCTCGACAAGACGTTATTCGACCTCTCAACAAACCCATAAAAGAGACAGGGCACATCCGGTTGGTCTCATCCATCGTTTGTTTTCAAGACTCGGCAGGATCGCTTAGGCATAGGGACTTTTCACAGAATCCTCAAAGGCAATCTTGCTCCTGGCGGTGCGGTGGCTAAGATCACAGGCAAAGAAGGCTTGGAATTTACTGGCAAGGCACGGACTTTCGACACAGAAGACGATTTCGTCAAGGCCGTCGAAAGCGGGTCTATCAAAAAGGGTGAAAAAACGGTCGTCATTCTTCGGTATCTCGGCCCTCAGGGAGGACCTGGTCAGTATTTCTTATCTCGTATCTCTTCCGCTCTCCCATCTACTCCAGGTTTTCACCCTCATTGATGGCACTCCCGGGATATCCTTTCTTGTTGTTCCCATCATAACTCCTTTATGTAACCCTTTAACTTACACTTCCTTCCCATTATAGGCATGCCTGAGATGCTGAAACCCACAAGCTTAATCATGGGAGCCGGCTTGGGATTGGACGTTGCCTGTCTCACAGATGGAAGATTCAGCGGCGGGTATGTTCTTGCGCTCTGACACCATATCAATGGCTAACCGCTGCTTGTTCTTCGTTTTGATTGTGATTTTCAGATCCCATGGGTTTTGTATTGGACACGTCGTTCCCGAGGCACAGGTTGGTGGGCCCATAGCGCTCGTCAGGGACGGAGACACCATTGTCGTCGATGCCATCAAGAACACTATCGAGCTCCGCGTCTCACCCGAGGAGTTAACGAAGAGAAAAGAGTCTTGGATTCCACCTGCCCTCAAGGTATCCCAGGGAACGTTGTACAAGTATACTAAGAGTGTTACAGACGCGAGCCATGGGTGTGTGACGGACGCATGAACCCGCTCCAGAGGGGCATGCATGGGGGGAAAATACGTCGGAAATCGCGGGTGAATGCAATCACCCAGTTTGTTCGATACCTGGATCACATCTGCCGATGCTACGGCAAAAATCTTGAAAATTGTCGATTGAACGTGGTTGTTGATTTCTGTAATAACATTCAATTCAACTTCCTCCAGTGTGCTTCACAGTAACCAGCGCACCCATCCCTAGCTCTTCGTCTTCTTCATAATCCTTTTTTTCTCCGACTTGGGCATCTTAGATTTCCGCTTTTCCTTGGCCTCTGCTTTTACTGCTTTTTTACGCTCCTGTCAACGACGATTAACATCTTTAAGAGAAAAATATGGTTAGAGAAACCTTTTTAGCGTCACGGTCTTCGTGACGATGACCTCGAGGGGTTCGATCCACGAAGCCCTCTTTCTTCACTCCTTCAACCTCATTGTCACTGTCCCCACTATCATCAACAGACTCGTCCCCACTTCCTTCATCCGACTCAAAATCAGCGTCACTGCGGTTGGCCATAGTATTCGACTCCGACAACTCCACAGCTTGATCCTGAAATTTAACCCTTGTTCTCTTCTGCACCAAACCCTGCTTAGTGTCATCCTCGGGGCCCACAACCCCGATAGTATCAGCATATATTAGCTCACTGCCCTCTCCGCGGCTGAGCTTTGCGACGTCCCGCTCTGGATCATAAACATCATTCAACGTCCGTGGAATGAAAGATCGAAGGAAAACAGAGTCTTCATGGGCCGCATCTTCCTCCGCCCTTTCGGAGGTTGGTATGGCGTGATCGCCTTCCTCTTGGTCAATCTCTCCCACACCCTCTTCTCCAAGCCACGCCTCCAACACAGCTTCTTCCTGCCCAGCATCTTCACCCTGTTTATCTCTGGTTACGAACTCGAAACACCTTCGGAGACCGAGACATCGGACCCCGAGCCGACCAAAGAAATCTTCGACATTCTTGATATCACTCTTCAAGAAATCGAAGGCGGAGGGGTGATCGTGTTCCACACTTTGCGAAACATCTATGATCCATAGGTTTTCTTCGTGGAAAAGGATGTTGTATTCCGACAAATCGGCATGGACGAGCTTGCATTCATGGAACATCCGTCGAACTATCAATACCAGTTGTCGATATAGCGCGGCACACGATGCCGCAGGGAGCTCCGCATCTTTAAGACGCGGGGAGGCCCTAAAGAGATGTTGTTTACATGGAACTCTGAAGAGAATATGAAAAACCCACCAACCCTCCTTGCTACCAACAAATGTCATTACAAGGACGTTCTCTCTTACTTCGAGCGGGTCAGGGCATTTTATGCCAGCTGCGGCTAGCCGCTTGAGGTTCCGCATCTCCTTCTCGGCCCAAAGACGTACCATTTTCCTGGGATTACGGCTATACCCCCGCCTGAAACGATACTCTCCAGTGACGTACTTGGCGCGATCTTTGAAAACGAGGATAGAGGTTTTGTAGATCTTCAGCGCGAGGTGGGAGGAGTCTGCGGTAACGGCGTGGTAGACGTTTGCCTATTGGACATTGACATTTTTCATGAGGACAATACGAGAAAAGTCGCACCTCTTTCCCCGTGCTGACACAGCCGTTAACTTCGTGAAGCAAGCCTCGTCCAATCATCTTGAACAGGATAAGGCGAGTGCGCGGGTCAAGAACCTGCTCGTTCGTAGCTCGATCGCTCTTGTCTTTTATGTTCGCATGAGCACTAGGACCTTTCCTGTTGACCCCGACACCCATTACATATGGAACGTCGATTTTTGCGATACGGGAGCTATATTTTGCGAGCGAGGCAAGTTGATCGATTGTTTTATCTTTTCCATTCGATCGATTGGAGGGCGCACTCAGAGGAATCGTAGTACGTGGATGGTTTACAGCAGGAAGTGCCGCGACGGTCGAAAATTGGTTTAGCGCGGACGAAGTACCTTGAGCGTTGCCTGTCCGGACCGCAACATGCTGTTTGAGACGGTTATACTGCTTCGTGAAATCTGTAATTGTTTTAACGTTTCAAGGAATAAAATTGCGGAGGGTCGATATGGTATACCTCGCTCTGCGATCTCCCAATCCTCATCCTCTACGCGATTCTCATCATAAGTGTCGTCTAAGTCATCATCGTCGTCTTCGAGTGGTGAATTTGGCCAGTCAAGGGCGTTAGCGTCTTCCGCTGGATCGTATGTATCGATGTAGAACTGGCTTGGACGAGGAGCATCATCGAATTGGCCTTCGTCGATGGGAGCGTTGATCAAGGTCGCCATGGTCAAAGACTAATTTTGAGAGCAAATCAGATCACGTGGTTTGTCTACCTCAGCTGCATTCAACTATGTGCGTCGATGCGACAAAAGGCTGATATGGACTCCTTCCGGCGACGAATCCCTTTCAAATTTTCCGAACATGAGTCTGGAGAAGACGCGGAGGTCTTGGACGAGCAGCGTATGTCGACTTGACCTATTTTCAAGTGTCACAACCGACGGTTTTTGGCACAGAACAGGACGCTGTGGTTGAGAAACTGCGTCGGGCGAACGCTGTAGCCAGTGCGCAATACCAACTTATGTTACGAACTGTACTTGCACTGTCGGCTCTCCTGTCAGTTCTATCAACCAACTTTATTCATCGCTAAACTACATTCAATGTAGCCAACTCGTCTTCCTCTTCTCGCCAAGCAAGCAAAGCCCTTTGCTAATTATCTTCCCTTCCTCGGTGGAACATGAACCGTCGATTCCTTTTCCATCTTGCTTCACCTTGCTTTCTCTGTTCCTCCACCTCAACCTTGCAATCCTGTGTCATCCAGACCTAGTCCGAGTACATCTTCAACTCAACAACAATCCCCGGTCACTGTCCTACGAGCTGCTCTACTCCATGTCCGCAGTCCCCCCTACCCTCTCTTTATTTCTCCAAAAAACATGGCAAACAACTGTTTGGTGGTGCTCACCAGCCTTGATCATTTTCATCGTCCAATCCGTCATGGAAGCCATCGAGACAGGGAATCAGGGTGTTGCGGAGCTCGAGTCCTTAAAATATGTTGCTCCAGGTGCATAATGCCAATAGCTCGTAGGTGACAAGCTACGAGGAACTCTTCTTGAACTATGTAATGTAATTATTGGACTTCGCACTGTCTATTGCTTTCGTACAATAGTTGTATGTATAGACTCATATAAATGCTAATATCTCTCATATATATCTTACCTGGTATAAACTACTGGTCCACTCTTTGGTCTGCGGCTGCGTCTCAGTTCCGGCCCAGTGTCGTCCTCTTCCAACTTAACCACCGTTTCCTTCACTTGACGTTTTTTGGAGCTCCCTGGTGGCCACACATCCACGTACCTTCTCTTGCCTTTGAGATCGACATAAATTCCATGTTCTTCAAGATGCGAGTTGTAGTGAATGTTGACCAGATGCTGTAGCGATTGTTGTACTGGGGAATCCCTGACAGATGACCATGATTTGCTTTTCAAGATGTAAGCCGTATGTTCCGGAAGCCCATTGAGATTCTCTTCTGTCAGGTTGAGGAGGTCGATTGTATAGGAACAACCGGGAATACAACAAAACCAGGTGAATCGACCTGGAGGAATCTCTGGAGGATCAAACACGCATTGGGGGATTGGTTGCGCAAAAATGTCAGATTCAATATCAGAGTCTGTGTCCGACATCCCTGGTGTAGAGGGTTCCGAAAAGTCCCCATCATATGAGAACTCTCCCTTGCGTAACTCTTCTTTGTGTGAGGCTTCTTTGCGTGGTAGCTGGGCCTCGAATTCGAAATCCATCTACCAGTGTTTTCTCAATGCTCGTTATGCTAACCCACAGTTATTTCCAGATCATACCTGCTTCTTTTTCTCTTTCAACCCATTGTGGAGCTGTGTCTCCCAAAACGTAGCAGGCTTCTCGCCCATACCAAATCTTGCCAAACCAAATTCATCGCCGGCTTTGCCAATATATTCCTTTTTGGCACCATGTGGCATTCCCCACCTCACTCCTTGCGATCTTGCCTTCTGTCGATCAATTTTCACCTCTCGACAGAACGCAACCCAATGCCGTAAGCTCAGCCGACCCCGCACTTCCTGGCTGTGAGATGATGCCAATTGATGTGCGAGGAGCCACTCAGCCTGCGCCGCAAAATAACACCTGATATCAGCCTGAGAAACATGCCTTAGGTGGCGTTTCACTGAAGTCTGTTCGTCGGGGCCGTTATGTATAAGACGCCGGAAGAGATCGTGCTTCCGAATTTCGGTGGTGTATTTTTCAACCAACCAGTCGATGGTGCGTTGATCTAGAGGTGTTCTCCCTTTGTCGAGCGCATCTATCTGGCAGATTATAGCCCACAGAAAGTAGCGATCCAGGAAGTTGCGACTATGTTCATATGTGCGAACATCGAGACTTGTGATTTCAATAGTTCGTATTCTGAATCCACCGATCGTAAGTAATCATTAGTCGCTTCGCTTCTGGAAAAGATGATACGCACGGATCTATTGTCGTTACAACCAATGATGTAGGGCGTGAAACCACTGGGTGACGGTTCCATCGGCTTCAGTAGACCACACAAACAGAAATGTCATTTACTTGTCAAAAATGCCGCTGGATGAGTTTTGCGAAACCGTAGATAGACACGGATGGTTGAACCAGAGTTCTTGCCATCCCCGAAAAGACGCTCTAGCGTGAGGCCGCTTCCAGGACCATCTCTCTGCCTGAGTTCCGCTCGAAGTCGTATGCGACCAGTTTCAGTCAAGTATGCCGTTTTGTTTAGACGCAAGATGCCGTATACATCCACTGGGGTTTCGGCCTTGTTAGTTCGTGGATCGAGGAGACGGCTGCCTCGAGGAGGGGTGGTAATAAACTCTGTTTCGTCAAATCTAAGAAAACATAAGCCGACACAAATGGGCGAGATGGGGGTAACGAACCCAATTGGCTCGTCTTTGAAATAAAGCCTGGTCGATTCCAGGCGGAACAGGGAATCTGGCGCATTCTTCTCCAGAATCTCTTCCACCGGATATGGACCAAACGGCGCCTTCAGCAATTCGCTCAACTTGAGGGGGGTTGTCATGATAAGATGTAGGAGTGAAGCATATCGTCACGTGCTTCGATCCTCCAACTTTCCTTCATGTCTGAACCAGCTGCAGAACCTACAGACGCGTCTGTACTTGGTAAACGGCTACGAAAGGAGGACGGCACGAACAATGGCGAACCAACAGACCCATTAGAGGATGACGACGATGACGATGTCGGACCCATGCCTTTGCCCGCCGACGCTGCTGGAGGAGGCGTAAAGAAGAAACGAAAAGGTATACAGCCTGAACCTAATAATCCTCATATGATGTTCATTCGACTTCAAATTTAGTCCTCCCGCATGAGCGTTTGTATCTCGAGCATCTTCCAGACAAAGATCAATACTACAAGAGCTTCATGCACCGTGACGTCGTCAATTTTTGCGTTATGACCAAGTGCGCGTTCTTCTCTATCTCTTTAGTCTCTTCGAATTTATCTTCCCATTCCCAGGACTGATTTCCTGATTACCACGTCGGTGGACGGCCACTTGAAACTCTGGAAGAAACAAGAAGCCGGTATAGAATTCGTCAAACATTACCGCGCACATCTCAGCCCAGTGGTTGGTGTATCCGCGAGCGCCGATGGACAGCTGTTTGGGACGATTTCGGAGGATCAGACTGCGAAAGTGTTCGACGTTGTCAATTTCGGTGTGTACTTTTCATCATCATCTGTGTGCGAAAGTTCCTTACCATTATTTAGATATGATCAATATTATAAAGCTTGGGTTCAAGCCTCATGCGGGCTGTTGGGTTCATCGGAAAGGGCAAGCACAAGGATTGCTTGCAATGTGAGATGCTTTGCTTCTACTTGACGACCAAAAGTCTCATCTTTCATCATAGTTCTGACGCGTCTTCGGGTACGGTACGACTGTATGATGGTCGTGGAGGTGACAAGCCGTTGGAAACTATCGAAACTTTGCATCGCTTCCCCGTTCATCTAATGACTGTGCGTATTGTCAAACACTTGACATTATAGGCTAATGACCATCTTGTCATAGTACAGCGACCGTTATGACACCGTCATATCCGCTGATGAAGGCGGGTTCATAGAGTACTGGCAACCCATTGAGCCCTTTGTGCTACCCAAAAACATTCCCAAACTCTGGTCGTACAAGAGTGAAACAGATCTGTACGAGTTCAAAAAAGTTAAAAATTTCCACCTTCACAATTGGAACTATCTATCTGACTCATCTGTACAGTCAAAGTCCACGCCAACGTGCATTACATTGTCTCCCGATTTCTCCTCATTTGTGACGTTCTCCTTACCGGACCGGCAAATCCGCGTTTTTTCTTTCCTCACTGGAAAGTTGACGAGGAAGTACGATGAATCTTTGGCGGCTATACAAGAGATGCAGCAGGCGGGTACAGCCGTTTACCGGGTTGAGGATATGGAGTTCGGGCGGCGGCTGGCGGCAGAGAGAGAGCTGGAGTTACCTGGGCCCGATGGGAGAATACCGGGAAGCTGGAGCAATGCGATTTGGGATGAAAGCGGCGCATTCATCATCTATCCTACGTTGTTGGGAATAAAAGGTGCGTTTTGGGCAGGAATTATTTTTCTAGTGCTAAATCTGTGTTTTAGTTGTGAACACCGTAACGAATCGCGTCGTCCGACTGTTAGGGAAAGATGAGGTGGTGAGATTCATGAATCTCAGCGTTTATCAGGGTGCCCCTGCGAAGAAGAGTATTACTACCATGGTGAGTCTTTAAATCCATTTGAATAGATGACGGGGTGAATGCTACCATTACAGGCCATGGCAGCGTCTGCAAACCCCATCTTGGCTGGGAAGGGTCAAAGGGATCCTACGCTCTTCTGCACGGGTTTTAAGCGGCCTCGATTCTATCTCTTTACGCGTTCAGAGCCCGAGTACGTGCTCAGCAGTTTAAGTGTCTCGCCAAGCCATAACCTCTTTTACAGAGACAATAAATCTGGCGAGCGAGATGTCTTCAACGAACGCCCTACCCGAGAAGAACAGAGCGTTGCCGCAGCAACCACGGCTACTAACGCAGGCCCATCCCCCGTGGCTAACTCGGCGACAATCCACACCACAGTCGGAGATATTCACATGCGCCTCTTTCCACAACAAGCTCCAAAAGCTGTGGAGAATTTTGTGGGACATGCTAGAAGCGGATACTTTGAAGGAATTCTCTTTCATCGCGTCATTCCAAAGTTTATGATCCAGACGGGCGACCCACTGGGCGATGGTACAGGTGGAACATCTATTTGGGGCAGGGAATTTGAGGATGAGTTTTCCGATGATTTGAAGCATGACCGGTAGGCTTCAATGTCCATTTCTCCCTTCTGGTAGTTGATATTTTTGCTAGGCCGTATACAGTGAGCATGGCAAATGCAGGACCTGGGACTAATGGCTCTCAGTTCTTCATTACGACAACAACAACCCCGTGGCTGGACAAGAAGCATACCATCTTTGGTCGGGTGTTGTCTGGCCTTGAAGTTGTGCATTCCATAGAGAATGTCAAGGCGAACAAGGTTGACAAGCCATATGAAGATATCAAGATCGTTAACGTAGATGTAGAGTAGTGCAATGTATGTACGTTACTGAGATTTTATGGATCCAGAGCACAGTTTACAGTGCTAACCTGTCAAGCGTTATCGAGCCACACACTACCCTAAGCGAGACTGCGAAGTCTCCGATCTGGGCAAGCCGCTCTGCAAACTTTGCTTCAAGCCGCTTGACGATTTCATCAGGCCCCAACTGAGTGGGGTATGAAATTGCAAGAGCACGCGGACATGAGAACTTCAAAATTGTATGATGAACGCTACCAGGAAGGAGTAGATCCAGGAGACATTCATATGTGTTCACAGTGACTCCACTGAGAAAAACCGCAGGTGTCGGGGTACCAGGAGGAACATAGGCGACCTCATAGTCTAGAAGGACAGCTGCGAGAGGGACTGCATTGCTAAGTGGCATTCCTTCTGGAAGTGAGATCGAGGATGGGATAGAATCCACTACAGAAACACGGTCGGATAAAAAGTGAAGGACGTCAAGCAGAGGCTCTGGAATTGTTGTCATCTAAGTCATGAGATTTGTCGGTCGAGCAAGTCAGGTTGTGCTGCAAAAAACACGAACAAGGTCAAACGAATCCTCTGGATCTGCAGCACCAGGAAGAAGGAGCACAAAAAATGGGAAGGCGTTTGTTATTTCTGTCTTCTCTTGCTGGGCGTCGCGCCCTTTGGTGATATCCACCATGCGATGGCGAAAGACAGAAGCATTTACCAAGAAAGATTGCCCTGTACTTTCGTACAGATGGAAAACATGCCTAAAAAGATGGCCAACTTCGGGGTTCTGCGACAAGGATTTAGTTGAGCGTTCCAACCTCAGGTTGGGATGCAAGAATTAGACGAGCCTGACGGAGACTACGTATTAGCCAAGAAAAGGCATCAATAGGATCCTTGGGCGCAAAAGTGTCGACTAGTAATCCAGTTCTTTGGAGAGCGATGAGCTCAAGTATACCGTACTAACACATGGGGCCCTGGGGGCTCACCGTAGACCAAGACCGATAATGACAAGGTCAATTGCAAATGTCCTAAGTTTGGCAGCTGAGAGTTTGCGCAGCTGGTTGGTTGCCCTTGCTTCGTTGTAAATGACTTCGACCGTTGTGGAGAAGGAGCTCGTCATATTTGTGACTGGTGTCGTGAACAAGGAGTGAAGCAAGGTCTAGATACAACAAATTTGACTAGCGACTATGATACAAAAACAATCGTGTCGACCTGGCATAAGTTTGCCACCAAATTAGTCCCCAAGTTCTACGTAGTCGTGTCCATGTGCACCGTCGTCTCGGGAGGAATCTTACCCTTTAATTGCCTTTCCAACAAGAACGTGTCGATGCGTTGTTTGAGTTCCGGCACTGTTCAAGGATCAGTATAAATTCTTTGACCGGGTCTGAAATAACCGACCTGAAACAACATCCTCGATTGACAGTGGTGCTCTGTTGAAAGGATCTTTGGAATCTGATAATAAATGTGACTTGATCGTAGCACGGTCAAGGATGGTCTTGGACGAGGGTAGCAGTACAGGATCCCTCATGACAGTGAACATAAGTGGGTCTGGCAGATGTTTTAGCAACTTGAGTGCGGATTTGTTGGGAGACGCACCTAGGAACTCATCTGGGACATCCCCTAGGTCTTCCTCTGCCTCTATTGTTGCCTTCGCCTCCTCGACCTTGGCAACAAAGATTCGCAAGCTTTCAAGTTCAGTCTCCGTTTTCAGCCCCTTTCTGATAGCGATACCCTCAGCTCGATCAAACAACTCCTTGGTGTAACTTCGACCATCACCAGCTACAGCCTGGATGAATTCTTTCTGGTCACTCAAGTTCAAGAATACTTGTATGATATCCGTCAACAAGGCTTTAGGGTCGAATTTAAGCTTTTCCGGTTCACGGACTTTCAGTTCTTGACACCGAGGTCCAGCGAGGGCTTGTAGGTTGTAGTCCAACATCGCTGCAAGACGATCGACGATTTCCGGCATCATAAACGGTCCCTTAGTTTCCGCCGTAAACACTTTGAGCAGCTCGACGGTAGATCTTCCAAGTGTTGTATATCCTGAAGCATGGCGTTCCAGTGACCGCAAAGTGCTTTCACGTTCCCGCCTGTACTCAACGGGCTTGGCATCCCAAGTTTCCTTGTCATCCATTTCAACTTGAATGTTGTGGATTTGGGTAAGCTCGCTCAAAGATTCGTCCATGAGGTACGTCACGTCGTTGATCATAAGATTCACAAAGCGAACGAACTTGTCGACATTTCTAACCGTACGATCAGATGAATGACTTCACAACACATAATCAATATAACGCACAAAGCCTCGAGGTTTAGTGCCTGTCTGTGGGTAGGGTTGTTCCATACCACTTTCAGGATGTAAGAGATGTTCCGTCTACGTCACAATTAGTAAGGAAATATGATGCTGCAACATCAGTAGATACCTCGCATCTAGTTAACGTAATCCTTCCTGTGAGCTGTATACCGCGCAAAATGCCAGGATCACGCACTGAATTTGTCATAAAACTGAGAGCTTGCGCCAGTTTGTTCCACCTCTGTTCAGGTAAGGCCTCCCACCACGTCAAACAACACTGCAACTTACCAATGTAGAAATGCATCAGCGCGGGCATGAGATACTTGAGTGCCATCGGATGAGTGTTCAGGAGATTTCCAAGGATGCCGTTCCTTTCGCGTCCATAACCCCAGATGCTCATGAAAAGAACCTTTCAATGATATGAGAATGAGTATACACGAAGTGAATGTGATCTTACATCGTTGATTTTGGATTTGAGGAACGGATTCTTGATGTACCAAGTCGAAGTGAGGAATGTCAGGACAAAGGTCAATAGCTCAATCTTCCCTGACAGTTCAAATTTGTCTGGGGATGACCTTGACAGTGGGTTCAGGCGCTGAACATGAAAGGACCATTGATCACTCACTGCACAGCGAAGTAAAGATAATCGACGATGTCCTCCACGATGTATTCTGGGAGCACTCTGAAAGACATAGGTACTTCCTTGGGAAGAGGTAGCCTGCGAATCAAATGTCAGCCAAAGATACTTTGAGGGGTGAGAGTTAAACATGTACTCGACAGTTGGATTAGGATGTGCCTTCTTCGGATCTGCTTGCCTTATTAACCAAGTTGACAAGAAATTCGTGAATCCGATCGATCGAAAAACGAGTTCAGGATCAAGCAAGCCGGCCTCAAATGAGAGTTGCTGCATCTTAATTTTCGCCTGCTCGTTCTTTACGTGTTTGATCGCTGCCTCCGTGCGAGCTTGCATGGGAGTCTGAGCAAAGTCAGAAGCAGAACCCGAAAAGTCAAAGTAGACGAATGCGCACACCCATCCACGATCCATCGCTGTTCAACATCTCGAGATGCCTTTGAATGTCCTCAACGTGCTTTGCCAGCCCATTGTATGTTTGAATGGTTTTTAGATAGCCATAGTGACTCATGGCGATTGAAATAAAGAAGATGTTGGAGATGAAGTTCGGAGGTGGGGCTGTAGTCCAATGAACTGGTTAGACATTTGTTAAAGAGACGCTGGACGTGTTCACAGACCATCGGGTTTTCTGTTCTCTTCAGACCATTGGTTTGCTTCTTCGCTTGTCGCTTTAATTCTTGTCTCTTCCTTCAAATCAATACGCGATGACTGTGCATAGAACAGGGGGTCGATGCGGTCCATCTACGACTACGGTCAGAAGAAGTTGAGATTTTTTGAAAGAGAGAACCAACTTTGGTATAGTTTGCATCCATGAATGGCTCTGCAAAACGATACAGGATGCTTTGTATATTCACCATGAAGCTATCAGACGAGACGGTATTTGGATCGACCTTGAAGGTAAGAAATGAGCTGGGCGATTATAACGTTGAGCAAAGAATCCCACCTGCATTCCTGCACGCTTCACATTCAGTGCAATCACGCGTGCAAAGTACTGGAGAACGGCTTCCCGTGACTCTGCCGACGCTCTCACCAACGTGTTAAAGACTTGGAATAAGGAAGACTATCAAAAAAAAAAGTCAAGATGTGTACTCGGTCATTCGATAACAAACAAACCTGCAAGCTTTTGAGTGTTCCCCTCAAACTTGCAAAGGATGATTCGATATCGTCTCTGGTTCGTTTCTCGGGATCAGAAAAGTATGCCTGTCCAATTCCTGGCTAAAAAAGTTTTAGTCATCTCAGTGGCTAAGCAATCTAACGGAAAACCCACCCATTCAGCAGAAAAGACGCCCAGCCTGCACAATGGCCCGAGCAACGAGACACGTTCAAAAACAGGAGCCGTTGCAATGGGATTCCACTCAGGCATTCTTGTGACCATAACAGCAATGGTTTTGATTGACACTAAGACCTCTAATCCGCTTACAACTCCTCGCCAGATCGCGTCGCCTCCACCGAGACCTTCCGGCCTGAAGAGTGATTCGTGGAAAAGCAACTCGCGAACGACAGGACCGAGAATACCGTCGATCTCATTATCGGGTTCGAAACGGCGCGCGACGTCCTGCAGGAATTGCTCAACATCGGAAGGGGATAGAGAATTCGGATTAGACGTAGGGCTGGAAAGGAGGGGGGCTGAGAGAGCTGAGAGGGAAAGAAGTGGTTGAACAAGCTCCGGTGGACCGAGGGGTCGTCTGTGATTGTCAAAATTGATCCAAATTCTGGGAAGTTTTTTTTACTCACCCTGATGGTTGGGGAAACATATCTGGCTCCTGCAGGGAGAACCCCGCGTAGCTGATAAGAAGTTCACGGATTTTCTCCAGGCGATCAAGTCCCTTCTGCGTGTCCACTGGGGGGTAATTCTAGCGCAATGGCTGTTATACTCCAACGGTCACTTTTATAAGCTGCTTGTGCACACCTTCTTCAGGAACGCGGACCTCGTCGCGTTCAAACGCTTCCAACACCCGACAAGAAATTCGAAGATAGTTTGCTGAGCGGGGAGGGAGGCCAGTACGGGAAGAAAGTCCAAATCGTCTCTGTTGTATGGATGAGTATCGCGCTCTTTATGCAGATGGTCAAAGGCGTATTCACGTCATAGTTTGGGGATCAATCTCTAATCGAGAAATCAAAAGCTGGTCCAAGATATCTACGGAAAGCCGCGAAGGCGCTAAATCGCGTTCGAATTGTGTCAGCAAGAGGACAGGGACAAGGACAAGCAAACATATACGTACCAGTTCCCTCTGAAGCCATGTCATCCGCGAGTTGCTTCAACCAGACAGTTTCAAAGCCACTCTTCTCAGCAACTTCTTTCTAAAGAAGAATATGTCAGGCCCATTGATTAGAATAAAAGAATACCACGCACCCTGAGTGTCACCTTCAGGACACTAGTAATAACATCATGCTCCCAAGTTTCAAGGTCCAATTTGGCGACCGTAGGCGCCTTCTTTCTTATTGAAATTGGAGCAGAAACTGGTTCTTGAAAGAGGTGTGACACGGCTGGAGGACGGGGCGAAGGCTTGAGCGGTCTCGGAGCTGGAGAGGGTGGAGGTGGAGTGGCCACCGATGGAGTAGAAGGAGACGGAGATGGCGCAGGCGATGGACCTGAAGATGTGGAAGCGCCGTTCGTAGCGGCTTGCAATCTCGCGAGTCTCTTCAATCGGATCTACAAAGACGAGTACGATGATTATTTAAATGAAGAAATAGACGCGAGGTTGAAGAAAACGCACCCGTTCAGCATCTTCCTGCGGTGTCGGTGTATTGTCAGCCATTTGAACACGTCCTGCGACTGAGGGATCAGAAATGTGGGGGTTCGTGAAGGCAGAAGAAATGTATGATAGCCTTGTGTATAGTGGGTGTATCGTATAGTGGGTGTATCCGAGTTGTGACTATGTACTTATACTTGATCTTGGCTTGATCACTCTGGTTCGACCACTTTTGGCCATAACCTCCTTGCAACCTCCTTGCACGACATGTTCTTCATTCAACTGGCACGGACAGTCCAATCATGTTCAAGGTCACAACCCTCTGCAACAGCTTTCCTGCCGCGGTTCTTCTCGGTCTCATCCGTTGCTGAAGCTGGTTACAAAATGAAATCGCATTCCGGCGCGAAAAAACGCTGGCGGTCGCTCGCTTCAGGTAGCGATTTTAAACGTGTACGTTGTTGCACAGACTCTCCGAACTTTCAGTTCTATAATGTCTATTAGGGGAAAGCATGTCATTCACATTTGAATGCGTCCAAAAATGCTGCAAGAAAAAATAGACTAAGCACCACAGCCTACTCAACCAGTGCACAATCACACAAGCTGAAGAAACTTCTGCTGCCTTATGGTTCGAATTAGACGCAGTAACGGTAATGCACTATCCGTCGATAGGTTGCTTCCGACGACGTTCTGATTATCCACGTTCTATAGTCGCTGCCATGCATACATCATTGTCAGTGTAGGTACATATTGTACAAGCGAGGATGATCATCTCAGTCCATTCGCAGTGCAGCTTACTTAGGAGGTCATTCAATTCACTCGAGCACGGGAAACCTACGTATACTGTCTCTTCCCGCTGTGGCGGCGGGCCCATATCATATTCTCGGCTGTCTGTTTGCAAAATAGTTGGCCAAGCTGCCTTTTTGGGAAACGCAAATTTTGAGGCGGTTGTTCCGCCAAAAGCTTTCCTTTTGTTTCTCCCTCGATACACAACTTTTTTTGTATAAATTTTAATATATTCCGAATCGTTTTGACGAGCCCGAGAGGCCTAGTATGAAACAAGAGATGTATGTAAGTATGTGTGATGGTCTTCGATTACAATCATAAACCTTTCACCGACTCATCTGACTTAGGCTTTGCAAGCTCAAAGCATCCAGCTATCGATTCCATGTCGCTGCCCCAGGCATCTTCACCAGCACCACCATGGTCTAGGAGGGCGCGTGAAGCCCGAGGTAAGTAACTAGTATTATTGTTGACTTGCGTCATGGCAATTTACATATTCGGATTGTAAAAGAGGTTGCCGCCGCCGCTAATTCCAGTACCGCTACTGCCGCGAATCCCAGTACTATCCCTTCCACAATTTCCCAACCCGTCGCGCAGCGCCAAATCTGTCTCGGGTACAATTGCTACGAAAATAGTAAACGAGCTCATTGGTACTTATATATTCCATCCACGACGGATTCGAACATTGGCAAGGTCATTCAGGTCACCGGAAACGTATGGGATGGGTTTGGTTTCCAAATCAAGACCAACTTCAATATTCGAGATACATATGACCATTACATACACCTGGGATATGTTCTGCCGGACCTGATCGTGGACGACTACACCCCGGACGCTTACCGTGCAGCCGACATTCGATCGCACCCCATTGACGCGATCGAGCAGGTTGCGTTCGACCTCGGACTCCCTGTCCAAAACCCCGAGGCTACTTTACCACCTCATGATGATCCCGTGTGGAACCTCCCAAACAGAGACTTTGAGCGTTGCCAAGAGTGGATCGGGAAGCTAGTTGGAGTTCTGGTGGAGAAACGCCGATACCTTGACCCAGCTGCCCTCAGTGCCCTTGACAACGCCACAAGTTTCGGTGTCTAGCAAGTTTACAACAGAGTGCGTGAGTGTTACGATTATTGTACCTATCCTTCCACGTGCGCGTGTCCCATTTACTTTCAACAAGTAAATACTTCTACGTATGTCCCATTTACTTCTACAATGACCTACTTCTACAATGACCGTGCTCTCCAACGACATGTTACCTGCGGACGACTGTGAATTCTTTCCCAATTGGCCTGGACCCGAAGATCTCCCTAGCCCCGATGCGGTTAGGGAGCATCAGGACGTCTTATCCCGTCGTCGCAATGTCGTCGTTCGCTTCCTCCATTTGAAGCTCATCGTCAAATATGGGAGATGCGTCAGACCGGCAGAAGGACAGGCATTGTGAGCCATTAATCAATTTACTGATGTGGCAGCTCCTACGGTTTATGGGTGGTTTCAAGACGGGGATGAGATGTTTCTCTATATGAGTCTTGTGGAAGGAGTCCCGCTGGCACATAGGTGGTCAGAGCTTTCGACGGCAGAAAAGGTGGATATTGCCGAACAACTGCGGAAAATGTTGGCCTCTATGTCCAAGTTGCAGTTGCTGCGAGATGAAATTTATATCGGTATGGGACCCGTTACTTACTGATGATACTTCACATCCTGATCAGAAGTTCCAAGGCTCGCAGCATGGTCCATGCCTCGATGTGTTATTTGAGATGTATAGCCACCCTCATCGCGGGCCTTTTCCTTCGTCGAAGGAGTTCCACGACTTCTTTGTCACCTTGGGTACTTATACTCCCAAATACACGCGTAACGGCTTGCCCGATTCCTCTCCGATCACGTTCACGCATAATGATCTACACTTCGACAACATCCTTATTTTTCCCAAAGGTTCCCGAGTCATGGCTATCATTGACTGGGAACTGTCAGGGTTCTACCCCTCATATTGGGAATGGGCGATTTCGACCTGGATAGAAGAAGCTCGAGGAAGCGACTCAAGACGCTTCATAAATACCATTTTGAAGCCGTACGATCATGTTTATAGCTATTGGGGTGAATTTTTGCGTTCTTTAGGGGTTTAGTGTCCTTCTACAGCAATGGAATATGGTCCATTTCAATAATATCAACCCCAGTTGCATTTTTCGACGATAGCCAGTGCTATTCGACCAACGCGACTGGTAGGAGTACCGTCTGCCTTTTTGACACGCGACTCCTGGAGAACAACAACAATAACAACCACCACCACCGTGTCCTGGGCCACCGAACTTCGAGCCCTGCCAGTGGCGTGATACATTATGCTCAGTACCGCCTACTATTGGCGAGGCTAGCTACCCAAATCTATCTCTATCGCCCGCATGTACACCATATCCGCATACATCTACCCCTATGCAGACTCTACCATTCAGGCCTAGACCACCGATCACCTCAGCCCACATCAGCGCCTGCAAGCGCGACTTTAGGAAGCAGCGATTCCTCCGCATTCATCTCAAATATCTACCGACCACTTCCAATCCCCGTTGTGCCCGATTCCGACTCTGGCAGAAGGAGGCTCGCATGCGTAGACGCCAGCTCAAGCTTATCCATTCAATGATGCAGCACATCAGCCATGCCGTTAGGGAATCGGAGTGTTCACTCGCTCTGTTCTCTGAGGCGGCTTGGCACCACAACGTTTCCGTGAGATCAGCCGAATCTGGAGAGGTTTTCCAACGCCCGCTCAAACGCCCACGCTCTCCATCTCCAACCGCCACTCTCCACACTGCTCCCTTACGTCAATACAGCATCCATGATCGACACCTCATCGCCCGTGCACTGAAATCCCAGCCTAGGTTTCTCTGTACTGTACCGAACTGTATGGTGGCAACGGCAGACGGAGCGTTACGCGCCCCGAAGGATTTTTTTCGGCAACCGACCGGGTGTTACGCGTTACTTTGGTCCGATAGGCAACCCCCCCGGAGATTTAGGAAGACGATGTTACAGAAGTAGATGGTCGGCTGGGCATACAATGATCCTGGCAATGCCGGGGTATTCTACCAGATTTTACCTATATTTTAGTATCTGTAGCCCCGCAGGGACAGAAAAATGGACTTTTTTTTGGTCATTTTCATAGCAACACGGCCAGCGTTACGCGTTACTTTACCTGAAATAAGCAACAAAATCAGGCCAGCGTTATGCGTTACGTTGCCACCATACAGTTCGGTACAGTAGAATACATCACACGCCCGGTCGTCATAAGCCTCTTTAAACCCATCGCGTAATCAACGGATCACCCTTGCGCAGCCTATCGAGTAGTTACTTACTTAGATGATTTTTTGTTGTAGATAGGTGGTGAAATTGTAACAATTGTAACATAGAGAGGGACATAGGTAATTTGATATATAGATCCGTTCGTTATATCCATCCACCCAACAAAGATAGTCCAATCCAACAAATACAGTCTCTAAAATCAGATCTAGTGCTACATCACAACGCAATCCTTCTTATCCTCCGCATGGTTTGCCTCTTCTGTGGCGAGAATGAGTTTCTCATCCTCGGTCAACAACTGCGAATCTAGTTAAGCCATGCAACTTGATAGTATGGCAAGAGGACACATACCCCTTTCTTTGCACGAGCTTGCATCGCCTTGCGTTTACTCTCTCTCTCCGCCTTCGCTCGTCTATAAATACAGGTATGGGTGAATAATTCAAGCCGGAGTGCATATGGGTCGAGGAATTATTGAAGTCCAGGGCATAGATTTCGACGCGTCGACATTAGGCGTAGGATTAGTGGTGGAATCATTGGTAGTGTCGTCAAGTTCATTGATGGGCATGGATGGAGCGGAAGTAGAGAGACTAGTGCTTCATGAGTCGATACTAAAATGGTAGGGAATAGATACCTACCGGTCAGTCTTGTTGAAGGGAAGTGCCAAGCCAGAATTCGTAGCTGCAGCACTGGTATTAATGGAGGCCACGGATTTCTTGACAGCGTCAGCAGCAGCAGAACCCGTGGCTGATGCCTTTGAGTTCAAAGTTTTAGCAGCAGCACTGAAATTTGGTGTGGGTCTCGAGGGGGTTTGCTTGGCCTGTGGTATGGAGTTTGCGCAGTTGTGGTCAGCGGGAAAACGATGGGCTGGGCAGAATTGTTCTCGGCATTTCTATCAAGTTCATGAGTAATCATTTCGAACAAATTCTATTAGGACTCACAACACATCGAATGGGTGAGAAAAGAACTTTTTTGCATGTTCCTCTGGCACACCTAGGTGTTGCTTTCGACTTTTGCTGTTTCCCGCTCATCACAGAGCATTCTTGACTAAAATGGAGCTCCATGCGGACGTTTGGGTCTTGTCCAGGGCGAACAGCGACCGGGATATTGCACACAGGGCCTGCAGATGATTAGCATAGAATAATAGAGTCCTGCGGAATGAAATACAATTTGGAGCCACTCTGTTATGCTTTGCCTCATCGTACTTTGGACATTGGTGAGCCTCGACTTTGAAGTGCTCCTGGCAAAAGGCCAGTTCACAATGCTGGCACTTGAATGGCAGGAAATCGACGAGAAGACACGACTGGTGTGAACATTGCTTTCCAATTTCAAGGAGTTGAGAGTCAGGCTCAGTGAGGGTGGAAGAGGACATCTGGTATGTGGAAGAGGTGTGAAGATGACGCACGCTAGCCGCGCAAGCATGATAAATTAGTGTTTGGTTCTGTTTCAAACGGAGGTGGTTGCAAAATCACATTCACCAGTTGACTTGGTCGCAGCACTTGACTTGAAGCAACGATGACCGTCGTGCAAGCCGGAAGCAAGGAAGATGAGAGCGCCTTTCTTTCTTCCGTTGAAGGAGAAATATCTTTTTTTCGCTCTATCATGCGCGCCCGGCCTGTCGGCATCCATCGATACTTTCACGTTCTTACAATTCAAAGTTCCATTTTCAAAGATACTGGCAGAACAATACACATAGACTCTATCTGGAAGAAACTGAGAACATGTTACGACCTTGACGCTCTCGACGCTATTGTGAGTATCAGTTCGTTTCTTCACTCGGGATCTTATCATTGCTATAGGACTTGGAAGCTGAAGGATACTACACCCCCCACTCCAACAACTCCACGCCCATTTCCATTCGCTCTCCATCTCCCTCCGAAAATCTCTCCAGACATCCTTTTTTCAAAGAAGAGTTCTCACTGCCATACGATGAATCCTTCGAAACCCTAATATCACAACGCCGGATGCGCGCCACTGTCTCTGCCCCATCTTCCCCCATTCCGCCGCCAGAATCACCTCTTCTTTCAGTCTCAACTCTCAAACGCCGTAACAGCACCAGCCGAAAACGCGGGAAGAGTAAAAGCAAACTCAGCCTCGCGGGTCTCGTTGGTGGTGATAGTGACAGCAGTGCGCTGACGCAGGAGAGTGGCGATGAAGGGCCAGTCACAATGGGGACGCCGAGGGAAAGCGTGTTGACTGGGACGGATGCAGGCACTGATTATGCGGAAGATTTTGATGTTGATATGCGAGAGCCTTCACCAGGTGCGTCGCTGTTGGCCTCTTTTCTGCTCTGATCATGACATGGATATTTACAGCGCGTTCTGCATCTCCGAAACCTACGCGTGGGCGTCCTCCGAAAAACAGCAAGAGAGGCCGTGGAGGTGCCACGCGAGGGTCGTCTATGCGGGCTGTGAAGAAACGCAAACGATGAAGCCGCAGACAGACATGTTCGGTTGGTAGTACAATCTAATATACCCCTTTTTGCATGGTAGTCATTCGCGTTGGAAGTTTTATGGATGGACGGTGTTTAAGGTATTCCTCTCTTATTCACTTTATGGCAGAAGTACTTGGGGTCAGATATATACGGGCCGCACTCGTCGGCACGAAAATTCATCGGCAAACTTTTCGCAGCCATCTCATAAAAGTAACTGTGGCGGAGAGAGTGAAGTGATGTCCATTGCACGAAAACGCCAACAGCACCCTCCTTTGGACACGTCCGCTTGTCCGACTTTTCAGCTTCCCAGATCGAAGTGAGGGCGTTTCTCGCTTCACAAACGGCCGCACAGGACAGACACTGCTCTACACATATACTGCGCGATCTGGGCCATGCGCCACTTTGCCGAGTTCCACAGTAAGGTCGTCGTGGATGTAGGGCTTGCGAACTGAAGATTGAACGCTCCGGAGTTCTATGTAAAAGTGTGGAGGTTGGGTATAAAGCTTCAGCTTCAGCGCTGATCAGCTTCAGGAGCCGACTGCCAACATTATTCTCGTAATTGACTCGTGAAATTTCTCTTCTTACCACGTCGCGCCTAGTAAGCAATTGACATGCAAACTTGATCATGATGTGCTGTATGGCACTCTTGGAGAAACAACTCCACAAATACCGAGGAGTCTGCTTCATGCAGTTATCCCGTGTATCACACTCTTCTAAGCCTCGAAGGTTACGCACAAATCACTTCAATACCATTGAATATGCACCATTCCGATATGGATCAATACCGACTTGAGAGATGAGATCAGTATTTCAGAAGACATACATCCACTAAGTAGACCAAAACCGAACGTGTACAAAACCAAAAACAAACATATCTCTCACTCTTGCCCGAAACCTTCCGTCTCTCTGGAGCACCAGTTAGCACAATGTTGCTTGGGTCCAAAGAAAAGGGGGGACTTACTCAATCGCAAATAGAAGTTTCGTTTCCAAACTCTCATAATCCTGGTATGGAGGAAGGTCCAATCGGTTGAAGCACGTATGACTCCTCGGCAGACCCATAGGATCCCCGGACTTTTCGATAGTGAACCGTCGGGGTCCATCGCTCCCTTGTAAATCCTTGAAACCGTTCACGGGAACACGGGATGTACCCGTTGTGAATTGCAATAAGCGAGACTTTCTCTCGGCTGGCCATGACCGGATGCATTGCCAGAACCACTCAATGACCTGGTCAGTTTTTTCGTATCCGCGATAATCAGTAAACTTCGTCCAGTCATCCCTTTCAAAGCAACATAGGTCAACGGATGATGCTAGGAGGGAAGTCTACTGCTCACATATCAATTTCGGACATGCCACCAATCAAAAGTTCGAGCTCTCGCTCATCGAAAACATTGATCAAATCCCTTGGAACGAGCTCCAGCAGGCCCTCCATGAAGGCATCAAATTGCTCCTTAACACGTTTCGATATTCGATATGCCACGACCGAGTCAACGTATTCCTTTTTATTCTCCTCCGTCACGGGAACCTCTTCGCCTCCTGGCTTCAGTTCGATTGTGACAAGCTCTCCAAATCGTTCTTCTGCAGTGGTAAAGGTTTCATCAAGAACGTCTGTAATGTCATTTTCCCTGCACAGAAAGGTCAGCTATCTAACAACTGAGCGGGGAGGAAGGGACCTACAGCATCCAAACCAGCGATCGGTGAAGATCAGAGTCGACGGATTCAAGATCCGCCAGCGCCATATGTTTACCAAGAATCATCTTGTAGAAGCTGGGCACGAAATAGGCGTCAAGGAACCTTCGGTGGAAGATAGCCAAGCCTAGGCATCGGCCAATGAACTTGAAATAACTTAAATGGTCTGGATTGATGCCTGAGGCTGGATTGATTTGAAGGGTGTAGTTATCGTGGGTGGAATATTCAAACAATCCGTAACTTGGGTTGAAGATTTCATGTGAGAGCAAGAAGAACCATTCTCTTTAAGGAAAATTTAGCGCGCAACCAGAGAATCAATCAATTAGACGACTCACCTTGACACCCCCCCATAATCCAAACCATCCTCGCCATCAAAGTTAACCATCAATCTTCGCTTCAAATCTTCCCCAGTGAATCCCATCACAGACGCATAGCTGTCCTCCAATACCCGAGAACGTCTGACTTTGACCTCACACTTGCCTGGTAATATCCGCATTTTGGGTTGACTCCTGAAATAAACAACCTTCCTTCTGTAATCACGCTTATACTGTGGTGCGTTATCGTCGACGTTTGTTGGTAGTCTTGGATCATCCCATGATGTCGTTCGAGTGTTATGGTCAACGAAGTACACTCGCCCAGTTGACGTCAATCTCATTTCCCATCCTGACGGGAGAGGTCCTAAATTGTGATTTGCTGCAGGTCTGGGAACGGCAACGGCGGCTTGCTGATTCGTTACTCGAGGGTCGGTCCATGTTGTTGTGCGGGTATGGTGGTCAACAAAGTAAGGGCGCCCTTGAGGTGTTCGGCGTTCTTCCCAACCCAAAGGCAGGGGGACGTCAGCGTATGACCCCGGTGGAGAAGTCGGGGTGGCTGCTACTGATGCAGCAGTAGGCGTCGCTGCGACAGCACTGGGAACCCGGACTGGTGTCTGTGACGGTGGTGCGGCCTGGGGTGGAGGTCGGGTCGGTGGTTGTCCTGACGCGAGGGGACGATGCCACGAGGTTGATCGGTTATTATGGTCAACGTAATATGTTCGGTTTTGGGCATCAGTCCGTCGCTCCCAACCAGGAGGCAATGGGTTGCCGGCGTCGTCATCAGTCAAACGGTTGGCAACAGCACCCGACGAAGAGACTGGACGAGGCGGATCTGGCCTATTTGGCATACCCGAGGGTTGATTTAATGCAGCGTGACTAGGGGATGGGCGCAGGGACGGCGTGGGATGTACGGGTTGAATTGGTCGATGGTCTTCGTCGGCGTGGGCTTGGGGATTGGAATTTGGCACTCTGATTGAGTGGTTCACCATCGGTGGCTGACCTTGGTGGATGTGATCTTGGGGGGGCGGCTGATACGATACACGATCCGGGTGAACCAAGGAGGGTTGAGACTGGGGTGGGGAGGAAAAGCTAAATGATATTTTGCCATAGACAGGTAGATTGTTGCTGGACATCGTCAGGTCCCTGGTGATAGGACCTACGGAGAGATTTAGTAAACTCAAGCTCTGACACTGCCCACTGACCTTGCTGGCTCGCTGCGTAGGATAAAGCCTCCGCAGCTGGGATATTGATAACACCAAGAAACCCTTCAGGAAACACGGAATGAGACTGTAATAAATCCCGCTAGGTGTGTCCAAGCGCACCTTGGTCACGTTTCCTGAATTTCCTGTGGTCGAAGATTTGGATAGCGATCATTGAAGATTGCCTCACAGTGCTAGGATTTTTTTTCAATAGATGAACTCGGAATCATGGGCGCGGTCGACTGGAATGCTCACACATCAAAATGTTCATTCCACACTGGCGCCAGCGACTTTTTGGCGATGGCGGTGGTGCTTGTTTGCTCTCCATCGACGGTGAGAACGGCAAAGGGATCCGGCAAACTTAACAGTTCACGCTTGGCGAGACCATTGGCGCTGTACACTTTAGCAGTGAAAAAGGTCGGTTTGAGTCATCCAGAAGTTGGCAAAGATGTAGAAGGCTCACGTTTAACTCTGATAGACCGCTCAGGATCATTCAATCTGAAGGTGATGATTTAGAGTGGGTCGAGTGGAACTGAGGAGACCAAACTAACCTACTGGAACTCGCCATTGATACAGGCGGCGTGGATGGTGTGGTTGTAGGTGAAGAGCGCTCAAGGGTTGGGTGACTAATGCGGGCTATGGACGTTTGGGTAGAATCCACATGCAACACCACCGATACAAAATCCCCGTGTTACAGCCACGTGATCTATTGCACAGCATTTAGGGAATGGCATGGGTGCATTTCAAAAGACAACAGTGATTCTCCCGCTTTCAAAGCCAAGGGTTGCAACATGTTCATAAATCATATGTACTGGCATTGCATAATCCTCTCAATGTTTTCAATGGAATACATACAATCCACCCTAAACACGAGCAGCCTCAATCCGCCTCCTCGCTACCTGTCGTCGGTTGAGGCCAACGAGTGATGTGGAGGGTGCCTTGTCTGTTGCTTTCTCCACCTCGACTTCAGATGCAGCAAGAATAATTTCAACATGTGTGGGATGTCCCTGGTATGGGTTGATGCGACCGTGCGCACGGTAAGTGCGGCGGCGGGTTTTCTATGACATTGTAAGTGTCAATGCCAGGTCAAAAGGTGCGGCTTATCCAAATACATACGGGAGCCTGCTGTACAACAATGTTCGTGATGGTAAGGTCTTCAACGTCCAGGTTTTTCGCGTCGGCGTTTGATTCGGCATTCTTCAGGAGACGGAGGATGAATTTGACGGATTTCTCGGGCCAACGACCTTGATAGAACCACTCAGTAATCTGTTGAATCACTTCTCGTTTCACCGCACACCTTGGGTGGCCTTGAATTCCTTAGCTTGACTAGCCCGTCCAACACCACCTGCGAATCTCCGGAAAGGAATCACCCGCTTATGATCCTTCACATCACCAAGATAGTCGTAGGCCTTCGTAAGTTTCATGCCTAGATCGAATGTTTAACCACGGATTGGAGCGTGATTTCATTTCACGATAGCCTCACCAGACAGAGCAGCGGCCACCTCCCGCATGTTCTTGAAGTGTGTGCGAAGATATTCGCCGCGGGCACGGGAAGCTAGTATCCAGTTAACATCATAAGCATTCGCTCCGGCATTGTTTACTCACTTTTTTCAGGATTTGTGGCGAGGGCGGCGGCGGCGTAGCGAACTTGAGTATTCCATTCAGCAAACTAGCAACCGACGATATGCAGCACCTACCCATCTTGAAGTCTTGACGTTGTTGAGCGCGTTTCTAAAGATGTGACCAAGTTATCGCAGGTAGTGGCTTGAACCTTAATTTTGCAGTTGTCGGCAATTCCCGCGTTCAAAAAAAATAATTTATTATAAATAAATCCGGAAATCCAACAGGATTAAGTAGCAAAGCCAATGACCCTACTTACAGGCCGTAGACTTAGGATTGGGCGCTCGTCAGGAAGTTTGTTCTGATGGGCTGGTATATTCTGCGCATCTTCCTCGTCAGACTCATCACTCTCCGATGTACGCCGCGATTTCCCGACCCGGCCAAACACACTCAGTCGAATGCTGTCTGTGCGTGGGGGTTTGTATGTTGGAGGAGCCTTCAAATCATCAGCAGCAGTATTGAGGGCGTTCACAAGTTGTGGATTGAGCTCAAGGTTGAAAAGGTCCAGAATGTACCGTCTAACGGGTAGACGGTATCGTTGCGTGGATATAATGTGGAACGCCCTATAAAGCATCTGCGGAGATGTGAATGAATACTTGAATTCGGGTCGTGCTTTGATCCTACTTGTCATTAGATACAGAACACTGGAATAAGGAGCATTGACGAACCTGGCGAGCGATCGTGAGGCAGCATTTGCAATGACAGTGTTAGAGAGATTTTGGAGAGCCGTCACAATTTCTAGCTCGTGTTCAGCCGTAGGCGGGACCAGACGATCGTCATTGATTTGTGGAATGTGTTGGCTCCACGATGGTATCTGATCGCATGGGGTCAATCGAAGGACTCTGAAACATTTACATGTTGCTTACTGAAATAAACTTATCGACATCCGAGGGTATGCATAGTCCGGTGGGCATTCCAAGAGGCGACAATGTGGCTTCCCAATTGTAATCGTCAAGAATTTCGGCACCTTGAGATGTTGAAGATATCAGGCCTAGCACAAAGAAGCAAGTGCTTGATGTGACAATATTCAGTCCGCTAAATTCATAGGTAGCGTTGATGAACTCTTACCCCCTAACAGAAGAAATCGGCGAGTTCTCCGCGATCTCAAGGACAGACGGGATGATCTCCTCCTCTTCCAGAAAATGAAGACCACCTTCTGTAGCACCAACGTTGCCCTAAGTATGAGTCAAGGACCGTAAGATAAAGATTGAATTCGTGCACTAACCACAGCCCACAAAATGCTCTTCAATTTCATGATGAGGTCTGTATCCTCGCTCTCGTTGCTATGTCGCCGAATGAACTGGGAAAATTCTGTAAAATGCCCTTTCTCTTGTAGGATTTGACATCCCAGTTCCGTCTTCGACATTTCCCCGTAAAAGTGGGGTGGTACCGTACCGTCGAACGCGCTATGTACTTCGAGGTCAGATATTTTATCGCTTACACACAAACCTGCTACTCACAGGAGGTCCTCGTCTTCGTCGGCCAAGTTGGAGGTATTGAAGACTTTGGCAAGAAAAACCTCAACTTGAACCACGTAGTAGATGTTGCGCTCCTGGTGTGAAGAAGTGAGATTGGATTTTCGACGGACTTGCTTCACCCACATTGAACCACATGTCCATTTCACGATCAATGTACCCAGCATCGTAAAGATAACGAAAGCCCATTGGCGTAGACATGAACCTGACAAAATCAGGAATAAAAGTGATTATGAGTTTCATAGACATACTTGAGGAGCAAAGGATGCCCAATTTCCCCCAAGTGATCCATTGTAGGCTGCATATCCACCACTAATTGTAGTATTTCCTTGGACTCGCATGCTTCTTCCAGAAAGTGGACAGCCATTTCACAAACCTCCGGAGCAGGATCGTACAATTGGGTTAGAAGCAACCGCAAAGTCCAAGCGTTGGCGTTTGCAGATCCACGAATGAGCACGCCTAAATGACGAGTAGCATATAGGCGAATATGCTAAGCTGACGTCAATATGGGTGCGGAGTGACAAGCTACTTGAAATTTTACCTTGTAACTTGAGGTCAGTGCCTTAGATAAGACTATTCGGGGGTGGCCGTCACTGGAATTGACTTCATGAGCTATTTACCAAAGTAAAACGCAAGGGGGAAGCATACATGTTGTAATCCAGATTCTCGACGATTCCTTTAATTAAATCCTCTCGACTCCGCAGCTCGCTCAGATGGTAGAAAGCTGTAAAAATTTTGAACTTTTCAAGCAGCCTGTCTCAACTTCGTTAATATGAAATAAGTATAAAGATGTCAAACTGTATTACTCAATGCCTTCCTTGTATTTGCTCAAAGTACCAAGCATCTCAAGGTAGCCATACGTTAGTGTATCCGTCACTCGTTTCTTGGAAAAGATCGGGTCTGAGTCAGGTACGCCGTTAAACTACTCAGGTTACTAGGGAACGAGAATCTCCACAAACAACTTCAACTCACTGGATCTAATTGAGCGAAGCTTTTGACAATCTGCGCAAGAAACTGATCTTCTGTTGAGAGATACCTCACGCCGTCTGGGCTAGACATGAGCGTAGTCAATAACGAACATCCAAGCCGCACCCAACGGGTATTGGCCTGACCAATGAGCCACTAAACAGGATGTACAATAGAATGTCTTACTTTTGTTCGCGGTAGGTCTGAAAATCGATGGTTGAACGGGTGGAAGAACGACATGAGGCGTCGTATGAACCTGGATACTTTAATAGCCTCCTCCATGCGCTTGGGGTTCAACAACGGGCCCTCTATCAGTTCTTGTAGTGTTTCAAAATTCCACTTCGCAAAATCCTTCGTTACAATGACCTGCGGAAGTTGATCAAATGGGATGTCAAATTAATGGCTGACCATGTCTAACCTGAGTCTCCAGGATGGAAGATTGAAATGTTCTATCATCCATTTGCATGCTCATCTTGAGTTTGACCTGCTCCACCTGTCTCTGTCCACGACGAACCGCATCCTCGGCGGAATTGGCTCTAATGTGCGAGGGTCAGCCAATATATATATATATCGTAGAATCATGGTCAAGCGCGCCTTGGACGGGAGTTCTTGACAGTACCAGGCTCTAGCCTTGTCCGATTGCGATTGAAGCTGTCGATGGCCGACAGAGCTGATGTACCTACTATTCTCCTTTCACCGTCTCGATAGTCAGTCGCCATGGTGAAGACTTCAGGAACAGCCTAAAAGACAAGAGTTCTCAAACCCTAATCCTATCCAAAAACCTGCAATCCTTACATACCTGAATTCTACCAGCGATCGACAAAGGAAGAACTCGGTTTGTCATTGCTAAAGCCTCTGCTAACAATAATGTGGCTTTGCGAGATAGATTGGAGCCTGTCGTTGTCTCTTCTATCATTGAGGTAAGAGCCTTGGAGGGTTTATGCATCAACGAGCGTGTTGTATACACATTGACTCACGTCGCATAATCCAGCATTGGTTAGTACTAACAGCAAAAGAGCAAGGTATTGATCCGTCAATTTTAATGTCTGATTTAGTCGTTCGGGTTTCTCTGGTTCCTGCTGTGTCTCATCTCCATCGCGGGGTTTCCGATACACTACATAGCGTCAACGGCATTGGAAACGTGTCGTTATTCGACACTCACTCGTCAGTCTCCTGCCATCGATGAAAGTTTGGTACCATTCGGGAGTTTTGATATTCAGGAGCTCAAAGAACATGTCTAGAATAATTTCCTGAAAATCACGGTTATTTGATATAGAGGGCGCTAGGCACGGAAGAAATCGCACTCTAGTATCAAGAGAAGGTATGCGCAGAGTATCAATTAATGACCTGATCGCGCGCATGTCATCTATGCAAAAGTACATCAACCCTTGAGGGGAATGAGTTCGGCTACGAAAAGTCGACCGAACAAACTTACCACTCCAGGTTCGCAACATGAGCTGCACGACCTTGCTACATCCCCTCATTCGCTCCGCATGGTCTGAACCTTTTCCGTAGGCATCCGTCACGGCTGAGAGTGCCATCTGTTCCGTTGTCGGAAAGGGGATAAAACACATCAAGCCTGGCTCACCTCGAGGTCAGTGCCAACGCGGAGGTAAGCTCGTGTGCGGGGAGAGTCTACAATATGTAGGAATGCTGCAGCCAGGATAGGGGTTATCTCCACTGGGCCTTCTCCCAAAACATGCAGAAGAAATCGGATTCCACCCGTCCGCGCCACGAGATCTATATCAAGTACCACTAACGCAAAGTTTAAGAGCATTCAAGGTGAGTTTCGCAAGCCAAACACATACTTATTTCGGTCAGGGTTTGCACGCAAATCGCCCGCAGGGAGTCCTCAGGGTGCTCTGCCACAGCGATGACAGCTCGCATGACAGCTTCGGAGAGAGGCACCAGGCCACCGCTCCCAGCATTGGTGGAGGCCCGTTTGCTTCCAATTTCGGCAATGGTTCGAATGAGCTTGATGACTTGCTCCTTTTCAACGGCATGCTTGTTATCTCGTTGAAGGGATCTATTTATCACTCAGAAGAGGTACATGCTAAAAAGAAAGAATGCTCACTTGACCATATACCAGTCCACAGATTGTCCTAGCCGCTTTACTGATTCAGCGTCCACCAAGGCATGTCGCAGCAATCGATATGCTGCAGCCCTGCATTGCTTTGAACATCGGTCCCCTAAACCAGGGATGACACTGTAGTTTACAATTGATGGGTGGGTTAAAGAAAGGGGTAAAAAGCGTACGCATGCAACAAATCGTCCAGGCTCAGTTCATAGCGTACTCGGAGATGTCGTTGGAGTACACCAATTAGCTTGGTCATCAGCTCAGTCGTCTGGCGATCATACTCGACCACGGCAGCTGGTTGCATCCCACTAGAGGTGGAGGTGGAAGCGGGTGGTAAGGAAGATGCCGACCGCGCAAGGGATTCCAAGTCCTTAACGAAGCTGGTCGCGTGTTGGAGAGCTGTGCGGAAGTCCTCGCCACCTATATGTTTGTATTAAAGCATTTTCGATGAGATTATTGCCGTATGTACTTTTATCCTCATTGTCCCTCAAGGACCTGACGCTCGCAGTTGGCGCGTGTCCCTGACCGAGTTTGCGCCTGACAGCGGCGGCGCCATTCTTGGCTGCGTACCTTGACGTTTCTTTTGAGCGTGTCAGGTACTTGAATGACAAAGAAGACGGAGTTCAATCACGTTCAATACGCTTAGCGATTGCACTGATCTTCTTCTTCGAAATATCCAGCTCTGCCTCGACCTTCATACGAGAATAATCCTGGTGCGGTTGAGAAAAATCACAGTTCCCGAGATATTCCTGTTACGCACCGCCATGCCCATGTTCAGAAGATTTTCTGCCCCCTCCTTGATTCGGTGCTCGAGAGCGAGTTGGCTGTTCAAGAGTTCCAGCTATACACCCAAAACACATCATAAGAATCCATCAAAATACCATAGCGCTACCATTTACCTGCTCAGCGGGCTCCTTGCCATCGAGCTCGGCAAAAAGAGGTCCGTCCAGGGAGTCACCATTGACCAATGTCGAGGGAATCAATGAGGTCATGTTGGGAAAGCTGGGGTCTTTTTATTGTTGGAAAGCCCCGGGCCTTTAATTACCTCTTCAGTTCTGAGCTTCAGAGTGTAAACTTGGCAGTCGGAGGGGAGACAACTTCAATGGGTATTGGTGGACAATGGATCATAGGCTGTATGTTACAGCCGCGACGAATGATGAGAGCCAAAAGGCAATGCCCTCAAATTCACACAAAGACAAATACATAACCTTTCGAACCGTGAACGGAGTTTTCACCCGCTTCACCGTTGTCATTATGTCTCTCTTTCGCGCCTGCAAGCAAGCACCGGTGATATTGCAAAGAGCAAGTCCGCGAGCTCTTACTGAATTTTGTCGTTATTCCTCGTCGGAATCGGCCGTGAGGACGGACAACACCAAACCATCTTCGGATATCGTTGTTCCTGAGCAACCTCCACGAGAAGTTATGGTCGCAGATGTAATTAGCGGTGCACCTGGTATGACTACGAGACTCCTGCATTAGAAGTGTTTTTACCGTCATATACTAGGTGAACTTCGACATCGCGCTGTGCGTGTATACCAAGCCTGCCGTAACACCATGCAAAGCGGTTCTGGCAAGTCCAACCGTTGGCGCATAGATTTCGATAATTTACCAGGAGGTGGTCGCTGGGAGAATCCTCTTATGGGATATTCTAGCTCGTAAGTCGGCGCAGACCAGAACAGAACGCGGCCTGATACATTTCCAGAGCCGATTACATGCAAGGAACGCGTTTGACCTTCAGGAGTAAGGAAGACGCCGTACACTTTGCTGAGAAACAAGGTATATCTTCACCAGTTTGATCATGGTTTTTTTCTAAACGACCCCCAACTTCATAGGATGGGATTATTATGTGTTCGTGTCTACCTCCGCAATATCACTCCGCGTTTACTCAAACATGCATTCCTAATAGGCAAACCCCCACAGTCGAGAGGATCCCACCCAAAAACTATGCGGAGAATTACGTTTACAGGCCCAGCACTCTCAGGATTATGAGGACGAAGTAGAACTTTCGTACTTAGGAGAAATAGGGGATGTGATGTTTATTAGAATTGCAAATCCGATTCTGTCATGGGGACTACTCGAGCCGATAGCCACAATGGGTAGTTGGAATGCACATCTCTAGTTGGAGTTGAATGTGCGTCAGAGTTGGTGCCAACACGTGGAATCAGTCCACGCAGGGTCCATACTTCCTTACATTAAATAAACACAGTCGTCTGACCCCCTTGTCGACCCCTTGTCACCGATACATGTCTTGGTGTTGACATTCATTGCATAAGTACGTGTTGGTTATTCCTCGTCATTCCGTCGCATGGGGGACATTCAAACTCGCCCGTTCTCTAAGAACTACAGGTTCGTCGTTGGACGCAGTGTGGAGCTGCCATCTCTGATCACGAACTCTCACAGCGGTCTTATCAATCAATCTGTCATTGGCATTGGCATCACGGTTCTATGCGTTACTGGCCAGGAGCTTATGAAGAGAAGGAGGAGAGGGAAAGTCCTCGATGAGCGATGCTTAGGTAGTCGGGAGTCTTGGGAATTTGGCTAGTGAGTGTACGCCTTCGCTTCATGCTTCGTTCTCATTCCAAAAAGTTTATACCAGGGAAGATGTTGGGCCAGGCAGGAAGACTACGCTCCTAAATGACGCGCATGCTGATTGAATGACAGGTTCCCCTCCCCTCCAACCCCTAAGGGATGGCCTTTGTCTTGGGTGAAACAGGCAATCCAGTTTCCAGAAGACAAGCTGAACCAGCTTAGAGGCCTCGATGCAACGTTGTACATTCGGTTTCTGCGTGGATGTTGTAAGCAGCATTCCAGCTTGAGCGATGTGTATGATGTTAACTCTGTTCAATAGTTTGGTTTACCTTACTGCATACGCTGACGACTTTTCCCATTTTGTTTCCCATACATGTCGAATTCTCCGGAGATGATGTACCTCCAAGATCCATGACTCGTGCATCCATATCGTCTTTGGTGGGCACAGCAAAGGGCCTCTCTTTGCTATGGATTCACATCTGCCTCTTAATTTGGATCACCCTTTCATGGATGGCGACTCTCTTCTGGATATGTACTGGAGCCTTTCGTCTACGCGCAGCGGGCATTGAGGTAGCTGCGAGAAGATTGGCCACGGCCGATGATCGTGATGTGGATGATACTAATTATCAACATCCTCATCCTCAATATGGCTTTATTGATGTTCCCTCCTCCAAACACGAGCACCGATCTACAGGACTCCGTCTACGAACTATCATGGTTTCTAACGTTCCGCAACAGCTGAGGAATGAGAAAGAATTGAAAGAGTACTTCGAGTTCTGGATGTGCCGCAAGGTTGAAAAGCCCTCTATGGGATTGACTGCATCTACCCATCCCGGATTTCTCAACAAGTCGCTTGCTTTTCTCTTCAATCGCGCGAAAAGGCTCCCTGCCCATCTTCCAGCTAATCCTCTTTCCCTCCATTCCGCGAAAGAGGGTAACCTCGATGACGGGCACTTGTCAAGGAAAAGCACGTCTACCCCTGAAAATAATCTTCAAATGCCCGACATTGAGCGGGTCGTCGTTGTTCGCAAGATGACCGAACTTGCCTCTCTTTTGGAGCGTCGGGAAGAAACTCTTCGCCTCCTCGAAACTGCTCACATAAAGCTTGCAAACAAGACGCTTCTCGCCGTGAAGATGGCAATGGAGCGGAGAGCTAACAATAGATCTATTCCCCAAAGTGTATCTAAGAGGGCTGAGCTTGCTAGAAAGGAGCGAAAGTCCGTCGCAATCGACGCGGAACTTGGAGGGCCGCAAGAAGGGACACTTGATGAGGAGGAACGAATGAACCAACTTCTTGAGGTTCTCGGACCATATGTGGAGGCTTTCGATTTACAGCATCCCTTGAGTCATCGATCCAAGAAAGCCATACGTAGAACTTCAAGACGGGCCTTCCATATACTTCGGGCTCAAGGATCAGAAGAATCTGGGGACTCTGATGCGTTTCGGCAGAACACGAATCAATTATACCCACCGAAATTCTCTACAAACAGGCCTTTGGGACATGAGGAGACAATATGGGACGCCCTACTGTCTCTTCCAAGGAGCAGCCTTGATGCATATCAACCACTCATTAACCTCAGTCATCTGTTTCATGGCAAAACCGTTCCTGCAATCGATTACTACACTGCGAAACTCAACCTCTTGACATCAATGATTACTGAGAACCGCTCAAAAGCTGCCACTGACTTTGATCCTGTTTCCACCGCTTTCGTTACTTTCGCTGATCCGGAGGACGCAAGAAGGGCTTGCAAATATCTGGCCGTACACCCTAAGAATCCTCTTGACTGTTTGGTAACAATGGCCCCGATGTATGAGGATTTGGACTGGATGAGAGTGATGAAGTCCTCATTCAATGCAGAGGTACGACCTGCCACTTTACTTAAGTCTTGAATTAAGCTCACAGTATTTTTAGTTTCTTAAGGATTGGGTGGTAAATATAGGAGTTTGGTGAGTGTACCATTTTATTATCAACATAATCTCATCGCCACGCCGACAGGGCTTTTACATTCTTTTGGCTATTTCCCGTTTCTCTTCTGGTCGGTTTGGTATCTATCCAAAACATCAGTTTATTTTGGCCTGGCTTGGTATGTGATTTTGATACGCAGCATGCGCCTTCAACTAACCGTTTGCTTCTCGCAGAAACGCTATCTGGATCGACATCAATGGGAGGAGGAAGTTATTCAGTCTTTCATACCCACTCTTCTGGTCGCTTTGCTCGCACTACTTATTCCCCTCATCCTTCTCCTCATCGCCAAGAAAGTACACACGATAACGACACTTTCCGCTCTTCACGACCAAATGATGACCCGTTACTACAAATTCCTCATCGTCAATGTCCTTGTGTTCTTTTGTGTCGGAACGGCGGTTCTTCAATCATTTTTGCAATCGTTCAGATCTATAAACCAGCCGAATCTCCTTCACGTTGTTGCTGATAGCTTCCCAACGGCCGGTCCATTTTATGTTGGATGGCGTGAGTAATGTCATTATACAAAGTTTCTGTTCTGATTCTTTGCCTTGCAGTCCTCTTCACGACCGCTATGCACGGCGGATTCGAGTTGGCTTTATGTGAGCGTATTATGATTCTTGACAAAATTCAAAACTAACGCTTATTTGCTTCTGCAGTTGGAGTAAGAAGTCATTTCTATCTAGCCCTCTTTCAACTCTAACTCCTCGACCTTTTTTAGCTACCCCTGATTCTATACCCCTCGACATCTCGTCAAGTTACCCCGTAGGCGTTTTTCTTAGTAACATATAAAAATCTGACTCAAACGTTCAACAGCCGGAAACGCGCCGTTGGCATTCGGCCTCGCACTTTCAACTTTTATTGTAGGAGCCCCTTGTCTTTGTAGCCATGTTATTAATCATGACCCAGATTGGCTTCCCAATCACCTCCTTGTTATCCATGTTTTGCTGCTTTTTTCTGTTCTGAATCCCTTTGTATTACCTTTTGGAACTCTGTATTTCTTCGTTCAATCTGGTGCGTGTTGTCAAGTCAATGGCTTCAGGTTCTGACACGCCATTAACTTTTCAGGGGTTGTCAAAAACCAGGTATGTCATGTATGTAGCATGTGTTCTTTCCACCTCTCACTGTGTCTACAGCTCATACATGTGTATGCAAAGAACTATGAGGGCAACGGCCAATTGTTGCTCATCCGGATTGTCCGTTACTCCCTGGACGGTATGGGTCTGTATATTATTATAATTTAATCATTTACTCACCTAAATCAGGCTTGGTTTTATCTCAAGTTTGTGTCCTTTGCGCAAGACAACTAATGGTCTGCTTTGCTGACTACTCTTGCAGGCCGTTTTTTTAGCCTATATGGTGGTCCTCAAGAAGGATGCCAACGTGGCAGTCGCCGCATGCTTAATAGTCCTCACGGTTCTTTTTAAGCTACTGTAAGTTGGCTCACCGTGCATGCTACACCAGTATCCATTTATCATCTTTTAGAATGACCCGGATGTGCCGTGCTCAGTTTGAGGCCGACGATATCGCGGAAGCTGCGGTTCTCTGCAATCGTTCTCCCGTTGACATACGAAATGAAGCCGATCAAGACTCAGACGAAGCAGCAAATGTCAATGAACAAGAAGCAAATAGATTAATCAAATTCTCGCGTCGCGATAACTCCGTTCTAACTTGGAAGTTACCTGCCTGGGTCAACTTTTCGTACAAAACCATGCACCGCAGGCCCCAGTTTCCTCAACAGCGCCCACCTAATCCTTTCCGTCCCCAGAACCAAACACTTCTGCCCCGTGACTCGTCCTCTCGCAATCACGTCACAGAAGAATGTCGCGAAGGACCGTCCACACATATTTCTCCTGATGATGCATTTCCTTGGGAGAAACCCACATCACAGTCAAGGGACGACACAAAAGTCAAGCAAATCAACGCGACGTTGACCGATATCTCGGGACCTGTAATATCCCGTCCACCACCTATACCTTGGGACGATCAAGAAAATGTTGACCTACCATATGACAATCCATTCTACACAAGAACAATCGACAACTCATTATGGTTACCTCGAGATCCCACGGGTATCCTGGATCTGGATGATACCGTTGATTTGAAGAAGTCCATTACAGTTGAAGTCTCTGCTGGTGCGTTGGGCACTTGGCTTGGTCTGGCAGAGACGTCGTCACCGGCTGAGCTTTCTGACACTTGGCGTCCAAAAACATTGACACCCGAAGACCGTCCGACACTAACCCCACGCATGCCAAGTAGTCCTCGTACGCCACAAAGTCTTCTTCAACGCCGTACATCACTACCAGTCATCGACGGTACTGAAGAAATTGATTTGCCGATCGTTATCGCGAAACGCGTGCAAGCAAAGGAGGAAGGTGTTGAACAGACGCTTCGGCCTCGTAAATCCTCCATTTATCATCGAAAGGGCAATGTCACAGACAAAAGCAGCACCGCATCAACACCTGGACGGCGTCGACCCAGCTTGCTCGATCTGCCTACGACAACAATTGGGTCGGACGGCAATATTGGTCGTGCGAGATCTGGCTCAACCCTATCAGCCTTGCAAATTCCCGGACTTCATCGTACGTTGACATCGGCGAACACCGAGTTTGGTGAACGTCCCGACGCACATGCCCAAGCCGACTTCGTTGCAGCAAATGGTTCTGCATCGCGGATTTCGCTGGCACCACCAAAGGCAACTCGTTCCGGAAATCTCTCTACGCAGCAAGCGATCTTCCATGAGCTTTTGGCAGAGGAACAACAGGAGTTCCAAGATCGGGTGGAGGCAGAACAAGTTGAGACCATCAAAGCCACGACGAACAAGTCGTGGTTGACGTCGTGGATGTTCAAGAAGGCGAAGCGCGAGGAGTCGCCTGGCGATGAGCCGGGGAGCGAGTGATTTTGACCTTGGATTATCAATTATAGAGACTGCTATCATTCTGTATTATTATTACCCTTCACGTCACGACCTTTACATGAAGTACCCCGTATAATGAATGCTTTATTGCTCGGTACTACGTGGTGGTTTGTCAGAGCAAGTTAAAAACCCAAATTGAGATATGTCACCGTCTTCCCCCTTCCACCGACGATGCCAACACTCTACCAAGAGTACGTCTTCCTTTCCCCTCGTCGCCACTTGCGCTCACCGCCAGATACAGGCTATGTTTCGCAACGCACCAGGCCCTGCGCTTCTACGTCCCGGAAGCCGAGCGCCGAATACCAATATCCTGGAACACTGCGATATACCCTATTGCCTGCTATGCACCATTCATATTCCTAGCGTACTTGACACGACGACGAGAAACCTACCTCGTTCGCCTGCTTTTACTTCCCACCGTGATAGCCTCTATTCTTGCCGCAGCTTACCGCTATACGTGGACACGACCGGAGCTTAACGTGTATAACTGGGGCCAATGTAAGCATATATTGTACTTCACCATGCGACAGCACAGATCGACCAGATTCTAGGTCTGTTCGCTGCTGTGGCGATTGCAAAGGCCCTCGAATTTGCCTTGACAAAGGAAGGCATGCTCAAGATTGGAGAGATCGAGCCCGGAGTGAAGAAAGACAAAGGGACCGTGAATGGCAGCGGAAATGCTGATACCCTCGAAGAGCCGTCACGTCACCCATATATAGCTACTTGGTTCTACGACGCCATGGAGATCGCGCACACTATGCGAGGTCTTCGATGGAAGTTTGGTGTTGGCGTCCACATCCCGAAAGAAACCCGCCCACTGGAAAGGATTCCTTTCCTTCAAGCGACTCTCCTAACCTTCATCAAGAATTATCTTATCCTAGATTTTATGGAATCCATGGTCAAGCTCTTTCCGGGTGTCGGCACACCCATTGGGGGGACCATGTTTTACCCGAACCTCCACCCCACGACACGTTATGCTGTAGCCTTTATCGTTCACATGCTCACTGGGTCTGCACTGCTGGCCGGTTTTGAGATGGTTTATGACCTCATAACCCTCATCGCAGTGGCTGTATTCGATAGTTCCCCACTATCCTGGCCCCCTGTCATGGACAACCCTTGGTCTGCAGATTCAATGCATTCTTTTTGGGCTAAACATTGGCATCAACTTCTGAGGCAGACGTTCCTCGTCTTTGGTGGTTACCCAGGGCAATGGATTGCAGGTCAGTATGGTATGGTATTCGGTGCCTTTATTGCATCAGGTTTGTTTCACGAATGCGCCATGTACTCCATGAAAAGGGGGTTCGATCACAGTGCGACTGTTTTCTTCGCTCTGCAGGGGCCTATTCTCGTTGGTGAGAGATTGTGGAGACGAGTAACAGGGAGGAGGGTCAGTGGTCGGATAGGTCGGTTGTGGGTTTATTTTGTGATGTTCGTTGCGGCCCAGCCCATGGGTACGCCAATTCCACTATTCATTCCTGCCTCTTCATCATTTTTCTTCGCAGTGGATGCGTGGCATCGTCGTGGACTGGGCGGCGGGATGGTAATCCCGCCAACTTTGAGCCCAACTAGATTAATATTCCTCCCTCTCGTCAAATATTATCTGCATCATACATAAACCACTCTACATACACCGACCTTGTCTCGTTTGTGTAATGACATAGATCGCAAACCGCTGGAATACATACACTGCTCAAACGCCATTCCCCATGAGGTTTGGAGGACCGAACAAGAACCGAACCGTGCCCTCATTGCGTCCAATATGGGTACCGTCCTTATTGTATGACGAACTGGGATCTGTATTTCCCAGAGGTGGCCGAGACCGTGGTGGGAATTCAGTTTGGCGCATCGCGATCTTCAGCCGAATTAGTTGATCGGCTTTGTATGGGGGTGGAGGGGGCGGTTGTGGCTGGTGATGTCGGGGATTTTGGTGGGGAGATGGGGAGGATGGGGTGCTCGGCGAAGTGTTTGCAGATGGGTTTTGCACGAACTGTATGAGGAGGTCGAGAACCGTATGTGCTATATCTGACAGAAATTGGTCCTCTTTTGTCGTACAGTAAAAAAAGGATGTACCTTCAAGATCCTCGGCCTGTACTTGGAATTTCCGTTCCCAGCTCCCATGCGTGCCCAGCGTTTCTGCAATTTGAAACGCTGGGCAACAGCCTTGTTCTGGTTGTTCAGGTGGTTGTTCGAAAGAGGCAAGGAGAGCTGCTACGTAGATGCCTCCCATTGCTATTGTGTTTGGGGGGTATTGGAGTGGCAGGAGGGTTCTGTAACTTAGACGGAGGGTCATGTTTAGGCGAAGCAGAAGTAGGAAGTGACAAACCAATCTATAGCTAGCCGCCACGAAAGCCTCGTGAGTTTTTTGCTTGCTACCAAAAAGATCAGTATTAATGGGGGAAAACAAAATCCAAGAGTAAGCGCCACCATTGATTGCTCTGGCAATTTTTATGAGATATGGAAAAGGCATTCGCGTGGTAAAGTTGAAGCAGATGGTTTCAAGGATCAGACGTTCAACTGCTAGTAGTCGATGCCTGTCGTGCTCCACCGACTATGTATGTAGGATATACGTTGTGTTGGTCATGATGACAAGACAATGCGCACCTGAGGATCCATGCTATCCAGATCCACCTCCCCTCCTGGATGCTTTGATTTCGCTGCTAGGTCGGGGTAACGTATGGCATAAGAGACTGCGAGAAGTTCCCGAGGTTTCTTGAGTGTGTCATGCATTTTCGTAGACACGTATAGCGCTGCGAGACACACATCCTGCGCGGGTAAGCGGATTATCGTTTACAGAACGGTGGAATACAGTGAAGCTTACAACATAGTTGAAGTCTTTCCTTGGAAAGTACAAGTGAAATCGGTGGTACAGGTTTTGCGCTGTTCCGATGGTTCTTCTGGGGCTAGGAATGCATTCTCAGCAATTGAGGTATGGGACGGGAAGTAAAATGAACATACAATCCAATCCTCACCCCAAGGGCTTCCAGAAACCCACAAGCGTTTTGTCGGACTTTATCCTCTTGAGTTACAGAGAGCTTTCCGCGCTGCTTTTCAGAGAGATACTCCACTTCTGCGGGAGTAAAGTAAGGGTGATGAAATTTAGACGAGGATGCGGGGATATTTGAGGGTGAGTGGGCTCTTGAGTATCCTGGGTCCATTGTGGTATTATTTAATGAACTTTTTTTTTGCGTATTCCGGTTAGTATTGCGGTGAAGATATGAAGGTCGTGACGAAAATAGAAATTTCTCAAACGCGTTTGGGTCACGTCTCTTCTTTCAACCATCACCGGCACCAGTGACCAAAGTCGCGACCGCCATGTCTTGGAAGCCATTCTTTTCTCAAGGTGTAGCCAATTTCAAGGCTAATCGGCACGAGGCAGCTCTACAGTGCTTTACCGAGGTATTTCATCTCCATCTCCATCTCGCCTCACCTCAAATACCAATCCCAGGCTCTCAATAACGGCGGCGAGAATCAGTACATCATCTACGACTCACGCGCCGCTGTATACGAGAAACTTGGAAACCTCAGAGACGCGCTCAAAGACACGAAGAAGACAATTAACACTGCTCCGGAACGGTGGCAGGGCTATGCAAGAGCAGCGCGTCTCTTCCTCAAAGTCCAAAAGCCTGACTCATCTATGAAGATGGTGGACATGGCTTTGATCAAAGTTTCTCCAGGCGATGAAAAGAAACGCCTTGAGCTGACTTCGTTGAAGGAAACTGTCGGTCTTGCTCTGGAAGCAGTTGTCGCGCAACGCAAAAGCGCCCAGAATCACGCTGCGATGCTGCCTGTGGAAATTTTTGGAGAGATGGCCAAGTTTTTACTCAGCTCTGACCCAAGCGCGTTGATTACCCTGCTGCATGTTTCAAGGTCATGGAGAGATGTTGTTTGGAGTACATCAGCATTGTGGCACACTCTGGTCGTTGCTCGTTGTCGCCCAGGAGAGAAAGTAAAGCTTTGGGTTGAACGGTCGAAAGGGAGGATTCGGGAGCTTCATATTTTGCGCTCGGCTTCTGAAAGCCATTGGGACGGCCAACACCTCGATGGAATAAACTGGGAAGCATTGCGCATTTGCAAGGTTCAAGGCTGGCACTTCAGCAACTTTCTCCATGAGAATTCGTTAACTCACATTCTTGCTAACCTCGATACACTAGAATTTGATCACATAGGTGCGATACGCACCCTACGAGAAGTGCTCTTTGCCAAGGATATGAAAGTTCAGCACTTGACTCTAAGCCACGTCTTGGTGTCATGGCAAAACTTAAGTGCGTGTATACGCAACCTCAAGTCCTTAATCCTGCGCAATGTTTCTCATTTTTCGAATACTCCTATCACTTGTGTCCTTGAAGCAAATCCGCTTCTGGAAACCCTGGTCCTTGACTTTCCCTCCTACTCCCTCATGCCACCCAGACATAACAAAGAAGTCGCCCTTGATTTTTCATATCTTACTCGACTCGAACTTGTAAGTAATGTCGGAGCGGAATCCATTTTACAGGCCAAAATGCCACAGTTACAAGTGCTGATCCTTCAAGGTCTTCGTACCCCTGTCGACGACGGCCTCCAGTCTCTCACACGACACGGCTCTGTACATCTTACTGATGTTGTCCTTCGACGTTGCTCAGTGGCAAATAGCAACCATCTCATCTCCTTTTTGGAATCCCTTCCACTATTGAAAAATCTAGAACTGTCGTACACAACAAACGTCGCCCACAATCTTCTACAGGCGCTTGCACCCGAGCCCTCTCTTGACAACTCTGGCACTGCAACAGCAGATCAAAACACCCTCATGTGCCCCTCTTTAACCCATCTTAACCTGACCCATTGTCCAGAAGTCAAAACTGGCCCACTTGTGCGTCTGGTTAAATCTCGACTAGCCCAACCTGAAATGACGCGGATTGTGTACCTTACCGTCGATGGATGTGACCATGTGGAGGCCGATTGGGTCAAGTGGTTTAGGGAGAAGGTCCCCAATTTTTCCTGTGTATATTTAACAAAAAAAGCAGCAACGTACAGGCGGTAAATATCCAATCCATGTGCCTGTGTCCTGCCAATAATTCATTTTTTTCCGTTTAGATGACGCCTGGTGATTGCTGTTTTACGTATACCCATCCCACGATCCATGCCGAGGAATATCCAGCGAGCTTTATTACATCTCCGCCCTGTCATAACGACACTCTTTTATAGTCAACAGAAACTCCATTATGATCTTCGTCTTCCAACCATACTCTCTTTGATCACTGCGGGCTGCTCTCGGCGCGTTGTTCGAATTGCCCACGAACTGTAAGGACAACGTGGGTAAGCTGCAGGGGTTTGATGCGTACGCGATAAATGCAGGTCGCTCTCCGATTACAAAATACTCGCCACAAGCGTCTGGGTGAGTGTATCGACTGAGTTATGCCTTGGCAATATTTTCTTATGACGCTGAAAATGTCATTATTTACCCGCATAAGCTCAATGGCTGGCGTCGTAGGGAACATCCTATTCGTTACAGGGAAATACTCCATTTACCGTCATGCTTAGGACATTCGACACGTCAGTGTGAACATGCTTCCCAAAGTCTAGTGGCCAGCCGCTGCCGCGTTCCGTCCACACTTTCATGATAATAAGATTACACAAGTTACATGTTTGTCATCTTTCTGACTCGAATCATACTCTAGCTGCGCTTCTCGAAGTTGACGTGAACAACAGTTGCATCTGTAAAGTCAGCCGCTTTCGCAGCGTATTCTTTAAAGCGAGGATCCTTCGCACGAGCCGCTAGGTGGGCCTAGTTGCTCTATCAGCACGCTGTGAACCACTGACACACAAGAAGGACGTACCTCAACACTGTCCCAGCCAATTAGGACGATCAAGGTACCTGGGTTCTCCTTGCTCTCCCCATATACAACAGGCGGGTGAGCGCCTACGGCCTCGCTCAACGCCTTGGTGAAAAAGGCGGCGGATTCGTCCAGCCGGGGGTCCTTAGCTTGGGGGTCCTTTAACTTGGAGGTAATCACCTCGGTGGTTGGGGCGCTAAGCGCGTTGGTGACGTCTTCGTTGAATGGGACGTGGTTCATGACGAGTGGACCACCTAGGCCAGGTTTGAGTTTCTCGATGAGTGCTGGGTACTCAGGAGAATCCATCAAGGCCTTGTGGGCTTCATAAGTCTCCCAAACTATCCAAGACCATTGACCATCAACATTCGAAAGACAATAACGGGGACAATCAGCACATACCTACGGCGAGGTACGTAGTCTTCTTATCTTCAACCTGCACGCCGGCATACGCGCTGATTGGAGAAATTACACCTCAGTATGGCAGACAAAGAGGTGCGATTTCGCATACCTGATGAAGCCATTGACCTTGGAGACGTGCTCGAGGGCACCCTTCAGGAGATCATGATCGGCGAGCAAAGCTTCGCTTGCAACGAAAGATGCGATTTCGACGACAGGCATGTTGTTAAATGGTATTAGGTGGGTTGTTTTTTGAAATGAGATGCGAGAGTGCTCAAATATATATGACGCCCTGTCATCCGATTTGCTATTGTCTCTGACGCGAGTTGCCCGCTCATCCTGATCAGGTGGCCCTAATTGATCAATAGCCCCTCATTCCTTGCATTCTGACTTGTGAATACACGGTTGCGATTGTTACAGATCATTACCAATCCCCATACACCCGGGCGGCGGGGACCCGGTTGACTGCTTGGGAAGACCTCACGTCACGTGGCGTGAATATCTTGCTGCTTTGACGATTGCTAGAGACCTTACAAGGCTTCTTGAGGCTTACATGGCCGAACTAATTCGTAATGTGTGGCTCGTCCTTGACAACCCTGCTACGGATTCCGCGTGAACTTGCGTGTCATGGCAATTGTGAACCATGGAAACAAACGGAGCGGAAGCCTGAAAGTCCTTGCATATCGCTCACGGAGACGCGTTTTTGGGGAGATGCAGCCACCAATGGTCTTTTCAGATGTTTTTGTCCAGGTCAACATAGTATCCATCTCCATCCTTGGGCGCTTCAAATAAAACAGTGCAAGTCCAATCGAGCCTCAAAGGCAGTGTCAAAGCGTTGTTCGCTCGTATTCAGCCTGAACTCCATTACGCACACTGAAGATTGTCGGATGTAAGTTTAAGAATACCGCTTCTTGTATGATTTCGTGAACTCGAAGCACAAGATTCTTCCGAAGTAACAGCGTGGTAGTCTTTCATTTTGTGTCGCTGAGCCATGAAGCAGGATGGAGTCGATTGATTCTAGAAAGCCGCCACTTTGGTTGATATCAAAGTATCGCGTTCCGTCGACTTGCAAAGATAAGTAAGCGATAAATTTGTCATAGACGGGCAGTCGCTCACAACGACCGGAAAATCCAGACGGGGAAGTGACAGAAATGCAATGACTATGCCGTATGGCAGATGCAATTCAAACTATAGAGAACTGCAGAGATTGTGTTTCTGTGATACGAGGAAGGCCGCGGGTGTTCTTGGAGTAAGGAAGCTGTTCGAAAGAAAAAAACAATGCATATATATGGCCCTATTATTGCGATTTCGGACACGGTGACCAATATGAAGAAAAATAAAGAATACGCCAATAGATGAGAACCTGAACCCAATTCCCGAAAATAAAACCCGAAAGATGAGGAGAAGTAAAATTCGACCTGGCTCATAGCTCGTGTCGATTCATAGTGGCCCATTTTAGTTCGACGTGACCCAATTCGCGTATAAGCTTGACGTTTGAAGATAGTTGGCCTTTAACGGCGTTGGAACAATCCTACATTGCAGCGAAAATCAGAATAAGTCCATCGCCAGGTTGTTTGAGACCTACTTGTATACACCGCCAACCAATCACCCCGACTTGGACATCGTCTTTCTCTACGGATGGTCCCCAACTGGAACCAAAACACCCAGGAACTGATTTGAGCTCTTTTCTTACTTTCTCGATAAGCGGAACCAGCTCGTAACCTCTATCGTGCCTGGGGCGAACGGTGATATATATGAATTGGGTTACGGGAGAGGATAGGGCGCGCATTAGGTCGTGTCTATGGTGAAGAAGGGCTTGTGTCATATGTCCTGCACCGACCATGGCTTCCATGACGGGTAGCATGGCTTCGGCGTAAACCTCCTCTTCCATAAAATGTTGGTGGTGCGCAAGAGTCTGCCAGGCTGAGAAAAAAATTTGAGGGCAGAGGTCATTTTGCACCAAGATAAGAAGCGTACCCAAAACCCATACGCCTGTTCTTTGCTCCTCGGTATGAAAACCATAGTATGCACTGAAAGACATTTAATTGACCATATGACTGATAATGTTACGACGACTTACGCAGTCATACCATAGGCGGCAGTTGTTTTATTGATGCTCCCAAGCATCCTATCTGGGTCAGCGAGATACTCATTAGAAGGGGTAAACCAAATGATTTCAGGAGCCATTGGGACTACGGAGCCGGGCATTTTGAGCGCTGTGCGATGGGGACGGGGAAGGGGGTAGGTGAATTTTATAAGGGATCGAGCATGATCCGCATTGAAACCAAGGCCCTTGGTTACGGCGCAGTTTCAGAGTCTGAACACTTTTTACATACTCAAAGTGCGAGGAGGCTTAATATTCAGGAAAATCTACGCGGCGCCGGAGATGACTCAGATCAATATCCGAGTCACGTGAGCTAGAATATGATGTCACCGTGTCATTTCTGCTGAGTGTTTGGCACAACCTGAGATTCATATACTCGACCAGCGCCATGTTAATATTAGCATCCTCTTTATGGCCTCCTCCTCCTTCGTTATCCCATCCTTCTCTCAACGCGACTATGGCTCCTTCTTCCTCGCAGGTGCTCTGTGTTGCACCGTCAGCCATGGCGCCATGACCCGTGAGTTCACATCTTCTCCCCATTCCTTATCTGCTGCCTACTTACTATCTTCCAAAGCTATCGATGTCGTAAAAACGCGCATACAAATTGACCCTGCCTTTAAATCTCACAATTTCATCTCTGGAGCGCGGAGCATCGTCGTAAAGGAGGGCGCTGTAGGGCTTCTCACAGGATTCGGACCGACAGCTGTCGGATACCTTGCCCAAGGTGGAGCAAAGTTCGCTGGCTACGAGTATTGGAAGAGGTCATTCGTTCTGATTGCGGGAGACCAAGAGACCGCCATTAGGAATCGTACAGCCATATACCTCGGGGCCGCGACCATCGCAGAGTCTGTCTTTCGTCTTTACTTCTGTCCTAAAAATAGAATGCTAACCATCGGGTTATTTCAGATTCTTCGCTGATATCCTCCTTACCCCCCTCGAAGCGACCCGCATCCGTCTCGTGTCAGACCGCAGTTTTGCAACGGGCCTTGTTAGTGGCTTTACGCGTATAGCAAGGGAAGGAGGCATCCGAGAGTTATACGCTGGATTCCTACCCATTCTCTGCAAGTCAGTTTCTTTTTTCCACTTTGCATATGTTTCGGTTCCCTGACCCTCCTGATAGACAAATACCATACGCTATCGGTCAATTCACAGTCAACGAATATTGCCATGAGATCGTTTACCGAGCCATGACCGAAGAAGCGAAAAATAAATTGTCGGGAACTGCCAAATTCTCGCTAGACCTTGGAAGCGGCATCATTGCTGGCTTTGCTGCCGCGATTTTGAGCCATGTGGGTTTCACTTGAATACAATATTCGACCTGGCTGACCCTTCCCCCAGCCGGCTGACACACTTCTGAGTCAAATCAACAAAGGACACGGACCGACGGGATCTATGCCCCATCGTCTTTCTGTCCTCGCACGTGAAGCAGGCTTCAGAGGGCTCTTTGTTGGCCTCGGTCCAAGAATGATTATGACTGCAGGTTTAGTATCATCCCAATTCCTCATGTATGGCTACATCAAAACAGGTTCGTGGCGCCCTCTTCGATCCGCGCCCGTCTATTTACATCTCCCTCATAGCTCTCGGCGCCCCTTTAGGAATAGAAATTCACAAAGATCACAAGAATCTATAGAATGCTGTATCACCTTAGATGTTCATCCTCCATGGACCTTTCAACTATCACGTTTCATGTACGATCTCAGTTACAATTATTACTTGCCAGCATTACCACTATGTCCTATCAATCATTCTTCTCATTTCTTCCGAGAACAATTGCCAGCCTTGCGTTCACATCGACACCCTCGTTTTCCTCCGGGGATAGATTCCATTCCAGAAAACGACGACAAACGGCTTCCGCATCCTCCAAGTCTGCGCGCTCCTCGACTGTCATCTCCTCGTCTAAAAGCCGACCGAGTTCATGTGCGGAGATCAACTGACTGGAAAGCAGAAGTGATCTAGCTAGAAGAGAAATCGAAATCAAACAACGGAGAGGCCTACCTAACGTACTCAGCCCTTTCGACCATGCGTGTCGGTATTCCGAACATCGCGGCGCATTTGGCAGCGTGTGACTCCAAAGAGAGCCCTTCTCCGACTCTATACAAGGTAGACTGAGCAAGAAGTCCAGAGGGCCAAAGTATAAACGAGCCTGTATAGATAAGTAATCTTTTCTCCAGGTCCTAATTTATGCGCCCTATCTTCGTTGGTCGTGCTTGAGGCATGAGTGTCAGAATCTAGGATTGAGCCGTTGCTGGAGGTGAACATGACCTGCATGTGTCGGAAAGAAATTGGCACCCTCGAAGGGTCCAGGATGCCGCTGTTAAACACATCGTGGAAGTGGGTTGCAACGAGAACTTTTGGGCATCTGTCCCCGCGATTGAGCAAATGTCGAAGAACGCCACAGAAGATTCCAGCGCCATCTAGTCAGGTGTAAGACCCAAGAGACACCACGATAAGTTTGCAAGTAATAGACGGAGCCTGAAAAAAGACAAATAGAGACGAGCCTGTCGAGAGCGTTCCTTTACCAAACTCGTCCAGAAGAATCAAGGATCTATCGGTGCAGTTACGAAGCGCGAGGGAAACCTGATTCAAATCAATCATGAACGCGGATTGTACCTACGAATCATGTTAGTCCGAGATGTTTGTATGACATTCACGTAAAAAGCAAAAGGTCATTCACTCTCGAGACTGACTCTCGAGTCGATATACGTGTAAAAACTGTGGGCCAGATGAGTCAGCGTAATTTTAAGCTGTAAAATATCGGTTGTTACTCTTGTCAATGATGCCCAGGGTGGCCGACTCCGCAGGAACAAAGCTATTTTGCGGTGGGCACGATGGACGCGGGAGCGAAGTACTTTACTGACCAGCCGATCTGTAACTTGGAATGAGATCGACGTTGAAACAAGCAAGGTACAGTGGGGCCTACCTGTGCCATTATTTGGATAATCGCGATCTACATAACAAAATTCAGACAAATTCTGTTGCCCCGAGAAGAATAAACCAACCTGCTTCAAATAAACACTCTAGAATATCCAGATTAGTAGTGACCTGATCATTCTCAGTAATAATCATCACTTTTCCGCAGGCGTTTGCGCCAGTACACAGAATCACGCTATTCCATTGTTCGATGTCATCGGGAGTGCTGGGCGATGACCCTGCGCCTGCACCTCCTATGATACGAGCATCATTAGGCACGAATGTGTCGACAACCTGTTCATGCAGTGGATGCCTGCCAAAGATGAGATTTTGAGTGGCAAAAGAGTTGATTCTATCACCTTCCTCCTATTATCTCGATATAATTATCTTGAACCATCTCAGGCCGCTTGTAGTCATACAACCTCGAAGCCTCAGCAAAGGATAAGAGGCAATCTGCCTCGGCGCAGACGTCGCAAGCCTTTCCCATCGCATCATCGACGACCAGAACCTCCTCGAGAAGGTCTTGTATTATTTCAAGCTCTCGGTCTACGATTGTCGAGTGCAAGTCCCCAATATGTGTGTCCATATCTAGGTTTGGTAACGACAATCACAGTTATTTGAGGGTTCGAGGGGGACTCAGCTCGACTTGCCCTGCATTTCTTGCGATTTAAAATAAACGTGAGCGCTAACGATGGTGAGTGCAAACCATTAGCCGTAAGAGTTGAAGGAGGGAGGCATAATTACTCGGATGAAAACTGTGCATTGTTAAAGGTATGGTCAACCATGCCACGTAGATGGATCTTACCTGAAAAGTCCAACCGTCAATAGCCTGGATCCCAGCCTCCCCTTGCCACTCATCTAACATGGGGATGCATATGAGATAGCCTTGACGAATACTTAATGCATAGTAGATGGAGTGTGTTTTGGGGCCCACCAAGTTGCGGAAAGTAGACTACATTCAAAAATGGTGCGATGTCTGGAGAAACGCTTTCAGACAGCTGTTTTGCGACAGCGGACTGTAGAAAGATCCTGAGCGATTGGCGACAGCTATATCCTTACTAAAAGCACTCACCAAAACGGAGTCAATTCCGTTATAAACATGCTTCCTGTTGTCTAACTCTTCATCGATATGTGGTCGAACACAGACCCTTCCAGCGATGGCGGATTCTTCCCAATCAACCTGTTCTGCGGGTCGGCCGAATGCGTTGTGAGAGGGCACGGAGCTTACGATATCATTGACCCTACTTCCAATTTCCTTGAAGGTCACAACATCCAAGGCAGACATAAGCTTTAGCGGCCAGATCAGAAAGATATATTGGTAAGGAGTGGTTTGACCTTTTTGATGATGTCGACACCATTAGCATGGCGTAGTTCCATCAATGTGTCGCGAAGCATGGTTGTGTGAAAGGTGAACTAGAAGCGGAATGTCAGCTTCAACAAGTGACCTCGGAGCTAGGACCACACCTTTACAAAGCCTTGCCAGTCTGCCAACTTTCCTCTACCAGTTCTTAAGACGCTCAAAATCCGGGGCATGTTCTTGATGCCTTTGAGATGGCTGTGCATGAGGGTACCAGTAGCTATGTTCTCTAGTCGCATGAAGCACTCAACAGCTTCGTGGCGATCATTAATGACGGACAACGAGAGGGATGGACGTAGGAGCCAGGTACGTAGCAGAGCCCGACCGAGGGTAGTCTTTGTGCCGTTCAAGGTTCCTATGTAAAGAAGCGTCGTAATAGTGTCTGTTGGGTGCAGGTGCGGACGAACCAAACAAAGACAATCCCTCCTTCGTTTTATCAGAGTGGACGGAGGCATGACTTTCGTTTTCAAACACTTGAAGTGACCTAATACGAACCTCAAAAGTCAGAAAAAGAAAAAAGCTGAGCGGACCCACAATAACGCATCAGCATTGATTTGCATGACCTCATTCCTATAGCAGACGAAATTCAGACGAAATGTAAGGCACAAAGCGTATACAAGGACGCACAAAGCAAGGATTTCAATATCCATAATATCCACGCTGGTGATGCCTTCGTCATCAAAATCGCTCGCTGCACGCTCTCGTATAAGGTGGTCAATAAGCGCCCCAACGCATGCCATCTACTTGGAAGGTGGATTAGGAGACTTCATCAAGATAACAACATGAACGCACACAGATCGGGGATGATTCTACAGAAGCAAAATTGGCAAGCCGGATCAATGCGTTCCAGCGCTGGGCATTGGGGTCAGTAGTGCTGTGATTTCGCGCCCGTAACAAATCGTATGCATTAGAAAGCAGAGAATCAGATTCGACATCCGAAGACCGTGGCAGGTCTGATATATGCGTCGGTAGTTGGGAGAGGCAGCTGAGAGAAAGAAGTTTATCGCGTCCTGTGGAAGGTGAAAATTCCTTGTGGGGCCTAATCTGAAATACTCCACCCTCAACGTCGGCTTCGCAAAGGTGATTATATGCGCAACGTGAATATTAGAAACATACTGTATTCACGTAGCGCATCTATGAAAACATCATCCGATTTGGAGCTTGATAATATAATATCTGGATTGGCCTGTTCAAGAACTAGATAACGCATCCGCGAGTGAGTCATCCGTCAAACAAAAACTCAGAAGTGCTCACGCATCCTGGTAAGGTCGAAGTGAGGCGTTTCCTGCGTATCCTCCAGGATGTAAAGCAAGCCTTTCAGAGGTTCGTAATATGCGCATGCGACGCGGCCACTGCGAATCATACATAAACATCAGAGCCATATGAGTAGGAGCTCACTGGGAACACCAAGCAGAAAGGCAAGTCTGTAGCAGATGGTACGTTAGCCTCAAATCTTGTGTTGATACATAGTTATGCCTTCTGTGAAACAGCGCTTTCTTCCTCAGAATCGACCTCAGAGTCCTCCATTCCCGCATCTCTCGACTGTCCTTCCCACCTTACTTTCTTGCAGCGGTCCTGGGGTCCTTCTTCAGACTGATCTTTCACGGGGGACTTGTCTGTAACTTTGCTGCGTTTTCTTTTCGCCATTGTGAACAGGGGTGATTGAGAACAGTTGATGTGTGGAAGCAGTGTGGAAGACTATACCACGTATGTCACATCACATGAGCATCATCACACATTTTAGATTAATATTTTTCATTGTGAATGAAATAGTCGAGGTATTACTTGGACAACTTGAGCATTTCCTGGGCATCATTACCAGCAACTATAACAAAATTGTCATCATATACAATTTTTTTTGTCAGAGATAGACGCACCATTAAGGAGCAAGCTTTGCGAATCTAGCATGACCTTATTACCAGACCCAGCCAGAATGGTAGCAATATCACGAGCAGCCTCCAGGCGACGAAGCTCAAGGAAACCCTTGTTCTTGCGGAGCGCCTCTCCAACAAGCTCAGCGCTCTTTGCCTCACCTTGTGCCCTCACAATGATAGACTAGTCGAGGGTCAGGTTGAAAGGTCAGACAAATCCACAAGCCTCACCTGTTTTTCCTGAATTGCTTGATCAACCAGGAACGCAGCACGAAATGCCGTTTGTTGTGCGACCTAAAAGAACTTACTTACATGTAGCTCAAGTGATGATTCACGGGAAAAATACCTGTTTGGCCTCAACGGCATGCGTGAACTCAGGAGAGAAAGCCACATGAGTAATAGAAACATCGTCGAGAACGAGGTTAAATTTCAGGGCACGCTCCGTCAAGTTCTCTCGCACAAGCCGTGACACCTGCGTAGTGGTAAGGAAGGGTGCACCAGACATTGGGTGAAGACGTACATGCTCCCGCTGAGTGATAAGCTGACTAGCATTGAATTGCGCCACTACACTTTTCAGAACCTCATTTACAATGGATGGCAAAACTCGTTCATCGTAATCCTTGCCCAGTTCGCGGAAAATCGTAGGGAGGCCTTGAATCGACGGTCTAGAGAGGACACGACATGTGATGTTGACCATCTGCAAATCTGGGATATATCGTGAGTTAGGGCCCATGGACCGTGCAACGTAGAAGTGACCTTTTGTTCCAGTCAAACTGGCGACGTTTCTTGGCTTAGCGCGGATGTCGAAAATGATGGGTGTTTCAAACCAAGGTACCTAGAACCGACAATTCAAAACCAATCTTGAATATAAGATGTTTGAGCATACCACCAAATGGGTCCCCTCGTTATATATGTCATCTTTGATGCCATGTAACCTAGAAAGAGGATGAGAAGGCAGAGTATGCAAACAAACTAAGCCCTCACCTGGTGTATTTGATAGCACGGTGACCACCATCGACTAGGTAGTATCCGGCTAAGTCAAATTTCGAGTTTAGTTTCGATTACATACCGTTAAACAAGCTGGCATTCAAGATAAGTCCACCTCCAACAAGTGCAACGAGCAGGCCACTCCCTGCAAAAAACCCCTTTCCGCCAGGAATAGGACCCCCGCTTGTGGCCTTGAGTTGTTTTGCCAGTCGTCGGAAAGCTTCCTGACCGTTCATTTTGAGTTATTTTAATGAACGAGGAGGATGCGCGAGAAAGTTCACTGCAAGTAGCGTGACGCGGGTGCGAACAATGTGATGGATACGTCACGCGGCAATCACTCAGAGTTCCGTCGCGATAAATGTTGAGCTCCGATGGGGAAAGCCTGAGCAGCGTTGTATGTTCCTGACTTGTTGTCCGGCATTACTATGCATGCCCTGACATAGCTCATATCTACATTTTAGCTTGGCTGGATTTCTATTGCTTGTTGGTGAGTCACAATCTTGCTTTCGAAGGACACTTGCCTCACCGTAGCCAGGATCGTCGTCTATTCTCCACAAATCTATGAAAACTACTTGCTTCAATCTGGCGAAGGCCTTAGCGTTTTATTCGTCACCGTATGGATTTTAGGCGATCTCTTCAATCTCATTGGTGCAGTATTAGGGGGCTTATTGCCCACCGTCATCATCCTCGCTTGCTATGTGAGTTACTGTTCTTCAACCTAACTGCACAACTAAAAAAAAAGATCCTCAGTATACGATCTGCGATCTTATACTCCTCTGTCAGATCTATTACTTTCGCTGGAAACGTAACCGGACGGGGCAAGGAGAACACGGAGAAGAAACACCTTTACTCTCCGGCGATGACCGACAAACCGTGGAGATAACCCCAGTCAAAATCGTAGCCGCTCGTTACATGAGCGCGCTTTTATTCGTCGTTGCCGTGGGCATTGCGGCGTGCAAAATCAGCAATAAACCTGATGTTGAGGAGGCAACGACGATTAAGTCTTTGCTAATGGAGCGGTGGTGGCTTGTTCAAACTCTAGGGTGGTCAAGTGCCCTGCTTTTCGTGCGTAAACTTCGTTATTGACGCTTTTCTTTCAATTCAATTTCGACGTAAGCTCGGTGCACGCGTTCCACAGATCCGTTAGGATGCCTCGTTCTTTTTCATGCTATATCGCTGACCCTCAATGTAGTAAAAAACTTCAAAACGCGGTGTGAGGGCTTGTCGCCTGCTCTCTTCTTCTTTGCAATCTTTGGAAACACGAGTTACGCATGGTCGATTTGTGCGAAAAGTATGGATAGGGGATATTTAATCAAAAATGCTGGCTGGTTAGCAGGTGAGTGTTTGACGAGTGGCATTGCGTACGCTGTTGATTTATGGTTTAGGGAGCACACTGACCGTGTTGCTTGACATATTTGTGAGTCTATCTCCGACATTGACCCTTTCCTCATTATTTTGCGGTGCCATTATTTCCGTTGCTCACTTCTAAATAAAGGTACTGTGCCAGTTTATCTATTATCGAGCAACAGACACAATCGCCGTCCCTGCACCGTTGTCGAATGTGAATGATGATACTAGTAATTATTGAATACGTCTTTGAACAAAGCTGTACAGTAGCCTTAAATAACAGTGCCCTACCACGAATGCCGATGCCCTAGCAGTCAAGTGAGATTTCTTTGTCCACTCGCCCGATGGATTTGTGCTCGGTTATTTGCGTAGCCATGCGTTTGGCCTACTGGACCCGAGAAAGCGGTGAGGAGACGCGTTGATCAGATTTATCGAATAACAATGGACGGAGTCGTCCAAGGTGGCAATTAGCAGTGATGCCAGAGTGATGCTGGATTGCTGTGTGCTGCCTCGTTGTCACCCTCGTGTTGGGATGTTCATTCCGATATCCCACGTTGCAGGTCACTCATCATGGATCCTTCGCCTAGTTGCAAGAAATACATAGGCATGCTTCATGCCTCGTGCTGGACGGAACACAGGGGAGCTGGGGGTTTATCGCCAGTCCCTTATAAACACTCCTTATCCTCTCCTAGATGGTTCTACATCTCCAGAGTCCTCAAAAACTCCCTTCTCACAGTCCGAAACATCACTTTTGACCCGCACAGGCCAAGGTAGGCCACGTCCCTTAATGAACCAGTGATCAGTGGCGGGCTAACAAGGATGCCGACCAAGCAGGAGGCAAGGTCGGCTGGCTAGTGTCTCGATAATCCGAATCCAGCTAGCGCCGAGCTGGAACCCCTTCCGCTCCCGTGATATTTAAGGTAATTTTGCTGGACTTTCGAGGAGCCACCCTCCGCTCCTATATATCGTCTTGTCGCCTGCAATGGCGACCATGCCAGTGCGCATCCCTGCGAGCGCATTCACTTCTCCCCGGAGGAGAAAACTCTCCCTCAAAGGCTACAATGCCATGCCACCTTTGAAGACTCGCACGTGCCACATAGACGACGCGTACGTGCCGCGTACTACCCCCAATTCCATCGCAAGCCTCCGAGAATCAATCGCGGCACTGGATGCGAAAGTGGCTCTTCTCCAATCCCAGCGCCGCGAGCTCGAGATCAAGTTGGAACAAGCAGTTAGACTACAGTCACCCGTTCTTCGCCTTCCCAGCGAACTTTTATCTTCCATCTTCGTCATCGGAGTTTTGGGTATGGGTGACGAGAATCCTGTCATGGTGCCGACACTCATGCTGGTGTGGTAAGCAAACACTCCCGTCATTTGAGGGGAACAATGGGTTAATTACTCCTTTAGTCGGTACTGGGCGGAAGTGGCGTTGAATACTCCAGTGTTGTGGGCAAAGATCTCCGTGAGCCCACATGATTCTTTAGAGAAGGCAAGACGACGACTCGAGCGGTCGAAATCATGCCCCTTGGATATCACGGTGAATTTCGGTCCTCGGATTGAATACACAGGCAGTGTTACAGAGCAAATTGTTCGCGCCATGGATCTGTTCCGCCCAGTACTCTCGAGAACGAGATCATTCAATCTCAGCGTACCTAACCGTCCACAAGCGCACGCAGCACTCCTGCGATGTCAAGAGGATGCTCCTTTGCTTGAAACGCTAACAATTCAAATTCACCACTCAATGCAAGAAGATCACTATTCCACCCCTCCGTTCCCCCTCTTCAATGGTCGGACTCCTCGCCTTGTTTCATGCTCCCTCACCTCGTTCAATTTCGGCTGGGATCTCAGGCTTATGTCTCGCCTACGCGTTTTAAAGCTCGGGGGTTACTTCAATGCATTCACGCCATCCGCAAAAACGCTCATCGATATCCTACGCCAATGTCCAGAACTGGAAGAGCTTGCCCTGCGGAATATGTCTGATGTGGATTCGAGCCCCTGCTACTTTGACGACTCCGACCCCCCGCCAGGAACCAAAGTCATTCACCTTCCTCGATTGAAAAAAGCGTCGTTCTACTACGCCGGAATTGCACTTACCAGACAGATTATGCTGCAAATGTCCTTCCCAAATCTTGAGTCTTTGGAGATGTGCTACCTCGAAAATGTGACACCAGTGCTCCAGATCCTGTACACTCAGGCACTGACGCGGCTTCCGCTGCGGTTTATCCGCATTGAATCCTGTTTGTTTAGCGAGCTGAAATTTTTGAACCTCCTCCGGCATCTCCCCTCGCTGGTCACCCTCGCGCTGGTGGATGTGGAGGATGTTTCTTCTCACTTCCTCAAGGTAAGTTCAGGGTGCTCCTGTATTGTATGTATGGCTTTGACTGATGCATTCTCTACCCCGCTCGCTAGGGACTTTCCGCCTCTCAACCTTGGGTTTGCCCCCGTCTGGAGACGGTATCTTTCGATGGATGCACGTCCCTTGACTGGGACTCCCTTCGTACATTCGTCGAAGCCCGCCTCCCCGCTAATCCCCATGCCTATGCGCGATATCACACTACCACTACGTCGATCGTATCGTCAGCTTCGGCCGCGGCAGCGCACCATGCTCGCTCTAAAGGCCGCCATCCCCCTCGTATCAATCATCCTAGCGCCATCATGGGCCCACTTCGTCTCAAGGCCATCGATGTGACGAGGTGCAATCAGATTAGCAAAGACATGATACAGTGGTTACGAATGTACGTGGCGGAAGTCAAGTGCGAATCAGCAAAAGGCATCTGGGGCGAACCAGCGATGTCATGAAGAACCAGAAATTTTAGAACTTTCATATTCCCTTTCACCTAGAATTGCCACGGAACTTTACGATTTGCTTTGCTTTCTGTTATTCTCCTCGCTTGCACTTCGCGATACCCAGTTTTGCATTTTATTTATTTTGCCTGTAACTTTATTTCGCTGAAACGGAGAATGTATTTCTAGATTTCTAGGTATTAAGATAAGCCAGCATGGCCTTCCTCTTCGTCTCTTCCATATTTCTTTGTCTCTTGAACCCTCTACGCCCACGACCGAATGTTTCCTTTCGCTTCCGGGCTTCTTCCGCTGCTTTGACGTGAGCAGCCATCGCCTCAGCATTATGTGTAACACGCTTCTGCGAGGCTTTGTACGGACCCGCGGTTTTGGCTTTTAAGCCGATGCCCAATCGATCGGATTTCAGCACGGTAGCTATCGGAGTGAGGAGGGCCTTTCCCCCATGAGCAGAAACGTCAGTAGGGGGGTGATTGCTCAGAGATGTCATCAACGATTCCTCTCTTTGGTATTGGTTAACGTCCGTATCGTCATCGTCGTCGTCATCGAAATCCGACAAGGTGAGATCTATCACCTCTACGTTCCGTGATTCGTTCACATCTTCACAATCCTCTATCTTGCAACGATCCTGGACATTGCGTGTGTTTGCTTTACCCTTTCCCTTGTCTTTGAAGGAAATCACATCGTCCTCTGGTATCATCTCTTTCATGGGCTTTCGGCGAACTACGTCCGGACCCAGGGGTTCTCCTTCCTTCCAGCCGCCTTGCTGGAGCATAGAGAAGCCTCTATTGGAGGGGCCGATAGCCAGCCATACAGGCGGGTAGAACTTGCCCTCTGATGGTAATGGTGGTGGATCGCGAGCGAGAATATCGGCAAGAGTGGGAGGGGGGGTATTGGAGGAAGAGGGGAGCTCTGATTGTATGGCTTTCATGATAAACCAATTATTCTTGTTGCTTCTCTCCCCCTTGAGGGTTGAAGATGTATAGGGTGTCGTAGAACTCATAGAAAGGGATACTGAGGGATGCATGTCGCCGTCCTTTGCGAGGGAAGAGGGAGATGCCCTGGTAGAGTGAGAACTTGTCAGAGATCTATACCAACCCGCTAGATTGCCTCCAAGCGAGTCATCTCTGAAGGAAAGATTTGAAGAGCCTGCTTGTTGCCCTCCCCAGTCGCCATAGGAGATGGTAGCTGGCACAAAGTTAGGCGGCGGGACATGACTCCGACCAGAGATTTTGGATGCCTCTTTCTGCCAAGCCAGAGCGGGGTCAACTTGTTCACCATCAGGAGGCACGTCTTTCTCTGGTCCTTTGTCTGGCGGAGAGTAGTGTGAGTAGATAGTATGGGCGACGGTAGCCATGCGGCTATGGTTGAGGCCAAGTTCAAATTGAAGCCAAAAGGCTGATTACAAAACTACATATTTAGCAATGCCGCCTTAGCCGAACTTCATCACAATTTGAACTACCACCGACGAAAACGACCATTCAATACCCTTCTGAACGAGTTCTTCCCTGCTTCTGGATACTACTAGGTTGCGCCACAGTGTAAACAGTTCGCTCATTCTCTCGATGTTCCAGCAGGTTCATTGAAACCCCTCCCATGCGTGGACAAGAGTGCGTACACAGCTTTTGGAGAAATCGCTACATGAGTCAACGATCCCCCGGGCCCCAGGTAAATTAGCGACCAGCCAGAACAAGTTCGTTGCAGAAGCACAGGCTTCCAACGAGGTTATCCAGGAGAAGGTAGCCAGCTTGATCGTGGGCCTTGAGTGAACTCCAAAATCTATGCGAGGAGGTATCTTGTTTAGTTCGTACATTCGAGATTAATCAATGCTTCAAAAAGAGAATATTCCCAGCCACTCGCTGCCAGGGATATGCATGACCCTGCGATAAATATGACATCAGGGACTCTCTATCATGGCATGAAACGTTGGAAGGTCTCCGCATGCACAAGGATTACCGAGCTGCCGCGAACGAGTCTGAGTGCAAAGCCTTGGATTGCTCAATTTTGAGTGAATCCTGAGATCAACCATAAGTCAAAAAAGACACGGGGAAAAGGCGACACCTCGTTAGTTTTTGCGAGTAAATTTTGTCAGCGGGGTCGAATGTCACCGCCCACTGAGACCGAGTACATGAAATCCAAGCCAGCAATCCAAAGCATGATGAAATGTTTTTCTGATTAGGCTCCTGGGGTGTTACGTATGTATGTACTTTTGTGGCGTATCATGACTGGTTTTGCGCGTTCATGACCTCTGCAGATAGTTCTGAGAATTGGGCCACACCGAATGATGATTCACGCACCGGCATTCATCTCAGAAAACCTAGCCCCGACTCTCTCTGAATGTTTAATAAACTTCTCCGTACAATGCATTACACACGCTTCCTTCGGAAATTCTCAGCCTCTCGCAACGTAGGGGCAGTAGGAGGATGGGACACACCTCTTTGGATGTCAAGGCTTTAGTGGTGAAATCGTTACAACACGTGTTGAAGCACTTTTCCACAATGTTTGAGTACATCTTGAGAAAGTCTTGCATCTATTCGTGGCTCAGGTCGCACAGAAGTGAAAGGCGATGCGTGTCAAACCTGCTTCTTCTCGATGATCTTGGTCATATGGGCCTGTTCGGCAGGGTTGAAATTTGAAAAATCCATCGAGAATTTGAAGAGAGATGGCGGGGTGAGGAAGGTGAGGCAACGAGATGGAAGTTAAATACGAATGTGAAGATGGTTGTGGTGAACGACAGGTGTGACAAGACCACCTCAGAAAATGTGTCGTCACGTGGAGGTCTTCCTCAAACGCATGATATGCACCTACGGAATTATGAAGGAACAAGTACGGAACGACGCAAACGTTCTTTCCACAAACGTGATCCGCTTGATATTCTTACATTTCACTGACATTCCATCGTTTATAATCTTGAAAAGCCTATACGCGATTATCCTGTAATCCTCGCATCGCATCGCTTCGGTTTTGTAAATCGATCGCCATTCATTCAAGCCAGCCCGGGTAAACAAGTAGTGAGTCAAACGCCTCCACCGTCGCTAGTGGTTTGTGTAACCTCGATCTATTTATCCAGTGGTTGATCTCAACATGGCAATGTCTTTCAAAGACGCCCTTGCCCGCCTCGAGAACAGTCGAGTCAAATCTACACGCCCTTTGATTCCACCTCAAATCCTGCAAGAAGACCTACCGCTGTAAGGCAGATTTTCCACCGAAAGACGCGTATTGACCTGCATCGCAGCACTCTGCTTGCTGCCCAAACCGTCCTTCAGGGGCGTTTGGCCGCCGAGAATATTCTCAAAGGTGATGATGACCGTCTTTTGGTAGTCGTCGGGTGAGTCCTCTGGTTATTTTTATATTCTCATGTACTAATCAAGAACTCAGCCCATGTTCAGTTCATAATGTTGAAGCGGCTATGGAGTATGCGAAACTGCTTCGAGCTTACGCCGAAACGGCCAAGGAGGATCTTTTCATCGTCATGCGGGTTTACTTTGAAAAGCCTCGCACAACTGTTGGATGGAAAGGTCTCATCAACGACCCAGAGCTCAACGGGAGTTTCCAGATCAACAAGGGACTGCGAATCGCACGATCCTTTCTCATCGATATCGCGAAACTGGGCCTGCCTGCAGGGTGCGAATTTTTGGATACCATCTCACCTCAGTATATTGCAGATTTGGTATCCTGGGGTGCTATAGGTGCTCGTACAACTGAGTCCCAGGTCCATCGTGAACTCACATCTGCGCTATCAATGCCTACTGGCTTCAAAAACTCCACCGACGGAACTGTTGGTATCGCTGTCGACGCTTGTCGTGCTGCCAGAAGTAGCCATGTCTTTTTGAGTGTAGGAAAAGAGGGTCTGAGCAGTATTATCGAAACTTCGGCGAGTTTCCTTCCCTCACAATAAGGGTGCCGAAATCTCAACGTCATGTAGGGGAATCCTGATGTTCACATCATCCTACGAGGTGGAGTTAAAGGTCCTAACTACGCTGAAGATTTCATTCGTGACGCTAGAAAGCAGCTAGCTAAAGCAGCCCTGCCACAAAAGATCATGGTTGACTGCAGTCACGGAAATAGCTCTAAGCAGCACCAAAAGCAAGTCGAAGTTGCTGAGGACATCGTAAGTGGCCTTCCCCCTACCCCCGCCTATATTTAAATTCATGCGCCAATTTCTTCTTCAAGGCCCAGCAGTTAGAGTCAAAAGATACATCATCACTCATTCTGGGCGTTATGCTTGAAAGCAACCTCGTCGAAGGTCGTCAGGATATTCCTGCCTCAGGACCCGCTGGTCTCAGATATGGACAATCTGTTACCGATGCTTGCATCTCCTGGGAAACGACTATTCCGGTTCTTGAGCGTCTTCGCCAAGGGGTACGCGGTCGTCGAGAATTGGTTCAAAAAGCCTCAAGAAATTTGTAGACATACCCGATACGTTAGTAGAGGGTTCTTACACCCTCGGGTTCACTCAAAGAAAATATTTTCAAAGTTGTACTTGTTTGTTCCCCTCGTGACCCCATCTCGGCCCTTCCCATCGTCGTTTGCTTATTTTTAGCGTTTTTGAGGATCCTTTGCAGTTGTTTGTCCATCGGCTCTTTTTGCCGTCTCTTTGGGTTCACTGGCGATAACCTTTCGTTCTGTGCCCTTGTGCTTTTGGTACGACGATCGTTCTTGGCGGCACGTACAATAATGCTTTTACGATGATGGCGGTGTACAGCCTCGAGGATTTTACTTATTCAGAGGCCTTTCTCGTGAAAGAGGTGTTCCGTGGCAATGATACTTACGCCATCATATTTTTTAAGTTGACAAGTTAGGTAGAAGCTTTTGTTCTGTGCCCTTGTTCTTTTGGTACGACGGTCGTTCTTGGCGGCACGTACAAACTTACTAAGAGGCCTTTCCTCGTGAAAGAGGTGTTGCGTGGCATGCACTATCAAATTTTTTTTAAGTTAACGAGTTAGGTAGAAATCGATATAATGATGTCCAAGGAGTAAATAGATGTCCAAAGAGTATATAGATGTTCCACGTGGCAAAGTAGGAAATGAAAAATCATACATTCGTCCAAAAGATTAGTTGCGGCCGTGATTCAGTACTCAGTAGCGAGTACGGTCACTCCGAGTTACCACTGGCATCCCTCACAAGTTTAACAACTCAGGACTCGGGTAACAGTGAAAACCAAAATTCATAAACTGCTGCGTTCCGCTGAATGAAACTGCTCTGTTAACATGTATCTCCCACAATAAATCTGTGCAACGAAATGAATAGATTGCAGTGACTGACCATGTACACCACACAATACTATACAGCACGCTGACTCGAAACTACTAAATGTGTAAGCAACGGAACTTGCTGTGACCAACGTGATGGAAGATTGGGTATCGGGTTTTGCGCCCGCAGGCGCGCTAAGTGGTTATTTTAAAAAAAACTGAATGTATCCATACAACTGCTAGACTTGGATATAAACACTTGTCTTCCTCTACCTCTTGCTTAGCAATTCAAGGCGATGCTGCTGACTGACTGGCGATGATGTCACGGGTTCCGGGTTGAATTGATCGAAGTTGTGCCGTCGTGGTAATCTCAAACACCGGAGGCCCAAAAGAAATACATATGCTCAGTAATGTCGCCGCAAATTACCACCTTTTGCCTCTGCCATGTCAGTCTTGGCCAGGCTGTTTTCGCTGTCGAGCAAGCACAAGAGCAAGCACTCTGATACTTTCTCCCTTGACCGCGGAAGTTCGATAGATTCATCTCACATTGACGAGGACGCCACCGACTCACCAAGATGCCCGTCGATTTCTCAGCTGTATAACGAGGCGAACGCGTTCGAAAAGGTTCTTCAGTGCTCAGGATGCGTCAAACCTCTTACTTCTCGGACAAGGACTTCAAACAGCGGCTTCGAGTCCCTCGTGAGGCACGACCTCAATCAATCTGAACTCGCGATGGCCAACCATGACGCCAAAGTGGCCGCTACTGCCAGCAGTTGGGTCACTGCCGATCTTGATTCGAAGGATTCAGTTCAGTATGACGCTGAGGATGAATATAGAATATCCAGCGATTCTTCATCGGACGCTGACATTGCGCTGCCCACCATTCATCGCGTTCCAAACCATGACAATGAAGAACTTGCGAAATTAAAGCCAGAAGAAATTGTCCGTATTTTGATCCAGGAATTTGGCGAACTCGCTGGTCCAGATGAGGAAGAGTTGTTATTATTGGAAACTGACGGCTGTCTTTTTAGCGAGATATCGGTTGTGGTGAGTACTGGCGTTTGTTCTTTGTTGGTTGAATAACTCAGCTCTTGAAGGGCGTTATTCATCTTACGACCCACCGTTTGACATTTCACGCATCCCTACTTGCTACTCGGCCAGACCTCTCACCCTCACGTCAAGTCCTCAAAGCTGGCCCGGCCACATTTCACCGTAAAGGCTGGCGGGTGAAAAGGCGACTCTGGGTAGAATTGACGCATGATATGATCTGCTCGTACGCATCCAGTAAAGAAGAGGACAAGACCCGCCCATTGTGCACTACCCTATGTAAGCTTCCTCTTCTTCTTGGCGCTACCACTTTCTGACGGTATCTTTCAGTATCATTCTTCCATGAAGTTCTTCCCATCGATCCAAAGCACCCAAGGTTTATCCGTTTTGTCATAAAAGACGCAGCTCATAGCGCCAACGACTATGTCGAGTTGGATACAGAAGAGTCTGCCCATGATTGGAGAAGAGAAATTAATGGCGAGTTATAATTTTGTCTATACTACTCTTGTGTTTCTAATCCTGTTTCCAGGTGCTTTGTCCCTTCAACGCCATCGCCGAATGGAGTTGTATTCGCCAACAGCCGATTCAGAAGCTGGAGTCAGACTAAGCTGTCCCCTCGACCGAATAATTGACTTCCAAACCCATTGCAATGCCGATTTTTTGCACCTGGTTTCTTTCCGTGTTCAACTTACTCCAGCGGACTGTAAGGAAGATGTATGTGAGGGCATGTCCGAATCTCCGGTCATCCAAGTCGGCCCTGTTCAACACATACCAATCTGGGACCAGCTGCAAGATCGCATTGATATCGCGAAGCGCCGCGTGCAGAATGAACCACCCAACCCGCAATCCGTCTTCTTCGTTGACTTTGGGCCCTTTAGGTTTCTCCAGAGAGATAATGTGCCCTCCAAAGATGAAGGTTACATCACCCATAGAGAAAAAGCCATTCGAGCTGCATTAGGATTCGCTGCGGAATCGGAGCTTTGGTGTGGGTAGCGCCTTTGTGACCCAGTTTCATTACTAATGACATTCATATTCAGTTGCTCGGGCTCGCGTCTACAGGACGGTGACTTCAGTTGGGTACTTTGCGATATCTCGACGCCACATAGGGTTCTGGAGCAAAAACTTAACACAGCGGAATATCACTTATAGCATCCCTGTGACTCTAATCCGATATGCGGAGCCCTTTCACCTGAACTGGGTACTTGTCGATGGCTTAACTGTTGGCGTAGAAGGTCAAGCAGAGATGAGGTTTGTCTTTAGGTCGGCCGCGATACGTGATGCGGCCCTTGAACACATCAAACAATCCATTTCATCTTGCCAGTCTGGCACCGTGGTGGCATCTCCGATTTCTTCGAGACCGGGGAGTCCTGAGACACAGGAAGCATCGGTTAAACCCACTCATCACATGCGTCGGCGACACGCCAAGTCCCCAGAACGCAGTGCGACTGGCATATTTGCGCCTCTATCTCGTTCCCTTAGTGCTGCTGTTACCGCTGCCGCCGACCTCCCACTCAACTTCCAGCGTCGAATTCCCAAGGTTGTCAATCTGCCTCGGGAAATCCTGATTGCAAGAGCCTCCCTACATTTTGTGTGTTTGACCATTGGTTCTAGGGGTGATGTTCAGCCATATATTGCACTGGGACTTGGATTGAGAAAAGAGGGCCACCGTGTAACGATCGTTACCCACGAAGAGTATCGAGACTGGATTCTTGGGTTTGGATTGGGTCATCGAACAGCTGGTGGTGATCCAGGCGCTTTGATGAAACTTAGTGTGGAAAATAAAGTGCGTGTTATCGTAGGATGTTGTTTCAACAAAAAAAATCTGATTTCGACTCGTAGATGTTCTCACCTGAATTTTTCAGACTGAGCTTAAACAACGTAAGTTGTGCTTAAAAAAACAGACGTTGCTTTCTGACGCTTGAACAGTTCCGACCCTGGTTAGACCAACGTTCGTCGTAAACGCTTTCAAGGTTGCTCAAACACATAACTATTTCGTTGTTTGCAGTTCTAGTCGATTCCTGGAAGGCATGTAGTGATGCTGACGTTCTCCTGGAGAGCCCATCAGCGATGGCTGGTGTACACATCGCCGAGGCCCTAGGTGTGTACAACGGCCTCTCATCTCTCTTTATCATCTGACCTTTTTTTGTTCAAGCCATTCCATATTTCAGGACATTTACGATGCCCTGGACCAAGTAGGGTTATTTGGTTGACTCCAATCATCATGTTTATGCAACTTCTCAGGACTTCCGAATTCCCTCACGCATTTTTGAGCCCGCCCGTTGAGTCTCCTACCTTCAACAGCGCTTCGTGAGTGTGTTGTCCATGCCCGCCGCCCCTCAATTCTAAATTTTTTCAGATACATATTGTTTAGGTTTGCCCTGTGTGCATACTCACTCTTCCTCTCGTTCAATAACATCTTCCCAGTAACGTCATGTGGGCTGCCACCTCTAGCCAAATTAATAAGTGGAGACGCCACACCCTTCGGATAGGCCACACCGACATGGGACACTTGGCTCAATCAAAGATCACGTTCATCTATAACTTCTCACAAGTTGGCCATCCCCTCTATATTCATACGAGGCTCTGATGTTATTCTACAGGTTGTGGTTCCCAAGCCACTAGATTGGCCAGATACCACGATCATCTCGGGATAGTGAGCGGAAAGGCCTTGTTGATGTGTATTTTGTTATCTAACAACACTCTTGCAGCTGGTTTTTGGATAATCCGGATCTTGACTGGGAACCCCCCACCGAGCTCATAGATTGGATGGAAGAATCCCGGAGAGAGGGGAAGCCAATCGTATACATTGGGTTTGGAAGTATTACTGTGCCACATCCGAATCGTGTCACTTCACATATAGTGAAGGCGGTTCTGCAAAGTAAGCGTGAAGCTTGCTATTTCAATCTGCTCTAAATGTATGTTCGCTCTCAAGGTGGCGTTCGAGCGGTTATCTCCAAAGGCTGGTCTACGCGAATGAAAAGCGAAGATAAAGGCCCTGAAATCGAAATACCTCGAGAATGTTTCCTCCTCGACAAAGTGCCTCATGATTGGCTTTTTCCGCGCATAGATGCAGCTGTGCACCACGGCGGGGCAGGGACTACAGGCGCGAGTCTACGAGCAGGAATACCGACGCTGATTAAGCCATGGTTCGGTGATCAGTTTTTCTGGGCTTCAAGGGTCCAGCGACTGGGGGTGCGTCCGACATCTGTCTTTGACAACTACTTTATGCTTAATAGTGAATACGAAGGCCGGTCTCAGAGTTAGCTTGAGGGTCAGCGACCTGTCCGACGCCCTCGTTAAAGCGACCACTAACCAGTAAGTATTCCTTTCTTCGCCGAATGTATTTTATGGATGTTTTCTGTAGGTTAATGAAAGACAAGGCTGCATCCGTCGGGCGACGCATCAGAGAGGTGAGAATCATTCTCGGCAATCTCAGTTGATAAGCTAACCCGATTGTCTTGCAGGAGGATGGCGTGCACACCGCCATCTTCACCATTTACACATATCTGCATCGAGCGTCACAAGATCGCGCAATGCTTGATAAACATTGAGTGTGAGCAGGTAATTTTTATATTCAAAAGGCGATATTAGCATCTTACATTGGTTCTTAGATACGAACGTAGGTTATAATTCTGTACATAATTTGTATAATACTTGTCCCACCATTTATGATGTATCATATGTATGTAGCACCAATTACACCAGAAAATTTTCAACAAACCCCGGTTAGAAAGTAGACGTGAGCGGGTATGCTTCAATATCAATTTTGTAATGTTACGTTCGAAATCTGCATGAAAGGTCGGTAGATAGGAGGTGAGCCGGTAAATCACGAGGTTGTGATTGGTTGGGAGATCGTCGGAATATTGAAACTCTATTTCCTACCTCTTCCTCAACACCCTTCATGTTTAGGAAAGCTCTTCCGAGAGCTTTGCCTCGCTCTTCACGAGCCTTTCACTCGTCACCTTCAGTCGCGAAGCTCGTCGCCACTAATCCCGCCAAGGCTGAGGAAGTCAAGGTGGGAAATCCGGTTCAGCCGATGACACACTTCTCACCTTTCCACCATAGTCATGGTCGTCGGGAAAGTACCCGCTAATTGAACACGAGTTCGATGCCGTTGTCGTGTTTGTCCTGAATCTCCTTCTCGAGTCTTAACACTTATGAATCAATAACTTTAGAGGTGCTGGTGGTGCGGGGTTACGTGCAGCCTTTGGTTTGGCTGAAGCTGGCTTCAAAACTGCTTGTATCACCAAGTTGTTCCCCACCAGAAGTCACACTGTTGCTGCTCAGGTGCGTTCAAATGACCTTTCTTGCCCCTGTGTTGTTAAGTTTATGTAGGGTGGTATCAATGCTGCTCTTGGGGTATGTCTTATTCATTTCTGCAAGTCTTTCATCTGACTTGCGTTGTCTAGAACATGACTGAAGATGATTGGCGGTGGCATATGTATGATACTGTGGGTGCCATACCACATACCGCCTGCTAAGCTTGGTCGTCTGACATCTCTCCCTGCTGTAGGTCAAAGGATCCGACTGGCTTGGTGACCAAGACGCAATCCACTACATGTGTAGAGAAGCTCCCCATACCGTCATTGAGGTTTGCTCCAGCTATCATTTCTCCAAACCTGCAATTGAGTGAATTTCACCCGTGCAGCTTGAACACTACGGCGTGCCTTTCTCGCGTACACCAGAGGGAAAAATCTACCAACGCGCCTTTGGTGGGCAATCTTTGAAATACGGAAAGGGAGGCCAGGCCTACCGTTGCGCAGCCGCCGCTGACCGTACTGGGCATGCCCTCCTGCACACGCTCTACGGCCAATCTCTGCGTCACAACACCAACTTCTTCATTGAGTACTTTGCCCTCGACTTGATTATGCAAGACGGCGAGTGCGTGGGTGTCATTGCTCTGAACATGGAAGACGGCACACTCCATCGCTTCCGCTCGCACAAGACCGTCTTGGCGACGGGTGGTTACGGGCGAGCGTATTTTAGCTGCACGAGCGCCCACACTTGCTCTGGAGATGGCAATGCCATGGTCGTTCGTGCCGGACTTCCCCTTCAGGATTTGGAATTCGTCCAGTTCCATCCCACGGGTATTTATGGTGCCGGGTGCCTTATCACAGAGGGTAAACATTCTTACAAGCCATCACAAGTGCGTTTGGCTGACGTTCTGGTTTTAGGTTCTCGAGGTGAAGGAGGGTATCTCTTGAACTCTGAGGGTGAACGGTTCATGGAGCGTTATGCGCCTACCGCGAAAGATCTCGCTTCGCGTGATGTCGTTTCCCGTTCCATGACAATTGAAATTCGCGAAGGTCGTGGTGTTGGTCCTGAGAAGGATCACCTCTACCTCCAATTGAGCCACCTTCCCGCTGAAGTCCTCCACGAGCGGCTGCCCGGTATCTCTGAAACTGCCGCCATCTTCTCTGGTGTCGACGTCACTAAGGAGCCTATCCCGGTTCTGCCCACCGTGCACTACAACAGTATGCGTCGTTCTCTCGATGAATGGAATCGTATCTGATGGTTCTTTTTTTTTAGTGGGTGGTATCCCTACTAAATACACCGGCGAGGTCCTTACCGTTGACAAGGATGGCAATGACAAGGTTGTCCCTGGTTTGTACGCTGCCGGAGAAGCCGCTTGTGTGTCCGTGCACGGTGCCAACCGTCTTGGTGCAAATTCGCTGCTCGATATCGTCGTGTTCGGCCGTGCTGTCGCCCACCATATCCGAGACACACTGTCACCTGGCAAGTCGCACAAGGGGATTCCTGAGGAGGCTGGCATCGAGAGCATTGAGTTCCTGGACAAGATTAGGTATGCTTCCGTTCTGAGGTTCTTGAAATGTAGCTAACGAACGGTTTAATTAGGCGTTCTGACGGCCCAGAGCCAACTGCCAAGATTCGTCTTGACATGCAAAAAGCCATGCAAACCGATGCTGCTGTCTTCAGAACCCAAAAAACTCTCGACGAAGGTGTCGAGAAGGTTCGCTCCATCTATAGAAACTTTGATAATGTCGGTATCAAGGACAGGAGCATGATTTGGAACTCGTGAGCTTCATCTCTTGAACCGTTTGTGCCAAGTTCTGATTGGGTGGGATGTGATGTAGGGATCTTGTGGAGACGCTTGAACTGCGCAATATCCTCCAGTGCGCCATCCAGACAATCACCTCTGCTGCTGCCCGTAAAGAGTCTCGTGGTGCTCATGCTCGTGAAGATTTCCCAGACGTGCGTTATTCTCCTTCATTTCCTTGTAGATTGCGACCAACTCATGTCTCTTCTAAACAAAACAGCGTGACGACGAGAACTGGATGAAACATACCCTTTCATTCCAACACGATGTCAACTCCCCCGACGTCGAGCTGAAGTACCGCAAAGTTATTGACACGACGCTCGATGAGGCCGAGTGCAAGCCTGTGCCTCCATTCAAACGTGTGTATTAGATGACGACAGCGTTGGATGGTCGGCCTTGGCGGTTGGGTTGTAAAGCATCGCATCACCTCTATCTAGTATGCGGAGAGACCCTCAAAATAATTATCTTCGGAGAATACAGGGCGTGCCAATGGGTTGTTGCTAGTCACTCTGTTAGTGGTACATATCAGAGGAATAAAAAGCCATAACGATGTTTAGTGGGACGTATTGGTTGAAGGTTGGGTTGGGTTGCGAACCCTGGGACAAATAGTCATCTACCCGATCGTACATACCATATACATATTACTTGCACGTCAACGTCCGCCTAGATATCCCCAAGACCCTTTAAAAACCCCCCTGTCGCCCTTTCTTTGCGTTGGAGACCTTTTTCTTCTTCTTCTTGTGTTATGCTATCAGCACATCAACAACCCCCTTTTTTTGAGGTACCATAACCCTCCCGGTACTTTGTGAACGATCGTTGAAAATGACGAACCAGGACTACGAAGTCATAAAACAACTTGACCACGGAGGCGCCACCGTCGTCTATTGCGTTTCATGTAGGCGTGGTAGGCTGAAAGGTAGAAATTTGGCTCTAAAGAAGGTGAATTTTGGTCATGCAAGATGTGGACGTCGCCTAAAGCCTTGCTTTGCCTAGATATCAACGCCAATCACCGAGTCACCTCCCTCAATGACATCAGCTACGTTGCATCAAGCACTCCACCATCCAAATATCGTCGCTCTCTATTCTGTATTCTCAACATCTACCGCGCGATACCACGCCCTTGAACTTTGCCCTGGCGGAAACCTACATGATTTTCTTTCTTCACGAGACCCACCGATTCTGCCAGAAGCAGATATTCGTCGTCTCCTCAAAGGCATGGCGAATGCCCTCCTTTACCTCGGGAGAGAAAAGATAGTTCATCGAAACATAAACCCAACAAACATCTTATTAATTGGAAATACCGAACCTGTGAGTCGAATGCTTGTCCAATCCGGATTTGAATGGAGGGCTTCATTGGTCAGAAACTATCCGACTTCAAATTTGCGACACCTATCGACTCTCCTGATGATGTCCTATCGGAAATATGCGGCCTCGAGGAGTACGCTGCACCGTAAGCGTGTTTAACTTTCAGAGTTCACCTCGGTCTCAATCTGATAATCTGAAGAGAGATAAGATCCCATTCTCGTTATGGCTTCCCAGTAGATGTATGGTCCCTTGGATGCGTCATAAATGTGTCCTTTCTAGGGCTGCAGACGTTGAAAGTGATTTTTGATATACAACCAATGACCCCCGTACTGACGATTATGTTAGAGCTGTTCTACAGGTAATAGGGATGAAGACTTGTCTTCTTGGCCCCAAAATGCTGCAATAGAGCTAAAAAGTTTACTGGCTGGCCTCCTTGAAGAAGTACGTACTCCGATCTTCAAGTTGCTCACTGGTTCTGATTGGTTCAAGTGCCAAAAAACTCGACTTGAACCGTCACAAATTCTATCGCACCCGTTCCTGTTGACCCACCCGCCGATCGGCAGATATTCTGCAATGAAAGAATCAAGCTGTCCTAAAACACTGTCTCTCCAGCAAGTGCAGATACCAGCGCTGCCGCGACGACGTTCCCTTCAGCACTTGCTGACTGAGAAAAGACCTGGTTTTGCTGGTCTTGACCTTGGCAACGTAGCTTTGAAGGCACTCATATCTCGGAGAGTCGTTTCAGATCCTATCCCAAGCAGCAACGCTCTTTTGATTCGAGATCACGCGCAAAATGATCAGGCAGGTTTCGAATTTTCTTCGTTGACTGGGGACGAGCTGAAGGCTGATCGCTTACAAACATCTAACCACAAGCAATCAACATCTTTCGCCGAGAGACTACAAATATTTGCACACAATCCAGAACAGAATGCCTTGAAGGAAGCTTCAGAGCCAAATTGCGAGGTAAAATATATTCCTCCTCTTCACGCGACAAAACCACAGCCTGGTCTCCCTATCGGGACGAGTCGACCTTTGCCTTTCAACACTTCCTTGCTAAATCCCAAGACACATAAATCTGCCAACGGGCAGATAACAATTCTCCCCTCGCGTTCATTACTGATCGACTTTCGTGAAAATGAGCGCAGGCGGGGAATGAAGGGTGACGATGTTCTCTTGGTCGATTCAACCGGAACTATGGTTAGTTTCAGGAAATCTCAGGCATTGTAGGGCTTACACGGTTGCAGATCAAGATATACAAAGCGCCCCATCTGAGTGTACCGTGCTGTTTGGTGGAACCGACAGCCGAGTACACCATTCATACTCTACCCTCAATGTACTGGAAGCAGTACAACGATGCAGGTCGACACGTGCAGCAGATTAAACAACGTACTCCCAAGGTTGGTCGACGTCAGCAAAATCCCGGTTGCCACATAACATTTTTGCTTCTCAGCTGACGCTGCACACAACCAACTCAAAATGTAGTATGATGGCGAACGGTCCACTTCCAGATATTGAACTTCTATTCGAACCTGGCGTCCCGGCAGAATTTGAGTTATCAGACAAGAATCTTAATGCGTCCTCCCTGAGAATACGCCTTTCCCGGGAACATAGGTCTCTGGAGTTTGCGCAGCACGTTATTGGCGATAGAGGACCCGAATGGACTAAGCAGCTGATTCCTTGCCTGGAGGTGCATCCGTTTATGTCTGAATCGATCTGGATGAACTTGGAAGACGCGAAAAAAAAGGCAATACAGCAGATGTCACGTTTTCTCAGGCTGTGCGAAACATTGGAAACTGCTACTGACGACTGGACTTCGCGGACGGCAACTGTCGATAATCTTGCTGATGACGGTGTTGAAAAACTGAGCGATGATTTGAAGGGACTCGATAGAACGAGGTCAACGTCTAGCATATCTTCCTTCCAAATTCTGCCACGTCCTCCAAAGTTGTCTACTGGGCCACGAAGGGATACTTGTTCGCCACAAGGCAAGGTTTCGGACGAGGGCGACGGGCAGAATTTGGTGGGTACAAGGCTGCCTGCCTCCTTGGATATCCACAGAAGACTCGACCTTGGACTAACTTCTGGAGGCAATGCCGCGTTCAATGACCTCGTACCTCAGGTAGGGAAGATTACAGGCCCACTGGAAACTCGATTCCTCTCTTCCGTCGGATGGTGCACCCAATATGGATCGCCAGGACAATCACCACAAGGCGAGAAATACAAAGTTCTGTTTTTCGATGGGTCGATGCTTGATATTGACCTTGACAAGGGATGGGTTGAGCTTGTGGACGTACGTGGTAAGGAAATCCGGTAAGCGCTGTGGACTGATAGGTTGAATTGGCTTGCTTATTGCAAAGAATATAGCTGCTCCATGGATGCCGCCTGCTTTGAACGAACTCTGGAGGAACCCATGAAGCATTTTCGGCACTTTCTCACGTTATTCGAAACGGATAACTGACGACCCATCGAGCGAGTACTCTTCAAGGCTGGTTGGGACCCACATCTGACGTTTGAAGAGCTCAAGCTATATTAAGAACACTCACATGTCTGCCTGTATGTCTGCGTTTGAGGGCCTCTACACATCAAAACTTCCCTTACATCACCATCAACCATACGTACGTATTCAGAACGAAAGGATGTTTTTAGTGCGCGGTTGCACCAAGTCCTGTACAAATACCTGTCGAGATTACAATAAATCCGTCTGAATCTTTACTCTAGCTGATTGGTTGAAAGTTGCATTGCTAGAAGCCTTCGGGCATGCGTAAGTATAAGGGTAGAGGTAGAGGTATATTCAGGAGCGGGCCCAATGAGGTGATCTGAATAAACAGATGGTGGCTGTGCTGGATTTCAGCTCTCCACTCTTCTAAAATGTCGTTGAAAGTCCCGAAATCCAACAATCTCCCAATTTTCAAAGATGGTTACAAGGTATTCCAATTCCATACACGTAGATCTCGTCTGATTAAGGAAAAAAGCACCTTCAAGGGTTGGATGAAGCAGTTTTGCGGAATATCCAAGCAGTCAACGAGCTTTCAGATCTCGTCAGAACGAGCTTTGGTCCCAATGGCGTGTAATTTGCCGTTTACATTCCAACGAAAACTCACGATGTGTGGCTAGGTCGAAACAAGTTACTGATAAATCATTTGGGACGCCTTTTCGTGACCTCAGATGCCGCAACGATAATCCGCGAGATCGAGGTCGTTCATCCGGCAGCAAAACTCGTGGTGATGGCGTCTCAAGCGCAGGAGGCAGAAGTGCATTGCTTTATGGCTCCAAAAAACTTATAGCTTACTGGGTGACAGATGGGTGACGCAACGAACCTGGTGCTCATCCTGGCAGGGGACCTGCTCAAGAAGGCCGAGAACCTCCTTATAATGGGCCTCCATCCAAGCGAAGTTATCATTGGATATGACTTGGCATCAATAAAAGCACAATCAGAACTCGAAAGTGCGCTCACGTTCCCATCTGAAAGTCTAGTCTAACAATTCCACTAAGAACTCGCGTCGTTCAAGCTGCCTTCACCTATGACCCAATCGACACTAGCGTCAGCTCTCAAACCGGCCATAGCGTCAAAACAGTATGGTTACGAGGACACGCTCGCGTCGTTAGTGGCTGAAGCTGCCCTAGCGATCATGCCCGCAAACGCGAAGAACTTTAATGTCGACAATATTCGCGTGGTGAAAATTATGGGCGGCAGCCTCTCTGGGAGCAGAGTGGTGCAAGGCATGGTATTTGGACGGGAGCCAGAGGGAATGGTGAAAAAAGTTACTCGAGGAAAGGTGGCCGTATTCACAGGTGCTCTTGACGTTGCGCAAACGGAAACCAAGGGCACGGTGTTGATTAAAAACGCGGAGGAGATGCTCAATTTTACAACAGGAGAAGAAAAGCATATGGAGAAGGTGTGTTTTGGCGTCATTTGATCAATTTGCTTAACCCTGCCCAGATTGTCAAAGAAATTGCAGACTCGGGGATCAAGGTCATTATCGCAGGATCAAGTGTCGGAGAACTTGCTCTGCACTACCTCAACCGATTCGACATCGCGGTGCTCAAAGTCCTCTCCAAGTTTGAGCTGCGGCGATTGTGTCGCGTGGTCAATGCCACCCCCCTTGCTCGTCTTGGTGCACCTACGCCCGAGGAGGCAGGCTTTGTCGACATTTTTGAGACAATTGAGGTGGGCGGTGACAGGGTAACAGTCCTGCGGCAATTAGTATTGGGAGACGACGGCTTCGACCCAACAACTGAGGGCGAGAAGACACGCACTGCAACGATCGTACTGCGTGGAGCTACCTCCAATCATTTGGACGATCTTGAGCGGGCGATTGACGATGGAGTGAACGTGATCAAAAGCCTCATCAAAGACCCCCGGTTGGTACCTGGAGCGGGATCGTCGGAGCTAGAACTAGCCAAACGGGTGGATTTGTATGGGAGCGGGCTCAAGGGTCTTTCGCAACATGCCGTGAAGAAGTTCGCCAGTGCACTTGAAGTTGTGCCAAGGACGTTAGCGGAGAACGCATTAGGTGGGGCGGAGGGCAACGAGGTCCTCAGCCGTCTATGGGCGAAGCACGAGCAGAAGGGCGGAGAATCTTGGGGTGTGGATGTTGAGGTCAGTGTTTTGCATCCTGCTTGACAATTGAATATGTTCTCATCGGACCTAGGTCGAGACTGATGGCACCCTACAAGCTGATCAACACAAGATTTACGACTCACTGGCTGCTAAGACATGGGCTATTCGGCTAGCCACTGAGGCTGCCGTTTCGGTCCTCAGCGTTGATAGCATAATCATGAGCAAGCCGGCAGGTGGCCCCAAAGTCCCTCAACAGGCAGGGAATTGGGATGCGGACGACTGATCTATGATTTGACGATAGAAATCAAATCGCCCCGAGGCCCTCCCAAAAATACAATTCGTTCTAATTCACCAGGGCAGTCTTACCATACGGATGCACGTCGCGACAATTTGAGTCTGTAACGAAAAAGATTTGAGAATTTGAGAGGTCAACTAAGGTCATCACGTGCTTTACGGGCTTTCCTTAAAGTCTTGCTGTGAGACATGTACATGATCGACGCTGACATGATGACCCTGCTTACCCCTGGTCTGCTTGAGCCACGAGCTGAGCGGCCCCCGTTCTTGTCATCTACCCCAGTTACAGTTACCACCCGAAGCCAACATTAAGAGGACCATGTCTGGCATTGAACTCCCTCCTGGTGCTGTGGTGCTAACCTTGAAGGAGCTGGAGAGCTCTCTCGGAGTACTTTTCGTTGGTATGTCCACTACTCACAGTCAACTTGTTGGTACTAATTCGGTAGTGTAGGCTACATCGTGGCAACGATTGCATATGGATTCACATTCTTTCGTACGAAGTCTCTTGTCTGTAGCAGAGATTGCATAGGCTGAGGCCCCAAGTCCAGAAAGCTATGACTATTTCTCTCGATATCCTTTCGATCATTGGACGATTAAATTCACGGTAAGGCGCACCTTAAATACCGTTTCATGTCTTGTCTTTTTACGTTGTACCGTCTCAGGTGACTTCTTTGTTGTGCGTTTCAATGCAACAACGTCAGGGGACAGGTGCCCACTCACAGCGGTTTCCAGCTTATTGGATACCGTGATTTCGCTTTTAAGTGCGTGCCAATGCCGTTATTGACCTGAGATTCTTATTTTTTTTTTCTTGGACAGCATCTCACGCGTGAGTTCCAATGTTCCACTGACGTGTGCTGTCGAAGCAACTTACTCTGTTTGGAGTCTGTATCACTATCTTGTGCTTTTATATCCATTCACATTCGGTCTAATCAATGCTACTCAGTACGTGACATCTATTTTATAATGCGTGCAACGTTCTTACGGTCATATAGTACTTATTGTGTACGCAACTTTCTCTTTCGCCATTCTCATCTGAATGACACAGGTCCATTATAATAGGCTGCGATTGGTCTTTCTGTATGTCATAATTCGGTATCAAGATGTCGGACTTATTTCCAAGGACATAGATTGTGGCAGTTTTTATCGTGCAAATGTATGTCGATTTCTTCCATTTCTCGTTCAAGAGGACTTATTTTCCATCAAGGTTTCACTCCGCTCATATCTGGACTGGTCAGTATATCTATATAGGCTTCGGCGCGATTTTAAAATAAGTTCCATTATATTATCTAGTCAGCAAGAATGCCTTCTTATCAGGCGCTTTGGTGAGGCTTACCGACCTCGACCGTCCTACCACCTCTCACCGTTGATGACGTATTTAGGCATTCATTTCGACAGCTGCATTTGGTGAGATCCTTTCTTCACTGCTCTTTTATTATTATTATTGACAAGTATACGTACAGCACTGGGACTTGGTGGGTTTTTTTGTGGCCAGAGTTCTCACTGACGGGCTTATGGGTAAAAAATAGCTTTTACTGCAAAAATGTTAATCCCGCTTTGCTGTCATTCGCAACATCTCTTTACTGTCCACATTTTTTAGTTCGGACAATCACGAATTTGCTTCCCTGGCAGTTCATGGCGTTAAAGGGGTCATCGCCAGTGGTCAAGCTCTCTCTGCTGTGGCCGGGTTTGTGACGTTCTGTGCTCTCTGTTTCTATTCGAAATCTACTCAGGACGTAGCTATCCACCCGTACGTCCGATTGGTTTTTCCACAGTTCTACACGTGACTGAAAATCGCTTCTGCTCGCAGGCTTGACATTACTGCCTTGTATGAAGATTTTATCACATATTTTTGTGCTCGAGGATGCGCAGCCACCATTGTTCAATTCGGACTTTTTTTCTCCGTCTGTCCTCCCCTAAGTGTGATACGCTCTGTGCTTAACTTTTTCCGAAGTTTTTAACAATGCCGAATAAGGCGGTCTGGATGCCCTTCTATCTCGTTGCAAGTAAATGTGTGTTAACTTTTCCTTATGCGTATGTTGTCTACTGACTTGCTTTCTAGTGTTTATTAACAGTCTGTTGACACTGTGCGTTCGGACGGTCCTACTCGATTTTGACTCTCATCAAATGTCTGGTCGACGGCAGGCTCAACTCTCGTGAAGTGCACCACGTCCATGGGAAAATAGCCCTCTCGTCACGCAAGACGGATTCAACATCCCAATCTACCAGCATTCCTCGAAGTAATCGCTATGATGTTGTGGATACCAAGCTTGAGGTCTCGCATACAAATGAGCGTGATAATGATGATCCTACTGGAAGCAAGGCTCCCCCTCTCGCTGATGACGATGCAGCGGTGAGCCTTTTCCTTTCCACTGATGCTCCTACTAAACGATACTCACTACATGCTTTTCATCTCAGCCATGGCATGAAGCTCGGGTAGGTTAAGATACCCTCCTCCTGGCATTTCTCTGATTGATGCGACCACAGTACGTCGAGAAGAAATCTGATACAACTGAACCGTAGGAAGTGAGAATCATATAATAACCCCACAGGATCTCATTAAAAAGCGACGGTGGTTTCTCGCAGGAATGGCAAAATTGTAGCAGACTTACCGTACGAAGCATGTAAATATTGCTAATCTTTTCAAAAAGGTTGGAATGCCGCAACTGCCCATGTCGTCTGCTGTTCTGCCACAGATAGTCAATAAAAAACTGGTTTACGTGTACATTGAGGCAATGCTTCTGCTTGTAGTACCTCGACCCTCTACGCAAAGATTGAATGGCAAGCATCATTCTGTTGGTCGCATTGACCGACAGTAAGGCCAGCTCCCCGGCCAGATGCCGAATTTGCCACATTCGCGCAATTATTGTGTTGAATATCGCAAGAACGTCCTAGCGCCGCAGGTAGATTGAGGAAACTATCAGAACTTGCTACCACGAATCCGCGTCCACCAGGAGTGACGGCAGGCGCAGCAGCCCCACCGACTGGTTTTTCGTCAGCGTCAGATCATCTTAACAAGGACATACTCACGGGAACCACTGAACTTCTGGAGGTTTTCGAGAGTCAAGGTAGCTGCGGTTGATCTGTTGAAGATAAGGTATCAGTCAGCCTTGTAAAGACGTAAGTCAAAAGGATGGCTCACGGTGCGGTTCCCGTTGGACTAATTGAGATTGTCACGGTTACTGTGGAGGCTGGCAACACATACAGTGAGCAGCGAGAACACTACTTAGTGGAACTGCAATACCAGGAGGACAAGTTGCGACGGGGATGGAGGAACTGCCCGACGCCGTACTTGGAGTAGCGCCATCAGCTGGTGCAACACCCGCGACGGCAGCATTTATTTCAGCCGCCGTTGCGTCGGGCACCAGCAAACCCTGAGAGAATATACACCCAGCTGCATCATTGGCATCGTCGCACGTATGGCCCTTCCCCGTGTTGTCATCGAGACTTCCGGGTTGAAAAGTTCCCGCCTTGAGTGCGTCCTGGGGGTTGCCCACAATGGCAACAATTTGTCTCGCAAGTTCAAATGTAATGGCTCGATTGATGGCTGTTGCGTTTTGTGAAGCAGGGTCCTTTTCAAATTGTGAAGACAATTCAAACGTTTACTCATATGTCACAAACCTGATGCTGGTGAATAGCTGCGACCTCCGAGTTTACTGCCTCGATGCTTGTGCAAAGATCAGTGGCGAGCCCAACCTTCCCGGAATTGCGCTCCAAAGCACGGTAAATCAATGCATCGACTTGGGCTTGGATGTTACCAGCTTTTTTGGCGTTTGTGAAGGCCTGATCGGCTGTTGCTTGTTGAAGACAGGTTACATCCTAATAAGCCCCGTTAGCTGATATAAAGATGAACAGATGAGTTTCAATACGGTTATCTACAAGTTTGGTGCTATGTAATCTCGAGGGAAACAAAATACTCATTTCGATTGCTCGGGATCAACTGTAGTCAGTAGCCACGAGCTCTCAATAGCCAAAGCCACAGGCTACGCTCTCTGATGAAGCTCTTTGGTTCATGAGCTTAAATCAACAAATTTCGAGGAACTGTGGGGTTGGCAAGGACGGTTAAAGTTACGGGTACCACGATCATGGTAAGCACGAAGAGAATTTTTTGAATTGGCTCGAGGGTTGAAGCTGAAGGTTGAACGCCTATTGCTAGGCTAGGAGGTCAAGAAAGCTCATGACGGAAATGAACATGCTTAAATGCTCCATTCACAATCCATAGTCTGGATCTTTCTATGTTTCTCCGCCGGAAGTCTCAACACAAGAACAGTTAAGCGTGGGTGGGCCTTTGATAAACCTTGACTAACTCGGATATCATATACGTACTGATGTCGAATCTTTTTTGGCTAGTTTATGAACATCTTGTTCTGTTCAGAGAAGGTCAATGGGGCCAAGGCAGGATCATAGATGACGTACGAATTCCCCATACATGGGACCGCAAATCCAAAAAGTCTAGAATAACCATGAGAAGAAGTCTAAGGAGTAGTTATAACTGGACAACTGACCAACGTTCAGACCATCATAAAGTTTCTTCACCTCTGCTCTGAAACGAGAGATGTCGTCTTTAGACGCGGACGCGTCGGATAGAGCTTTCAAGTCCTTTTCGACGGCCTCTATGCGCCTAACATGCGCTGAAACCTGAGAAAGAACGACCGTGCAAAAATAATGTCAGATCCATTTCTGAGTATGGCTTTAAATAGGTACCTTCTCAGTGCTAAGTTTAAGCTCCTCTACGCTCTCGTGCAAAGCAGCAGAAGCTTTCTGGTATTCTTCTAATAAGTGGTATGCAGCAAAGGATGACGCCAAGGAGAAGCCAAAGAGAAATCCGACAATCCTGAGTGAAGATAGATGTTACTTAAGCGGAACGGATTTTCGACACTAACGCGGAACGACATACCCCCCACGAAAGCCACCAATTGGCTTTTTCTGCGTCACGACTGTTCCAACATTCGATTCAGAAGTCGTCTCAGCCATTACTCTTCGCGTTGACGAGAAGCATCGGTTTTTTGGAACGTGGTGGAGTGTTCGAGCAACAAAGGACAGACGAAGACAAGACGCCATGGCGGCTAGCGCTTAGCAAATATAAGCCCTTCCTTGCGAAGGCCGTGTCAAGACACTCAAAGCTTGCTAGTTTTCTGATAACTAGGTTTAGCAACACCGAAGATGTTGAGCTCACGATTGTTTCCGCACTCACGTGACGGAGGTGCAATATTGCACTTTCAAACTCAATGGCTTGAAAGGGAACTCTCACCTGCAATCAAATTCAAATTGAAGTGCTCGTCAAAGCCCGTGAAGCTTGCCTCGGAAGAGAGGAAGGATGGCTCCAAAGCGCAAGGACAACGCGGGAGAAGAATTGACAGGTCGCGAGAGGAAGAAAATCAAGTTAACGGCTGCTCGCACGATTGAAGTGCAGTCCCAATCGGATGCGACCCCTGGCCCGTCTGTGCCTATGAGCAGTACGTGTTTTTATTTCCGAGTATAATTCTGGCGCGATATGTTTATGGTATGACAGGGTTACCCAGTACTATCGACGTTGAGAAGTTTGTTGAGGTACCTTAGACTGCTGGAGCTCCTAGAACCTTCTGTGCTCAACCCGATTTTAGGCACGAGCGTTCGAAATCGATGCTATGCAAAAGGCCATGAAAACGGCCAAGTTAGAAGGTTCCTACACGGATATATCACGTCACTGAATATCTTATAGTTCAAGCTCGACACAGAGAGCGTGGCAAGCTTTGCCAAGGCACCTTCGGCGTCGAGCCGCGAGTCACGATGTACGACGTGTTCCTTTGAAGCTTCGGGATAAAGCACGCGCTGAGGTGTGTTCTCTTGACTAACCTTCAACAATACTTGAGATACATTGGCAGATGGATCCAATACGCAAAAAAACTCTTGGTTCAATGCCCAAACGTGGTAAACTCAAACGGATTAGTCAAACGGACAAGTTCTTAAGTCGACAGCGTTCGTCAAAACATTGCGGATAGTCAACGAAACTAATTAACTCAGGCAGGCGATAAAACCTGGCTCGAAACGCATCTTTGGCATGCCAAGCGCATGAAAATGAGCGACATGTGGGGTTACCGTTTGGTTCGTTTTCTGTCCTTCTCGCGGATGCATCCCAACCTCTTTCATTAGGCCGTGCATCCAACCGAAAAGGCTTACCGTCCTTCTCATCGAGCATCCGTGCATGGTTCCATACTCCACGATGCCTCCTATCATTCTCTAGTGGAAATGCGAGGCCCCCAAGAGATACTAATATCAATGCTAGAGTTGTCTTGTGACCCACAAGGGCCAGGACCGGGATCAAAACGGTAGGTTACGTTTGATTTTTTCGACTCCTTTCTGACTTGGGAAGATGTTTGGGTGGTTCGCGTACTCTCGAAACTCATTTATATGAACCGGGAGGTTACCCTTTTGCTTTAATTGCACCTGTAACCATCATCTGGCGACCAACAGCGAATGCGATCCAGGAGGAATCTCAAGTTGCAGCGCCCCTTGAGGGAAAGGGCAAAAAGAATGGAAAACAACAAACTTCCGAGCTTCCTGTCGCGCCTTTGGAAGAGCTGAGGACAGTCTGGTTACGCTTTCACCCATCCGCTCAGAACGAAGTCCTCGCCAATTTGAAAACAGTCGCGTCGCAGATTTTGTCTAAATACAAGTCAAATAATTCTTTGGCAAAGGATGTCAATGTCGAGATCAATGATTTGAAGGACCGAATTAACGTTTTTGAAATCATGGGTCCCAAGGCGAGTCAGGTCATTAAAGGGTCACTGAGTCCTGCCTCCCATGAGAAGACAGAAGATTTTCGCAAGGTTTGTCAACCAATATCACCTCAAAGTGAAGCTTGACAAGGAGTAGTTTTGGTCCTCTCTAACCAACTTGCAAACTGCTGGTTCCCTTCCTCGAGGAATGATCGTTGGCTTCAAGGTCGATGATCCACGACTGAAGTAAGTCAATTTGTGTGGCAACGGAATGAGGGCTTATAGAAATGTTAAGTTTTCCTCCAAAGGACGCGAAATGTAAGCCCAATACGTCTGGACTGGGCAGTGTTGTTTTCCCTTCGTCGACACTTGCCAGCAGCGAGATTTGGGATGAGTCTATACGGGATGCACTGGCGAAACCTCGTTACAAAAAGAAAGAACTTGACGAGCGCCGTTCGAAGGTAATTGTGTCCCATGGTTTGCTATGGTCGGGGTTCCTTACATCCCCTTACATCGTTAGAACATCATCCCTGGAACTCCACTGAACCCATTACGCCAGGACGACCGCATTCCCGTCCTGCTCATCCAACGCACCTTAGAGGCACAATCCAGCGGCTCTGATAGTCAGGCTCTTCATGGATGGACATTGATCGTTCCTTCTGGGTGGTCGATGGCGTTTTTTAGCTCATTGATTTTCACTGGCACGCGAGTGGCTGGTCAAAGGGAACGTCAAACTCAAGCCTATGAAGCAGGCACTGTGTACTTCCCATGGGACTATCCGTTCACTGCTGCGTACACGACTTACTCCATGGATCGGGAGAAGCAGGAAAGAGAATCTTGGGAACGGAAACCGCCAGCGAAACGAGTCAACTACGACAAGCTAGGTACAATAAGCCCATGGAAAGCTGACTGGGCGACGCTTCTTGGCCTTCAAAGAAACTCACAAGAACGCGGGGAGGAAGAGGACCTCGTCACCACTCAAAGAGATATGCCAGCTGCCGACAAGGACGATGTCCAGAAAAACGTCAAACCATGGTTGCTACGCGGCTCTGAAGCGCAAAAGATACTGGAGAGTGCTACCAAAGTGTTCAACCCTAGTGCTTACCTTCTCTCGGAGATGGGCAGACTACGGCTGAAGCGGTCCCAGGAACCTTTCTCTGTGGACCTGAAAGCAGCGGATCTTCTTCAAGGGGCTCTAGTCAACATCAAGTTGGTCATGTGCTCGAGGGGTGCACCAGAAGACTTGTCGATAATTTACTCTGTTGGAGATGAAGAAGCAAGACGATGGGAGAAGCTTCTTCAAAACTTCACAACGAGCGCAATGGATCCCGAGGAGGAAACGCCAGAGGAGTTGGAGGTTAGTCTTGGTAATCTTTTTCGGAGTCCGATTTGATAGTCGGTGTATCGCAGCTGGCGGAAATCGTTCCTCCAGAAGAGTCAGTAATAGGATATGTCACCACTGGCCATTTCTCGCTTTCAAGGGGTCAAGGCTTTGCTATTGGAGCGATCCCGGTTACTCGATTTTTTGAATTGAGACAGCAGACTAACCGGTCAGTTGCCTGATCTCTTATCTATACCTATGCTCACCATAGTACAGTCTACACCCCAACAGGATGCATGTTACCTCAAAGGAGCTATCGCCCCTTGTCAAAGTACGCAACAGGAATAGTCAGCAATGCCGAGCAGCTCGCTTGGAAATTCTTTTTGATGGGTATAAGTAACTGAAATCAGAACTCATTGTTTAACTATGATTACATGCGTGTAGACAGAGTGCACAGCAGGAAGTCCTGGGTGATTGTGTGTTAAAATATGTCGCGCAAAGGAATAGAGAGTCAGGAGTAAAGGAATGGATGTGGATGGGAAATGCTGAACGTGTCTACAAGTCCAAAAGCAAGAAGACGTAAGGTAACAGACGTGGTCTAACCAATTTTCCATTTATCGACAGCAGCCTGTACGAGCCGTCCCATTTCCACTCTTGCTTGTTTCTTTGCACTATCAGTAATGCCTTCAAGGGCGTCAAGAGCACCAGGAGAGGTTTGTAGAGGGTCAAATTCCAGAAGATGACCGTCCTTGGTTGGTATCGCCACCAACGCGGAGAAAGATCTGACGTGTTTCGGTATCGGTCGAGGAGTGGCTTCCAGGTGGGGTTGAGAAGATGGGAAGCGAAAGACGGGCTGGGGCTCTGGTTGAGGTTGCATGGTTTGTGAATTCTCCCTGGAATGTGTTGATGATGACGTTTGTGATGATGACGCGGTGAAGAAGCTCGCTTGCGAGTTCGTGCGTGAATGAAATCCGCTGTGGCCAGGTGGGAATGCCACGGAAGGATCGCGTCGGATGATGATACTACTTTTGGTTCGTTTCAGAGTCCGAGTCGCGCCCAGGCCGTTCATCTGTACATCGCTGTCTTCCTCCTCTTCTAACACAGATTCTCCCATTTCCACCCCTTTAAACCACCCCAGTCCAAACTCATATGGATTTGCTAGGGGAGATCCGTTGACGCTGAGCATGCTTTCATCCTTCCTTGGAAGCCGCATGCCCGTTGTGGTATCATCGGCGCGAGGATATTTAGGCGTTTTGGGCATCAAGGATGGCTTAAACGTTGAGGTCGATGGAACACGGTTATGTTGCGTTGTATTGGTTGGCTTCGTTGGGTGTTTGAGGGGCGAAGTGGGTCGTGATAGTGAGTGAGGATTGTAAGTTGTTGTGGTGTTGTTCAAAGGAAGTCGTGCTTTCTGGGGACTAGAATAGGACGGTGCCCTGCCCATAGTGCGCGACTAGAAGAGGTTTTAGCAGGTGAGAATCGGTTGGGACGCATGACATACCGTGCCAGGTGTTTTATTCGCCGCTGCAAGTAAACGCGCTCGTTGAGCGGTCCCAGGGCCTGTTGACGAACCTGGAATAGTCTTTTTCGGGGAGGCTAAAGTTATTCGAGCTATGGATCATTTGATGAATAAGTGGATTCTCAAACAAAGAACGAGATAATGCATACCATTTTTTGTGGCTCTATGAGAATCGGCGTCCTTGGATCCCTCTAGCTCAGCCTCATGATTCGCCACCCACTTCCGCTTCCTCATGCTCTTGTCAATTTCAGTAAAGCTGGAATCTCCTCCAGCTGCAGCAAGCTTCTCCTTCTGAAAGCCTCTCAGTGCCAGCTGCACGTTTCCCCCATATTTCTCGCCAAAATCACGCATCGACATACCACGAACTTGTTTGGGTATCCGTGACACCTGGCCTTCCTGGTGAATAGTAAAGTTTTCGAGACGGTCTGCGAGCCATGCCTCGAATTGTCTGCTGCGATGGGCGACTTGAGAATGATCAGTTGTCAAGAATCGTAGAATGTTATTGCAAGAACCAACCCTCAATATCGAGATTTGCAATAAGCTGACGCTTCTCCTCGTCGCTGTACTTTCTGTTAGGCATCGGGGCTTCCATGGTGTTGAAGACGGGCTTCAGTAAACAAACCAGCCGCAGTGACAGGAACGTCAATCGCGACGAATGGAGAAAGTCACGTGGGGCGCGTCTCTCCAAAAAAATATGGACGTGTCGTTCGATTTGGTCCACAAGCAACTCCTTGTCTTCCCACCGTCATGTCCAAAGATATTTATCTCGTAATTGGAGGAAGCGGTTTTGTTGGTCGGCACATCGTCCAACAGCTCTTGGACAGAGGAGACATCGTTTCCGTATTTGACATCGTCCAACGCTACAACGATGTACCGTTTTATTCTGGTGACATTACCGACGAGGACCAGCTAGCAGCGGCGCTCAGAAAAGTATATTTCAAGTCATTCGTTCAGTTCTTCCAGCTGCTAATTCGCAATTTGGCAGAGCGGTGCAACATGTATTATACACACAGCTTCACCTCCTGCGGGACTCACAGATTCTGCTCTTTACTTCAGAGTAAACGTAGATGGAACAAAAGCTGTCATTGCTGCAGCAGTCGCTTGCAAAGTGCGCAAGCTGGTTTTCACTAGCTCAGCTGGCGTTGTGTTCAATGGCACTGACATCATCGGTGTCGACGAGCGTCTCCCATTCCCCGAAGTCCCAATGGATGCATACAATGAATCCAAGGCAAAAGCGGAGGAGGCGGTTTTGGAAGCTAATGGGAAGGGTGGTTTATTGACGGTTGCTTTGAGGCCTGCAGGAATTTTCGGGTACGCCTGTCACTGCAAAATTCCCTCCTGATTTTTAACATTTATGCAGACCTGGAGACCGTCAAGCTATGACGGGCTTGTACCAAGTTTACGAACGTGGTCAGACCCATTTTCAGGTTGGCGATAACACCAATCTTTTCGACTGGACGTACGTTGGCAACGTCGCCCGTGCGCATATCCTCGCTGCCGACAAGCTGGATATCCCACCTCCGGCACCCCCAATATCCGCTTTTGAAAAAGCACCCTCGACGGTTGACGACTTGCCGCCATTGAACTCTGTAGAACAGAGCCTTATTAACCATCCTCTCACCTCTATTGACGTGACAACTGGAAAACATCGGATACCGACATGTGAAGCCCGACCATTGGGCCCCTATGTCACACGCCCTCCGAACGCGGACATAATCGAAAGTGCCTTTAACAACCCAGGAACGGACAATCGGCCCGTAGGCAGGTCGCGCTACGATCAACTTTCAGAAACGAGTATCAATCGTGAAAAGCTTCGTCATCCTGACAAAACCCCTCTTCAAGTTGCTGGCCAAGCCTTCTTCATAACAAATGGAGAACCTTGCTACTTCTGGGACTTCCCGCGGACTGTCTGGCGACATTTGGATTCTTTCTTCCCCGGACACAGGAAACAGCGTGGTCTCATCGTCTTACCCAAACCGATTGGGATGGCAGCTGCTTCTGGATCAGAGTGGTTTGGATGGTTGACCGGCAAGCAGCCAACCTTCACCAAATTCAAGGTCACATTCAGCTGTGCTACGCGATGGTATAACATTGAAAAGGCTCGAAGGGTACTTGGGTACGAGCCAGAGGTTGGTGTTGAGGAAGGCGTCAGGCGCATGGTTGAGGTATGTTCTCGGCGCTTGGCTCTCTGTGCTTTGATTCTGACTCTGCGTTCCTCCCATAGTGGTGGCACTCGGAGTATATTGCGGGTAACCACAAACAAGCTCATTGAACGACTATCGCCAATATTGTTTTAACGTATCTCTCCCTTTTTATGGATCTTCTGAATGCTGTATTTACTTGCGGATCTGGATCGTATTTTTTTTGGAATCTATCGTTGAGGGTGCTTCAATTTCTAATCACTTTTTTTTCACTGCTCCATGTCGAGTAACCTATTTCCCAACCAAACTCCATCCTACATCCTCGCATTCCAATTTTCCTCATGGTACCCCAAATTCTCGAACCAAAGTATAAAATCAACGATTGTTCGACCGCTTTCCCAAGATTTCATCAATTACCTCAACTCTGAGAGCGTATTTGTCCCGGAGGGATCGGAAGATCTGTTGGTCGACCTTCATCACCTTCCTACCATTGCGAGCTTTTAGAGCTCATTAACTTGTTAGCCCAGCCGAAAGCACACTTTCAGATGAGAGCGAGGACGAAGAAGAACAAGATGATGATGAGCCAGCACCAAGGCGGTACGCGTTTCCAGAACTTGACAAGCAAATCCGAAACTGCGTGAAGGAATACGGAGCTATCTTTCCAAAACTCAATTTCTCTTCCCCAAAGGTACTTCTTACTTTCATTGTCCAAAGACTGTTCCGCGTTGATTCATTTTTGCAGGACGCATCATGGATCCTCCCATCCTCCTCACCACTGAAATGCACCTCCCCAGCAGATATCTACCTCTTACTGAAGTCCTCAGACTTCATCTCCCATGATCTGGGTGTCGAGAATGTGTTCAACGGTTGCCTGCCTGCGACGTCATCATCCTCTCCCCATCCATCTTGGCCAGAGTACCAACTAGAACTTGTCCTGCGCAAGTGGTATCCTGTGGACACGAGCCGGGAACTGCGCTGTTTTGTACGACAAAATAGGCTTCTAGGTGCATCCATCCCTTGATACTATCCCGTGTCTTCAATTTTAACGGAGGCCGAGTTAGCCATTTCACAAAGGGACACGAATTATTATGATTTCTTCAACGATCTGCCAACACAAGCGAAGATTATACACACAGTTGAGACGTTTTGGCAATCCATCAGGTCAAAATGGTACACCCAAGAAGACTGTACGTTAGAACCCATGATTTAAAATGAAATCTGACAGGGAATGTTAGATATCTTCGACTTCCTCCTAACGCGCGACCTGTCCCGGGGGCACATACTCGATTTCAACCCTTATGCACCGAGAACAGATCCCCTTCTATTTACTTATCAAGAGCTCTGCGATCTTCTGTTATCGGATGACACCCGCCCGAAGCTGAGGGTGATAGATTCTCCATCCCATCCAGCTGCGATGTCCAAAGCCCCAGCCCACCAGCACAATATGATCCCATTCGAGGCTCTCAGCTTAGGAAATGGACGGAACATCGAAGAATTTGCAGAAATTTGGAAGGAAACTGTCAAAGAGAGTAGGATTTAATCTGCGTTCTTGTAAGATAAATCATTTCAAAATAAATGAATTTGCAAGCATGCCCATAGTGGAGCAGGTTTCTTGTCTAGTCGTTCGGATTCATCGAGATATCATCCAAGAAAAATCTCATTAGGGGTTTGCGACAAATCCAACCACTCTATGTTACAGCGCAGGCGACGGCAGGTGAATCTAGATGGTTAAATCTAACTCTCTATCTATTTTTCAACCTCAATACCAGAGTCACTTGCGGACGACTCAGGGAGGACCGGCCTCATCTTGGCGATGCCTTCGGAGTTTTTGAAGAAGACAACATCACCCTCATCCTCAACAAACTATCAAATACGTTAGAAGAGGTCCAACACTGGAAGCATGAGACAAACCTTGCATTCCCTGTAGACGCGGTAAACTTCACGCCAGCCACCAGGGCCACCTTGCATCGGGATACCTGCGCTAGCAAGTTTCTTCTTGAGGGCCGCACTCGCTTCCCAACTGACAAGAAGAACATTATGGCATAGAACAACTGGTAGAACTCTGGCACTTACGCATTATAATGAGGAATCTTGCTCGAAACGTGATGAAGGATATGCGTCTCAGAAATACCATGTGTGGCGTGTGCGCCCATCCACGCCATGATAGAGCCACAGTCTCCAAGAAGGCTGCGATCCAGAGTGGCCAAAGCACCACGAGGGAATGTGAACTCAGGGGCACGGTAATGGGGGAGGAGAGGGTCGGTATGTTGGAGGAAGGTGATCAACACAAGCCAGTGATTGGCCCTGTTAAAAAATGTCAATCAACTGATATTCTTCCTTTGATTGATGAGAATGTACCAAAGGTAAGGGACGAGGTAAAGGCGGAAGACCTCCGAAAAGCCCTTGTAGTATATCCATGTACCAATGATGCCCAACCAGAGTGCGACTCCGATGTTAGAAACAATGATCTGGGAGTAATGATGGGGTGAGAACATCACAGCCTTGGGATTAAAGTCTGTAAGACAAGATTGAGAACCAGTCCCTCCAACAGGTCGCTGATGATACGTACGACTGGTGCCTTTGGGGTATCTGCGCTGGCCAGAAGCGTTGGTAAGGATATATGCGGGCCATCCTCCGAGCTTTTAAAAGTGAAGAACACGTCAGACACAGTTAGTGCGCGAAACCAGACGCGAACTGACCAAGTAGGTTGCCGAACCAATGATTGCGCCAATCGGCGAATCGCCTAATGCTTCTTTGAATTCCCTTTTCACTTCCTCCGATACACGTGAACCCAATCGGTCTTCTTTTGCGACGTTGAGGCTAGGGAGGCCAACATCTGAGCGGGTAGAGGGCACGAAGACCTGATCCTGAGTCATATGGCCGGTAGAGGCGTGATGCTTTGCGTGGGTGATACGCCAAGCTTGGTATGGAACCCCTAAGCTGAAATCACATGCCACGTTAGCAGTGACACGAAAATTAATTGCCGATCGACCTACGCCGAGTGAAGGACCCAGCCAACTGTATTGTTGATGGTTTTTGACTCTGAGAAAGCCTGGTGACCACATTCGTGGGCAACAACCCAGAGACCTGTCGCAAAGAGGCCAACCCAGAAACCGTACAACGACCAGAGAGCGAATCGAGCAAAAGGATAAAGGTAAGGATGGGGAAGGGATATAGTGGCGGGATTGATGAACGTGTCCAGGTAACTTGCAGTCTTGTAGATGCACCCAATAACGAAGATATCCCAGAAACTGGAAAAGGAACGAGCAATGAGCCACGTGCGTTGCACGTCTGGAAAGGAAAAGAACGCACATGTAGACGGACGACCTCAAAGCAGAACGCTGGAAGCAGTGTTTGCTAATTGGTTGGACAACTTAGTGCCAGCGAGATGAAGAACAAAGAGGACTAACGGAATAGCGTCGAGTAAATCCTTGATAGGGATGTCGGGAACGTTGTAGACCCCTTGCTCGACGACGGTGACGCCGTTTTTGTCCGTTTTAACAGCCATTGAAAGGAGAGAACGTAGGTACCGGCGAGGGAACCTTGTGGTATACTTAAGAGGGCAAGAGCGAAGAGACGTAAACAGCGGCGATTGGATTTTAGCGTCTACATTTTCTGGGGGTTGGACGGAGTTTGCCGAGTCTTTTTTTTTTTTTTTTCGCCTGGGGATCATTTTCTTGGCATTCCAACTGCCAATTGTATTTGAGCTATTTATGAACTCGTAAGTTTGCCCAGCCTTCGCCCAAATCCCAGACACGACCCACAGAAAGAAAAAATACATTTATCGATATATCGTCCATACTAATTCTCAAAAGATACAACTGCTACACGACAATCAGACAAACAGCAGGTTACTGCAAAAACTTGAGCCGCTCCGAAACACCTTCTAAAAAAGCGAATCCATCCTAGCGAGGCATCGTCAGAATACACTTTGAACAGGAGTATAAAGGTCCTACCTTTGTGACCGTCCTACCTGTGCTTTTGTTTGTAATTTTCGCAAAATCCGCTACCATACTGGCCAGTGCTTTGTTGCTCGGCGCAAATTGGACCTCCTGCCGGAGACGCGCAACGACCCCAAGTTTCACATGGCTTGGATCCCTCTCCGGCACTTGTTCGCTAAATGATCGTGCCTGCGATGTCCTTTGAAAGGCGTCAGCACCAAATCCCCAGGACATGACCGACACCAACCCACTTTTTTGCTTTAATGAACACCGAAGGGTCATCAAGTTGCTTGTACAACTTGTCCAAGAAATGGAACGCCTCCCTAGTTAACGTCCTAGAGCTATTCATCTTCAATACACCGATAAATTGTCCCACTAGCTGAGAAATCGCAGGGTTGTCGGCCGCTTTCGATACCTGTTCTGCCAGCTGGTTTAGCCGATAGGCTTTTGGCATGAAGTTCAGCGGCAAGCCGGGCTCGAAGCCACTGCTAATTGTGATCGGCTCAGAGCGTTGTCCAGAATTAAGTTTCGCATCTGGTTTGGAGCGTTTAACCACGTCCTCGACATTAGTGCGGTCGCCTAGAATCTGCCGTGCGCCCATGTTGAGTTTAGCCAGATCGTTGAGGATGTCTTCTAAGTCGCCCTTTTTGACAGCTGCCGTCCGAGCATGGCGAGGAGGGTGCACTCTTTCGTTGATCTGAGAAAGGCGTTATCAAAAGCAGGACATTACGGGGCGTCGATTGATTACTTACCGAGGGCGGAGGCCAGACAAAATCTTCGCTGGCGGGGAAACCCTCTTCAACCGCCAATGCACGGAAGGCTTCAATCCATTGTGAATAGTCAGGACGGTCTTTAAATTTCAATCGCCTGCAGTATCTCAGGAAATCCTCGAATTCAACGGGCATCCCCCTGCAAAGGTCCTCTGGTTGTGCAGCTCTCTTCTCCGCTTTCAGACGGTTGTGAGCCTCGGAGGATTTGGGTACGCCGTTCCTGGTCCAGCTGAGGCCCCGCGGCGTCAAGAGGTGGATTAGCATCAAGGCAGCTGCTTCAAGGTCATCTCGACGTGACGGGACTACAGCTGGTTAGAACGTAGCTTTCTCCACGCCATCCGCCACGTACCTCGTCCTCGACAGTGTACATTAACTGAGCTGTCACCAAAGTCAGGGAGTATTGATAGATATGACAACGATCAATGCCTTACCTGAACCAGTAGTTTCCAATAAAGTCTCTTTTAGCGTTACTGTCTGGGATGTGCCGGTTTGTATAGGGATCAATATAGCGCTTTGAAAACCCGAAATCGATCATGTAGATAGTTCTCTCGTTTGGAGGAAGTCCAACCACACAGTTACCCAACTGTATGTCGCGATGAAGGACACCTCGGGCATGCATAAATTCTAATCTTGAAATCTGTTCTGTATCAGAGAAGTTTTGACTGAAGTAGATGAGCGCTCTCACCAATTGCATTGCAATGGAGCACACGCTCCGTAAATCCATGATATCTTTGCCGCTTTTTCTGTACAGGCTATCCAAGCTCGCTCCAAGTAGATCGATGGCAAGAAAATCCCACTCGCCCTGAACTCCAGAGGCCCACAACTTCGGCATTCCTTTTCCGCCTTGCAATAGAGGGTATAGATGGCGCTCGTAGCGGTTCGTTGGGCATTCGTGCTTAACATACTGAACCTTGAGAGCAACGATTTGGCGTGTGTGCAGATGCGTGGCACGGAAAATGGATCCTGATCATTGAATGTTGGAGAAGATTTCACTGACGCATTGTGTGCATACCTGAGTAGCCTTTCCCCAGGTTATCGTTCAGCCACCAGTTTGCGATGCATCGCGGGATCTCGGAAGGCGGTGGTGGGTCCATTTGGGAGGAGCCTGATGAACCTTCAGAGCCAGAACTAACGTCAGATTCTGAGTCGGAGATAGCCATGGCTTGTGAACAGCAGGACACGCGTCGGGTGTAGAGAGGCTTTCAAGATATTAATTTGAACATCCGTCGCGTCGGTCACGTGTTATGGTCTGATGGGCTCACGTGCCTTCTCAGACTTCTTTCATCCATGACGTTCTGAACTTCTGTCATCATTCGGAGATCTATTGGATCTAGCTGTTGTCTAGAATCTTGCTAGAATCACTATTTTTGTCTATGGAGCGTCGTCATTGGCACGTATATAAGGATCAAACCACAAGGATGCTATTCAAACTATCCCACAATGTCCTCTCACCCACCCGCGAGCGTTTTACAGTCCGAGGTAGATCGTCTTCGCCTCCAGTTACACACCCTTCAGGCCGAGCAGGGTGTACAGAACATATCCATCGGCAACTATCTCCTTGAAAGGCTTGCCCAGCTGGGCGTTACTGTGCGTTGGGACTCGTTACTCCCTCTTGTCAAACTAATGACATTTGCAGTCGATGTTTGGTGTTCCAGGAGACTTTAATTTAGGCTTCTTAGTGAGTGGCATTATGATATAGTTACGCGTCTCCTCGTGTATTTATTATGACTTGAGGACCTTGTCGAAGACCACTCTAAGATTGAATGGATTGGAAATTGGTGTGTTACTTGTCTCCTTGTAGGGTCGATATACTTACTTTTCATAGCAATGAACTGAACGCCGCATACGCCGCGGATGGATACGCACGAGTGAAGGAACATTCGATTGGTGTCGTAACGACAACGTGCGCTTGTGTGATCCCCCGATTATTCAAATTTGACCGAAGTCCTATCAATGTAGTTTCGGTGTCGGCGAGCTCTCTGCTACTAATGGAATTGCTGGAGGTACCTTGTGCCCATACGATTTTTTTTATTTGACTCCAATCGTTCTCAGCCTTTTCGGAAATGGTTCCTGTTCTACACATCGTAGGCACTCCCACCACAGTGCAACAGAGGGCGAAGCCTATTCTTCACCACACCCTCGGTGACGGAAGATACGAGGCGTACGGATTGGCCGCCGCACAATTTTCCATCTTTCAGGCCAACCTTAAGGACAAGAACACTGCAGCATCTCTAATCGATCGCGCCCTCACTGAATGCATCAAACTGGTACATACATATGCTTTTCATAAGGATTGTGTATTCACTCTCTCGCTAGGCCCGTCCGGTTTACGTGACATTACCTATGGACATGGTGACGCAAGAGATTTCTTCCGAACGCTTGAAGGTTCCTTTAAGCCGCAGCCCTCCACCGAATGACCAGAGCACTGAGGAATTCGTCGTCGATCTCATTGCTGAACGGGTTAAGGAGGCTGAAGGTGACGTCGTTGTCATCGTGGACGCTTGCGTTATCAGACACGATGTGCGCAAGGAGACTCTCGACTTTCTCAAGAAAACCGGTTTCCCCGTCTACGCTACACCCATGGGAAAGACCGCCATCAATGAAGACTACGAGCGCTATGGTGGGGTACGCAAGTCCATTCTTGCAATATATGCAGTGCTCATTCTAAATAATTCAAAAGATTTACATTGGCACGATCACCCATCCGGACATCAAAAAGAAAGTAGAGCAAGCGAAGCTGATTATATCAATTGGCGGACTTCAAAGTGATTTCAACACGGGAAATTTCTCTTACAAGATCCCAACGCTCCGACACATTGAGGTATGCCCAAGTTTCACGACAGGTTGTAAGGCAAACTTGACACTACGCATAGCTTCACTCGACCCATACGAAAGTCCAATACGCCACTTTTGCAGGCGTTGAAATGAAGCAACTCCTTCCAAAGCTTGGGGAGGCGCTCAAGGGTCTTCATTCTTTGGTTCGCAAATTCGAGGTCCCACCTTTCATCAAGGCACTCCCTAAAGAGGACACGCCTGTCATCTCTCAGCTTTGGTTCTGGCCACGACTGAGCTACTTTTTCAAACCGAAGGATGTCATTGTAACTGAAACTGGCATGTACCCTCTGCCCGGCCAGTTAAAAGGTAGCTAATTGACCCTCAAGGAACCTCCAATTTCGGAATTCTGGAAGTGCCTTTACCGGCAGAGTCAGTGTTGGTTAGCCAAATACTATGGGGAAGCATTGGCTGGTCCGTAGGTAGCTGCCTTGGTGCTGCCTTGGCAGCTCGTGATGTTGGATTGGGCCGTGTTATCCTCTTCGTCGGCGATGGAAGTCTGTGAGTGGTTTCGTTCCTCTGTTTTCAGAGCTTTTTCTGAGACCTGGTACGTAAGTCAATTGACGGTACAAGAAATATCTCCCATGCTTCGATTGGGCCTCAAGCCCATAATATTCGTCCTCAATAATAGCGGCTATACGATCGAGAAGTTTATTCACGGCAAGAAACGGTGAGTGGATCAATTTCAGATACTCCCAATTATCTGACACTTTGCAGAAAATACAACAACATCGCGAACTGGAAGTATGCAGAACTTTTGAATGTTTTCAGTGAAGATGATAAGCACAAGTCCTATACTGTTCGGACGAAGGACGAACTCAGCAGTCTCCTGGATGACAAGGCGTTTGCCAGCGCGAATCAAATTCAGCTTGTAGAAGTTATTATGGATCCGCTGGACGCGCCGCGTGCTTTGAAGGTTCAAACGGAGCTTTCTGCGAAGAGCGACCCGTATAAAGAGCGCAAATGATTTGAAGTTAAAAGTTGAAGTGCAAAGATAAGATTAGATCCTATGTAGCCACATCACCACTGTTTTTCTTTTGCAATGAGTACTTGCTTGGCATGGCTCTTCGCGCTGGCACGAGACGTCTGGCCGTTACGCGGGGAAATGGTGCAGTGATCACCTGCAGCAGCAGAAGACATGGAATCGGACGGGAGATCCGTTCCAGATTTATCGATGCATACCCCAGCAGCTATCATCACCTGAGCGTGAGGTATTTGTCCACCCCCATAGTACCCTCCTTGATCTTTGTTACATCCCCCTCGTCTAAAATGTCCTTGACTCCCCCTCAACCACCTCCATCTTGGGACCATTCCCCAGGTGAAATCACACAACTCACCAATGAGCTCATTGCCCATGATCGCGCCCTCCAAGACAAGATTGGTGCACTAGATCCCAAAGATTGTAATTTCGAATCGGTGAGCTTCAAATACCCTTTTCTCCTCCGATTCCTTAACAATTATCTCTTTCTAAGGTATTTGTAAGTCATTAACCTCCCAATCCAAGGCGAGGCATTGACGGTTTCTTGATGCCTTCAGTTGGCTCTCGCTGATGCAGAAACCAAACTCGATGCCGTCTCTGAACCACTCTCGTTTTACCAAAACGTTTCTCCTTCCAAGGAGCTTCGCGATGCATCGAACCAAGCTGAATCGCTGGTCCGTGACTTTGGAGTGGAATCTTCGATGCGCCTGGACGTCTTCGAGGCCAAGGTAGCTGCTCAGAAGAATATCAAGGAGTCTGGGAAATTGGAGACGTTATCGCCCGAGCAACAACGTTTGGTGGATAAAATGGTAAGCGTTCGTGCATTGCCGTTGCACTCAAAATTGAACTTTTTCAGATCCTAGACGGCACTCGTGCGGGCCTAGCTCTGCCGAAGGAGAAAAGGGACGAACTGACCACTTTGAAGAAGGAACTCTCACAAGTTTGTCTAGAGTTCAGCGTACGTCGCGTTTGCTTTTGATCTCGAGGTGTTGCCAATATATATCTTACAGAAAAACTTTAACGAGGAGGACGTGAGTGATTTGGTTCGAACCTGTATATTGTGCTAAATATCGTCTTTAGGGAAAGATCTCTTTCACATCAGAGGAGCTTAAAGGTGTACCAAAGGACGTGATCTCGGGTTACACGAAACGCACGGAAGGTGACAAGGAACTCTACGATGTAACGTACAAGACACCCGATATTTTCCCCATCGTCAGTCGTTTGCTTCATTTGCTTTATATGCTGTTTGACAAAATCATTGCAGTTCAAATTTGCGGAAAACCCAACGACTCGTCAGAAGGCCCAAGAAGGTCACGAGTCCCGTTTAGAACTCAATGTGCCCCTCCTCAGTAAGGCTCTTGACCTTCGCCGTCGTATTGCGGCGCTGCTTGGATACAAAACATGGTCGGTTGCGACTTAGAAAATGTATATTTGTCGTTTGACAGGCTTTACCACAGGGCGGACTACATCACTGAAATCAAAATGATCAAGTCTGGAAATGGTGTCGAAGAAGTGGGAATCTTCATTTTTCTCTTCATTAAAGACCTAACAATTTTGTCAGTTCTTGGATGACCTCGAGAGCAAGTTGAGACCAGTTGGCGAGAAAGAACGTGAGATCCTCCTAGCGCTCAAGAAGAAAGATCATGAGGCCCGAGGTCTTCCTTTCGACGGTGAATTCTATATCTGGGATTACCGCTACTATGACCGCAAGTACATCGAAGAAACACTCGATCTCGATGATAGCCTCGTCAAGGAGTACTTCCCCGTCTCCGTCGTTGTTCCAACGATCTTGGAAATCTATCAGAACCTCTTGGGTGTCAAATTCGAGGAGATCAAAGGTGGTTCAACATGGCATCCAGGTAAGACTTCATTATGGTACACCTACTGGCTGACATCAATTACACACCCTCAGAGGTCCAACAGTTTGCTGTTTGGGAGAAAGACGCAAAGGATGAATCTGGCTTCATTGGCTACTGCTATCTCGATTTATTCCCTCGAGGTAAATGGATCTCAACGTTAACGTCACCACCTGTCGACAATTTTTTTTTTCGATTTAGCTGCCAAGTACTCTCATGCTGCCGTCTGGCCCCTTCTCTCCGGCTACGACCATGCCGACGGTACACGCAGCTACCCTCTAACGGCAATGGTTGCCAACCTGGCGAAGCCTACCCCAGATAAACCAGCTCTTATGAGGCACGATGATGTCGTTACCTTCTTCCACGAGATGGGTCACGTATTCCACGGTCTGCTGAGCAAGACCAAGTTCGCTAGATTCCATGGTACAAGGTGGAGTTACTCAACGTGTCTAAAAGTCGCTGAAAGCTAAGAATGCATCCAGTGTGGCAAGGGATTTTGTAGAGGCACCTTCTCAAATGCTCGAAAACTGGTGCATTCAGTGAATTTCCGTATGGTTTTATTACTGAACCATCTATATATTAAGGTGTTGGGAACCCAAAGTCTTGGAGAAAATGTCAAGCCACTATGAGACCAAGCAACCACTTTCCCCAGAACTCATCGAGAAAATCATCAAAAGGTTTGCTTTTTCAAGATTGAGCACACGTTTGCTGGGGTGTTGACATGATTTTACAGCCGATATGTGAATGTCGGTCTTTTCTATCTTCGTCAACTCTTCTTCGCGAAGTTCGACTTGAAGGTTCATACAGACCAAGGTAAAACGCTATTCAATGTCCATCTTCCAACGAATCTGATGTTCGAAATCGATCTAAGAGTCCGCTGACTACACCAATTTGTGGAACACTTTGAGGGAAAAGATTTCCTTGGTGAAGGCTGGCAAGCCTTGCCCTGGACAAGGTACCTTTGGCCATATTACCGGAGGCTACGATGCTGGTTATTACGGGTGAATTCATTCAAATACTTGGTGGTGATTATTGCTGACTGATGGATGGCTCCAAAGGTATACATACTCTCTGGTCTTCGCCGCAGATATGTATTGTGAGTGGTCAAGTATTATTTACCGTTTGTCTCTTGACTGACTTTTTATCATCTCACTAGCCACTGTCTTCAAAGCAGATCCCCTTGATCCTGCTCGGGGCAAGCAATACCGCGACAAGATCCTCCGTTTCGGTGGAAGTCGTGAAGAAATTGATTCTTTGACGGTGGGATTATCTCCTCTTTCCCCTTTCACTGTTTCTTACGCAACGTATGTCATTAGGATTTCCTTGGCCGACCGCCCAACAACGAGGCCTTCTTGCAGGAGCTCTTTGGCACTCTCCCCGCATCCCACCTCTGACGCATTTGGCGGGGTGATATTGAATATCTAATTTCTGCACCTCCTTCGAGTTGTCTAGTAAACGACCATTGTATTACCGCTTAAGATTAAATAAGAGAGATGAAGATGTTTGAACAAGTTCCATTCAGCTAGCACCATTGGGCACGCTGATTTCTTCTTCGTCCTCAGCCTCATCCTCGGCGTCTTCTCGCATCTCAAACTCTGGCATCTTCTTTCCTGTTGAACCGCTTTCACGAGCTTTGTCGTCCTTCTGCAGCTCGTCTCGCATGACCTTGACATCTTCGTCCACCTTTCCTGCGACTCGATCGATGCCTGCCTCGGCGAGGGAGACATGGGTGCGATGAGTTGACAGATGCGCTGAGCGTTTCGGGGGTCGTTTGAGACGACGACGAGCAACCATAACAGGTACAGAGCATTTCTGATGGCTAAAATTAGTCGTGATCTTGGCCTTGATGGAGAGGGGCTAACCTCAATAAGATAATGGGATGTTGAACCGAGCAGGATCCTGCCTCGCGTTAGTGACTTATATAAGACCAAGGCGCGTTCCTCACCCATTCAACTGACCCAACCCCCGCGACCCCACTATTAACATGGTCGGCTCTACATGGTCGACAACGTCTGGAAGGCGTCACGTCAACAACTACGCCGCTATGAAAATTTCCAACTTACCAAGAAGCATATGTCTAGAGTTCTTCGCGTGCCAGGCCTGGCAGGAAACCGTCACGTTTAACCTCGTTCGCTGAAGTAAACCCGTCACTTGGCGAACCAGAATATACGCTAACCCTTGACGCTGGAGAGAAGTTCATACATGGTTGACTTCAAGATCTGGTTTTCGCTCACCTCTTGCTGGCTTCTCAGCTTTCCTATACGGTCGGCTGCGTTAGGAATGGCGGGGTCGACTTGAGACGGGGTAAGTATATGAAATTCCTCAAACATGAATGTATCTCACTTTTACTCTCGTTCTCCACCACGCTGACGATCAACATCTCGTCTCCATCTCGTAACACAGTTCCAATCCCCCACTCAACAGCGTATCGACTCTCCTCGCTCAAATCGCTAGCGACGACATATTTACGCTTCTTTCGATCGCCCAAGCTACCCTCTGGGTCGCCCTGAGTAATTGTGATAGTGCATCTGTCTCTTTGGAAAATGGGTCGTGAAGTTTGAAGAGGCAAAGGCTCGTGAGTCTTGACAGACTTGCGCCGGCGCGGGTTTCGCTTTCCCCGCGCATTGGAAAGGGAATTGAGTGATGACGGGAAGTAGGGTTCAGGTGCGACGACTACGTTTACACCTTCGCCCACGGGGTCAGGATCCTCCCCATCAATTGGATTGAGGGCTGCTTCCGGCCCTACAGGGACTATATGCGCGTTTTGCTCCGTGTTGCGCTCGGTGACTGGGTCAAAAAAGTCGTCGTCGCTGGAAGAATCATCAGACTCGGCATCGGTTTCGCCAACGGTCTCATCACCAGAGTATGGGTCGTCAGTAAATGCCGTCCGTGCAAACACCGATGAAGCCGCATCTGACAAGTCGACATCCGAGTGGCCAAGGTGGAGTGGCTGCGGTGTAGGTGAGGGTTCACGGGTACGTAGCCGGCGCAAGGTGAAGGGTGATGTAGAACGAGCCCGAGACTGACTTCGGGATGGTGGGTCCTGCTCTGGCGGGGCATGGGAGTTTGACTTTGAGCGAATTTTTGTTTTGAGCATTGAACGGCCGCGTTGTTCTTTGTCGTCGCTCACGCCATCCCGTGTGCTTGTTCGGGAAAGGGAGAGTGACGATAAACCGCCAATCATGGAACTGAAGGACATTCTTCCAAACGAGCCACCGGCAGTCCGTGACATGTCGGGAGCCTTGAGCGTCGGCGCGGCTGGCTGTGGAGTTGAGTTCGTGCGTTCGAGACCATTAGAAAAGAGTTGTGTGGGTCCTGGATCGAGTACCTGTGGGAGAGTCAGTGAAAAGATGGATGATCTCCGCTTGGGATTTGGCGGTCGCTCAGTGGGAGTTGGTTCCAAAGTAGTAGCGCGGGGAAAGGCATTCGACGTTGAAGCCGCAGCAAAGGTGGCTATATGCGCGGAGGCGCTCTCCTGACCCTCAATGGGGGTGGTCAGCGTCGGAGACACGACCTCTTTAGCTTTAGGTGCGCTCCCCGGTGTTCCGCCAGCACTGCTGCCCGGTCTACCGCCGCTGCTGCCTGGTCTGGGTATATACGCAGTCCAGCTCCGGCTGCTCCGCTTTTTTGTGTTGGAATCGTCGGCCATGTCGAAGAAGTAGAACGAAAGAAGGAATATAAATAAAAAATTTAAAAACATGGGCTTACCTCAGTATTAGGGATCTTCAACGGCTGTTCATGAGTAGATCAGTCAGATTATGATCAGGGAGGAGTACAGCTTCAATCTCTTGGCACGACATGTACGTACAGCGCTCATAGTGGCCCTTCCAAAGTTGCGTAAACAGTGTTCCTCGGATGCAAGAGAGGAAAGGTGCGGGCGTTGACGACAGAGAAAAAAGTAACGACAGAGGAGAGCAAGTCGGCGGCGGGTGTTGTAGAAAATATTATATTATTCAGTAAATTTCACAGGCCTCTAGCTCTAACATCTTCGCCAAGACCACTTTGAACCCATCATAGCCTCCTGCAAATACCGGTTTGTTGAGGTTATATTACGCCAAAGCTGTACAGTACTTCGAACCAACCCTAGACTAGTCCTTGTAAATCGGAATTAATGCCCCCATCCTCCAAGAGATCCTTCAAAAATTTTACGGCTGGCCTAGGCCAATGGGCGTCTCGATGTTTTCGGAGTCATGGGACGCATCAACAATAGTAGCCGAGGGCTCGATGGCAGAAGGGTCACTCGTGGAAGGAATAACCGGATCCTCAGACGGCTCATCCAGAGCGATGCCAGAAACACCGACAATAGCCGATGAATCCGATCTGTATGTTTCCATCGGCTCCCCCAGGACAATCTTCTGCTTTCCAAATTCCAGTTGCGCCATCCGATCGCTCTCCTCCCGGCCAGCTCTCGCCATCATACGCAACATTGCAACGTTCTTCGTGGGAGGTTTAAATACCTCTGGTCTGAACGTTGTCACGACTTCTTCAACAGGTTTTCCTCCAAAGTTGAGTGTATCCCAAAAGCTTTGCAGTGAATCAGGATCAACACCAGTTGGAATGTTGTATGCACGGAATTGTCGGGCTTCGACACCTTGGAGTAAAGTACGGATCTCTTCCTCGGGCAGGGAAAGTTGGCTGATCACATAGTGTATCGTCCCTGCGAAAACGTCAGCATATAGACCCCAATACCCAGGCAAAGGTAAACTAACAAGGTTCAGTGGAGGAAACCGCGCGCTCTCCTCGAATAAAGAGGTCACCATTGAAGCTCGTCGCCTCTACTTTGAGGAGTTTAATCGGTCGCTCAGATTCGTCGCCACTCCAATTGGCAGGCTCGACATAGACGGACATGTACTGGGTGCCCTCCCTAGTTTCGAAGGTGCACTTGATGGACTGGACAAAAACGAATGAGAACTTCATATATGAAAACGAGGGCTGATAATACCTCATCTGGGAAGCAAAGGACAACTTCCTCCATAACATTCTCAAGTAAACCAATACACTTGCTGAACACCCGATCCCCGACACCTTCCCCAGGTCCGAAAAGGCATGCGTCCATTTCCGGTAGTGAAATATATTGAAAACCAAACATACGCGACGTATTGTGATAGGCAACAATGACGCCGTCCATGTTGCCGATGCGAACCTGGAAGCTATTTTCTAGTTAGGTGGTAAAGGATCCCAATTGCACACAAATACGAACCTATACTTGAGGAATGCCGAACGAATGAGATCATAGTATTCCTTCTCGAAGCTCTCGATGAGACCATGCTGGGTCTTAATCAAGTATCCAGAATTTTCCTGGAGCAAAATATTTGAGCCAGAATATTTCTCAAAAATAATAAAGTAAAAATACCTCAAAGTTCAGAATGTCAAGACGGATGGGCAAGCAGGCACGGGTTTTGATATCGAATACCCCGGTACCTGGTAGGCGTGAGTCATAGCAGTCCAACTGAGAGCGCATTACGAAGCGTTTCGACTGCAAATCGTTGGAAGAGGCTACAAAAACATACTGTTCGGCGTACCTTGGCATACCGGTAAGCCTCTCTCAGCGAAGAGTCTTTTACCTCGGTGGCTGCTTCCGACCGCGTGAAAGTGGTAAATTCTTCAGGCGTCATTGTCATAAACTTTTCAAGGAGTGTGCCCTGCAAATTACTTCACATCAAAAGATGCAAAACAGGAAAAAAATGCGTGGCATACCATCCAAGTGAGTATATTCTTATCAGAATCTCCCCCCTTCTCGTACGAATCAATTGCATAGACACCTTCGTCGTGATTCAAAATAACGGTTTTGGGCATACGTTGACCAGGTGTGAAAGTCCTTGGCTGTAATCCTGAATGAGATTTTAAGAACCTCAGAAATTACACAAACTGACCTCGTTTCTAAAGTGCCGACTGAGAATCGAGGTGTCGACGCCTTTGTCGTTTGATATCAAAAAGTAAATCTGATTCAGCATCCCCGTTAGAGATGAGGTTGAGCCAGCGAACCGTCGTTTCTGCTGCCTCGCTAAAGCCCAGAGATCCTACCCCAATTCAGCAACTGATACCCAGAACGATTAGATGCACCCTTACTTCATCTCGAGAGCTCCTAATGAACCCTCCAAGTCGCTCAAACGCAAAGTCATTCACTTTCGGGATAGTTTCGAGCCAGGGTGTGAAGTTGTACACGCGGGATCGGGGATCTTGTAGCCAATGCACGCCCGGGCTAACGAAGGAAGGTCAAAAGATCTCTCAATAGGGGACAGGGCTTCACAAACTTGAATAAAACACGTTCCAGCCCATGAGACAGTGTGGCGATCGGCTGGTGTTCGGAGACGGGAGGGAGATCTGAGGGCGTATTCAGTCATTGGTTCAGAACATGATTGAGCGATGACGAACCTTCAAGGACCGCGCCCTCATCTGGTTCCAAAAGACCTTCCACTCGCCGCCGGCATTTCGGCGCGATGTGGGGCGGAGAGTCATGGGCCCTAGTCCACTCCTTCGGTAGCTTGAAAATATCCTGAATATCTGGAGGCTTTAATTCTGATCTATGTTTTTAACCCTTCTGGCTCCGAGTTGAGCAAAAAAAGACATACGATCCTCTCCCCATGAGTCAGGTTTCCACTCGCCTTCAAGTTTTATACCAGAGGTTGGTGTAATGGCAGCATCATGTGGGCTCAGCGTTGAACTAACCTCCGACCTCCACTCCGCACGCTGGGTATCAAGCTGTGTTCCACTGGCCTCCACCATTCCTTCCTTCTCTTCCTTCTCAAGTATCCGAGCCCTTCTCTCCTTTCGTCTCTGCTTCTTTCTCTTTTTCTTCAACATTTTGGCGGACGTTGGTGGTTGCGGGGCCTGTGCTTTGACTGCTGCATGTAAAAGTTTTGCAACGTCTGATTTGTTGGGTAAAAGGTTTAGAGTGCCTGTTTTGGTGGGTGGGGGACTTATAGTGTCGCGCAGCTTGCGAGAGAGAGGCCTCTTATTAGGGGACTTGGTCGCCGCGCCCTTCAGTAAAGCGATAAATTCTTTATCAGATATGCGGTGAGTAAGGGTTGGTGCATGGTTGGATGCAGTGGACGCCAAGGAACGAAATTTGTGAGGACATCTCGACGAGGAGTGTAAATGTGCAAAGGTATTCCTCCAGAGGCTCATAAATAGCAGAGCAGGAAACAGAAAATAACTTTTTCGTGACTGACGCGGTGGTAGTGACGCTGTAATATCGTCACACCAATTACTTTCATAATTATACCTCAGAGCCATGCCAGGTTTCTTCTCCTCCATTTTTCAATGGTTCAGCGGGTAAGATTTACTCATACTACGCATATTGCATAGCTCAAATTTCAAAAGTCTCTTTTTCTCAAAACAGGCCGAAATCGCCGTTGTTGGGCTACAGGTGGGACCTCCCACTCACGCCTCGAACCACCGTTAATCTCTATGTATCGCTCAGGCGTCCGGGAAAACTTCCTTCGTAAACGTGATAACCTCTGGGCAGGTGAGCCCTAGCAACCCCTTTTGCGGCTCGAACCCGGGTCGACCCCAGCAATCTAGTGGAGCGAAGAAGTAGTGCCAACCGTCGCGTTCAACTTCCGCAAGATAAGAAAGGGGAAGGTAACATTGAAGATATGGGACGTCGCTGGTGAGGTTTAACGTTTATCTTTGGTCCACATTTTCAGTGATGCAGCGTATAGGCCAACCCAAGTTCCGTACAATGTGGGAGCGATATTGCAATGGAGTGGACGCTATCGTGTGAGGAACAAGTTGTATCTTACACGTATATCAAGCTAACGCGTTTCACGTAGTTATGTGGTCGACGCCGTTGATGTGAGCTCCCTGCCATTATTGCCCTCCACATATTTTGATGGATGGCTCCTAGCAAGATAAATTCAAATCCGCGAAATTTGAACTTCATCAGCTCCTAGCGCAGCCGACTCTTACTGGCGTGCCATTACTCGTGGTAAGGTCCATAAAAATTCGCCATTTCTATGATGTCACCTTCTACCTATTAGCTGGGCAATAAAAATGACCTTGACGGACACGCATCAGTTAAAGACCTCATCACCTACCTGTGAGTTGTCATCTGCTTCTAGCCAAACGCCCAGGTTTAGATTATGACTTGAATTAGCCAACTGGACAAGATTTCGGATAGACCTGTTTCTGTGCGTGTTCCTATCTTACTTCGACAATAACATTCTGACGTCTCTCCGTAGTGCTACTCGGTAACCAGTATTTTCCACCTCCTGTGTTTCGACCTGACATAGAACGATAGTGTTCGATGAAAAGCCAACACAATCTGTAAGTCCGCCCCAGCTTCTTCCCATTCCCATGTCAGCTCTTCGCAGTGACATCGTCCTACAATGGCTAGCAGGAAGAAGCCATTGATCTCTTACACAATCTATCCTCCTTCTCGTGTATTTGTACCTCGCTCAGGTTGGTTGGAGACTCTTCGTACATGGCGTGTAATTCACATCTAGGACTTGGACATGGCATGTTTCTTTGGCCTTCGTTGCTCGGAGGAGAGGCCGGAAAAGATTATCTACGCTTGGCCATTTGGACTGTTAAATTATCAATATACATTTGTAACGTCTCGTTTTCCGATACTAGCTTGTCGACCTCCTTTTGTACCGTATCGACACGCCCAAGCATCACTAATGGAACTCAACCCTCTGATTGAACAGCAACGAAGGGCTACGCACCACGCAAATCATCCTGGCAAGAGAGTATTTCCCTATGAGGAAAGAAACTTGCGGCTCAGTCCGAGTCAGCTTTGAGAGGGCAAATACAACGAACTTGATTACTTTCTCTTTCATCATAGCGTCTCGAACAATATCACCGGCCTGCGGTGAAACTGCACCCCACGCATCAGGTTCGCCAAGCGAGTAATCGTCAAACTGCATGAATTTTGGTTGTGCCAAGAGACGCTTAAAAACCGACACTGGAGCAATGAGAGTGGTAGAGGCTTGAGATAAGGATGCGGACTTTGAAACCAGAGTGACGCGTCGCGTCCCATTCTCGCAATGGCACTGCAGTCCTCTCTTGTCAGTTCCACCAATGGCTGAAATTCTCCTCGCGTTCAAAGCTGGAAGGGCCTTCAGAAGGGAAGGTACCAATATCGTAGAGCCAAGTCCCACAAAAGGCGCCATTCATCTTACGAACGGCGATGACGGCCTGCTGCATTTCATCTGGAAAGACAGGACCACTAACCAACCCGAAGAGGCGAGCTTTTTCTTATATGTATCGTTTATGCCGTGTTAATGAGGAGACTAGGATCTTATTCTCTTCCCCTCTGATGCAACGTTTACCAAAGTATCACAATCAACGGGGAGGGTGTACGTCCTCAGGTTCTCTTCTTCAAATCAAAGGCATTTCGTGCGTGGATCTCAATTTTTCTTCAAACATCTATATTCTAATATCTTCAACCTAGTTCTGGATGCAGGCATGATCATTTGTTCAAGAACTGTCATGACAGAAGAACTCATATATGCTTCAGGATGCCTCCTCCGATCGCGATGTAGAATTCGCAACGAATGTTAACGGTCTTCTCCAAGATCCTGATTATGATCTACAATGGAACGTCCCCACTACCTCAACCACCGCACCCCAAGCTTCGACGTCAACGGCAGCCGTTCCGCAAGCATCATCGTATGTGGTTTTTCTGTTAGTTCTACCTTGTCATGTCATGACACCATCTACGCAGATCAACCGCCGGCAGTGGTTCAAACTTCCAAGCTACCCCCGAGCAGATTGCTGCGCTTGAGTCGGCGTTGGCGTCTATGACTGGTGCACAGGCAGCGCCAGCAGGTTAGCCAAATAACTTCTGAATACACCGGCGATCATTGACTTCATTTCTGTTTTTCAGAAGCCTCCCTGACTGACATACTCACGCCGGCGAATTTGATTCCATTGTTTAACAACCATCCCGAACTCATCCCCACGCTCTTCCCCCACCTTCCGCCAGATCTACCTGTCCCTCCTTCCGCGGAGGTGCTCCAGCGTATTATCCAGTACGTACTTGTGCACACCTTTGTTATTATCATCTACAACTCCCCTCTTATCTTTCAGTTCACCACAATTCCGAGCAGCTGTGGCCAACTTTGATCAAGCTTTGAGGACTGGACTGCTTGGTGGGCTAGTCAGAGGACTTGGATTACCTGCAGAAGCGGGGCTGGGCATCGGTCCATTCTTACGGGCTGTTCAAGAACAGGCGGATCGAGGAGAGGGGGCAATGGAGACGGACTGAGATGTTACAGTTCAATGATCTGGGATTACCTATTTCAATTCCATTCTTTGTGTTCACCATGGAGTTACGCTGTGTTCCTCTCACCGATGAGGAGCGCTCGCAAACAACGCTTAGCGGGTCCCCTAAACGTGTTTTTGCCACTTCGTCCAGATCTGACCCTCTTGGAAGTGCTGTGTTGATGACCACGACGGTTCTCAAAACTCGAAGCGCGAATGATATGAATAACATACCCACACTTTCCCGCGTTGAATCATAGGTTTGACGTGATCGTTCTATCCTAAACCCCTGACATTGATGAAGACAGGTTTTACACAAAAACACAAGTAAGAGTAAGCCCTGCTCCGCGCTACCTAACGTCCGCGTGTTCAAGCAGGTCCCTGGCAAAGACAGGATGTCCTTTGGTCTTGTTCCTTGACCACGATCTCATGACCATCGAATTGCTGGGACAATGTACGCTCTGTCACCTGTGAGTATTCTGAATCGTAACAATAACCAGGTGACTCACATTCTAGACTCTCTAGTGGTTCTTGTACGCCGCTCAAACTTCGCTCAAACTGCACGGCGCGTGTGGAGTGCGATGTTCAGGGAGACGTTTTTCCGACCCTGGATCGTCCCTGCGGAGTAGGGGTCATGACTCATTTAGTAAATCTTAGCTAAAACTCCCGGGCTTGAAAGTCGGATCCGGCTTATCGATCAAGTTGGGCGGAAAATGTTGGCCTTCTAGAAATTGGGCACAAGGGCAACATCAGCTGGTCATCTCAGTACACTGTTCCTCTACGAAGGAATCGCGAGTTGCAAGTCATATGCACTAATCCATCCCATCCGGAGCTGATTCGATCTGGTAAAGTAGCCAACGGCGCCGAGAGAACCAAGAGAGAACAATGAATTTGCAATGAATGTAAACACATGTAGACTCGCCTACAGTCTCTACTTACACGAATTCTGAATGCATGACCTCAGTCGGCGGGGCCCTGGACAAAATTGGACGTAGATCATGTGCTCTGATCAACTGGTGCGGCAAAACATCGCACTGCTTTTTGACTCAGACTTTATCCCACATCGACACTGACTCTGGCCCCTTGTCAAGTTCATCCTCCTCTCCTTCTCCATACAAGCCTTCGCCAGGCGAAAGAATGCTGCCCCTTCTCGCTGAAGAGTATTGAGCATCCGCTGGTCCCGAAATTGGACCTGGTGCTTCAAGCCCTCCACAAACTCAGAGAATAGATCGATCTTACGGCATCCACGTTCTGCCACCCCTTGAATGGGGCCGTACCTTTATCGTGGTTATACGCCACCCAATTTGAGGTTTCGTGGTGGAGACGAAAAGTTCAGAGTATCCAACTTCGAACCCAGAAGTTGGACTGGGGCTATCTATTTCTGTTCATATGCGTTCTGATACTATCCTAGACGGTAAACCTACAACAAGGGGACAAGTGTTTTCGACTCCTTTTACAACTCCACGAGTGGATCCAGGATGCCAAATTGTAATCTGAATTGCCATATCGTGGACTGTGACTCCCAGGACAGGAGGGAATAGGTGTGAAGTGAGTTGTACCGATAGATCTACCAAGTACCCTAACACTTTGCCTTCATTCCGTTCAATCTCAATACTACTACTTTATGGAAAAACTCCTGATTTACCGTCGATTTTCATCCAATGTTCCTTGGAACATTTGACGTCGCAGTGTAGGAGGGACTATCCTGATGGAACTCCGATCCTGGTGCGTACAGAAATGACCTCAAAAAGTGGCCCAACTCCGATCCTATGCGTACAGAAAAATTCGAAAATATCGCCCAACTCCGATCCTCCTTGAGTACAGAAACCTTTGGTCGCCAGTGAACTCCGATCCTACCTGAGTACAGAAATCTCTCGGTTGGTCTCTGGAGGCATGGAATTGGGCCAGCACCGGCCCCTTTGGAACAGTGGAACCCCACCACGCCATAAGAAAAAGATTGGCCCACCCTCCCCAGCTGGAGAGTGAAAAAAAAGGTTCTCGTGTTTTTAACTCCGATCCGTTTTGCGTACATTTTGAGCCAAATTTGGCCGAACCCGATCCGTATGCGTACATTTCTTGGTTGATGAAGGCCTGACAGAAATGGCCAAAATCGACCATTTCGGATCGGAGTTCCAAGCGCATCGTCCCCCCTCCTCGCAGTGTTGATTCCCGCCATTGAAATCATCTAGATGTTAACATCGGTATCATCGACGGACGAACAGTCAGTGAAAATTCAGCGCTGAATATGGCTCTTGCGAACGTCAAAAGCAAACGGACCGTGGTCCGTGCTTGTTATCCACCACTATCGTTGAAATTGGACAAATCTTACTGCATTCCCATCTGGTCGCTCATTCCACCGGTCGCCTGTTATAGGTGGTGCGTTGACATACCACTATCGTTGAGATTGGACAAATCTTACTGCATTCTCACCCGGTCGCTCATTCCACCGGTCGCCTGTTATAGGCGTGTGCGTTGACATACCTCAGCACAGATTGACCTACTGATCAAAGTCTGCTTCTGAACATTCAGACATATGACTTTGGTCGTGGCTCTCTTTTTCTCAGCATCTAGACGCTGGATCTGGGCGTCGCATTGGAATCATTGAATCTTAAGAAATTCTGGGACTTGTGAAGTGTTTTCTTTGACACTCTATAGTTTGTGCTCGAGCTACACGGGATTAAAGAACTACGGCTCTTTCAAAATGGAAACTCCCCAGACCCTCCAAATCCCATAGGTTTGACGACGCCGTGGCTCGAACATCGACAAGTAGAAAGCAACGGTAGCAATGCTCAGCGCTCACTCATCCCAGCGTTCTTTGAGTCCCTTACCCTCAAATGTTATTGAATTGACGGTAAGCCACCTTGAGAACTGGTTTGGTCTATCACCTCACCAGTGCCTTAGAAGTGACAGGAGTTATTTTCCAACACAATAGTAAGCTAGAACATCTTTACAGAAGCGGCACTTATGAGATCCAGACTTTGGAGTTCGAAGTAGAGAGATCTAGGGGACAGATTGAAAAATAACTGAAGGTTCGGAATTACACTGGCTCGAAACCTATAAAAACGCCATGAAACCACCCAAGTCTGACATCAACTCCCATCGCACTCCCTCCACTCAGAGATATAAACTCGCTTGCAACACCATGCCCCTTCTCACTACCGCCGACCGTCTTGCTAAAGCCCAGAAAGCTGGTCAAGTCGTGCTCAAACATGTCACACTGGCCACCGCAGCGGAGGCAGGAAAGACGGGTTCCAATCCGCTTGACCCGATAGCAGCAGGCTTGCCCGACGGCTATTACCAAATTATCCAGTGGAAGGATGACAATGAAAAGCCCTCCCATGCATCTGTTACCACGCCTCCAGGTGTAAAGCCCGACTCCTCCGTCCCGGTTGTTATGGGCACCGACACCGATTTTTTGAGCAACTTTGTAAGAGCACCTAGCTTTCATATCAATACAAAACTAATATACCCTTATCATTAGTGGAAATTGACGCGCCAGTATGGCCTGACGAACGGATTCACTATTGTTCCCGTCGGGACCAACATTCCGCCCACGAGCCCAGATACCGGAGCGACTACATATGACAAGGTACAATCTTTCCCTGTGCACATTCCGAGAGAGTCTTGCTAAAAGTTATTTAGAGCGGAGATCTGAATGTTCACAGGTCGCCCAGCTTCCCCCTCTGGGTGATTAGATGCGACGAAAGTGCCACAATCAGGTATTATCAGAATTTCTGGTTTCCAGAATGCGTACACTCATAAATTTAAATACTAGAAATGGGGATACAACCATCGTGATTGATTATTTCAGGTGCGGTTTTGACGGTCGGTACTCAAAACCCTGTTAACATTACTTCAGGATCTTGGAGTCCGGTTCCAACAAAGTCTGGAAGAACGCTACGGAAGCAGAGAATTCTCCGGTGAGAGCCATTTCAGGAATTCAATAACGAAGGTTAACCTCAACTTGACGTCTAGATCCATGTCACGACCGCGTCCACCAGGATCCCTCCTCCACAGAGCGAGCTCTTCGAGCTCATTCGCAGCGATATTGGGTCGGCACCCGTCAAAATTAGCAGTGTGGACCACATTACCACCACGGCCGTGGATGGGACTATTGTCAAGAATTTCTACTTCGGAACTGATCCAGTTTCCAATATCGATGCCACGAGTTTTGTTTCTGTCAACCTCACCACCAGTGCCCGTGACCAAGGGTGGGCGAATAATCCCCAAGCTGGACTCTACAGCTGGTTTGAAATTGCCATCCTAACCAAGAAATTGAAATTGGGCGATAAAATCACTGACCAGATCAAGGTCGTGAATGGAAAGCTCCAGACCTGGGTTTCCCACAGCATTCCCCTCACCAGTACCTACACGGAGCAGGAGGGCCCCACTTTTTCCAAAGACCACGACTTATTCAAGAACCTCAAAGCTGGCGATGTCATTGCTGTGCTTACCGCCGCTCAATTTGCCGCTTGGAAGGCAGACGCTCGTAGCGGTAACTTGAACTTCAGCAAGCTCGTCCCCACTAACGTCAAGATCGAGTAATTGTGTCTTCGAATTTTTTCTGTGATCGTCTATTTGGGGTTTATGTGAGTCGCGTAATTACACTCCCGATATGATTTTAGGTTATACTAACATCGAATTAACCGCAGTCAGTACCGTGTATGGAGAAATTTTGAAAAACAGAAATCATGTGGCTCGAGTTCAAGAATGCAAGTTGCCCAGTAAGATTTGCGCGTAGTTGTTCTGTTGTTTGTAATAGCCTATGGACCATGAAATGTACAAAGTCATTGTGTTTACTTTCCGCTGCTTCAACGAGTTACATAAGCCAAATATCTTTTGGTAGGTGAAATACTGATTCGTTGGTTACATGTGCGAAAGTTCTGGTCGCAGTTACCTTGTTCTGAACTGGGGAGTGAGTATATGCACTCAATATGCGCATTAGTTCGTCTTCCCCAGCTTAAATTCGTATCCACAGCACTATGGCATACGTGTTTGTATGTTCGATGAAGGAGAAGGTGTATTATACATTAGGTTCGACGTATATATATATGTAGTTAGCAAAACACCTTGGTGTTCAGAACGTGTATCTGGATCTGGGGGTACGAAGCGTCACGCGCTGCTGGTAGTAAAACGGAACGAACATTTCACTCGATGACCTCCTCTGCGTCGCTCTCCTCCTCCGCTGCCCTCTCAGCACGACGGTTGAATGCCTTGACCTTTTTGGCCAGGTCTTTGTCTGGTTTGCAATCCGCGAACCGGAATGCCTTGTTACACCCAGATGCAGGGCATTTAGTTAGCGCAGTGAGGCCTTTCAAGCTGCAGTAGTCCCTGATCGCGCCGGCAGAGAAGGAATGTCCGCACACAGACCTATGACAAGCCGCATTAGTTCGGGGGAGGAGAAAAGACATACGGTTCTTACGAAGTGAGTGGGTCCTCAAGGGTCCTGAGAGATATAGGGCATTTCAAAGTCTGCGTCACACCGCCAATTTCCAAGTCGTCATCGTCGTCGCTGACGTCTCCATCCTCTGCGGCGTCTCATTAACAGGAAGTTTTCTTATGACTTGGAAATTAAGCCAACCTTTGGGTATGAATTCAGTAAGGGGTGGCATAGCTTTTTCGGGGTATTGAACATCCTGCACACCGTGTCAGACTTTACTATGACCCAAGGGACATTGTATCTTACCCATATTGCAGATTTGAAAGAGTAGTACTCCGCGCTTTTTGCGTACTTTTGACGCGTCGTTTTTCCGGCGTATTCATCCAATTGAAGTTTGACACCGTCTTTATACCGTTGACCTGCATTATCCTATTGAATGGCGCGTCGAAATTCATGTGCGTAGCTCTTCTTCGTCCAACTTACAATTTTTTCCCCCTGGGCAACCAATTGATGAATATCAATGATCGCTTGAGAGTGTGCTTTCATTTCTGCGCTAATATTCAACAAGTCTTTCATAATCTTGTCAGCTTCCTTGAGGCTCTGCAGAAGAATGTTATTGCATTTCGGATATGCATGCGCCTCTGATAACTTACCTCTTCGGCTTCATCATCTTGACTCGCTTCAGCCAGGGAGACGCCGACATCCCCAATGACCTTCCAACTATTCCGAGCAACCTCGTCAATGAGGTTCCAATCGTTTGAAATTCCCTTCAGTTTCTGCAAGTCAGATTTCTGGAGGGGTTGGTCTTGGAAGTTTTCGACGTCAATTCTGTCGTCGTCCTCGTCCTCGTCATCATCACCACCATCCTTTGACGGTCCAGTATCAGCAGTCACGGCGCGTCGTTTTCCTGCTGAGACCTTTTCCTTCTTCACGGCCCTTTTCGAAGAGTGAGGGCCGTTGTCGTCGCTTTCCGAGGCATTCCCATTAGGCTGGGTAGAATCTTCTTCGATATCCGAAGAGTTCTGACGACGTGGAGGTTTTCGACGCGAGCTTGAAGCCGCTGGCATAACGGTTCGTGGTGAAGAGACGCGTTTCATTTGTTTGGCGGTAGCGCGTTAGCCAAACATTTTTGGGTGGCAGCAACTTTTCTCGGTAGCAAGTCAGCAGCAACTGTGGTACTCATGTCATTGTTAGGTGGACTTCGCGCATTGACTCGGGGGGCATCGCCAATATGGTCGCCCAGCACTACCCGCTTTCTCCTTGCTCAGAAATCCCACATTTGGCCTCAAACCTCGCTAATTCAACAACACCGTTCATTTCACCCATCCGCCTCGACATGGGTTACAATGAATCAAGCTATGAAGAGGAAGCCCAGAGCCAAAAAACAAGTAAAGTCAAAGTCGCCATTGCTCGAGAACTGTCCCGAGAGAAAGGGCGTCGTCACTCGTCTCATCATTGCCAAACCGAAAAAGCCCAACTCGGCCAAGCGAAAAGTCGCTCGTGTGAAGCTCTCGACTGGAAAATCTCTCATGGCGTACATCCAAGGAGAGGGACACAATCTTCAAGAACATAGTGTCGTTTTAGTTCGTGGAGGACGTACGAAGGATCTTCCAGGTGTCGGGTGAGTCGGATGTTTGCTAATTTCTTTCCCGCTCGCTCATCACTTTATAGTTACAAACTTGTTCGTGGAGCCTTGGACTTTGGTGGTGTTGTGAACCGCGCTATGTCTCGTAGCAGATATGGGTACGACTTCGTAACATATATACATCGTGATTTGCTTGCTGACCGTCGATATAGTGCAAAGAAACCTAAAAAGAAGTAACTAACGTATAACCATATCCCCCTAATATAATGCAATGTTCTTCGCTTTCCGTATTGACCTTGCCACCGGGTATAATCTCAATTCACGCCAGTTCTACCAAATTCCCAGAATCCCTAATCCTTTCTTCCCTCTCCCTTTGCGCACGAACAATCTTCTCAATCTCCGAGTTGAGGGCCCAACACCACGCGTCGCACTCAACCTTGCTTCGTGTGCGAATCACGAATGTTCTGCGCTTAGCAGAAAGCGGAGGTGTTGTGGCGATTGACTTTAGAGCTGCCGTCGTCGGATCCTGGTCACGAGCAACCTCCTCCAAGTGTGAGCGAAACCACACAGTGAGAATCATGTCCTCGTCGCGGTCATCCGTCTCTAGACCGTCCTGATACCGTCGTGGAGCTGGTTCTGCATTGGGACGAAATTGTCCCTTCGGAAGTGTGAGAGCCGCAAAATAACCCGAACAAACATAGGCATCAATTAGACTGATTTTCTTCTTCATAGCCTTGTGTAACGTCGTACGAGGCTCGATCCGAAACTGGACGAGGTTTCCAGCAACAAGGAACAGCTGCACCAGTCTGATGAATGGTCAGATTTGCGTTTCACAAAAGACTCTGAACGAACTTGTACTGTCCACGGTAACCCTTGCGCGTGTATACCTTTCCACCTTTAACAATCGGTTTGCATCCGTCTAAAATGCACATGTTGTACAACGAATCCATCGCTGGATAATGGGTCGAAAAATCTGGCGGAGGATCAGGAGCACTATCCTCCCCATTCTGATGGAGTCGTGTCAACGGGGTGAGCCGAGGTCGAAAACCTTGAGCAAGCTCGATTTCTTCTTTAGCATCGATTCGATGTCTATGCTTCCAAAACGCTATCAAGGCCCGAAGTCTATTAATCCATTCAAGCGCAACCCGACAGGAGTGAGCCTAGAGAAAGACAGGATAAAAATGCCGAACAGTAGAAATTTCGAAGTATACACACCTCGAACCTGACAACGTTGCCACTGTCAAGTAACAATTCAAAAGCGCGTCTCAGTTTGATTCCTGGCCTGTCGTGACCCCCACCTTCATCTTCATCATCGTCTAACGTTCGATACTCCGTTTGAGACCATACGCCAAACCACGCTGGATCTTCTGGCCCAACAGTCTCCTTGACGTCATGCGTCGGCAACGGCGTAACGTGGAAAGCTCTGCGTACGGCAACTATTGATCTCAGGTCGCAGACCCCCGTGGCGTGCAAAATTTGACGACTGCCACGCAATACTTCAGCGTGATGAAGGTCCTTAACGTAACCGTCGAGGTCGAGAGGTAAGGCAATGCCTGGTGGTGCTGGCGGATATGCATGGTATGTGTGTGTGATGAATACGTTCCCGTTGTGCGTAGTAAGATACAAAAGTTGTTTAATTTGCGAGCCCGGTTTCACGCGCTCAAGATATCCCTCTATCGACGGTGGCTCGTCAATGTGGGTGCCATCTCTGAGGTGAAAGTGAGTTGGTGCATGGTTAGCCAGTCGAAGTTCGAGAATCGGCGGACGCATGGCCTAGAAATTCATTGAGCAAATACCAGAAAATGAATTTAAGAGTTGGCTGACCTGCTTAAATGCAAGGCCGCACAAAACAGACCATTCTCTGGAAACTCCGTAGACGTCGTCGTCCAACCATACCCAGTCAACGTTTGAGTCAACACGCCAGCAAAGTTGAAGGGCCTTTCCTTTCTCAAGTTCTCGTTCGATGAGGTGGTACCACTGAGGTACGGCTTGCAAGGTATCCATGCAAAGGGAGATGATATTTTCTCGCCTAAACATAGAGTAGAGCTTCTCCGAATTCAAGATGTAGCCTTCGGGGATGTCAACAGAAACCTTGGTGTTAAGCTGCGGGTTCCTGATATCTAGTGTCGCGGGTAGCTGTCCGCCCATATGCCTCCTATGCCATGCCTTCATGAGTATGTTTTTCTGGACAAGAACGCGCATATATACCAGAGAAGCCAAAACCAATCATACGCCCGCGACCTGCTCCTGAGCTTGAAAATGAAGATGTTCGTTCCTTCCTTGGCGCGGTTAAAGATCCAACGAGAACTAGATGCGTTCAAACGCGTGGTAGTGGGGGGACATGTGAGACAAAATGAAAGATCTACAAAAGAGTATAGCGATAGATGCGTGCGTGAAGATTTTAATGGAATGACATAGGACAGGTGCTTGTGTTTCGTGAACATTTCTTTGCCAGGGAAGCTCTGAATACAGATCGCGTTAATGGGCGCACGGGAGGAAACGCTTCTACTTACATGATCTTCGTATATTTCAAGACTGTCCCTGCGCCAGGCGACTAGGAATTCCGCCCAATCTTCATAGTGTAAATCTCGAGTAGTTCGATTTATGGATTCGTCGAATTGGTGGCTCAACGTTTCGCACCTTGTATAGAGTATTCGCACTAGCATCCTATCTCTCAAAAGGGTTAAAAAGATATGTCCTCACAATGTGAATGTGAACAAAAATACCTCGAAAGACGACATCACCCCACTGAACTTCGTCGGAGACTACTAGAGAAGGGGACACTGACGCCGCTGCACTCGAAGTCGCTTCTAACGCGCTTCCAGCCCTTTCCAAAACTTGCCTCGGAGGAACCGGCTGTGGAGGCGTGTTCGACGCGTAGCGGACCATTTTCTGTTTTCCTTTGCCTTTGGGGTCTATGTCGCTTTTTCCCCGGAGGAGAGACGTGGGCATTCGTTGGACTGAAGGACCCGCAGCGCCTATGGGGTCGGTTTGTTTTGAAAGGGAAGGAATCAGGCGAGTGCTAGATGTAGCTGGGGTTGAACTTGGCCCATCATGAACGCCATTCCCACTGCCAGACGCCACCGCCGAATCACCATTCACAGAAAAACGGGATAGAGCAGTTGCGAACGTTTGTCGGTCAGCCTCAGTCCCAGTTTGAGCACCACTCGTCCCTGCCGCCGTCGATTGACCGCCTGAGGTGGAGGCGCGTCCTGCCTTGGAAATTTCGTCGATAGAAACGCCCCGAAAAATATCGACACCAAGAAGACGACCAATTTCGAAGCTGCCTCCAACCCAGTGGTTGGGTTGCCCAGGTTCCTTCTTGGCCTTATGCCTGTGTCTCCAGATGTGGCTCCATTCACTCGACTTCCACCGCTTCAACATCTCGTCCACGACACTCCGCTCTTGTTCTTCACCCCAGTCTTCTTTTTTGCCTCCATGATGCAAGAAGAAACTCAAGGCGTGCGCTTTGATAATTTTCGACACGTCGTCACTCTTGTCGGGAGCCTCGTCGGAATCGAAAGACAAAGAGAGCAAGCCCTCTGTTTTGTGTTTCTTCACTTCAGCTTCCGTGTGTGCAACCACATTTTCCGGCATTGGCCCAATGAAGACGCGCCCAAACGTGCTGTCGCCATTTGTATGCGGAGTGGGAGCCCCTAACCGCGTCTGTGGCGACGCGGAAGCAATACTCGTCGTGGCCGCCATTGAAAGACGCACAAATGGAACTGGGAGTCGGTTCAATGTCTGAACATGCGACTCCTTACACAGTTCAAAACGGCGGGCAATGAGCCTGGTGGAGGGGCAGTGGCGTGGTACACTTGGTCTTAATAAGACCCTAACCTCAGAAAAGGGTTTGTTGTACTCTACTGTCATCCTTTGTATTGAGGAGTGGTATGCTATTACGTAGTATACATAAAAGAAGGCTTTTGCAAGATTAATTGTAATGGTATAGTCCTTCCTGTCCTTCCGGTGTGACCTCTCAAAGTTATCTACTCTGCTCATCAGGCGGAGGTGCAATCTTCTTGCCCAGCAGAGCGTGCGACTCCGATATGTATGCCTCGGCCTCTGTTCTATCGAAGCTGTATACACAAATTGAGCGATTGTGTCCAAAAACCAAAGCCAAAAAGAGACTACTCACGCAATCTTCTTTCCCTTCGTATGCATATCTGGCTCTCGTAGCGCAAACGGGTTGACATCCGTGTCAGGATTTAGGTTTGCTAGACTGTGATTGACGAAACGATGAGTCGTTTCATCAGACCTCACAGCGTACAAGACGTCAAGAAGCTTGGCATCCGGAGGAAGACGCCAGTAGTCAATGGAAATTTCGGGTGCAGGTTTGTTGGACCTATCGAACTTCGTTATGAACAAAATGATGGTAAAAATAGAAGATGCTTACCATTCTGGAATGCGACCAGCCTCGAGGTCGGCGATGCATCGAGTACTACCTGTTGTTAATACCCAAAAAATGAGCATCTTCGAGTTACATACTATGTCACCACAGCCTCCTCTTCTAAATAACCAACGAAACGATGGCAGATTCTTGGGGAGATGAGATACGAGAAAACTTGAATGAAATTAGATACATCCAGCAGCAAAGAAAGTAGACAGAACTTACAGAATAAGTTGTAGAATACGCCCTGCGCTGCCAGCACAATAGCACGAAGAATAATAGAAGGTTTCCGGAGCGTCATAAAAGTCCTTCATGGAATCAACTTTGAGTCAAGAGGTTCCGAGCATCAAGGAAGAGGCTCACATCAAATGCATTCGTTCGTTTTCAGCCTCCTCAAGGCATGTATGTATCCTGGTAGATAAACTTGAGATGAGACACCTCCGATAACGGGCATTACTGACCATCCACTATCGCGGCGCTGTTTGGTAGAAAGCGAAGTCAGAAAATATATATTGAACGGCGAGCGTCAATGCGAACCATGAGCCTTAAACTAGTCAAATGGCGGAGCGTTGCAGCCACCATACCCGGCACACCAGCAATGCTCTCCAACACGAGAATGCGCTGGGATGATATGTGAGCTGCAAGAACGCATAGGGGTAGTGAAATTACATACAGTGAGCCAAGCTCGGTCATCCAACAGATAACCGGCTTTCCTAAGTTGTGCGACAGTCATATCCGGGCTTGGAGGCACAGTTGGGTGCTTATACCCAGAAACAAAATCGAAGGTCGCGCGAGCAAATTTAACTAACCCGTACGCAATCTTATCAGACCAAGTATTGGCCCTTTGGTGCAAAACCTTCAAAGAAAAATAGATGAGCATTCTGAACCGCACCTGTTCTGGAAGGACAAACCCACCTCTACAGCCCTAAGCTCGTCGGGAGAATACACAGGGTGGAATAGAACCCAGTCTCCGCGGACCATAGTGGGTAGAGTGCTAACGGCATCGGGCGTTGTAAGTCCAGGTTTCGAAGCGGTGTCGTCTGATGATGAACCTGAGAGAGCAAGTTATGAATGGGTTTCAAACAAGAATTGTTGAATTGCGTACGTGGGAGGACTGGGGTAGCCTCTTTAATGGTGGTTTGTGCGGATGATGAAGTTATGGTTCGACGACACGCAGCAGCCAGACATGAGGTTCGTGTCAAACGAAACGCAGCTGCGTTATGATGGAGGTATAAGGGGGAAGCTTTGAGAAGGGATGTCCTGATCATGGCCAAGTATATTGATTGCTCCTTATCGTTCCATCACGACTAGGCTTTATAGTTGGCCAACATGCGCCCATTGCCCGTCTCCATCCGATCTTAGGAGTCATGTTTCCGAGATTCGCCGGCTGGGAGTGGCGGAGCAAGCTATGTCCGAAATATCGGGTGAGCGGTCAAAGCAAAGACATGTATCACAGGTATTCAGAGGCGGGCAAGCGTCGTTGTTTCGTTATTCCAGTCTTTGGAAGGTGTAAGCAGGGATACTTTGGAATGTGATACCCGACATAGATGAAGATACCGACGTATTTGGAAGACTAAAGTTTAGACTCCGCGATGACCTTCTCCCGCCGGCAATCGTAAAAACAATTAAATTCGTCCCTGGTACTAAAGTATTCCAACAATTCCAATCAAGTCTCAGGTTGAAGTTCAAAAAAGCGCTCGGCTTGCGAGATGGATGAGGAGAAACGCGGTGAAGGGATGAAGTTGAACCGTCATCGCCAAAGGAGAATCTAAAAACTTATCAAATGTCCTTAGTGTAATCACGTACGCGGGTTCGCCTCAAATTGTTGGACACGATGGTCGGCGATACGCCAGAGAACGAACGGCAATGAGGAACGTAGAACCCGCGCGAATGCTAAAGAACTCGGAAACATTATGTTCGCTTGGGTCTAGAAAACGTCATCAACAACGATCCGATGTACCAGAAGCTTCTACGGTCCCATGTGGTAAAGTAGTCGCAACAGTTTTACATGGCGCATGGTTCGATTGATATGAAACTGATGATGATGGATAATGTCCCGAAAGAAGAGCAAAACAACTAGAATACCCCAAGCGCGTGGAGTGTTCCGATTAGGACAAGATCATACGCGCGCCTGAAATTACTGTCTGAAAGTAAACGGCCTGCTGGTCCATCGCACATAAAAGCAGAAACATAACTTGAAGTAGGAACACGTAGGCGCATGACGCAACCACTTATAGCCATCGATGGCGAATTACTCTCGTAATTGTCTCCGAGATCAGGAGGCAATTTATATTGCTCCCCAGTAGGTCCAGCCAAGGCTTTGCGAATTTTCATGCCGCCATCGACACAGCAAAAAATTAGCACAAATTCCGCCGACAGAGCATAATCGATTTTCGGAAAGGGAAGGATGAACCCCGAAACCTTGGCGGGGCTCACGTGCATATTTGAGGATGATGGCGTCTAGGAGAAGATAAGGATACGGCAGGAAGAGCGCAGGCGAGGTCGCCATCACCAGTACCTTTACCTTCATGCACTTACTGACACAAGAAAGCGAATGTCAGCGAGATGTTTCAAACATTGATTAAACGCACAGGCATTAACGAGGGGGCTTGCATGTTGTTGTAAGGAACCGTGTTCGCCTCGTTTTTCGGGTAGATCAAGAGGATAAGGACTTGTTCGAGGTCTATAAAAACATCAAAAAAACACGTTAAATTGAATTGCGGTCTCCCGGCCTTTCCAGAACGCGCAACATTGGACTTGACTCTACAAAGGGATCTATGAACAGTGAAATCTCAGCCATATGCCCGCAGGGACCACGAGGCTGCTGGACACGCGGCAAGCAAGATCTTGTTGAATGGGCAAAATAGATCCAGACCTGACATTTTGCCTCCGTTCGGGATATGTACTGCCCCCGTGATGAAGATCCAAAGAAACTGACAGGAGGAAATTTCAGCTTGGGCCAAATCAGCTTTAAATGGAGCGACCAAAGAGGGTGCCTACCAGTTTATGTTAAGCTCATAAGATTATGTCAAACGACATCAAGGGTTCTAACGTTGCACCAGATTTTGCCGCCGTAGATTTCTTGACAAACGCGCCAGTGTTTGGTCCACGATGACATGTCAAACGAATTACGACAAAGTGCGGGGGACACACCAATGAAGGCGCAGACGAATAAAATAGAGGAGAGACCGAGCGGGACGACGTAGAACACTCTCGAGACCACGGACCCGACCAACTGCGCCAGCCGCGATTGACTTCCAGTCATCAGGATAGGAACGTCGGAGGAAAACTCCGTTAATATAAAAATTTTGAGTCGAGGAGAAAGACAAAAATGTAGGGATAGTGACCCCGTGAGCGTCATCGGGAAGGAGCTAAGGAGAGAAAGTTCCGCGTGGAACTGGCCACTGATTTGACCCACACCAGCGGACGATGCTGACAAGGGTATGTCATCGGGCGGATGTCCTGGTGGGTAAGTGGGTTCGTTTAGTCATGAACACGAGAAGTTCATTTCCGAGGTCGGGAGGGGCGACTGTGCAAAGCCTCTCCCTCAAAAGTCAGGACAAGTCATGCCAAAGTAACCTGCGGATTGGCGGAGACTCCAACAGGTATGAGGTGTAGAACGGGATGGGGAGAGAGATCTCCTAGGGGGTGATCAAGATCAGGTACGAGGCGTGTCGTATTAGATCGCTGGGAAGAACGTTCAGAGGGATATACATTAAATGATCCCCTGACATTCCCTGTGGCCAATAGACGAGGAGAAGAAGGCTGCCAGACCAGAGCCGCGTGTCTGGATAGATGGTACACGACTTGTGTCCGATATTGATTCCGTGGTCCTCAAAACGATATCAACCGGGAATCGTTGGAGAAACGTCGCAAATAGACGTTTGGGATTGGATGCAATAGAAGAGTTGTTTTGTAGCTGTGCGATGCACAGAGGGTGAATTGAGGCGATATAGGATCGGAGAGGCAAAATACAAGAAAAGCAGGAAATGGGATGGAAATGGACTGAAAACAAGACAGAAGGACAAACAACAGTGGATGATGACCAAACCTGGATAACCAAACTTGGATAAGAAGGGAACGTGGTCGCGATCAAGTTGTGCCTAAAAAGGAAAGGGTATCGAGGATTCAAGCTTGTGTAGCTTTTGGATTTTTACAAGTGGGTTGGCTAGGCGAGTCTCCCTTATAAGCTTGCCTCATTCAAAAAGGTACTTGCTGCATATTTTCTCTTCTCCCAAAAATGATTTCGGCTCACCAATTCCCTCTAACCTTCCAGGGATGCCCTACTAGTCTGCACACCTTCAACCCCGTCGCCAACCACCACCACTGGCACAACAACAACGACGTCTTGTCGCCTGTCGCCACATTCAGTACATCCCACCGACATCGTTCCATGTTTCTTCCCGATCAAAACTACCCCTCACCTACATCATCCCTTAATTCGCCCCTCCAGACACCACATCTACAGCTAGACCAATATTCATCGCATACTCAACAATCATCGCTGCCGCATCCTCATATGCAGGACAATCGTATCTTCTCTCAAGTGGAATCAAGTATCGGCCCAACGCGGCAAACGCGCGGGCAGTCGAGTTTGCTTCAGGGTCCACTCGGGGAACGTCGTCTCTCTGTGTCAAGACCATATCTTGCGAGTAAACGGGACAATTCCCCAGTGCGGGCAACTACGATTTTATTTCTCTCAAATCATCTCTAATTTTTGGCGCGTTTTAGGGGCGACAACCATCCATGGAGTTGGGACCGCACTCACGTCCGCAGACCCCTGCCCATATATCCTACGATCGCGTCGACGAAGGGTTGTCCGTTAACACCGGAAATGCGCATCCCGTGCAGCTGCAGTCCCCCTATCTTACTCCCCAATCGACAACATCACGCTTCTCGCCTTATGTGCGCCAGACTCATTCACGTTCCGCGTCTGGGTCTACCATAGCCCTGGAACCGCGTCAACCATCACCTGCTCTTAGCTCAGGTTCTGGTTTGACTTCATCCTCAGGGACATCCCATCGATTTGGTGCCCCTACCGCAGAATCCAGCAAGGGTAAGTGCGCCACACTACCAAATGGTGGTGTCACGAAACCCAAGCATCGCAAACAACGCCTACGCGACCGTGATCGGAAGGATATTTGCCTTTATCATCTAGAGCATCCGAATGCCAGGCAGGAAGACATCGCAGAGCACTTCCAAGTCGAGCGAAGTACTGTGAGCAAGATCCTGAAGGGCAAAGAAAAATGGTTGAACGCTGAAGACGGCCTTGACCGTGCTGCAAAAAATCGGTAATTATCACTTCATCTGCGTCTCTCCACGAAATATATTGATTTACTTTCAGGCCGTCAAAGTTCCCTGAAATAGAGGAAGTGATGCGACAATGGCTCCAAGAGTGTACCAACAACGACACCAACATCTCAGATCTCCTTATCCGCACAACCGCACTTGACACTGCTCAAAAGCTTCACATTCCCGAGGAAAGATTCAAGGCGAGTTCAGGTTGGATCGAAAACTTCAAGCATCGACACGAAGTTCGAGGCGGCAAGTGGGTCAAAGGTGAAAAAATGATCGCAGCGAATCGCAACGACAACCCAGGCGCCTTGCCATCGGGCCCTTGCGCGGTTCCGCTACCGAAACACTCATACAATGAGCCTATGGGCGATCTCCCTTCCCACATCTCGCCAGACAACGAGTTTGTCCCTAGACGGTCAACCGAATCGGAGGCGCCAACCCACGATCAACAAATAGCACCCCAAAATCACTGGCCAGAGCCATCACACGACGAGATGCATCATGCGGCTGCAAGTAATGCCTCCGCCATGATGCACGAAGCTGCGCCACACCAATCCCCACTTGTTGGCCAGCAAGTGCCCACCGCCCAGGTAAACGATGACGTTTACGAACACCACCACCCCGTTCAAGAACACCACCATCCCATTCAAGAACACCACCATCCCGTTCAAGAGCACCTCCCTGTCCAAGAGCAGATAGTGTACAGCAATGGGGTGTATGACGCTGGTGACCGTGTAATTTTCACACCCATGGCTCCCGCCCCCAACCCCCCGCCCAGCATGAACGAAGCCGAGGAAGCCGTCAACACGCTGATCTTATTCCTCGACACGGTCGGGAGCGGTATCATCCAGCCGCACGAACGACAGGTCCTCGCCACCATTAAGTGCGCCCTCTTCCAGGCTGCCAGTGGTGTTCCTTTCGATCGAACCGGATGATTCCCTCTACCTTTCGCGTGACAGGCGACTACGCCTACCATCTTGTCGTCTCCCTCGTCCCCCCACCCCACCCCTTATCCTTTGCAGTCACGTTGTTCTCTGGGGTGAAAAATCATTTATGTTTCGTTGCCGTACTTCATCAGCATGTACCTTTACCAGTCTTCACATACACTTTTCCATCTATCACACCTGTATCATTTAACAATTTATCTCCATAGCCTCTCACGTCATCAGCAAGCCTTGCATTAGAATATTGATGCAAGGTGCCAGAAGGCGACTAATTAGCAATGTGTCAGAATACTAAGCCAATGTTACATTGTCATTGACCTGCAGTGTCAACGAAGGTTGCGCTAACGAACCTTTCACTAGTGCACAGCTGTTTGCGTTGGAATGTGCACAGTATTATTAGCTATCCTAGAAAGTCCTCATAGAGCCCAAAGTATTTGTTACTGAAATCTGAATCCCCAGGCGAGCGCAGCGGAACCCACAACCATTTTTATTTCCAAATGCGCGCTCCATCCGTCTTTCAAACATCCATACATTTTTGTCGACCGTAAGTAATACCAAAACATGATAGTCCATAGCCCGAAAACAAGTGTGGTATATACTTTAAAAATACATCGAGATAGAAGAAATTCACCATTTTACAGTCCACGGATCAACACTACCGACCATACAAGTAACTTTCTGGCGATGAGAACCCCTAGGTGCAGGGCAGAAAGAGAAGCTGTCAGTCTAGGCCTGAAACAAGCTCAAGGGGCATGACGTTACATTCGACGTTCCATTCGTCCCTATGATGTCGTGATCGTCCACTACCATAGCAGAAGGCGACGCCACAGGGCGTGGCGTGACGCTGGACATGTGGTTCAGCTCTATCACTCCTTTCCGCGCATGGGTGAAGGAACGCCGCATCTCGTTCGCCTGGTCGCCTGCCTCTTCGTAGGAGTGACTGTATTGATCTAGACCAGCAATACAGTTTGATACTTCTGGGCGTCCGAGGCGGGCAAGCAGGGTTCCGGCTTGGATGCAGCTGACGTGCATGACTGCTGGATCTAATCTCTAGAAAAATAATCAACAAAATGGCCTGGAGAATTTGGAAGCAAAGCGGTATTCACCAGGTAACCATTGGACGTGAGTACGCCAGCCTGATTAGAACAAAAGGTTAATGGAAACGTTCAGAATAGAATTCTCATTTGTGCGCACCAAGCCGGCGATGCGCAATGCACCGTGTAGGGCTTCATCAGCTATCTTCCGCTTAGCCGCGTCAATTTGTTCATGTGTTGCGCCGTTCGTTTCTTTGACTCCAAAGTCGTCCAATGCGTTGAATAAAATGATCCATATAACGTGGTATGTGGCGTCACTTGCGCATGAGGAAACTGCCTGGACAATCCAGCCACGCGTTAAAACTGACCAAGGGGGTGAAACTAACAAAACATACAGAGACAAAGTCCCATGTCCCTTCAAAGTTGGTCGGAACGCCAACCATGGACAAGTACTCATCCCGCCATTCTACCAACGCCGTTGTAAAGGCTACCAAATTGTCGTAAGGTATCCCATCGGACTCTGTAACTGGCTTCCATAACTGTCTCGACATTTGACGGACGGTCCGAGCGAGGGAGTGAGCGGCTCGGTAGTAACCCTACGGAGGGTAATTAATGTTTGATCTGTAACAACAAAACAAAGCCATACCAGAAACTGTGAGGGAAAAGTGCATCAGTTTTTTAATCTGTTAAGTTGCCGAGAAGAGACGAGCATAAATACCTCTAACTGTTCTCTTGGCGAAGGAGTCTGACTATGCGTATCCATCATCTCCGCACTCACGGAATCGACAACGTAAAAATCGATATCATAGTCGTCATCGTCTAGGATGGGTTTACGACGATAATAAGCGGAACCGTAGGCGTCACATATGCACGCCATCCACCATGCGAAAATCATTGTCCCACGACTTTCCGGATCTAGTATGGTCGCCATCACAGATTTGTGGTTGATCTGCCTCAAAATATCAGTCACACACTTGACGAATGGCGATGAGCGACCTCGGTACGTACGTTGAGATCCAGTAGGTGGCGTGTGGCGGCGGTCAGCCAGAAACCGTGATACCCTAGAGAAGAAGTCAAATCCCGAAAAAAAACTCAGCCTTCTGAGACAGGAGCACACCATTGGGATCATCTGGAGTTTCTGCAAAAAGAATTAAAGTAAGCAAGAGCGAGCGCGTGGGCTAGGTAAAAAATAACTAACGGCTTTGGAGCGGTTCGATAAGAAGCGAAATGACTACGTGGTCAGGTGAAGGAATTCGATGAACTTTCAAAGCTTCCGCTAGATCTCGCGCACGATCAATGAGCGTTTTGGCGATGAGACTTTGACCGCCCGGGCGCCGACGGTCCGCAACTAATAATGGGTGCTCGGAAAACTTTGTACCCCAGGCCAGTACGGTCGCGACCAGTGCAGGATGTAAAGGTTTATCGTCGGTGGAATTACCCTGCAATTGCAGGCGATTCCGGAATTGTGCGGGATTAAGAAGGGGTAGGCGGGTGTGGACGATCTGGAAAAACACTTCAACAAGGTCGAGAGCGAACCTATCGTGGAAATGAACAGTAATCAGCAAGACGAAGTAGGGAACAAAATAATTCTTGTGAGAAATTCAGAATCCGCAACACCACGCTGGCGTGGCTAGATGTCTCACACTATTCGAGTTAAATTTAGATACGCACTCAGCTCTGAAATTGTCGTCCTCCAATTTTGATGCCAGTTCTCCCCAAGCTTCGTATGGGGACTTTGGACGGCCCGGCGAAAATGCCACCTTGTCAATAGGGCTATTAATCCAAAGTTGAACGAACAATCTGCACAGAATACACATGACGTACTTGGGATTATCTGGTGGAGCGAAAACAAAAGACAGAACCTCCCTAGTGGGTGTGGAGAGAGTTATGGGTGGGTAAAAACCATATCTAACCATGAGAGGTAAATGTAACCCGTTTGTTATATGTGGAGATGTAAGTACGGGGGCCTTTTCGGGGGGTGAGGCGCTGGTGCAATGAAATGAGTTGTGGACTCATGGTAATTAACAGAGAACGCCGACTCACTATTTTAAAGGTGTAGGTGATGTGGGACTGAAAAAGTGATGATTAACGCAAGAAAAAAATGATTGAGACGGCATGACGCACGTTGATCCAGCGGAGCTTAGTTGTCTAGGTCTCCGAGAGATTGCAGAGCTTCTCTTCTTCTCGCTAGTTGCCTGCTGTACAAAGTGCCTAGACAAAAGTCAAATGAATAAGGCCGCGGAGTCACCTGGTGTCAGTCAACCGGAAGACTGACGTGCAAGGGTAATTTTTAGACAGACAATGCTATTATGCATGATTTAACAAAAATGAATTTAATAGGTAGAATCAAACGTACCTGGCACTGTGTGTGCAGAGCGTCAATACTGAGGTAGAAATGACGAGGGCGATAACACTACCTTGTCCTGGCCCGGGAATCTGTTACATTTAACTTTCCTTGTCCTAATGCAGTGTCAGAAGATAGCATAACGGGCGGCCAGATCGAATAACAGACCTGCAGGCGTCGCAAGCGGTGTTTTGTTTCCTTGGAGGAGGCAGCGTCTTTGCAAGCTCGTGTATCTGGTTTTGCATGGTCATGGTGGGCAAGACCAGGCCTGTATATGTGTTGACACAGCGGTATGGAGAGACGGAGAATGGAAAAAACCTTGCTGGGATGGAGAGGAATCATAAGACATGTCGTGCACGGGAAAAGGGTGGAAGTTAAAGAGATGTGAGGAAAGTGGCACTTATATATATAGAAGTAGAGAACGGCCAAGCACAGGCAAAGCAGAGCCAAGATAAATAAGGGTTTAGTTTTACGTTAGCGCCTAAGTTAGCGGGACCGAAATTTATTTCCCAGGTTACGCCAGGGTTACAACGTTACACCGTTACATACACCGTGCGTGACAAATTCCTTCCTTTCCGAAAGTCACACACCTGTCACAGAACTTCGTCACCAACCATGGTCAAAGTCGAAATTGTTGACGAGAAGGAAATCGGCCAGTCGCCCTATGCCTCATCATCGGACTCACGAACATCGTCCTCGGCGTCCATATCATCAGTAGAGTCAGATATATCCGTCGACGAGTCCTTCTTCGATCGCGTCGCCGCCCTCGTAGACATTGTTCCCCCTACAACACGCCACTCCATTGCCTCACGCGTATCAAAAACAGCCTCAATTCTCAAGCGCGGTGGAAAGCTGGTTGGAAACATCGTCTGGGTGGTCACGACATCCGCCCTTCTCGTCGCTCTGCCCCTGGCGTTGACGCTTGAAGATGAGGCAAAAATTGTAGCTCAGGAAAAGGAAATGTTGGAACAGCAACAGGGCGCCCAACAAGTTTGTTTTTCCGGTCTCACTGCCCAACCTTTTCTCACATTTATATCAGATGCTGGCACCTTCCATGTACCCATCTGGCTCAAATTCTGGCCAGCCACAACCAAAATCACTCGTCCCTCCTGGTTTCTAGTCACCCCGGTGGTTCAGTGTATCCCTGCTACTTACCTTATATCTATTACCTATTCTGCATGCATTCTCATGGCGGAAGCACCATCACTTATACATTCGCTGTCACACCCATTCGCGTGCCAATGCCGTCAGCGTTATAATCTATCGTGTACTACGCTTCCCCATATGCATTCAGGCACATTGACATCCATCTAGGTTCTGTTAATGGAAAGAGGACAAGTGGAATGTTTAATATTCGGCCTGTACAATGGAAACGTCTGAGTAACTTTAAGGATCATATCATGTTGCGAACAGGCTTACAACAATGGGTGCCGGACGGGGTGGGAACGCAACGGGCCGTGCAAAGTTATCCCTATCAGAGGATTAGCAGCTAAGACTACGACGTTTGCAAGTCGACTTACGCAGATCGATATCGTCGAAGGTAGGCGATGGCATGGGCCTCGATTTCCGAAGGTTGTATTCCAACGAGGTCCCAGTCACCAGGCACATCAGAGTCATCTATGAAGCGGCGAATGACCTCGTCGGGACTGAGCGCTGGCCACCAAACAGCCTGCCCAATGCGTGCTAGGGCAGAAGCGACGCCTTTTGGCAGCACAGGGGCTTTTGAAGGTGGTTGCAACGTCACGGATGACACCAAATCGAGCAGGTACTCGTGCGTTAACGTTGATGGCCCAGGAAGGTTAACGGTGCGGGGGAGTTGAGGGAGAGAAATGAGATTCGCCAGCGCTTGTGCTACTTCCATGACCTCGGGTCACTTGTCATTTACACAGCCGAGATGGAAGGTGCGACGTAACTTACATGTACCGGGCGGACCCTTGTTTGCCCATGGTTTAGATTCCACCAAATAGGCCATACTGCAACATACAGTGAGCAACATTGCTCCGCAGATGAAGTGAAATGAAATCAACATACCAGCCATGTTTGTTAAAAGTTTGTCTTCGTAACCGAACATCGTTGCAGGTCTCACGATGGTCGCAGTCGGGAACGCAGCCTTCACAAGTTGTTCACCCTCAGCTTTAGCGGCATAAAACTTGGATGGAGAGTTTTCCGAGGCATTCAGATGTGACAGTTGAATAAAACGTGAGACGCCAGACTCTGCAGCAATTTTGGCAATCCTCTCCGCTCCAAAAACCTGAACCGACTTGTAATCGAAATTCCTGATTGAAGTGGAGCAAGTCAGGGTAACGTCGGCAAAGGCAGATGAAAAAGCAAACTTGGTCTCAAAATCTCGCCCAACAAGATTGAACACTGTGTCCGAGTGTCGGAGGCACTCCGCTATCGTTTTCTCATCACGAAGGTCCCATTCCTGAATATTCCAGAAAAAAAAAAGTTGGTTCTTCGGCCCGCCTGAACATGAAATGAATCGCACCATTCGAACAATTTGACCTAAATCGCCCATTGGTTTCAGAAGGCGAGCCTCGTCCTCATCGCGGTATGGTACGACAACTTGGGTGCCCATTTTCCCTGCATACAGAGATAGGATCGGAGTTATGAGGGGTGACGAGCAAAAGGCTGACCGAGCTTTGAGACAAGGTATCTTCCCAAAAATCCTGTGCAACCAAATACAGTTACGGTGCGTCCCGCAACTGCGCTGTAGCCTGGAGGGCCATAGGATATGGCTGGCTTGCCATTTGGAAGGGTAGTTAAGTCGTGGTATGTACGCTGGTTGTTTTGTGAGAATTACGAGAAGGAATTCAGGGCACAAGAAAGACACAATACACACCTTTCCAGAAGTGAGCACGCGCTGAAGGCGTGCAAACTTGGAAGCTGGGGCTAGCATGCCTTCACAACTATTGTCAGTGAGTTGCGGTTCGGTGGATGGCGGAATTCTACTCACAGGTTCACGTGACATTGCTTTCCTTCTTCAATTCTGAATTCAAACGACAACGTTCTCAAGATATCTATCAACTCTTAATCCAACATGGTTCAGGGAAAGACAAAAGGCCTCCAAACCAAAGGATCTTCAGCACGGCATGCGAAAAAAGCAGCGGCCAACATGAAGAAGGGCAGGGTAGCCATTGCACCAAAGAAAACCGTACTTGTGAAGCAGGCAGCAATGCAGAAGGTCAATCTTGTGTCATATTCTCATCCTTACCTCTTCCTCAACTCTCTCTAGAATCTCACAGCTAAAATCAATAAATCTATTGAAAATCAAATGGTCGCTGCGGCGTCAGCTGGGAAACTAACCATCATGAAAAATACGGCACCTGAGGCGTGAGTCAGATTGACGACATCCTGAGGTCTTGTTCTCACTTTGGATCATGATCATAGATCTTCGTCAACGTCAAAATCAAAGGGTCCAACAAAACCAGGGAAATGAGTCAATCAACTTGCGTGGCTACATAGCTGAGTACGATTCCCTTACTTAGTTTCTTCCATTCAATCTTAATAACAGAGTTTTGACAGATACCCCCACGATTTTTCATATACCGCGACACATAGGCGCTTCATATCTCGATTTGATTCCACAGGTCCCGCTTAGCGATTTGGGGTGATAATGCGCGATGTAGACAAGGGCATGATGGCTGCGCGTTGTACAGCAAAACACGCTGTAGTCGGAAGTCGGAGATGAATGCTACAGCCGCAAAGGCACGATAATGATCCAACGGGAGTTCGACGATACACATGCTGAGTTGATTTCGTTCACTACTTCCACGATAGCATCGTCGCGAGTGCTCTAGACGTTCCTGGAGATTAGAGCTATCGATCTTGAGAAAGGGTTTCACAACATCAGATCGTCAGATTACTTTGTGCGTTCAACGTTCCAATTCGGTAGAATGTGCCGAGGGTGGCTGTGTCGTCGGATTGCTCGTGCTTGCAAAAGCTCGCCTGCGATACACTCACACACATCTTACCTCAATAAACCAAAGAAGCAAACGAAGCCATAAGTATGCCTCGACGCCGACCCTCAAAAGCGAACGCAGGAAACAAAAAACCGCGCTCAGTCAAGCGATCTGAGAGCAAGATAAACAAATGGAATACCACAGACGATATTCCCCTCGATGAGGAAGACCAGTGTGCGTTTACCTGAAAATTTAGTGCACCTTGTAACCCACAAGCAATTCAGTCCACGCTTCCAGGAATAAAATTCTCTTAGACGGGGGAGATACCGGCGGATACGATGGCAGTGACGACGACGAGGTGTTTGCCTTGAAGGGGATGCCTGACGACTCTGATGAGGACGAGGATGAGTTCGGGCTTCAAGAAGAGGATGAGGTGGTGGTGGAGGATTCTGCAGTTCCATTAAAAAAGGAGAAGAAGAAAAACACTAAGAAGAAGAAAGGGAAAGCAGGTATCGTTTCTTCATCGTCCGAAGAGGAACAGGAATCCGAGGAAGAAACATGGGGACGCGGAAAGGCAGCATACTATTCGTCAAACGCGGACCAACTCGAATCAGACGACGAAGAAGGAAATGAGCTTGAAGAGCAGGAAGCCAGGCGACTTCAAGCTAAGATGCGTGAAGGCATGGAGGATGCGGACTTTGGGCTAAACGATGCGGTTGAAGTGGAAGGCAAACCTGACTTTGAGAAAGTTTTCTCTTGGGCTCTATTAACGTGCATCTCTGCTAACTCTCTCTTGCAGTGACTTTGTAGAAACTGCTCCTATAGTCATTTCAGCTTTACCAACAGACAAGAAATTGCTTCTTCGCCACCTCGAAAAAACAAGCCCCGAAGCCTTGGCTCTAGCACGGGATTGGGACGAAACAGCCCAGCTAGTTCACGCAACTAGGGAAAAAATTGAACAGTACGTGTTCCGTAACGTAACTAAGTCCCTTCCATGTAATTTATCGTTTTGGCAGAATTGAATCAAAGGACCCAGATGCACTGCATCTCGGAATGCTTCATTTACACTACCGTAAGCTGCAGCGTCTCTCGTGCTCCCTTTTAATTCAAGGAGGATTTCTAGAGGCGTTGTTATCATATGCTACCACCCTGGCCTTCTATCTCCGTCTTCGTTCAAGCGACAAATATATCCAGCGTCCCACATTACTTCAATCACACCCCGTTCTACAGCGCCTGCTTACACTAAAACAATCCCTCATTACCCTTGAGGATCTCGACTTTGCAGCTTCTGATGACGAGGACTCCGAAAATTCTGACGAGGAGGACATAGAAATGAAGTGGGATGATATCCTACAGGATGCTGAACAAGTCTGGGGATTGGACCGTGCACCAGGTTTGGAGCCTGACGAACTCGAGGAACTGTTGAAGGACGCAGAGGTGCTGGAAATCACTACATCACGCAAAAGACAAACTGCACCACCCAAGAAAAAGAGGAAGGTTTCGAAAGAGGGGTTCGAGCCGATCATGCCTGTCTTCGATCTTGTCGAACCCGATTTTGCTCCATCGAAGAAAATATCTAGTCGTTCTCAAGGACACACTGACGACTCGTATGGTGATGCTGATACCCTCCAACACGCAGACGCTGCCGACAAGACCGCGCACCGCAAGACCCTCCGTTTCCACACCTCCAAAATTGAGAGTGCAAGCGCTCGTCGCCAAGGAGCGAGAAACCAAGCCGTGGGTGGCGATGACGACTTGCCGTATCGCGAAAGAAAGAAGGAGAAGGACGCTAGGTTGGCGAAGGAGGCGAAGAACAAGGTTCAACATCAAGGGGGAGCGGATTTGGATGATGAAGAACCTCAACGCCATCAAAAGAGAAGAAGAGAAGACGATGATGAAGACGATGCGGTTGATAGCCCAGATGAATATTATGAGCTCGTCAAGAAGAAAACCAAGGAGAAAAAGGAGCAAAAGAAAGCAGAGTACGAAGCTTTGCAAGCCGCATCAAAGTAAGTAGGATTGATCCTTTCACGTATCGCATTCATTTATCTTACCATTTCAGACCCGACATATCTACGGAAGATGTTTCTGGTCCTCGCTCACTCACCAGGGCTATTATGGCGAACAAGGGACTCACACCGCACCGGCCTAAGAGTGTGCGGAATCCCAGAGTCAAGAAACGACAAAAGTTCGAGAAGGCGAAGAGGAAAATCTCGTCTCAGAAAGCTGTTTACAGCGGTGGTATCTCCGACAGGGGACGATACGGTGGCGAAAAGACTGGTATATCCAAGGTCGTCAAGAGTATTCGTTTGGGATGACCAGAGATGTATCATACACTAACTGAGCAAAAAGATTGTCTGATCATTTTTTGGACAAAGTTGGTGCTATAACACAAGAATCAAACATTTTGAGAACTAAGTTCTAGTGTATAAAATATAGCTAAGGAGGTGTAGATTGTATATACCAAGTCTGGGGATGAACAATTGAAAACTCAGGATAAGGCAGGGAATTGACTGTGACAAGTGCCAAAAATGGGATGTAACAAAGTGGGAAATTCTGAATGACTGCAACCTACTGAAAGCAATTCACAACTTGAGGAAGAGATATTTTGAACACTGGATCTCCCTGCTATTGTTATGAGTTTCATAAAGTCTCTGGGCTAGAAAATTTTATATCCTCCTCTAAAAGGTAAATTTGAACTTATTCTCCATTTTATGTATTTTTCACTCAATATATTTGTTGGAATGAGGTAAAATGACTCCCTATTGTTGTTTGTAGTGTGTATAATACAAAAGGTAGGTAGAAATGTTAAAATGAACATTGCATGATGTCTGTAGAAGCTAATTCCCAGAGTTTTTCTGGAAGTAAACAAATATCTACAACATTGGTCCTTCTTTTCTGCAAGGAGAAAAAATGCTACCATCCTTTTGAATTCATCCATGGAGACTAAGGATGTCTTTTAAACAATGCCTGAAGTATAGCATGATAGAAAATAAATTTACACTGGGTATAACTTGAAAAGTCCCCAATAAAAGTACATTTTGCATAGAGCAAGAAAGCTGTGGGGTCTCAGATCCTTGTATAAATAGGACCTCTGTTTATTTTTGGGGGATAGTGTTACTAGGCATGATAAGTGCCTTGTGAAATATTTTCAGCCCCAATCCACCAAGAAAAATGTCAAGGATTGGTCCAGGATGATTGCTCTATGCAAAATTTACTTTTGTTGGGGACTTTTCAAGTTATACCCAGTGTAAATTTATTTTCTATCATGCTATACTTCAGGCATTGTTTAAAAGACATCCTTAGTCTCCATGGATGAATTCAAAAGGATGGTAGCATTTTTTCTCCTTGCAGAAAAGAAGGACCAATGTTGTAGATATTTGTTTACTTCCAGAAAAACTCTGGGAATTAGCTTCTACAGACATCATGCAATGTTCATTTTAACATTTCTACCTACCTTTTGTATTATACACACTACAAACAACAATAGGGAGTCATTTTACCTCATTCCAACAAATATATTGAGTGAAAAATACATAAAATGGAGAATAAGTTCAAATTTACCTTTTAGAGGAGGATATAAAATTTTCTAGCCCAGAGACTTTATGAAACTCATAACAATAGCAGGGAGATCCAGTGTTCAAAATATCTCTTCCTCAAGTTGTGAATTGCTTTCAGTAGGTTGCAGTCATTCAGAATTTCCCACTTTGTTACATCCCATTTTTGGCACTTGTCACAGTCAATTCCCTGCCTTATCCTGAGTTTTCAATTGTTCATCCCCAGACTTGGTATATACAATCTACACCTCCTTAGCTATATTTTATACACTAGAACTTAGTTCTCAAAATGTTTGATTCTTGTGTTATAGCACCAACTTTGTCCAAAAAATGATCAGACAATCTTTTTGCTCAGTTAGTGTACATATCACTTTTCATAAAACCCTGCGAACTTCATTTTGGCCTTGCCAATACTTTCAAGTAATCCGCGTGCGCCAATCAAAAAATCAAAAATGTACGAAAGCAACAGATCACCACTTTCCCCTTCGCACGGCCCTTTTGGCGTGTAGAGTATTTCTTCCTCTCGCCCCTCTGACGGATTGTAGCTCCTCGAATTTCTTTTTCGCGTAGCGTTTTGCCTCTGCATCGTCCACCAACTCGTCCACCAATGTTCGTTTTCGGTTTGCCCGGGTAAGGTTATCCCCACTCGCAGTCCCAAAGGGTGTGGAGGACGGAAGAATCGTACCGATCTGAAAAAAAAAAATAGCATGAGCTCTTGGGATACGGGTGTGAAGAAAAAGAGCATACCGCAAAATACTTGGGCAAACCTTTGATTCCCTTGCCCTCTCCTTCCTCTTTTCTGTAGAAGCGTTTGGGATCAAGTTGGTTTCGGAGACGCAAAGCCTCGACTTCACGATGGAGGCGGGGAAGGTCGGCTTCTGACGGAGCCGGGAGGTCAAACCAGTCTGGTCCAGCAGTCCTCTGTTTTAACTTGCATTGACGCGTTTCAACAACAAAGCCATGCAAATATGAAAAAATATGCGCTACCTCTTTTTTTTGCTTTTTGGTCAAGGGTTTCCCAGAGGATGTTAATTCTGGTGGCGGTATTGGAGGGGCGGGTGCGCTGCGCGAAGACGAAGCTTTTTCTGCCAATTCAGTGTCCGGATCTCGAATGGAAGAAGGCCCGTCAAATCTTGACTGTCCGAGCTCAAAGTAAGGTGTAGGAAGTATTCCCGGGTCTAATGAGGGCATTGGACTGTACTTTCCATGAGCAGTGAAGCATAGGTTTGCATGGACGCTATCTTACGGTCGCGAGTCGCTGTCGAGGGTGATAACATCCTCCTGTGCTTCGACCTCGTCTCTCGCAGATATGGCTGCTAGAATAGCATTCTTTTTTGCCCTCGCTATAAGTGAGTCGAGGTACTCCTGTGTAATTTCTGGTTCGCTGTCTGAATCCGACGAGTCGTAGGAGTCGTCCGAGTCCGAGTCCGAGTCTGATTGCTCTGAATGAGAAAAATGATCAGGCATGAGTGAGAGAGAGAAGAGTTGCCGAATTAGGACGGGACCTCCCTTGCTCATTCAAATGCAACACAATCTGTGTCGCCAAACTCTGCGTCTGTCCTTTTCTAGCCGCTCCTTCATACGCCCGTGTATCCGTCTTGCACACTCAGATGCTCAATTTACTCCGCCTCCCCAACAACAATCCCGAACTACAACATTTGGCTTCAAAACTGTCCCCGAAGACGCGAAGGAGTCCATGGTCAAGGATGTTTTCGACTCGGTAGCCTCCAACTATGACCTAATGAACGACGCAACGTCTTTCGGAGTACACAGATTGTGGAAAGACACGTTCGTCTCTTCCTTGAAGCCTGGAAGAAAGGGCCCGCTACGATGCATAGACGTGGGAGGCGGTACCGGTGACATCGCGCTCCGTATTTTGGATTACGCGAAGGACAACCACTACGACAGGGAGACTACCGTCGAGGTTGTAGACATCAATGCACAAATGTTGAAGGAGGGTTTCAAGCGTTTCAAGAGGACGATGTATCACAATAGTCAGTGAACTCCACTCATTGGTTTTTTACCTAAATTGAACTTTGTCCAGCTCCTCAAATCTCTTTCCACGAGGCCAACGCTCAAAGCCTGCCACCCACCCAATTTTTGGACAATAGTTACGACCTATATACCATCGCATTTTGCATCCGGAACTGCACATCGATTCCTGAGGTCTTAAAAGAGGCCCACCGCGTCCTTAAACCTGGAGGAACATTCGCATGCCTGGAATTTAGCCGAGTAGGCAATCCCATTCTCAACGCGTGAGTCTGTCCATTCGACTTTTCTTTTCCTTTCGTCTCTAAGCATTGTTTCGCGTAGGTTGTATGATCAATACTCTTTCACGATGATTCCTTTGCTGGGTACCATCCTTGCAGGTGACCGTGACTCGTATCAATATCTCGTCGAGTCGATTCGGAAGTTCCCCCCTCAACCAGAGTTCGCTCAGATGATTCGCGACGCCGGCTTCTCGACGGGTAAAGATGTGGATGGTGGCGCGTGGACAGATCTGTGGGGTGGTATCGCGTCAATTCACACCGGAGTCAAGGTGTAGAGCTCTGCCAAAAAATGCTGTCCATACAGCGCTTGTGTTCGTAGACTTTATTAGAGCTTAAATATTGGGATGTGAACGCGACAGCCACGCGACTGGGCCCAAATTAGTTTCACTTTGTTTGCGCAATCTGGCTACGAGAGGACTGTCACGATCCCTCCCACCACCACCATCATGGCCGCCAACGCCCCATTCCCTATGCCCCCAGCCTCCGCAGACTTGGCCACGACGTGGGCCTTTCTCGAAGAAGGAGTCGACCATATCATGACGAAGTTACAGACAGGTGTTTCTTACTCCAAGGTAATCTAATCATCCCAATGCATCAACACCTCACTCACCAGAGAACGATAGTATATGTCATTGTATACTGTAGCATACAACTACTGCACGTCCTCCAAGATGCATGGGACATCAGACTCAATCGGGATAGGGAGCCGGAGTGAGTCGCTATCAACTCCTTGGAGTGCTTGGACTGAAAGACCCTGTAGCAGGAGCGAACCTGATGGGATCTGATCTGTATAATAATCTAATCCGATACTTCGTGGCGCACCTGAAAGGCTTGCGGGATGTCAGTCCTTCAACTTTCAGAAAGCTCCCTCTACTGACGCGCCGCCCACGTAGAAAACAGACGCGTTACAGGACGAAGCCTTGCTACGATATTATGCTGAGGAGTGGGATCGGTATACGACAGGCGCGAACTATATCAATCGGCTTTTCACGTACTTGAATCGTCATTGGGTAAAGCGGGAGAGGGACGAGGGACGAAAGGGAGTGTATCCAGTGTACACTGTGAGCATCACCTTGAATGAAAAATATTTTCTCCCCAGTGACCCGTAGACTCTCCAAGCTTGCTTTGGTTCAATGGAAAAACAATCTATTCATTCCCGTACAACAAAAACAGACAAAACTAGCAAACGCCATCCTCAGACTGATTGAAGCGCAACGAAACGGGGACACCATTGACCAAGGCTTGGTGAAGAAGGTTGTCGACTCCTTTGTCTCGCTTGGTCTAGACGACACAGACACGAACAAGGCATGTCTGGATGTCTACAAAGAACATTTCGAATTGCCCTTCATCGACGCGACTGAGAAATACTACAAACAAGAATCTGAATCCTTTTTAGCAGCCAGTAGTGTTTCGGACTACCTAAAAAAGGCGGAAGATCGCCTGCGGGAAGAGGAGGATCGAGTTGAGCGATATCTCAACACTCAAACAAGAAAGCCCTTGATCGGCAAATGTGAACATGTTCTTATCCACGAACGGTCTAAATTGATGTGGGATAGCTTCCAATCGTTGCTGGACTTTGACAGGGATGAAGATTTGCAGAGAATGTACTCTTTGTTGTCGCGGATCCCGGAAGGTCTGGAACCGTTGCGCAAAAACTTCGAGGAGCACGTCAAAAAGGCTGGATTGGCGGCTGTATCAAAACTCGTCGGGGAATCCGGTGCGAACGTTGATGCTTTGGACCCCAAGGCATACGTCGATGCGCTGCTTGACGTTCACAGGAAGAATTCTGATACCGTCACCAGGAGCTTTAGAGGAGAGGCTGGATTCGTGGCAAGCTTGGACAAAGCGTGTCGAGAGTTCGTGAACAGGAACGCTGCGACTGGACCCTCAAACTCGAAATCTCCTGAGCTGATCGCCAAGCATGCTGATCTTCTCCTACGGAAAAACAACAAACTGGCGGAAGAAGGCGATCTGGAAGGTGCTTTGAACCGCGTGGTACGTTTCTCGCCGGTTTCTTTCCACTGTCAATTGGAATGTTGTCCAGATGATTTTGTTCAAATATATCGAAGACAAGGACGTCTTTCAGACATTCTACACCACGAAACTGTCCAAGCGCCTCATACATGGCGTCTCCGCGTCGGATGAGAGCGAGGCCAGTATGATTTCAAAGCTCAAGGAGGCTTGCGGCTTTGAGTACACCAACAAGCTCCAGCGTATGTTTACAGGTATGAATGCGATCAAACACTTCAAGTGATGATCTGACGGTATGGCGGATTAGACATGAGTCTTAGCAAAGATTTGACGGATCAGTTCAAGAGTCGGATGGAGCAAACTCACGACGATATGGACATTAGCTTCACCATCATGGTGCTGGGCACCAACTTTTGGCCGTTGCATCCGCCTCCGCACGAGTTCTTGATCCCGGCGGAGATCCTCCCCACTTACGATCGTTTCCAGAAGTACTACCAGATGAAGCACTCTGGTCGAAAGCTAACATGGCTCTGGAATTACTCAAAAAACGAACTGCGGACAAATTATCTGAATCAGAAGTATATTCTGATGACGAGCACGTTTCAGATGGCTGTTCTGCTGCAGTATAATAAAAACGACACACTATCACTTTCTGAACTGTCGGCCGCTACCTCGATACCCAAGGACTATCTTGGTCAGGTGTTGGCGATATTGGTGAAGGCGAAGATCCTCATCAATGAGGAAACCGACCAGTACGATTTAAACCCTGGTGGGTCCATTCAGCTTGCCATATGTCAACTCTTTAATCTCTTGTCTTTGGTGTTCTTTTCGTTGCGCAGGTTTCAAGTCGAAGAAGATAAGGGTGAATCTCAATTTGCCAATAAAAGCTGAAACGAAAACGGAGTCGACGGACGTTCTCAAGACCGTTGACGAAGACAGAAAATACGTGATACAGGCGACCATCGTTCGGTATACAAACCACTTCTCACCCCTTCTTACTGTCCACTCATGGGATTACAGAATCATGAAGGCCCGAAAAACGATGAAGAACCAGCCCTTGATTCAAGAAGTCATTTCGCAGATTTCACAAAGATTCGCACCGAAGATTCCAGATATTAAGAAGGTCTGTCCACAGACGGGCAACTTGGGAGTTGAAATGTTGACTTTTTTTTTTTTTTTTTGCTTTTCTCAGGCTATCGACACTCTCCTCGAGAAGGAGTACATTGAACGAGTGGAAGGAACAAGAGACACGTTTGCATACATGGCATAGGATTTTTTCATTCGTTTTTCTGCGCTCCTTGTAGCATAGTTTTGCGACATCTGTTGTAATTTAGTTGTTTCAATTGGTCAATCTTTTTTCCCCGCGGTGACCTTCTGTCATTGCTCCTTAAACCGGCTGACCATCGTCGTTTTCCTGAGTTGAAGTTAAGCTTTGAAGTTAAATTTTTTGTTTTGAGCGCCTGGCGCGTGTTTGGGTGAGGTCCAAAGAGGATTCAAGGGGTGATGGTGAAACTCCGATATACCCTCGAACAAAAATCCATCCAGGACTGCATCCAATCAGTGTTGCTCCATTTCCGACATCTTGCCGTCCGATGAGAACCCGTTGCTTGTTTTCGGATTCCAAGTCTACAAAATTCTCGTGCATCGGAAGTTCAGTCTCATGCGACTCGCTCAGCCGTTGTAGCTGACGGTTTTTCAAGATCACTGTACCCCTTTTCGTTTCCGAGTGGCCGAGTGTCAGGGGAAGATGAGGTTAGCTGTTGCGAGAATTCTGTACCTGACATGAAAAGGAAGATTGAAGCCCTCACAATCGTTTGCGGTCCTGACCGAGGTACACAGGCAGGCCAAGCGCAAATGGCATTATGGTTGAAACGACAGTCGCTTTTTATGGTAGGTCGGCGTCAGATAAGGTGTCTTGGCCATTTCTCAAAAGAAATATGGCAACATTCCACTGTTGAGCTTCACCCACCCTACTGGCACTTGAGCTCCCACAACCGCGAGAGCGGATCACCACGATGTTTTCACAGGGCTTGCTTGAAAATTTCTGACCTTGCATGCGAATTAGATTCTGAATTGAGGCACTGTTCGTACTTCTCAAGCTCCGGAGATTATCATTGATGTTGCATTGATGCATAGTTGGTGCCTTTGGGTCCTAGATGGGCGAGTTCTTGACTGGCGTTTGACACACCGCCGGTGGCAAGCTTGACACTGACAGTGAGCGTTGAGTAAAAAAGGTTGAACGGATTGAACAACAGTGCACAACACGGGCCAAACGGCCCAAGCCATGTCGGCCAACCTGCGGGACCACATCTTATCTACGCTCTCCTCTCTTCCCGGCACTCGCGAATTTCACCTTCACGTTCTTGTTTCTTCTCCTCGAAAGAATTCCTCGCTTTATTACTTTGCGAGGCCGCGGCCTAGGGTCTATCTTCAGGACATTCTGGTCCTGCTCTCTGAGCAAAGATCCCTCGACTCGCCACGCATTCTTGTCAGTGCCATTGAGGCAGCAGTATACCATATACCAGCCACATCCTCCGCTGTATTATACGTGTCAAAAGTTGACTCAACCGGCCAAGCCACTGCGCCGTCTCCGACATCGCACTTGGTGCGGGCCTTGCTCTCATTTTACGTTGATCCTTGGACACGACCTCTTGCCGTAGACCATCTATGGATTCAGCTTTTTGCTCGAGCACAGGCACAGTACCTTTTTCCAAATTCCGCGGAATACCCCGGAAAGCGTCCCCTCAGTGACATAAAGCTCTGCGTTTGGTGGAAGCGCGTCTTATCGCAGGTCGCAGGGGAGGCCAAACCCGAAACAATCATAAAACCCTTTTACGTTCTGCCAGGATGCAGTGAGTTTGAGGCGGAAGATTCGTTGAGGATCGCGTCCTCTTCTACGGCCAGTCCTACGGGATTGAAGTGGATTTATGGGCACCCATACTCGTTGTCCGAAATACCTTTACCCTGCCCGACTAGTATTGTGGCTCCGAATCTTGGGCATTATATCCCAAACTTTGACGATGATCCCAAGTCCAGATTCTTGGATGAAATAGCTTATACGACTGATGAGGGAATAAAATCTCCTGTCAGAAAGCGGTCGCGCACGAATGAGGAGTCTGGAGACAAAAAGAAGTCTACGGGCAACGAAGGATCCACCCCGTCAAGTAAGGATGACCGTCCACTGGGAGAATTGGGCAAGGTGACGCCTGACGAGTTTTGGGAGAGGATGTCCTTCCGTCAGGAATGTGTGGCGGGAGCCGTCACCGGCTTCTTTACCCTCATAGTATCCTCGTCCTCACCAACGTCCCCAGATAACGCCACTCAAAGATCGATTTCTCCGCTCGCTCCGCAGCCAGGACAGGTTTCTTCACAGCTGAACAAGCGTATCATTACGTCTCTACAAACAGGGAACGAGTTTTCAACGACCGAGCGTTCAATTCGGGCTACAGAAACGTTGGAAACTGCGATAAAGGGTCTATGTGATGGAATTACAACTGCCCGGAGTAGCGATGGACCACCAGCACCCACACGTCCACGCAAACTCGACCGATGCACTACTCCTGAACCTGAGACTCCATCTCTACTCGCCCCGCCGAGCACACCGCCGCGACGACTTCATGGGAAAGCCGTACTGCCAGATGTCTCTCCAAACCCTTTCCCAGAGCCCGTCGCGTCTTTGGAAACATACCATTCTCATATTTATGGATCCATCTCTGTCCGCAACCCTGCTGCGGTAGACAAAAATACATCTGTGAAGGCTGATGCTGCCCCAGCTATCCCACAGGTCACAGTGCTGACAGTTAGGCGGAAGAAGAAAAGAACGGATTAAGGGAGGCTATGTGAGATTTTTTGCATGGGTGCTTTGACAGCGCCTATTTGTTGAAACATTGTACTTTTTTGCAAGCCTCATGGGGCATTCGATAACTTGCTTGTATGATTTCTGTGCGCCGGAGTTAGGCTACCATATGTGGTGATTATTGTATTTCAGGGGAATTGATATGATCGGGACAAGAGCGGAAAGTTTTGTTCGATTTAGAATTCTTTTCATCTTTTTAATTTAGTCGAACCCGGTAACCTGCAACGAGCCGCGCAAAGCCGTGCCACCTTGGCTCACACTTTGTTGCAACAGTCGCAACCAGCTTTGCAACCAACATTCAGCTGGCCTACCTGCTCATCGTCCACGACGACCATCAATCCTCCTTCCCGACGCACCCTCGTCGTCCTTATCAACCTTCTCTCCTTTGGCCCTGCCGCCCTTGCCTTGTCTGGCCCTCTCTTTCTTCTTTCACGCGCCCTTGTTCCCATCACTTCCTCTCTAGTATGTCTGTCAACCATGGCAGCATGGCAACGCATGGCCCTCAGGTCCTCCCCTCTTTCGCCCAGGCGTTTAGCACCCATTCCCTCAGCAATATCCCTGGAAACAATTCTTTGCCACCCATCCAGTCGCGTCGCCCACCAATGGACCATCGCGGCGTTCATCGTTCGCCTTCTCCACGATCTCGTTCCAGACCAGGCAGTGAAGAGAATTCAGATTCCAGGACAGCAGGGAGGAAACGAACTCATAATGATATCACGTCTGCAACGCGCGATGAGGAACCTTCTGGTTCAGAGTACGTGAATTTACCTACCGCCTTCCTTCTGCCGATAATCTTATTTATCTCTACGCATCGTAGCCGTGGCTCTCCGAATCTAGTTCGGGTTAAGCAAGAGCAAGATCAAGATATGCTCGATCCAAGCCCCCCGCCGCCAGATAAACCTGGCGGGCAGAGGCTGGCCCACGACTTTGGAGGCGCCCCCCCCCCATCGAGCTTGCTTCCCTCTCCGATGAAAAAGCGTCGCATGACGGTCAGCGGTGCGCCGCACGCCTTGAACACTGACGTAAGAGCACCGGCAGACCAGACCAACTCGACACCTATTTCTCCGGTGGTCATGGGGTTTACTATACAAAGGGATAATCCGTCCGCTGTGGAACAGGTTAGATCTATGATTACTGTGAAGCAAAAGCAAAAGGCTCTCATCGAGCAGCGAAGGGGGAGCGTAGCGGGTGTCATGTCACCCAACATGACCGCTAACAATCCCTCCCCAGCCCCTGTTGAAGAACGCATTTCTTCAACCTCAAAACCCCCTTCTGTGCCCGTCCGCACCACTCGCCGTAGTCCAAACATGGCGGCGGCTTCGCGGAGGCCGCCCAACTCTTCTGCTCAAAGTCATGGGAACCCTCGTGCGCCCAGCCCTAACTCGACGAGCCAGCAACAGTTACAGGTTCCCAGCCAGGCCTCTCATCACTCCCTTCCTCCGCCTCCCATCAGTTTTGCCAAGCGTCGTGCTGCGCAAATGGGAGGGAAGAAGAAGCCAGCGGACATCGTCATCAGTCCTCGGGAGTTACATACTCCAGAACAGTTTCAGCCTTCTATTCAAAGCGCTCCTCCCATCCCTCATGCTGGGCAAGGGCAGTTCGGAAGATTTACTATGGCGCTTCCTCGATTGCCTTCCATTATGGGCGTGAACGAAAACGTGCGCAAAATACCTGGGAATGTTCCACCAACACCCACGCGACTGGCATTACAACGCAACGCTGGAGCTCCTACACCTCCTTCCATTACCGTGTCTGGGGCTCCAATACGGTCACCGCCAGCATCAGTCCCGATTGCATCAACCCTCGTTCCTCCCACCCCTGCTTCACTTCATCATCCAGGGTACTCGGGTGATAAATCGGCATTCCTGGCGCCGTTTGAGATGTTTTACGATGCTCTGAACGACTCAAAACAACTTAAGACGTGGCTTGGCGAACAGTTACAGAAGTCAAATGCTCTTATGCAAACCTTGACTCAGCAGCAGGAAAGGCTCAACGACGTGGTGGAAGCCATGATGGAAAGACGGATGGCAACTGTACACACTGAAATCTCGGGCTTACGCCAGCGTGTTGGAGAGCTAGAGGATGCCCTTCGCGATGCAACTTCTGGTCGACGGCATAGTATTGATTTCACCGGTGGTGCGTTATCTGCGACCAAACAGTCATTACTAAATGGGGCTTCGTCTGCTGCGCCATCCATGTCTGAAGGATATACATTCCCTCCTGCACCTTCCGATTCTATGCGGCATCACTCAAGGCGGCCGTCATCGCCAGCATGGGGACAAGACCGAGACGGACGCAGCCAGTTTACAACAGAACTGGAACCTGAGTCATCGGTGCCTTATGATGCCAGACGCACGTCGGTCTCTGCTAGCCGTCTGGATCCTCCTCGAATCCACAATCAAGACGCTTCCCATTTCAGGACGCCCAATACAATGCAGTCGCCGCCCCAGCTGTACCATGAGAATCCAATACATCTCCCTAACAAGCCTTCAAGGGGTGAACGACCACCACTTAGTAGGCAGGCGTCACATACCTCACAGCACGGCGAACGGTGTGACAGTCCAAAATTGAAACGGGCAGGTAGCAGAAGAAACTCTATCGTCATGTCGCCACCTGAAGGCGACGATAGCTAAGTCGTCATATATATTATGTCAAATTGCTTTCCCTCGTTGTCGCTGCACTTTTTATTCTTTTTTTCTTTTCTTGTTCACGATCTTCCGACGAACTCTTGGACGCTGTATGATGACCCCGCCCTCTCCTTTTTTCTATGGTTCCAAAAGTTTTCGCATCCAATGGAGGGATTCAAACCATCACCCCTTCCCGTTTGTGACAGACCGTCTTGGTCTGTTGATACTCTGGGATTTTCGCCTTCCTCTTGCACCATCTCAACCCCTTGTATCCCCTGCTCTGAGCCTTGGTCCCACTCGTTCTTTACAAAACTTCATATGTAACTAATGTAAATGTACCAGTTTTACCTAACTCCTTCGTTGCTCGCACACACACTCCTTTGCTCGACAATACTATACCCCCTCTTTTTTTTCTTATCCACATCATACCCTAGGTCTGTTTCTGCTCACAATCATTCTTCGTCTCACTTTCACGTCCATGTGCGTCCGGGAACTCGACCTTTGTGAAACGGCCAACGGCTGCGCTGAATGTGCCTGTACTTCTCGAAGAAAATCCGCAGAAAGCAACAGGGCCTTCATCTGGTGACTCGGTACATTACGACAAGGAATGGACACTCTCATTCAAGTTCAACAGTGTTCGATAGCTTATAGATAAGTACAGCAAGGTAAATCTTTTCCCTTTACAGCAACGATGCAAGAAAACGGTCCAGTTGACAGGGGTACAAAGTATCAACAGCACAAAAACTATAGCAAGGTGGATCTTCTAGCGGGGAGTGTCTTCGAGCGTTCAAAGAAAGCAACGATGACCCAACGCGACCTCAATTGGGCAGTGGTTCTTCGGAAGAGCACCCGGAGATCCGTTTAGAAAAGAAATTGATTCGTGACCCACACAGTTGTCCGAAGCGTCCGAAATACTGAAACAGTTATTTATCTCTCGTTGGGATTGAGCATAGTACGGAGTAAGAGCTGACCAGCATTTTGTTGCCAAGGTCAGTGACTTCCAAATGAGGACGATTAAGGGTCGTGGGAATTATATCACTCACCTTTCCTCTACCAACACATCGCAATGGATGGGCGTCGACAACTCGCGTTTGGGCTATCGCTCGTGCGGGGGTATGCGTCTAAATACCCTCGCCCAAAACCAGGGACGTCAGAACGACCAGCATATCACCCACGAGATCCACTGGTCAACAATCCCAAAGCCGTGGTTGTACCTTTAGCGGACGAGAACCTCACATTCATTCACCGTCCACCCCCAACCGCACCATCACCGATTTCTTTAACAACGTCACCTATATCCGCACTACTTCGCCCTCCCACTGCGGCTCAGGATGTTCCACTCCCACCTCTGCTGCGACGTACGCCGGAAAAGGAAGAGACACCCATTTCTAAAAAAGCTATTCTCAAGATGCAGCAACTCCGAGCATCCAATCCCACGGTGTATTCTGGTCAAAAGCTCGCAAAGATGTTCAATTGTTCAAGAGGGTTCGTGACGGTCGTGACACGGCTAAAAACCGCACAACGGACTACGATGCGGAAGGAACTAGAAGCGCAACACGCAGAAAGACGAGAGAAGTGGAGTGAGAGGCATTCAATTGTGAAGGCTGTTCGTAAGAAGAGACGGGAACTGTGGTAATAACGCCTGGTATGCATGGCCAACTCATTTTCGACCCTCCCCAAAACTGAAGTATATGCAGTCCCGTGATGCACCGGCGGCGGAGATCCGTTACCCCAACCAGTCCTAGATGTGTAACACATACATAATGCAAACTGATTCACATGCCCTCCACTACAAATTCCATCTAAAATATAAATACTAACTGCTCCTAACCACTTTTTCATTACCCCAGTCATGTCCCTCTCCCTCTCCGCATCTGCCCCACGCATTCCTCCATTCTTCCTCAACACCGACCATCGTCAACGATGTCTTGCACAGCTTCGTAGCAAACATACTGGTCTCGAAAAGTACATCTACCTCAATGGCCTCAAAGAACGCGACCCCAACCTCTTTTACGAGGTCCTCCTCGGTAACATGCTCGAGATTATTCCCATTCTCTACACTCCAACGGTGGGTACTCCGACTTTCTCCGTGTATATGCGCCTCATCCTGGTCTGTAAGGTTGGCGATGCTTGCTCAAATTACTCTCACATCTGGCGTCGCCCTGAAGGTCTCTATGTTACGATTGAGAACAAGGGGCACATCAACCAGGTCCTCCGAACCTGGGCTTCTGGCCAGGCGTCTCGCATTGCTGTCGTGACAGACGGTAGGCAGCTCCGTTCCCTTCGGTTCGGCCTACTCACCGCGCATCCCCGAAGGCTCTCGCATTCTCGGGTTAGGTGACCTGGGCGCCAACGGGCTCCCCATCTCTATTGGAAAACTGTAACGGTTTCGCAGTTTCACTTCCCTTCCAATAATAAACCAATCCTTCTTTAGAGACTTGTACATTGCCGGCGCTGGCATCAAGCCCACCACTACCGTTCCTATATGCCTCGACCTTGGCACAAATACTCAAAGGTACCTAGAGGATCCTCTGTACCTGGGCGTACGCCGAAAGCGCCCTGACGCCGCAGAGGTGAGTTACTGAAATCAACCCTCGTATGCAATCATTAATACTTTTTAAAGATGGACGAATTCATGAAGGAATTTATGGAGGCAATGAAGGACGTCTTTCCTCAGTTACTCGTTCAGTTCGAAGACTTTTCGACCGACAACGCTTTCAAGTATCTTGACATGTTCAGGTCACAATACCGTGTCTTCAACGATGATGTATGCGTCTTTACATCATTGTCCTCCCGTTCTCATCCGCCCTTCTCTTTTAGATTCAAGGCACAGGTCAGTTCGTTGTGGTCGGCGCCTTACGGAATGGTGTCTGATCAATCTCACCATATATACAGGATCCGTGGTTCTGTCCGGGTTCTTCAATGCTGCCCGACTGGCGTCATCTGCTGCTGGCACGCCAATATCAGAACACCGAGTCTTGTTCTTTGGCGCGGGTTCGGCCGGAATCGGTGTTGCTAAACAGTTGATGTCGTTCTTCACCCTGTTGGGCCTGAGTGAAGATGAGGCCAAGAAGAGAATCTACGTTAGTTCACATGATCTATCTCTGCTACTCTTACCCAAGAACTCTAATCGGTTTTTTCATCAGACCGTAGACTCTAAAGGCTTGATTACGGCAGACAGACCAGGGTTGCAAGAACACAAGAAATGTTCGACCTCGTTTTTTTCTCATTTCACATCGGCTGATTCTTTCCCGTCCAGACTTCGCCCGCACCGACTATGACGGCTCTGCACTTACCAAACTAATTGACATCATTGAACATGTTAAACCCACCGCTCTTCTCGGCTTGAGCACTATCCCAGTAGGCCAACTGTCTATGCGCTTTCTATCAACTTACTGACCAAACTTGGTGATAGAATGCGTTCACGGAAGATGTCGTGAAACTGTTGGCTAAAACCAATGTCCGTCCGATTATCTTCCCTCTGTCAAACCCGGTGTCCCTGTGCGAACTAGACTATTCCGATGCCATTCGCTGGTTAGTTTTTGACGAACGCTTCTTGGTTTCACTTACTCACTGACCCCGTAGGACAAATGGCTCCGTCATTTTCGCTTCTGGCAGCCCGTACAAGCCTGTGGAGTTTGAAGGCAAGATATATGAGCCTGGACAGGGAAACAACATGTACATCTTCCCCGGTATTGGGTTGGGTTCCATCCTTTCCAAAGCGAGGCACGTCACGGACGCAATGGTGGAGCAGGCCGCGATCTCATTGGCCTCGTCTCTCACAAACGAGGAAAAAGATTGTGATTTGGTCTACCCGCGTCTCACCCGCATCCGTGATATCAGCGCCCACATCGCATTGGCTGTCATCCGGGCTGCTCAAAAGGATGTGAGTTACCTTGGTCCCCTAAGAGAGCATTCAATCTAATTTTTAAACTCAGAACGTCGACGAAAACGCTCTCTTCCGAGGTTTATCTGACGATGCGTTGTTGGAGTATATCAAGGCGAAGCAATGGCAACCGACAAACATTCAGTCCTTCCCTCGTCTCTGACCGGTCACCCTTGATGCTTTCCTCAATTCATGTATAATATCTGTATATCGTCAAGGACTTGGCTACGTCACCTTCCAAACATCTGCACGTAGGCCAGGATCGGGAATATTCTCTTCAGGCGTCCAATTTTTTATCTAAGAAAAGCTTGCTACAAGGAATCTCTAGACAGTCATTAGAATCCCATTGCATAATGTTGAAACGGTGGTTGACTCCTTTGAGTGTTGGCAAACAGGTGAGACTGCCGCAGCCCCCAGTCTCCGTCATCGAATATAAAAATACCACATCTTTCACCCTGGAATGCAGCAAAGCCATACTACACATAACGCAAGGTTCGTGTGTCATAAACAGGGTCAGGTTGGTCAGGAGATAGTTGGTCCCGTTGCATGAGGACTCTGAACCTTCATTCTCGCCATCTTTTGAAACTTTCGAATTACCAGATTGACTGGCACGGTGGTCTGCCATCTGTCGCACAACGTTTATAGCAGCGTGCCGAAGGGGATGTTGCGTTGATCTCCGCGTATCGCATGAAATGAATGACATTGAAGGAGTTTCAAGGTGCGCAGTATCTTCCTTGTTTTCGTAAGGCGCCGGTATGTGAGCAGCGATAGGAAGCTGGGGAGAACGAGCTATAAAACCGATGAAGTTGACAAGGAAGCTATGCTAACCTCCCTGCGAACATGAGCTTCAATGGCGGCTTCTATCGCCTGTTTCATGGCCTCACGAGCCCAATGAACTTTGCCTCGCGTCCATGTCTCCGGCTCGTCCTTCCGACTGGGTGTGTATACAGTGGGCCAAAGAGCTGATTTCAAGGTGAGGGAAGGTAACGTCAGTGCAGAAGACGCCGGAATATCGAGTGGATATGGTGTAGATAAAGATATATTTTCAGGTAGTTGTGGAGGCTGAGGTGAGGTTGTGAGGAGGAGAGTTGTCGAATCATCTTGTTTCCGGATGCGTTTGAGGTGGCTCAGGTCTGGAGTGTCTAAACCGGCTTGCTTTAACCATCTTTTTGTTCTTAGGGTAGTATGATTATTAACGACCTGTATGAACTCACTTCAGGAGCGTGGCGATGTGTCTTTGGTCGAGGATATCGGTAACCCAGGCTTGCACTGCGAAAAAAAAAAAAAAAAAAAAAAAAAATGAGCGTGTCGATCGTGAATCGGACGTGTCAAGCGAACTTGTTCTGATAGAACCGGGCTCCTCCTCCTCTGGTGGTAGCTTATACCGCGTGAAGGGAAGATCTTCTTCTTTCACAGGTTCATCCGGGTTTTGAAGTGGGTCATTCGATGGTGTCGCATTATTCTCTTCAACGACGCCAGGCAACCCATCCCAACCATCGTCATTGACCTCTTCTACAACCTTATTCTCGAGCACACCAGCGGGAGAGAACCAAAGATTGTGGCCATAGAAAATATTGAGCTCTTCTTCTGGTTGCACATCACGCACGGTGACATATCGGATGGAGTCTGTGATTTTGTCGAGGGTGTAGGAGACGTTTGGGGTGTCCGAATGGTTGAATAAGGATCCTTTTGAATCTTTCAGTCTAGAAGTGGGGTACATCGCTTAATGTACAATACCGAGGCCAAGCGCGAGGGCCATGCGCTCGTTCGCCCATTTGAAGGTGTAATGGTCAAGAACGGTGTGTTTTCCTATCATGACTGAAGGTTTAGTGGTATATTGTGGGATAATTTGCTTGCTTGCCGTGCGATTCGTATTCTTCCTTTGAAAAGAGGAGGACAGGACTGATCTCTATGGTGGTATGCTTTGGAATGAAGCGAGATGCTTGAGGAATGTCAGCTCGTCGCTGGCAAGGAGATACAAGGATATTACCATGAACGCAACGCCCCTTCTCTTCGGTGACTTTGATGGTGCAGCCTGAGCTGTTTAGATGCTCAGGACCGGGGGAAGACATGGACGAGGAGGCGGGTAGTGGGCCGGCTTGCCGGGCTTTGGGTCAACGCGTCAACTGACACGACAGCTACTATGGCGCTCACATCGCGACCTCTATCTCCCGCACTTCTGTTCAGTCTAGTACCAGTGGCAGCATGGTTTATTTTGCGACCGTTCATAGATCCTGTGCCTTCTTTGCCCGCGTTGTACTCATCTATCGGGTTCTCCATCGTTGCATTCCTTGCATCAGTGTTTTTGGTGCCCGCACTCGGCCCAGCCTTCGTCAAGGCTAACTTGAAGGGGAGGGATTTGCTCAAGACCTACCAGACGCCCATGTGCGTATAATATTGATGATTGTTGCCATATCTCATCGTTTTGCTAGTCCAGAAAGCATGGGGCTTGTCTGCGCCTCCATATATATCATTCTCTTGATCTTATTTATACCTTTTGCGTTCTCCAACCCCATCTCGCAGCAAGCATATTTAAAGAGATCACATGAAGGCTTAATTGTTAAAGAATTTCCTCATTACCAGGTTGGAACCAACACTTCTATAATCATTGTTGGCTGACAATCGTCGGTTTAGCTCTCCGTATACCTCTCCTCTCTCTTGTCACTTTTGATAGCGACAATACTGGGCTTCCTGGACGACGTGTTCGACATCCGCTGGCGGCATAAGGTTCCGATCCCGATAATAGCTTCCATTCCGGTATTGATGGTTTACTACGCTGAACGTGGAAACACTACCATCGTCGTTCCGCTGCCGTTTCGATTTATTTTCGGAACGCTTGTCAATCTGGGTGAGTCTCATTTCTTAGCCCAAGTTTGTAACGCATCTCATGTCAACTTAGGACCGCTATACTACGTGTATATGTCGCTATTATCAACATTTGCAACGAACAGCATCAATATTTTAGCTGGTATTAATGGTTCAGAAGTCAGCCAGGCTTTGATAATCTCCATATCCGTGATTATCAACGACTTGTTGTATCTACCTTGGCCAGTGGATTTCCGGATACCCCTTCACCTCCTTGGAAACAAAGCGGAACTTGGGTTCGGCGGTGTTTGGAGCGCTGGTATGTCCTATGGAAGTCGAGAACTCGTAGAGAGGCATCTCTTCAGTTTGTATTTTATGCTGCCCTTGGTCGCCGTGTGTGTCGGCTTCATGTATCATAACTGGTGTGCTCACTGTATACTCTTCTTGATGCTGGTTTCTTATGTCTTTCCGATAGGTATCCAGCTCGAGTCTTTCCTGGGGACACCCTTTGCTATGTCACCGGAATGGCATTTGCTGTAGTCGGGATTCAAGCGCACTTTTCAAAGACTTTACTGCTATTTTTCATCCCTCAAATCTTTAATTTCCTACTTTCTTGTCCGCAGCTGTTTGGGCTTGTTCCTTGCCCTCGGCATAGGGTACCAAGGTAAGCTGAACCCCGATCCTGTAATGCTGTAGCTCAAGCGCACCACAGATTTGATTCAAATACTAACCTTTTACATCCTTCAAAAACGATGTTCGAACGTGGTCCACCATCGAAGATTTCGGCTCTTGTCCTGCACACACTGTCGACGCTGGGGCTTACAGAGCTGACAATACACCCGAACACTGGCAATATTCTAGAAGCTAATAATCTCACGATTCTGAATTTCTTTTTGTTGAGACTTGGGCCAATGAACGAGAAAAGTCTGGTGAAGGTATTGATACTCTCCCAGGTTAGCCATGTGAATCTTTTACATTTTATCTTACTGATTTGCTGCTTACTTAGGTTGCCGGAAGCCTGTTCGCGTTTTTCGTGAGATACGGCCTTGCTGGACTTGTGTATGATGGCGATAGGAGATAGTCATATAAATGTATTTTATCCGAAAATCAAGCAGTATTTTTTGAGGTTTTCGGCCAGCTCGAAGGTTCTCACTTTTTCCATTGAAGTTGATGCGAAGATCGGACGGCCGACGGCTTTACTTTGAACGTTCCCACGGGCGGCACATTCCATTTTGACTGGAATCACATGTGCGTCATCTGTAAAGCGCCTGATATTTATATACAGCCTGGAGTCAATCTTCACCCTATACTACAATGTCCAGCGAGAGAGCCCGTTTTGCACACGAAGTTGCTCAGGTCGAGCAGTGGTGGAAGGTAACAAAATTTGTCTACAGACATTTGTTGAACTTATGGATTTTAGAACCCCCGCTTTGCACGAGTAAAACGTCCCTATACTGCCGCGGATGTCGTCGCTAAGAGGGGCACACTTGCCATCCAATATCCTTCAAACGTGCAGGGCAAGAAGCTTTGGAAACTGCTCAGCGAACACGCCAAGCGCGGCACTCCATCCCACACCTATGGAGCGTAAGTGGCTTGAATTGTCACGTTCGCTGAAAACCTTATTCGATGCAGGTTGGATCCTGTCCAGGTAACCCAAATGGCGAAGTATCTCGAGACTGTCTATGTCTCAGGTTGGCAGTCGTCAAGCACGGCTTCGAGCACAAACGAGCCGGGTCCTGATCTTGCCGGTAGCGTTTGATGTTATCCCTCCGATGAATGAACGGAACTGATTCCGATGTTAGATTATCCATCGAACACTGTCCCGAACAAAGTTGAACATTTATTCATGGCTCAGCTGTTCCACGACCGAAAGCAAAGAGAGGCACGCTCTTCGCTGTCCGAGGCTGAGCTCGCCAAAACTCCCGTCGTTGACTATCTTCGCCCCATAGTCGCAGACGCCGATACCGGTCATGGTGGTCTCACTGCTGTAATGAAATTGACCAAGATGTTCGTCGAAAAGGGTGCCGCCGGCATTCACGTTGAGGATCAAGCACCAGGAACCAAAAAGTGTGGCCACATGGCGGGCAAGGTTTTGGTGCCTATCCAGGAGCATATTAACCGTCTCGTTGCTATTCGTCTGCAATATGACATCATGGGGGTTGAGAATTTGGCCATCGCCAGAACGGACTCCGAGGCGGCCACCCTCATCACCTCGAACATTGACGGCCGGGATCATGCTTTTATTCTGGGAGCTACAAACCCGTCACAACCCCCTCTGAACGATGTCATGGTGGAGGCTGAGCTTGCTGGCAAAAGTGGCGACCAACTCCAAGCGATCGAGGATCAATGGATCTCCAGTGCTAACCTGGAGTTGTTCTCCACAACGTTGGCAAAGGCGCTTGGGAAGCAGGGTGCGACCAAGGCTGCCCTTGATAAGTTGGTGGCGCGCGTTTCGCGGGTTTCCCACCCAGAAGCCGTTGCCATTGCGCAGAAGGAATTTGGCCTGCGAACCATTCCATACTGGAATTGGGACAGCCCAAGGACTCGCGAGGGTTACTACAGGTACCAAGGTGGTACCCAGTGTGCTATCCACCGCGCCATTGCCTTCGCCCCGTACGCTGACCTTCTCTGGATGGAAACGAAGAAGCCAATCTTGTCGCAAGCTCAAGAATTCGCTCATGGTGTTCACGCGGCTCGCCCAGGTCATTGGTTGGCGTACAACTTGAGTCCATCCTTCAACTGGGAGGCTGCAGGTTTGAACGACAAAGATATGCAAGGCTATGTCTGGGAGCTGGGCAAGCTTGGATTCGTCTGGCAATTCATCACTGTGCGTTATTATCTCTCTTGAAGTCTCTTTCGTCTAACAAGCTTCCGATTAGCTTGGTGGTCTGCATTCGAATGCCTACATCTCGGACCTCTTCGCCCAAAATTTTGCGAAGACTGGCATGAAGGCCTACGTTGAGCTCGTCCAGCGTAAAGAGCGCGAGTTGGGCACTGATGTTCTTACTCATCAAAAGGTATGCGACTCTCTACGTGGCATTGGCACATACTGATAAGAATTTCCACAGTGGAGCGGCGCTGATTATGCCGACAATTTGATCAAGACAGTCACTGGAGGAGTTTCGTCAACAGCTGCCATGGGTGCTGGTGTGACAGAATCGCAGTTTGGCTCAAAGCTTTGAGGGAACAGTATGAATGTATGGATAAAAAAATCGCATAAGAATTTGTCAAAGATTGGCTGTTGAGTGATATGATCGGCAAACTCCGAATGGCACAAACCTGCTTCCAACACAATTCTAATATCTAATGGACACGACTGAGCGCGTTCAAATAGCTTCAACTTTCTTGCTGCAGTCACCACCTGGTGAGATCAATGACGTGCTCAATGGTTTGTTCAGGCTTCGCTGTTCCAAAGTCTGTCAACTGATTAGAAGCACCAGATGTCCGTAACATTATTGGAGACGATGATCTCCTGCAAGAAGGCATACATCCCGCGTTGAGAGAGTACAACATTGCCCAATTTACTACCGTGGACGTTCCTGGAACAGGTCATCAGGTGAAGATGGGCTGCGTTGACAAGCTTAAGCCTGTTGACAAGCTGAAGAATAGTCCATCATCAGCGAAGCCGCTAGACTTCCGGCAGAGAATTTGGATGAAGCTCAGGAGAGGTTTTTAGATCCAAGATCTAAAACGAGCTTTGTGTTTGACCATCTCAGTCTTGTACGTTGTCGTATAACGCTCCCAAGGCTCTTGATTTATGGTGATCCACAGGAAGCATCTAATCCTCAATCGTTTGAACCAGATGCTGAGCATGAATCATTCCGGTATGAGGCCGTCAATCCTCATCACAGTATATTCACGAAATTCCTCTCAGGGTTGCTTTACAGACCGCCGCTCTGCTGTATCTATCGTCGCATTTCCAGGATGGCGTGGCATCCGTTTTTTTCTCAACCAAAGATGAGGGCCCCGAGTTCGTCATTCAGGTTGTCGCCAATAAGTACAACCCCACCAATTTCTGGTAAGTTCATCTGTGAGAAATCGCATCCTTGAGGCTCATTAGCCAACAGGTCTGGGAGATGGCGATCAGAATACGTCGTTAATTTGACGGAGAACACAGTGGTCGGGAAAATACTAGCGAACGTTCACTATTATGAACAAGGGAATGTAAGTTCCTCATGAAGGTGTCGTTTGGATGCCTGGGACTTACTGGAAGTAGGTGCAACTGTCGACGACACACAATATTTCCTTCACCCTTCCTCCTGCCATCATTTCAGCCCCTTCCAACACGGCGGCATCCAAAATTATTGCGCTCATTGAAGACGAAGAAGGAAAATATCAGATTTCGTTGAACGATACCTATCAGGAGATGGGGGAGAAAACATTCAAGGGCCTTCGTCGTGCTTTGCCTCTTACACGTCAGAAGATAGATTGGGATAAGGTGCGAGATGGTTTTGTTATTTTGTTTGAAAGGTCTGATGATATCTGTTCAAGGTTTTGGGATACAAGCTTGGAGCAGAGCTGTCATCGAGCAAAGGGATGTTTGGTAATTCATAGATATCAAATGTATTATCACCACTACTTGTAATTACTGTTCACGGAATCGAGCTGCCTAACGCGCAGTAAGGATTCCAAGTTGTTGTCGGTCCGTGCACACGCGTCAACGGATCCGAATTTTGCATTACATCAGCAACCAACTCTCTCGTCGACACCATCACAGGATGAGCTTTCCTCCTCCTCCTCCTGGCTTTATGCCTCCTCCGCCAGGCATGCCGCCTGGCATGGAGGCGTCAGGCTCGCGTATGCCTCCAGAGGGTATGTATTATCTCTTTCAATTTGAAGCATTGTTCAAGTGACGGTTCTAGTTATCGCGCAAAAGTCGCAGAAGTGGATACAGATGCAGAGAAAAAGATATGGTGAGAAGAGGAGAGGGGGATACGTAGACATGGGAAAGCAGGCGCGTCGTATTGCTGTCATTTTTCTGCCTTTCCCAGTTCTAACAGCCAAATAGGATTTACCACCTGAGCATGTCCGCAAAATTATTAAAGACCACGGTGACATGAGCAACCGCAAGTTCAGGAATGATAAGCGTGTTCATCTCGGCGCTCTAAAGTATGTTCCACATGCTGTCATGAAGTTGTTGGAGAACATTCCTTTCCCTTGGGAGCAAGTACGCGAAGTTCCTGTGCTGTACCACATAACTGGTGCCATAACCTTCGTGAACGAAATTCCTCGTGTCATTGAACCCGTCTATCACGCGCAGTGGAGCACAATGTGGTTGGCGATGCGTAGGGAGAAAAGGGATCGTAGGCACTTCAAGCGTATGCGATTTCCGCCGTTCGACGATGAGGAGCCTCCTTTGGACTATGGCGACAATGTCCTCGATGTGGATCCTCTAGAGGCAATTCAGCTTGACCTTGACACGGAGGAAGATAGTGCCGTCATTGATTGGTTCTATGACCCCAAGCCTCTCATTGACACTCCGTCTGTCAACGGGTCGTCTTACAAGTTTTGGTCGCTCTCATTGCCAGTAATGGCCAACTTGTATCGTCTTGGAAGGACTTTGTTGTCAGACCAAGCCGACCGCAATGCGACCTACCTTTTCGACAAAAATGCTTTCTTCACGGCGAAAGCTCTCAATATGGCTATTCCAGGTGGACCAAAGTTTGAACCTCTGTACCGCGACATGGATAACTTTGATGAAGATTGGAATGAATTCAACGATATCAACAAAGTCATCATCCGCCAACAAATCCGTACCGAGTACAAAGTCGCTTTCCCGCATTTATACAATTCTTTGCCGCGTTCAGTCCGCATCTCGCCGTACCACTATTCCAAAAACGTTTACATCCGCACGGACGATCCTGACCTACCTGCTTTCTATTTCGATCCTCTTATCAACCCTATCTCTTTGCGAGGGCACACGCCAAAGAATGCACCACTTGTTTCTCATGAAGACAGCATTTTTGGTCCAAATGATACCGACGATGACGATTTTGTCTTGCCTGAGGCCGTTGAACCTTTCCTGCAGCAGAAGGACCTTGAAACCGAGCTCACAGCTGATGGAATTGCCTTATGGTGGGCGCCAGAGCCGTATGGGCGACGCTCGGGGCGAATGAGGCGGGCGCAGGATATTCCCTTGGTGAAGAATTGGTATCTGGAACATTGCCCTCCTGGCCAACCAGTGAAAGTCAGGGTTTCATACCAGAAACTTCTCAAGTGCTTTGTTCTCAATGAACTCAGAACGAGACCTGAGAAGGCGATGACGAAGAAGAATCTCTTCCGTCAATTGAAAGCAACCAAGTTCTTCCAGACGACAAAACTGGACTGGGTTGAAGCCGGTTTGCAGGTCTGCAGGCAGGGGTATAACATGCTCAACCTCCTGATCCATCGCAAAGTATGCATCTTACCCTCACTCTGGATGCTTTACTTACGCTTTGATTTTAGAACTTGAACTATCTGCATCTTGACTACAACATGAATTTGAAGCCTGTGAAGTAGGTGATTTTTGCGACTCAGCTCTTCCCGTTGTAACCTTTGAATCTAGGACGCTGACTACTAAAGAGCGCAAGAAATCCCGCTTTGGAAATGCCTTCCATTTGTGTCGTGAAATTCTCCGCTTGACCAAGCTTGTTGTGGACGCTCACGTCCAGTTCCGTCTTGGAAACGTTGATGCGTTCCAGCTTGCCGACGCCCTTCAGTACATCTTTAGTCACATTGGTGCACTGACCGGGATGTATCGCTATAAATACAAGGTGTGCATAATAGTAATTGAAGAAAAGCGAAGCTAACCTTGGTTAACAGCTTATGAGGCAAGTTCGCATGACTAAGGACTTGAAGCACCTGATCTACTATCGGTTCAACACAGGCCCTGTAGGGAAGGGTCCTGGTTGTGGTTTTTGGGCACCAGGTTGGCGTGTGTGGTTGTTCTTCATGCGAGGAATTGTTCCACTCCTTGAACGATGGTATGCAAATCCCCTCAGTCCCGATCTCCAACTCGTCTAAATATCTGGTACAGGTTGGGTAACCTTCTTGCCCGTCAGTTCGAAGGCAGAAATAGCAAAGGCATCGCAAAGACGGTAACAAAACAACGAGTAGAGTCACACTACGATTTGGAGTTGCGTGCTGCAGTTATGCACGATATTCTGGACATGATGCCAGAGTCTATCAAGCAAAATAAGTCGAAGACGATCTTGCAGCATTTGTCGGAAGCATGGAGGTGCTGGAAAGCCAACAGTGCGTTCTGATTCACACTTTGATAACTTGAATAGGGCCTGATATAGTGACAGTTCCGTGGAAGGTGCCGGGCATGCCTACAGCTATCGAAAACATCATCCTTCGGTACATCAAGAGCAAGGCAGATTGGTGGTGCTCGTAAGTTATCCTTGCCGAAAAGTACATTAAATCGTCTGACAATATACGCAGAGTGGCTCACTATAATCGGGAACGTATCAGGCGTGGCGCTACCGTCGACAAGGCCGTTGTGAAAAAGAATCTTGGTCGCCTCACCCGTCTTTATCTTAAAGCTGAGCAGGAGAGGCAACATGGATATCTGAAGGATGGCCCTTACATCAGCGCCGAAGAGGCGGTGGCCATTTACACGGCTACCGTCCACTGGCTGGAGAGCCGCAAGTTTGCTCCCATTCCATTCCCGTAAGTTTCCAACATTCAGCCAGTATCTCACCTGTTGATAGGCAAATTCTCCAGCCCGTTGTCATATAAGCACGATACAAAACTTTTGGTCTTGGCTCTGGAGAAACTTAAGGAGGCGTATTCCGTCAAAGGTTACTTCTTTCTTTGCATAAACTAATTCAGTATTAATTTTACCATTTTTTCCCAGGCCGTCTCAATCAGTCACAGCGAGAGGAACTTGCGTTAATAGAACAAGCTTACGATAACCCTCACGAATGTAATGCCCATTCTGCGTTGCACAATTCTTAGGAAACTGACGTTCACGCAGGTCTATCACGTATCAAGCGATTGCTACTGACACAGCGCGCATTCAAAGAGTCCGGCATTGAGTTCTTCGATACATATGACAAACTCATCCCATGCTACGATATCGAGCCTGTGGAGAAGATAACGGATGCTGTGAGTCTGATATTCTAATGTTATGTGTCTTTCCTGACGAGCCTCTGCTCCAGTATCTGGATCAATTCCTCTTCTTCGAGTAAGTAACCCTCAAGGTCTTGATTGTGAGGTCTTGCTCATTTCACATTTAGGGCTGACAAGCGTGGTCTTTTCCCTGCTTGGATCAAGCCCGCCGTAAGGTCCCTCGCCTGATTACTTAGTATAAATGCTCAATTAAATTTTAGGACACTGAACCCCCTCCTCTGCTGGTTTACAAAGTAAGCTTTCCTGTTGACCTCTCTGAAATGGTTCCTTACCCTTCTTAGTGGTGCCAAGGCATCAACAACCTTACAGACATCTGGGAAACTAGTGAAGGCGAATGTAACGTGCTCATGGAGACTGTGTTGTCCAAGGTCTACGAAAAGATTGACTTGACACTCCTCAATCGTCTTCTCCGTCTAATCCTTGACCACAATCTAGCAGATTACATCACGGCAAAAAATAACACTGGTGAGTCGTTTCATCCAAGCAGGAGGTTATTACATACTCAGACACGTTGCTATAGTTCTCACTTACAAGGGTACGTTCTTCACTTTGCGCCTACTTCGAGATGTTGACTACACGTCGCAGATATGGCCCATACTAATGCGTTTGGCTTGATTCGAGGGCTTCAATTTTCTGCTTTCGTTTTCCAGTACTATGGCCTTGTCCTCGATCTTCTCATCCTTGGGCTGCAACGAGCAAGTGAAATGGCTGGCCCACCACAGATGCCGAATAATTTCTTGCAATACCGTGACTCAGCGACTGAGACCCGTCATCCGATTCGCCTCTACTCTCGTTATGTCGACAGGCTCCACATTCTATTCAGGTTCACTGCGGACGAAGCTCGCGATCTCATCCAACGGTACCTTTCAGCCAATCCTGACCCCACGAACAACAACGTTATTGGTTATAACAACAAACGTTGCTGGCCGAGAGATTGCCGCATGAGGCTCATCAAACACGATGTTAACTTGGGCCGGGCCGTTTTCTGGAACGTCAAGCAAAGTCTTCCGAGATCTCTAACGACAATCGAGTGGGAGGATTCTTTTGTCAGTGTCTATTCGCAAAACAACCCTCAGCTTCTTTTCTCTATGTGTGGCTTTGAGATCCGCATTCTACCCAAGATACGCACCATGTCTGGGGAACAATTTTCTTTGAAAGATGCGGTCTGGAACTTGACCAACGAACAATCCAAGGAGAGAACAGCTCAGGCATTCCTTCGTGTATCTGATGATGGTATATATTATTGCTTCGTTATCCCATCCGTAGCTCACCTAATTTTGCAGGCGTACAAGCATTCAACAACAGGATTCGTCAAGTTCTCATGAGTTCAGGCTCCACGACTTTCTCCAAAATTGTGAACAAATGGAACACTGCTTTGATTGGTCTCATGACGTACTACCGCGAAGCTGTTATCCATACAAATGAGCTTCTAGACTCCCTCGTCAAGGCGGAAAACAAAATCCAAACCCGTGTCAAGATTGGCCTGAACAGTAAAATGCCATCTCGTTTCCCGCCTGTTGTATTCTACACGCCAAAGGTAACGTGGCTGTCAAAAAAAGTCTAGCATTTTGAACTTAAGAATTTTTTTTACAGGAACTTGGCGGTCTTGGAATGCTGTCTATGGGACACGTCTTAATTCCTCAAAGTGATCTTCGATGGTCGAAACAAACAGATGTTGCTGGTGCGTAAACCCCCATTCATTTTGAGAGGGCTTGCTTATAGGATGAATGTCCAGTCACTCACTTCCGTGCTGGCATGACACACGAGGAGGACCAATTGATTCCTAACTTGTATCGCTATCTTCAGCCATGGGAAGCTGAATTTTTGGACTCTGCTCGTGTATGGTCAGAATACTCCATGAAACGCAAGGAAGCCAATGCCCAAAATCGACGGTTAACGCTAGAGGACTTGGAAGACAGTTGGGATCGAGGTATTCCCCGTATCAACACCCTCTTCCAGAAGGACCGACATACGTGAGATTCCCTTCCATTTCCATTCATCCTGTGCTAATGCGATATAGTTTGGCGTATGACCGTGGATGGCGTGTACGGACGGACTGGAAACAGTACCAACTTTTGAAGCAGTAAGCTTCTTTTTACCTGTTCCCTTACACAGAAGTTGAAAGCTCTCCCAGCAACCCATTCTGGTGGACATCTCAGCGTCACGACGGAAAATTGTGGCAACTCAACAACTACCGTGTGGACGTGATCGCTGCGCTGGGAGGTGTCGAAGGTATTCTGGAGCATACCCTCTTCAAAGGAACATATTTCCCTACTTGGGAAGGTGTGTACTTCTTTATCTTCGTAACATGCTTCCCTGACTGTTTGTTTTAGGTTTGTTCTGGGAGAAAGCATCTGGATTCGAGGAGTCAATGCGATACAAGAAGCTAACTAACGCCCAACGGTCTGGTCTCAATCAAATTCCTAATCGTCGCTTTACTCTCTGGTGGAGTCCAACTATAAATCGTGCCAATGTTTATGTCGGTTTCCAAGTGCAGCTCGATCTGACAGGCATCTTCATGTGAGTTTCTGCAAGTTATTGGCACAGCAAGCAGCACTTAAAATCTATCGTAGGCATGGCAAAATTCCTACCCTCAAAATCAGTTTGATTCAGATCTTCCGAGCCCATTTATGGCAAAAGAGTTTGTCCACACCCATCTAGACCTTTCGTTTTACTGAAGACACTGTTAGTTCACGAAAGCGTGGTCATGGATTTGTGTCAAGTTTTCGATCAGGAGCTTGAACCCTTGCAAATCGAGACAGTCCAGAAGGAGACCATTCATCCTCGTAAGAGTTACAAGATGAACTCCTCATGTGCAGATATTCTGCTCTTTTCCGCTTATAAGGTACCTAATCAGACTTCTGTTCAATTTCTATGTCTGACAGTTTTTTAGTGGAATATTTCACGACCCTCACTCGTCACTGATGTAAATGATCTGATACTCATCCATATTCGTACTCCGCTGACTGTATCTTGTAGGTGAAAGATGTTCTGGATGGAACTACCAGCAATAAGTACTGGATCGATGTTCAGTTGAGATGGGGTGACTTCGACACGCACGATATTGAACGCTACACTCGTGCCAAGTTCCTTGACTATGTAAGATTCTTTTCTCCTCCTGCTTCACAACGCTTATTGTATGCCAGGTGTCTGATTCTATGAGTATCTACCCGTCTCCTACGGGTGTCATGATCGGCATGGATCTGGCCTATAACTTGTGGTCAGCCTACGGAAATTGGTTCCCAGGAATGAAGCCCTTGATCCAACAAGCTATGGCAAAGATCATGAAAGCGAACCCTGCTTGTCACGTGTTGCGAGAGCGTATAAGAAAGGGTTTGCAGCTGTACTCTTCAGAGCCAACTGAGCCCTACTTGAACAGCCAGGTTGGTCTTCGTTTCCATTGGTACATGTGTGACAATATTAATTTCTTTCTCAGAATTACTCTGAACTCTTTTCGAACCAAATTATCTGTGAGTGTTTAACAAAGAAGTCTGGTCTTCCATATTTATTTCTACATAGGGTTCGTGGATGACACCAACGTTTACCGTGTGACAATGTGAGTACCGTGTCACCATCACCTACTGCTTGAAGTGAATTGTTTCCACAGCCACAAAACATTCGAGGGAAATTTAACCACCAAGCCCATCAGTAAGCCCTTTCGCTGCTCACTTCAATATATCATGCTCATGTCCATCAGATGGAGCAATTTTCATCTTCAATCCTCGGTCTGGACAACTTTTCCTCAAGATCATCCACACAAGTGTTTGGGCTGGCCAAAAGCGTCTTGGCCAGCTAGCTAAGTGGAAGACTGCAGAAGAAGTTGCAGCCTTGGTGAGGTCTCTCCCTGTTGAGGAGCAGCCGAAACAAGTAATTGTAACCAGGAAAGGCATGCTGGGTAGGTGGCTTATTCATCTCACCACCACACGTTTTTGAGGGTAGAACAGATCCACTGGAGGTCCATCTCCTCGATTTCCCAAATATCGTCATCAAGGGAAGCGAACTTCAATTGCCATTCCAGGCATGTATGAAGATGGAAAAGTTTGGCGATCTAATCTTGGTATGATTTCTATACATTTTTTGTAGTTCTTTACTCATAAACCTTTTGTTTCCCAGAGGGCCACACAACCGCAAATGGTTCTCTTCAGTCTATATGGTTTGTATGAAACTTTTCTCACCGACACCTCCAGCTCACACCTTAACAGATGATTGGCTTAAGTCCATCTCAAGTTACACGGCCTTCTCTCGACTCATTCTCCTCCTTCGTGGCCTTCATGTTAACAACGAGAAAGCAAAGATCATTCTGCATCCCGACAAATCCACGATTACGGAGCCCCACTTCGTATGGCCTACTCTGAGTGATGAAGAGTGGATCAAGGTTGAAGTCGCCATGAAGGAGCTGATTCTTGCTGTATGTGCCGCCCTCTTTTCTCGTCCTGTCTTGTTCTAATAGATCGGTCCAGGACTTTGGCAAACGAAACAGTGTTAACATTGCCTCTTTAACCGTGAGCGAGGTTCGGGACATCATTCTAGGCCAGGAAATTGCCGCTCCTTCCGTACAACGTCAACAAATGGCTGAATTGGAGAAGAGTTCAGAGGCGCAGGCCCAAGTCACTGCGGTTCAAACGTACGTTTTTAGCCCTTATCGTGCGATGACATTGTTGACCCTAGGGGAATAGCCAAACTACCAACGTTCATGGTGACACGATTCAGACCGTTACCAGTTAGTAAACCTTTTTCAATTTCAATGAAGCAATCTAATTATTTCAAAGCCACCAATTACGAACAACAGGTGTTCAGCAGTAAATCGGATTGGCGTGTTCGGGCCATTTCCGCTACACATCTTCCCCTCCGCCTCCAGCACATTTATGTGTCGAACGACGATGTGAAAGACGACGCGGCCTCTTTCACATATGTCCTACCCAAGAACATCCTTCGCGCATTCATAACTGCTGCAGACCTGAGAACACAGGTAGCAGCCTACTTGTATGGTGTCTCTCCCGCCGATAATAAGCAGGTCAAGGAAATCAAGGTAAAATGAGCGTGATTTGTCGCCTATCGTATTTTTATAATCTGTTCTTCCTCTAGGCTGTCGTTTGGGTCCCCCAACGAGGTAGCAATAATAGTGTGGAGCTGCCGGCCCAACTTCCCAAGGACGATTTCTTACTCAAGGATCTCGAGCCTTTGGGTTGGATCAAGACGCAGGCACTTGAAATAGCTCACCTTTCTCCAACCGATGTCACAACGCAAGCAAAGCTCATGGCGGACCATCCTGAGTGGAGCTCGTCATCGATATGTCTGACAGCATCCTTCACTCCGGGGTCTGTTTCACTATCCGCACACTCCCTCACCGTTCCTGGTTTCGAATGGGGTCGAAAGAACCAGGACAACTCCGTCAATCCTCCCGTGAGTTCTTTGGTAGACTCTTAGCGGCAGTGTACTAAAAATGAAGCAGGGTTTTAATCCCAACATGTCGGAGAGAGTACAGCTACTTCTTTCTGACCGCATTCTTGGCATGACGCTTGTTCCCGAGGGACGTGTCTGGAACTACGGAATTGGTTTGACACAACTATGGTCACCGAACCTCAGCTATTCTATGACACTTGATACTCCGCTTCTCTTTTGGGCTGAGGAGCACAGGCCTGCTGCGTTCTTGAGTGTAAGTATTCACGACGAATTCCTACCCTCTGCCTTCTAATATATTTTTTTCCACAGTTCGCCAACCTGGAACAAGCCGAAGACAGTGCGGATGTAGAAAATAGTTTCGCTTAATTTCTTGTTGCTTTGTATCTAGTATCCACGCTGTATACTTATTCATTGAAGGCTTTAATCTCATTTTTCTGGGCACACGTTATGATAAACCGCATATATTTGTAGCACAACTGAGGTAATTAGATGAAAACCACTGATTATACATCGAGAATAATCCATCCCATCCCAAAGACAAGGTTCATGAGATGAGAAAGAAAGGCAGTATGAATGAGGAACATGAGTGACATCTACATACTCACAACTCCAAGAGAGATAACCGAGCCAGGGCGTGAAAGGGACAACAATCGAGGTTCCCCTTCCAGCTTCTCGGTTGGTGTACAAAGCAATTCTGGACTCTCTAATCCGATTTCTAGAACTTGCTTGGAGCCTCTCCGTGGAGGAGGCGATAAGGATATAAGCTCAGCATATTGCTCTGACGGAGGGGTGAATACTCGAGGAGGTGGCATGAAGGGCAGGACAGGCGTATGCATTTGCAGGAAGCTCGGATCATTCTGAAACAACGTGATCTTTTCAGCTATCGGCGTGGTGGGGGGTGAGGTCGTAAACATCGGTGATATGGAAGAGGCCGTTGTTGGTCGTGAAATTTGTGTTGGTGCAACGTTTGCGGAGGGTGAAGGCGCACTGAGAATGCGCAACCGTTGTTTGAATGAAGTATGTCGAGACGTTGGTGCTGGTAATGCATCCGACGGTGCATTGGCGGGTGTCGGCGGCAGAGGCCCGGCAGGAGGGGGAAAGGGTGATACAGTCAGCGGGGGTATTGGGGATGCTGGAATGGAATCCAGCTGAGAGCGGGTATTACTGCCACTGGAAGACCTGCGATGGGTCTTATAATCAGGTTCGTCGGGGCGAGGAGGCAAGACACTGGATGGTGGTGGTTTGGGTGCAATCATCGATAGCCTGAATGTACGATGTGCGACAGAGTTACTACGGAATGGTGATTTACTTGTTGTTGCAGCCGACTCGGGGGGCTTGAGGGAATCTTGGTCAGGTGCTGGTGGAAGGGCGGTTGTAGGGGCAGGGCGAGGAGGGGGAGGCATTGATGTTCTATGACTACTCATGGGTCGGGGTGCAGAGGTATTGTGATAACTGCTATGGGATTGAGTGGTGCTAGATGTGTTGACACTGCGGAAAGATGACCCCGAGGCTCTTTTTGAGAAAGAGGGGAGGCTAGAGACGATACTCCTTTGGCTATTGACGGAGTGTGACGAGGAAGTTTGACTAGGAGGTATTTCGGCTGCATACGGATGAACATGGAGTCTCGTTACTGAGTGAGTTGGTGGAATAGCTGGAGGAGGGCCACTAGGCGGCGTTAATCTGTGTGGTAAGCCCTGCCGTGACAATCGCTTCCCATTCGAACTCCTCTTTGTACTTGAACTTGACCGTTCTGCACTCAAAGCATTTTCCCCCGAAGCATATGTCGAAACTGATTGTAATGACGGCGCGCGAGGCCTTTGTTCGGGCGTTCCAAACGAAAACTCCGAAAGATCTGTCGGACTGCCAGATGGCTCAGTCTCGGCTTTCTCGTATGAAGACCTCTCCTGCGAAGATCGACCATACGAAGACTTGTGACCGAAAGTATTAGCAAAGCCACCGATACCATTGACCTGTGTCTTGGTGGTAGATTCCTCAGGTGTCGTGGTGATAATTGTTGGACCGACTGATGTCCAGCGTTTTCTTGGAGGAGGTTGGAGGGACATGGCTCCCAAAGACAAGGTCCTGTTTGCTCGATCCTTGGGGGCGCCAGGAGGATCCTTTGTCACCCATTGGAGGGGCTGGCGCTCAGAAAGGATCTTGCGGTCAATAGGGTGGCCAATAGGCGGAGTGGGAGCAAACGGTAGGGTGTGTCGATTGGCCCCTCCATTCGCTGGAGGCGTCACTGACTGACTATCGGGTGTGTTTGACCGCATCATGTTGAGGAGACTGCTTCCCATACGAGTGAAAGAATCATCATTGACTTCGCGATCGACCTGCTGGCGCTCTGACTCGATGGAGGCCGCTCGCGAAGCGGAGCGTGGCCGGGATGCTGTGAACAAACCCTTCAGAGTTGATACTGCACCAGGCGAAGCCAGTTTTGGGACAGTGCTCTGAGAGCGAACAGAATGGGAGGATATTGACGAGGCATAATGGTGGTCTCCTTGTGAAATCGTCTGTGGTGGAGTATCAGGACCTGGACGAGGGCTTGCACTTGGCGAGGTCACCAATCCCTGTGCGCGAATAGAAAGCATCACATCCATATCACCCCTAGGTTCGATACCTCCGTAACTGGTACCTGGAAGCAGGCCAGCTCGTACAGTTCTATCAAATCGCGCTTAGTATGAGGATTGGACGTTGTCAAATTGGCTTACCTCTGGCCCAGAATAGCATTCTTTATGGTTGAGATCCACTTCTGAGCCTCCACCGAGTCTGTTATTTGAAGAAGCCACATCGTACGGCCCCCCTCTTCATAATTCCACTCTTTTTTCATCGCACCTACATCAACCCCTCCAATCTTGATCACATTTCGACGGCCCCCAACCTCATCTTCAGCCACAAACACAACACTATCTTCATTGATCTCCAACCTTTCCAGTTCCCTTTCTTCCGTATTTGATGATTTGAACAAATGCAAGTGGGAAACAGCAGGGGTCTGGCCTCTGGTCAATAAAGTGGTGGGTGACGATAGAACGAGAAATCGACTCTTCCAGCTCTTCGACAACGCAAAGATTCGGAGAGATGAAGGCGGGTAATACTTCGGAAGCATGGCGGTGGACTGCCGAAAGGCAGTCAAGGATGATGCCTTGGTTGGGAATGGAGGGATAGGGGCCATTGTCGTGGAATTCGTTCGTGCATGCGCAAGCATTGACCCAGAGCGATATCGACCCGGAGAAAGAGCTGAGGGAACAGCAACAGAGAGGCTGGAACCATGTGGGGACCTCCCGCTTATGTTCGGCGTAGACTCCGAGCTTCTCACATCACCCAGCCGCCGAATCTCTGGGGTATCGAACCTTGGATTCGGTACCTCGCTGCTACCTTCGTCCTCCTCAGTACTTCCTTCGTGAGAATGTGTCTCCGGCTGGACCATAAAGGGTCCGAGACCAATGGCCTGTGCCGCCATCTCACGCAGCCTGTTTCGCTCTTCCACTTCCTCGTCTGGCCGTGGTGCACAGATTTCAATGACATCTGGGAGAATGATGGGCATAGGCGTTTGTCGGATAGAAGGTCTCCGTCTCCCAAATTTGAAACTAAATGCATCCGACGCAGCTATTAGAAGACTCCCCCGAGTTTTCCTAGCTCCGTGAATAGAACTCTCTGCGGGTCGTGACCGGTCATGCAACGTGAAAGGGGACGAAGTGTGATAATGGGAATTAGATGGGCCGCCATTTGTGGATTCTACATCATAGTTAGCGTTAAATGTGGAACGTCCCAGGAACCGTACTTACTGGAAGTTACGGACTCGTCAAGCGATACCGAGTCACCCCTCAAAGGCTCTTTCCCCTTGTCGCTCGACTTTGAGGCTCTGCCGTTCTTTAAACTGGTTTGTGAATCACCACCCTTTGCTTTTTGGGAAGCCTGCTGCCCATCTGGCTGTGAAACGGAACCGAAACGAATAGAAAAGAAACCGGGTGAGGTGGCTCGAGAGGCAGGGGAGACAGGGGAGGACATTTCAGTGGGGTATGGAATACGAGTCAAGCCCTATAATATAGAAGGTTAGAAATAGCAGCGCCCGATAGCAGTCCTTTGATAGCAATTCTCAAATCCAAGTGATGGTCACTGACCGTGGTTCCTTCTCTTTCATCACGCCACACCGTCGATTCTCCTGACATTATCCCGTTGTCACCGCGGTAATAGAAGAGGCAGCCTCAAGAGGCTCTGGAGAGAAAGAAAAAACCGAACAGAGAACAACGTGCACGCCTTGCTCAACTTCAATTACACATGATCTGGGCATAATTTTTGGTGCCTTCACCAATATCGGTTAGCACCGAGACCCTGAATGCTCTCTAATGAACGTTTCTGCTCATGAACAGCTCAACTATATATTCAACTGCGTACAACCTGCTCATAAACAGCTCAACTACATGTTCAACTGCGTACAACCTCCCCAGGTTTGCTTGGGAAGGTACATCAAATTGATGCTTGGTTGTGAAGTTCATCGCCACAGAACCTCTGACCAGACGTAGCCAGACCTTGACCAGACCGATCTCCCCTTCACGCTCACAGGTTTTGGTTCTTGTCAAGGTACCTCACCATGCATCTATCAAAATTGTGAGTATTGATTCTTAGACACCGTAATAATATGTGCACACCTCTCTCGGGCTGATCAAAGCAGTCATCCTGGAGAACGCATTCGCTTGTAAGTCCCAAATGGGCCGAGAACGCCCAAAGGCTTCGGCACACCAGGGGCGCGTACGGCCTCCACAACAGGTCGAACTTCAATTGCTGAACTCGAACGAATGGGGTCTGCACTGGGACGGCGAGGTTGTGGCGGCGTCAATCCCATCATTCTCTTCAGCTCTTCGTTCTCCTTCTCGAGGCGAGCCAGTTCAATATCTCTTTCCAGCGCATAGTCAGCAGCAGTCACCGCTGACCATGGTTCTCGATCTTCGTCGTCATCGATGCGGGTATCTGGCGATTCAGCATCTTCTCCACCCACGGAGCGTAGTAGTTGCCGCAACAGATGAGAAAGGTGAGCGATGGATGCAGAGATAGCTGTGTTGGAGAGCAGTTCTGCTTTGCTATGCTCTTCCTCGCGTGCAATTAATTTGCTTTCATATTCCCGAATCAATGAAAGTTCGCGTTCTTGAACGTCACGCTGAAATCAAATTGAGGGTCAGTATCCAAGAGGTTTAATGTGTTTAACTTACGGCACGATTGCGAAAGGTACCTGTTCACGAAAAGTCTATCGTTAGTAGTACAAATCAAAGCCATGGAACTGGATCCTTAACTCATGAGGGTCTCCAGCGTTTGTTCAAAATCTTTAATTAGAGCGTTGAGCTGCTTGTTATCGTGTTGTAAACCTAAATTTTCCGTCATCATCGTGGCGTTCATGCGTTCCAATTCCATTTCGTATTCCTCTACAGACCACCGTCAACTACTTCGCGCAACTAAAGATGGGAGAGAATACCTTTTGTCTTATCCGTGTTAAACCTACGGCAATCGCTGCTCGTCTCAAACATAAAACGCGGACGTAAAAGTGACGCACCGACGAAGAACGAAACCCGTCTTCACGTTGGTGGCCTGTGCCTAACACACTTTGAGCAAGCTGAACATTTGTTGAGGGTACAACCAAACCTTCATCTTCCCAGTCAGGCTATATAGTGAAACCGACTTGTGTTGATTCTGACTGAGCTGTTCACCCAACTGGGTGATTAAACCCCACAATTGCATGAGGTCAGATTCATTGCCTTCGAGGACGGCCATGGCTGAGCGTAGCGATTTGAAAGGGTACCCAAGTCGGATCTGGACGTCGTGAAAAAGTACGCCTGTCTGCCAATGGCAGCAGCCAATGCCTTTGGACCAAGGTTCACCAAGCTAGTCGAGAGGTGGCAAAGCGCTGTGAACATCATCCACATTGGGAAATTGACCCCGGCCCGTTGCCGTGATGAATCTTTTCCCAAGCAACCCTCCGCATTCAAAATGTCTTCACCGCTCTCTCTAGCGTCCCTCAAGAAATTGACTGTACCACAGCTGAAAGCACTTTGTAAAGAACAGCATATCACTGGCTACTCAAAGTTACCCAAGGACGCAATCATTCAGAAACTGCTTGACCATCAGAACCTAGGGACTACCTGCGATGCAATTTCTGGTGCTGTACCACCAATAACAAACGGGAAACCCACGAATATCGCATCAACATCCCCTTGTGGAAAACCTCTTGATACGTCTGCGAACAATCCCTCTATCGCCGCAAAGAAAGCTCCTCCAGTGATATCGGAAACTGCGACAATCCCAAGCAACCATAGTGATGCGGATAGGCTTCTAGCGTCGCCACCCTCATTTCAGGCCGTGGCCCACGACACCCTGGCGCAGATCTCCGTCTCTGAGGGACCTGCCGTTCATTTCACTGACGCCGATTCGGATGGGCGCGGAATCTCGGCGGCCACTTCGAAACGTCCTTTGATTTTATGTGAACCACCACTCCCTTCTAAGAAAGCCAAGAATGCGTCCCCGCGCATTTCAGTCGACCCTATCTTCAAGGTCCCCGATATACCCCGGAAGCCTTCGAATACCGTCATCGCTGTAGTGGCTCCCCAGAGTTTGGCGCTCACAAGCTTCGTGGAAAGAAATACTTCTGTCTCTGCTGCTCGTGTATCCGGGAAGCGCTTCAAGCCATTGTTATTGAAAAATCAACAATCTGAAGTCGTCAAAGCGGCTTCAACTCGGACTCTTGAAACGGGCCAGCTCGAACCCAAGGGCCCGACCTCCTCATCCGACTCAGTTATTAACCATCTGGATTTTCCAAGACCAAAATCTATAAAGCTTTATCCTGTTTCTCTTCCGCCTTCAGTGTCGCAACGGAGACGTGTCCCAACACTCTCACTGGCACTCTGTGCGATTTCAAAGGGTGACCTCAAACTATGTGCCCAAGTTTCGCGTCTCTTCCGGTATTCTGGTAAGTTGAATTACTGCAGATTTTCACCAAATGGGGCATTAAACTAGATCTTCGGGGCTAAGCGTACATGGCCGCTAAACATCAGCTTTTGTTGTACTTTCCTGGACGACGACTGGACGCACTGATCAAGCAACATCCTGCAAGCATGACCAACTTTTGGCCATATCTTCATTCTCGCGAAGAGGAGGTTTTGGCGAGAAAGACAGCATATGGCGCCTCTTTCCTCGGAAAAGCTTTGGAAGAGGCCACCATCACAGATCGTCTATGGTCTAGCCCTGACCATGATAAACAGATCGTGATTGCGATCAGGTGGGATTAATTTCGAGTCCTTAGCCAAAATGTTCACGAGAAATTTCCAGATTCCTTATGACACGATTTTTCTTTTTCGTTTCCATCGGGCAAGAGGACAGCCGCGACTCACCAGACATCTGGGGAATAATTATAGACGTACAAGAGGCTATTCTGAACGAAATATGGACAATCACAATCCGTTCATCGTCATCCACAAGCGTGTTCTATGTGCTGGAGTCTACCTGTGAAGTTATTGGTCTTCCCCAAATCCCGGAGGAATCCATTCGAACGTCGTTCGCTCCGACCCGACATTCGAGCTCTCTTCGTGTTGACTGGTCAGCCTACATTTCACAGCGTTTGGAAAACTCTGCGGAACCCCCCAAGACACTGCTCGAACATTTACAATGGACAAACCATGAGGAATACGACCGGGGAATCAGTAAGCTGTGGTTGTCGAGAATACGCAATGAAGGACAACTAGGAATTTCAAAAGAAGTTGTCGCCAGGCGTTATACTTTTGCTTGCATTGTCAGCAACAGGTAACAAAAAACTCAAAGATTCAAACAGCAAACATTTCTTGATACCTCTAATAGCGTTAGCGGTTCATGGCTGACTTTGACAGAGATGGCGCAAGAGTTCAACGATATGCCATCGCAACATCCGCGGCAGCAGAAACACCAAAAAATCAATCTCTTCTTACCCGCGTAATGGCCATACGCTTCACTCTATGCCATGCTTCACTGATATTATCGCAACGCAGGCATCATCATGTAGAAAGCGTCCACTTTACGACAAGTGCCGGCAAAGCACTTCATCCCGCTTTGGCCGTCGTTCAGACGCCTGGAAGAGAGTATTACATCTTGAAGGACAATGGAATGCAGGTTGGATGCGAGGAGGATGGGGTTGCGCCTGTGTGGATGTCACTGCTAGGCTGTAACTCTCTTGGAGGTGTTTAAGTGTAACTCTGTTGGAAGTGTAACTTTCGTGCCTCTGGCACTGTGAGCTCCCTTCTACGCAATAGTTTTACTCAGGTTAAAAGGGCCTAAACACGATGAAAGTCGGAACCATATGACAATGTGATTCCAGATGCAGTAAGTAGGAGTTAATGATATGAGTAATCTATAAGTACTTGTCGCAATGCCCAAGGCGAAATAAGGATATTAATACAGTAAATACAGTAACCTTCTAGCAGCGTCATCCTCTGACTCGGGCTGCCGGTCCATGTCGACCTGTTCGAGGCCGAACCCTCGGAGGAATTGTCTCCACCTCCACGATATCGACCTCCGAGTCGGACTCTGAAGCAGCTTCTGCGTCGCCTTTGCCTTGCTCTGCTTCCTTTTTGCGAACTTCCTCCTTCAGTTGCTTCCACTCCCCAGACAACTCCCGAATGCGACGGGCCATATTTTCACGGAACTGGCCGACTTCAGAATCATTCCAGTCAAGTCGACGTGCAGAATGCGCAGCCTTCTTGTTAGAGGATGCCTATCGCAAGGCGTATGAGCGACGCGAAGCATAAACAACAGAAAAGCGCACAAGTGTCATTTGGAAATAATGTTGAGGGTTTTTCATGAATGTCTGCGCCAGGTGCAGTAGATACACGCCACAGTCACAGAAGTTTGGTTGTGTAGGAACCTTCGCCAATGTCAGCGAACCACTAGCAGAGCATATTGTTGGTACCCACTGCAGCTACGAGGCCAGTAGCACTGCTAGGCTGGTCAATGCCTTTCTTGTCTTTGGCCTCAAGTCTCAGATACTTGGCTAGTTGATTTACTGCTTGCTTATGAGGGCCACCCAAAGAATCCAGAGTGATTATATGTGTCCTGGGATAACAACATAAATTGAACCATGAAATTGATGAGTTTTCCTTACTGTGGTTGTCCAGCCGAAGATTCGTACAGTTCTTCGGCATCGTCATGTATTTCCATCGGAACAAGATCGATCTCTTTCGGTTTATCCTTGACATTCTTCGATGACGCATAAAACTTGCTTGGCGGAATTCCTACAAGGTACGCCGAGACGTCCCTTCGTGGAAAGTTGAAAACACCATTGGAACCTGGGGCATCTTGGACATCCTCAATTTCCCTGTCAGAGGGTGGTTGTCGGGAGTCGTCTTCTTTCATGGGGGAAGGAGAGCGGGCTTTCGAGGAACTTGGCGTATGATCCATACTATCCGTGACTTCTTCGACAAGAGGGTTGTCCATCTCGATGTCAATTACATCGGAGGAGGGGGTTTCGCGATTTGCGCCCTGGATAGACGCCGTCGTGGGTTGTTCCCGGGGAGTTGTTGTGGTCGTCGAGGAGTCCCCGCTGGTGGCTGTTATTGAACAGGAACTTTGAAAGTCATGTAGGCCCTCCTCAACTTCAGTCTCACTCATAGTCTGCCCTCTCTGGCCATCAGGGTCCGCTATAGGGGAGTTATTCTGAGTAGGGATCGTTTCGACGGTTTTACTAGTGGGTTTTGGAGCTGAGTGGCTCCTTGTTTGACGCTGAGCTGCAGGCGATAGGAGCACGTGCTCGGGTTCGTAGATGATGGCGAAGTACCAATGGAGACTGGCGCAAAAATTAGGATTTGAATTTGCGAAAAATTAGCCACAAACTTTTCATTGATTGGCACGATGATGTATTTCTTCTGAAACAAATCAAACCTTGAGGTCCATTTACGAACACTATTGTAACCTTCTTGGAAGCTGACAAGATCGTCACTGCGTGTCCAACAACGTAAAGACCGACACACACTTTTTCTTGTTCAATTTCTTGTAGAAGAAAGAACTGAAGACGTGAATTTGTTTTGCTAGTTCGGGATCGGTGTCCTCCAATTCTCTCAGCCATAGCCTATGCAAAGGGGTCACCACTGTGCTTCAAACTCAGAAGCATAAACCCACTTTAATCCAAATTCAATCAGGGTATCGTTAAGGAACTCTCCTGGATCTAAACGTCCCATGTCGGCGTTGGTGATATTGACGGCGCCAGGAACGCCATGAGGATACACGAGGATACTTGAGATAATGTGAGTTGGATTAAGCGAAATGGAAAAGTATTACATACACTTCATCTGGATCGACTTGCGGAGCCTGCGCAGCAGCTGCAGAACGCCGCGTTGATCGACGTAAATTTGAAGGCCCTGCTTCTGCGACTTCGACCACATTGCTTTATGAAAAGATGAGCACGAAACAATGACTGTAGCAAGAATGTGCACCAACCCAGGTGGAGAAGCGATTTCAATAGGTGTAGTTGGGCGACGAGATGTCCGTGAAGCTGCCCTGGATTCCACTGCCCGCGGCGGTGTAGCAAGCTCGTCTTCGCTAGCAGACTCATCTGGCGCTGCACGCTTCTTAGAAGAAGTGGTCGCAACGGCTTTTCTTGTCGAGTTACTGGATTTTCTTGCACCGGTAGGCCTAAAAAATAGACAACTGTGATTGGATTGCTGTTCCCAAACTGAGTCAGTTGGTTTTTGTCCCCTTATAGTTGATTGTGTTTCAGCATCAGTCACAGACAACATAGAAATATTACTCACGATAATTTCTCAGATTTGTTTATATGTTTGCTCAACCATTGAGTGAAGGCTTGATATGAAGACGGCGCCCAGTCGGGGTGGCTGGTATCAAACTTAACAACGATAGATCCCGAAAACGGTGCGCCTAGCGGGTTTCAGGTGAGCGAAAGCCAATCTATGAAGAAATGGGTACATGCCTGATTTGAATGCGTCGGCAGCTTTGTGATTGATCCGTTTTATCGCGCTGAAGGTATCCAATTTTACGACTGGAGCTTCATTTCCAGAAAACGGAGTTGACTTCACGGTATACTGTGTGTGATATGAGACGTTGTTCGCCGGATGTGCACGCGACGTACGGTCACTGAACTGCAATTACTTCGAACATCAAAAGCTTTAAGCTGTGGTATTCCGCCATGCGAAATCTCGATACAGTCTGTTGTTGACCAGGTTAAAATGGAGGGTTTATCCTCCCAAAGCTTAGTGCCAATGAAGAATTCCTTGACGGGCAAAGTTCTTGGAGTGGCCCTGGTTTGTTTGGAATCCTTGCGATTGAAGAAGTTTGTTGACGATGTCGCTATATGGTCGCGTGGAGTGGTCGATTCCGAATGCTGAAATATAGGGAGTGTTCGTTAGAAGAAATACCAATCCCGAAGGAAGTTCTTTTACGCACCATAACTTTCAACTGAGTTCTTGGTTTCATATGTGGTTTTACCTTTCGCAAATCAATTTGAGGTATTGACTTGGCTTCAATCGTGTTGACAATACTTTTCACCTTCCCTTTGGGTAGGTTCGTTTCCTCGTCTGAAAATAGGGCAATGGGGTCGTCGTCTGTTGGGTCTATCTTGCGTTCTAACCATTCCGTATCCTTCCCATCTGGTACAACAACATTCCCCGAGCGTGGTGGTCGTGACATCGAGGCGCGGCTGGACTCAGCGTGATTAGATGAATGGGTGTCGTGATTCTGGATCGTAGAACGAAGTCCTGACGTGCGGGGAGAACGCAGGAGCATATCATCTGTAGAAGGGTGGAGGTCTTCGTCGTCGACTTCAATAATTTCTGGGGCCAACACGGGGCGTCCCTCTACGCAACAGTGTAACAGAAATGTTAAACAGATGGCGAGCAAGAAAAAGATATGCAAAGGCTTACCTTTAGGTTGTTTCCGCCGAACGTTCCCCCCGAATGTGGTATCTTCGTCGATTTTCATCTTCTTTCGAGGTGGACACGCCGTCATTGTTCTACGTGACGTTGTATTCCCCACTGCTACGGTGAAGCCACCCCCCCTGGGATTCCCTCCTTGACTAAGCACTTGAGCGGCCGACGTCTGTGGTCTACCCTTCTACAGAAGGTGGTGAGAATCAAGGCAGGTAATGATAGCCTCAAACTCACAGCATTCACAGGTGTTTGGATAAGAGTAGGGTTTTTCTTCCATCTGACGAAATGTCGATTTGTTCGAGCAGCGCTTCTGCGTAGAAGAGCAGCACTTACACTGGAGTCCCGTTCGACGCGTCTCGGTAATTGTTATTGACGGACGATCTGGAGGAGGATTCTATACCGTGAAGACCTTTGATCTCCGAACGTTCAGTTTTGGTTGTCATGAGTGAGGTCGTTGCAAAAGGTGTGGAGAAGACATGCAAGGGGCGGTCGGCACGTCCCAAAATGGCACCTCATTATCAGTATTGGTCAATGAGTGGGTCATACATTACCGATATATGTACATTCAAGTACTCTGCTCCCCTCAACACTGACGTCCTTCCACTCATTGTCTATGTAATGCTCGGGATATAAAAAAACTGTGATGAAGAAAAAGTATAACCCTAGTCCCCCAGAAGATAGATAATAAATAGTCCAAAGCTGATAAAAAAAACTGTGCGTGCCGGATGATAATGTATGAAGGGCTATGCAGGGGCGGATAGCAGACTGTGGTGCGTGAGCTACAATAACAAAGTTTTTCCCAAGGTATTTGAGACAAGGTCTGAGGCATGGCCAGCTTGGCTGGATCATGATGGTGGTCGTAGTCGTGTGGTGGTCGTGAGTCGTGATAATTAGCATCCATCGTAAAGGGAATTTCTTGGGAAAGAAAAATTCGCTGCTCCCCATGTCGTGAGATTGGGATTACTGTATGCCGTTAGGTGCCTAAAAGAATCGTTAAGACAGTGCATAACGCCACTAATCGATCTTCTTACTGTGAGATGTATTTTGCTGTGGGGCGGTTTGAAGGGTCACAGGTGATTCCATTCTGAATTCCTTGCCGTTGATATATGCGGACATAATCAACAAACATTTGGCTGGGAAATACCAGATGCTTGAAATCTTGCTTTTGGAACGATGGGGAAAGGCCGAGATTGAGAATAAGGTACTGAATATCCCAATGCTTCAGTCCCGGCCCCCCCAAAAAAAAACAATTGAATCTCACCATGGGTTCCTCTGGGATAAGCCTCTGACTCACTTGAGAAGTTGAGTCGGGCCCTACTGTCGCAGATGTGATTTGCCAGCTAGGCTTCCCATTAGTGTACCACGTAATATAACTGTTACTCCTATGGTTCGGGTCTGCCCAAAGCTCATAGCCATACGTTGCGTAGCCGTTTCCACCGTAGGCCGACGAACTGATGTCTGTCAGGGCCGAAACTGCCTGCTGGAGTGGACCACCCTTGTAAGAGTTAAGTGTCGTGACAGAACTGTCGTAGATAGTCGTTGCTGGCGAGGTTCCGTCGAAATTGTATTGGTAATTGTAGGGAGCGCATTGATAACTTTGAGAAACCTGGCCCACAAAGCGGCTAACATCTATCTGGGTTTCAATGATATCGACTTCGGGAACACCCCTTCCGACGTTATACTTCGGACCGGGGTGGTCGGAACCTGGGCATGTACACGCAGATAAACGCTGTCCAGGAAGTCCACTTAGTTGCGAACCTCCGGCACCACCAGTCGCAGCTGCTGCAGGTACGCCGGTTTTGCTGGTCTGGTTGATGAAGGTACCAAGATCACAGGAATCATAACTGTAAGGCCACATTCCCTCGGTAGTCGCGCCGTATCCTGCCCTTCCCTAGAAAAAACAGTTGAGTAATGGTTTTGGGAAACAGATAGCGGGACAAACCAGATTACCCAGTGTCCAGGCACCTGCAAGATAGTTTCGTTAGCTCTATTTTTAATCGGCAACGTGAAATAAAGCCTTACCAGGCCATAACCCTGGAGCAGTTGGGGACCCAGGCATACTGATTGACACCTCTACATAGCCTGTATTAAAGCATAGCTTATTCCATGACGTTATCATGCCTGACACGAGATCAACTGGTGAGCAATACCAGTGGGTGGGCAGACTTACCGCTCATAAAATTAAGGTCGTGGTTCTGCTTTTCCTGTAGGGTGATGACCAGCTTCCCATCTTTCGTCGTAACAGCCTAAATGCAAATGAGTGAGGGAGAGTCGATCCTGTCAAAAAAGAGTAGAGCATACACTTGGGTCATACCATTCGAGGTCACCTGTTGGCCTATCGGGAATGAGCAAAACACACACGCGGTCAACGTGCCCAGCGCTCACCAATAATGTAAATCGACTGCTTCCCAAAAAGGATCCTCTCCCGGATAAAACGTGCGGCCATCCGTGTTAAACTCGTCACTAAACACAAGGTTGTATGTCTTGCCGTCTGAACCTGTGCGAGTCATGGCTGATGCTGGTGTGTCGGGGTCGATCAGTCCTGGAAGGTTGGGAAGATCGGGAATTTGTCCTGTCCCATTAATTCCGCCCAGATTATAGCCTTTGATAGCAGATGGAAGATGACTGTAATAATTGATGACGGGATATCCGACGAAGAGAGTAACAAGGCCCGCTATGAGAACGACGATTGCTATGGCGTTTACCCAACCCCGCAGCGAAAACAGAGTAAAATTCCGGTCTCGACCTTGATCGGGGTTATGCAGAGCATCGTCGAGGTCAGGGTCTTTGTCCCACATATATTGAGGCAACGTTGTTGTAGGAGCGGCGGGTGGAGCCCGTTGCTCATGCTGAGGCGGCGTTGCGACGGAGTTTTCGGATGGCGTAGCACTAAATCTTGAGTTGGCATAAACTCCATTATCCCTGCCTTGATTCGGATTGTACTGCGGAGAGAGGTCATTATGTTTTAGGACAAAAGCAGAGTGCACGACGTACTGAATATGGGCCATAACCCGACCCTATAGCCCCACTTGCAACACCCATGACCATGGCACCTCTTCCTGATGTTCTATGACCTTGTCTACTGCTGCTGGCCGATGATGTCCGCACAGGACGTGGACCACTCGGATGTGGGGTAGTGTAGTGGTGTTGGCTGGTGTGGGACGTTGCTGAACCACCTGGTACGCGAGAAGGGCTTTGTGGTACCGCCGCATACTGCTGAGGTGGAGGTTGCTGCTGCTGGACTTGTCGGCGGGAAGGGCGGGACATGAGAGGGAAGATGGAAATGTCGTGAAAAGTCCCAACATGGATGAGACTAAACTAGGCTGCCCTTGGCGGCTAACTACCTCAACTTCTCACGGCTCCTGACATCGACGCGTCGACGCGTCCTCCGCTGCCTTTCAACGACAGCTGAGTACAGAGAATACTCTGCAAAGAACACTCTGATTTTCACATTGACGCGTAGATATATGATATCTACGACGTCTGATGCTCTCCCTCAAGGCAGCTCAACGTTTCAACGGTCACGCTCAGGTTTGAAAGGGACGTGACGAGTTCGGTCCAAAATGTCCGTGGTTGTTCCGTGGCTGCGGTTTACTGCTCGAAACATTGATGAAAACCTTCTCAATCCTCGCCCAAAGCATCAAATGTCGAGCCAATTTTGTGGGATTAAACTATCCAGAAACCCTGGTTTCCCCTGAACAACCCAGGGTTTCCAAAGTGCTTGCGTAGAAACCTTGTTTCCACAAGAAGCGGAGCTCAGAATATTTGAAGTCCACCACATGCACATGCATAAGTTCAAGTTGGCGGCGGGGGTCATCAACCTTTCAAGTAGCAAGGGACTATGGAAGGGAGCAGTGGCATCCCTAAACCACTCCCGCTCTCCTACATCTATGTAAGTATAGCTACCCGTCCAAACCCTCATCTTGTTTGCATCTTGTAGCATTGTGTAGACCATGAACCAATATTATTTACCGTGGTAACCACTTGTCGAGTGGGCGCGTCGCATCGCGTGACGATACATGTGCGACAAGGGATGTGCATGATGGAGTTCAACTCGTCGCGCTCTCTTCTCATCATGACCCGGGGAGCCAAGATCAATTTAAATTTGAGCGCGACACGCGTCGGCATCTAGGAATTTAACTCCGACATGGGGTTCCTCAAAATAACCCATCGACTGATGGAAGGGGGATTTCTACCAAATGCAGAAGAAACCCAGGGTTCCACGCGAAAAGGGGGTTTCTGGTTAGATTGATCCTATTTTGTGGAACGTTCCGCGAGCGCGTTGAAACTTGGTTGAAACCGCGAGGCAGAGATTTGCGGATGTATCTTGTCGATCATATCCATCGCGCGTGACGGAATCATTCTGGTCTCGGAACGTCATGTCAAAAATTGCAGGACTGTTCAACCTCAAATTTGGTCATCGCTTGTAGGAAACCAAGTCGTCCTACCGCGAGCCTTCAGTTGGCGACATCCACAAATTCGAAGGGTTCTGATATATGATATCTCGAGGTACTGTATTTCTTTGGCGGATCTTAGATCTCATGCACAGACGTACAATTAAAAAAGCTCATTAATGTACCAAGGTGTCGTAAAAATACAGGTGTGCTAAATATACAACTTGAAAGTGGGTAGAGAAGTACCGTAGCTACAAAAGGGGGATGGATTGATACAGTGTAAGTAAATAAAAGAAGGGGGGAATTTATACAGTGTAAGTAAATAAAAGAAAGCGTTCGTATAAAACGAATGAAAATGGATTGAATTCACTTGGAGAGGTACCGAACGTCCAACCGATGGATTCGTAAATGTCTGTTATTATAAGCGCTGCCTGCCCGCCCAAAATTCAAATCATTGCTCGGCTTACTCGCTGCTCGATTGATAGTGAGTACTTGCTCAGGCGCATGTGCCCTCTTCACGATGATCTGTCGTATCCTAGGCAAAGCGTGAGCCATGGGCGATATCATGCGATGATCGTACCACCCATGCTCGATGCACAGAGTGCGTAGGGAGGGAGGTAAGGCATAAACGTAGAAAAAGGACTTTAATTGAGGAAAGGGATGATGTCCGCGGCTCGGATCGATGAGTCGCAGAGAGGTGAGTGAGGGGGTTGACATGAGCGTCACGAGATGGGCCAGTTCAAAAGGGATTTCCCCGCCTTCCACTCGGAGGTGGAGGGAGGCTAGAAGGGGCAGAGTCACGCGTTGTGTGACGGAATCCATCCAGGACGGTAAAGATGCAGTGCGCTTTGGGGGAAATGCCAGTCTTAGCTCGACAAGGCAAGAAGAGACCTGAAGAATGGAAATGACGTCGTGAACCGCTTGATAACCTGTCGTAAATCCGTGATGGGTATAATCGAGAAAGGTGAGGTTGCTGAAAAGCGAGGGAAGCCAAGTGAGCCTGATTCCGTCCAAAGTAACTCGACGGAGTCGAGGGGCGTATCCCGAAAACAAGCAAAACTCATCCACATCATCGTTATCACGATATACAAGTGAAAGATCTTCCAAAAGGGGAGCCGCTGCTGGAGCCCCATATGATAGATTGGAAAGAGCCGCTTTCCAGAGAAACGGTGCATACTCTGGGAACTCGATATCGAGAGAACGCCACCGCTGGATATGAGGTAAGACGATATGCATGTGCCACTGGACCGTAAATGGATCAACATCCACCGTCCGAGGTTGACCTAGCCTAGATGAGGCGCGGGTGATGAGCCGTATATCCAAGGTGCAGGCACGCGCACGATGTATTCGCTCTCGCCACATCTGCTCATGGGGACTGAGGATGATACAACGCCATAGCGAAGGTGTACGAAGAGCAATATAGCGCCATGCCCTGCACACATGGGAGATTGCAATGGGAAACGCAGCGTCTTGCTGTGAACCAAGTACGAAGATGTGGGCGAGGATTTCGACAGGAAGTCGACGGATAAAGTGAGTAGGTTGGTGAGAATGGGATATGTCAGTATGATATTGGGTACGTCGAAGGTGTCTTGGTCGGCTGATATCGTTGGAGTGGCGGAGGTGATCATGAGCCACAGGGGGTTTGGAAGTGTGATGGAAGCTGAAAAGACGATTGAGTGACTCAACAAAGGAACGATATTGCAGGGAACGCACAAAGAGGAGGATAATAATTTAGACTTGATCGTGTTTGCTAAAGAACGACTAAAGGTCAGCGCACGCTGCTGAGACCGCCTAAGAGTGGACGGCATATCAAGAAGGAAGACCTCCGGAATTTCTCAGGACACCAACCTTATAAAGGGGGTCGCCACCAGAATGGAAGGAAGTGATAATGGAGAGAAAACGGATCCGACATGTCGGAGAAGCGGAACTGAACAAAAGTAGGGACAAGCAGTATAACGTTGGCTGTGCAAGAACCGGGGAGATCAGCCTGAGACATCCATAAATCACAATAAGTGATGCAACTAGCAGGAGAGGTAGTTTGGAAGAGTCTCTGAGAGAGGAGAGACGTTGCCTGTGAGAGAGAGAGAGGTATACGACATTGGAAGTGTAGTCAAAGAGAGGTCCAAGCTTAGATCGGCTTGTAAGGGCATTATAGCACTCACGTGACAAACGCGACTCTGCCATGGACGACGAATCACAGGCCCTGGAAGCCTACGCGAACATCCTCAACCAGATCGCAGAGGACTCGTACAATGCTTCTCTCCATGCGCAGCACATTCGTTTGGCTCAGTCTCTTCAGGGCATGGAAGCAGAGGCACAGTCAGCTTTGGAAATGATGCCCGAATTCCTCGCTGTAGGCGATGACGTATGGCTGCCACTCATTCAAGCAAAAGAATCCTCAGTCAACTTGCAATCCCCGGACGGCGTCGACGAGCTCCTCACTCTGTATGACCGTGCAGAAGCAGATTACCTTTGTACGTCTGTCGTGCTCGCACGTTACTTGAATCTAACGATGAACAGCAATACCGATTCTGCAGAAACATCTCCAGTTTCTGGTCGATAACCATGCACGATATCTAGGAGAGGAACTCAAGCCAGCCGACCTCGAAGACGTGTTTTCGACTGAGTGGACGCGTGGTGCGATTGCTAATGTCGTTGACAAGGGTCTTGGACACCTAACACAGGTCATTACCTCCGCTCATATCAGATTTGTGCTTATTTTTACCGTTTAGAGCCATTTGCTATGGGACGTACAACGTGACTGGGAGATGCAGGTCTTGGAAGGAGCCTCAGGACCAGAAAAGTAAGTTGGGATAAATTCATTCAAATCCCAACACTGACTCTCAATCAGGACAGCTTTCGTAGAGCACGTAAAGCAGCTACATCTGGATCGATTGCGTCAACCACATTCAAGTAAATTGCTTTCCTCTCATCCTACAATCTCTCATTAACACTCCCCAAGATTCTGATGAAACCTTCCAATCCTACTCTTCCTTCACCACAAACTATCAACCTCCACAAGATTATGAGCAACTCATGGTGGCCGCTTCCAAGATACGCACTCAAGTCGTGAAAGCCTACAATCGCAGGGAGCGCTTAGAATCCGCTCTGGTAAGCTTTCTTCCATATTGGAGATTTCTCGAAGAATCTAATATGCTGCAGGCTCAATCCAATTACTCACTGGAATCATACGCGGATTACATCAGATACGAAAGGCAAGCCAAACATCCAGACTTGTCAGTTACGCAGGCGACATACGAACGCGCCATTGCGGAGGCAGCAAAAAGGCGGTTTAACGGCGTTGAGGGGTCAGAAGAGTTTTTGAGGGCGTTCTGGATCGGGTACTGTGATGCCTTGGTATGTTGCCTTCCCTTTATCAGAAGGTGGTCACTATTGACACAATTTAAGAGGATCCTCGGCGCAGAAAAGAATGTCCAATTGTCCACGTTTCGACGCGCTGTAAGAAGTGTACCAGAATCAGGAGAGGTTTGCGCCAGATACATTCGGCTTTCGGTGCGTATCAACCACACGCATGAAACGGAACCTAATGGCTGTAAAAAGGAGCATCTCTCATATCCA